ATACAAGTCGAATACCTTGAACTTCATATAATCTAATCACACTCGTATCGCCCGGATTCGATTCCCCACATGGGTATAATGTGTGAAGCCCATTTTGTGTGTGATATAATCCTCACTTGTTGTAAGTCAGTGTTAATGATAACTAAGATATATGTTATTGTAAATGCTATTTATGTCCTAGGTGGAACATATAAATGAACATAACGATATCTTCAACAATAGCAGCTGTTATGCAATGAGATAACATAATGACCTTTAATAAACGTTCCCTTCATCACCAAACTGTCTCTCGTTCTTTCTCACTGTTAATAGTGAATCCAAACATGTTGTTCAGCATTGGTCCAAGTGGGAAAAAGGCAATGACAAAGTGAAAAGTCTGCATGAATCAATAACAGTAAATACACCTACCAAACCTCTAACAGTGAGTGAGTGAGTGGGTGAGTAGGGGTTTACGCCGCTTTTAGCAATATGCCAGCAATATCACGGCGGGGGACACCCGAAATGGGCTTCACACATTGTACCTATGTGGGAAATCGAACCCGGGTCTTCGGCGTGACGAGCGAACGCTTTAACCACTTGGCTACCCCACCGCCACCAAATCTCTAACAGAGTTGGGGGCATCCATCTACATCCCCTGCAACATACTTTGGAATTTTTTTTGGTAGTAGGGTTGTAAACTTGCAGGAATGAGTGAGTATGGCTCAAAGCTACTTATCCGGCATACCACATAGAAAACAGTACAACACTTTGTTGAATAGTACTACACTTTAGTGAAACCAAAGATGTCAGTGGAATTATTTCTTTCAATGGGAAATGAGCGGTACGGAAAGTATACAATTATTAAAGGTAAATGAATGATCAGGGTAAGCATAAAAATGTATATATAGGTGTATAGACCCAACCCTTATATAAAAGAATATATAGTAATAGGGATTGGCCAATTAACACCTATATGTCTTTCTAACGCTGTTTTCAAGCGAGACACGCCTCTATGACGTTACACGTTTTCCATCCTTTCGTTGACTGCATATATTTAGCGATGTTGTAATATACTAAGCAGCAAATGAAACCTCAGTTTGGAATTTTCCTTCGCAGAAACGGATAACTGTAAACTCATTTAATGTTTTGATTGTATATTTTTGACAACATTTTCAACTTAACCTGAGCAAAGACATTCCTTCCCAAACTCAGAATGGAACCCAGGAAATGGTCTCAAAAACGCAACCTGATCTCGGAGATGATACGGTGTTCTCCGTGTTTTTCATGCAACTCATGCTGCACGTGCTGTTCACAAGGACCAGCCCTATAAAATACACCCCCAAACCTGGTTGAAACATTCACATTACAACGTCCGCTGGATGCCGCGACTCACGACAGCTCAGAGGAACCAGGCGCTAGGAAGACTTGAAACTGGCCACACTGCACAAGCCGTTGCCAATAACTTTGAAATCAACGTTCGGACAATCTACTGGCTGCAGCAACGTTTCCGGGCCACCAACACCACAAATGATCGGCCCCTTACTGGCAGACCAAAGGTGACCACAAGATGACAAGACCGCCATGTTGTGCGACAGCATGTACAGAATCCCTTCATGCAGGCATCCGAAACAGCACGCCAGACAGTGGGAACACACGGAAGACCAATCAGTACTGATACAGTACGCCAACGTCTTAACAGCGGGAACCTCAATTGCCGTAGACCTTACCGTGGACCTATCCTCACCCCTCGCCATCGGCGTGAACGCCTACCGTTTGCCCTAAAACACCAAAACTGGCGATACAGGCAATGGAGAACTGTTCTGTTCACAGATGAGAGTCGGTACTGCGTATCAACTGCAGATGGCAAAACAAGAATATGGCGACGACGTGGCCAGCGTTACTCAGACCAATGTGTTATGGAAAGAGACTCATGGGGAGGTGCAAGCATCATGGTATGGGATGGAATAGGCCTGAGCCAGAGAGTGGTGTCCTGTGGTGTTCCAGAACCTTGGTCCAGGGAGAGGAGGTGGCATCACAGCGGTGCGCTACATCGACCAAGTTCTCAGACCCCACGTCATATCACATTTTGCACGTCATCGGAACAACATTTTCCAGCATGATAACGCCCGGACCCATACAGCCAGAGCTACACGGGACTTCCTACAGCAGAACGGTGTCAACATTATGCAGTGGCCAGCCCTTAGTCCTGATTTAAACCCAATTGAACATCTTTGGGTTGAAATTCAGAGGAGACTGAATAATGCCATACCAAGGCCGAACACAGCCTATTTATTGCGCCAGGCCTTTCTCAGAGTGTGGTTCCAGGTGCCAATGGCCTTCATCAATCAATGGGTGCACTCTATGCATAGACGCTGTGCTGCAGTTATTGCCGCTCGTGGTGGTCACACTAGATACTGAAGTCAAGAGTCTGAATGGACTGCAAACGTTCACGTAATGTCTTGGAATTGTGCTGAGTTATTCATTGTTGTGTCAGGATATTGTACACAAAAATGCTTTTGATCCGCTTATTATGTCCATTTCTGTAATGATTTGATTACAGTGCCTATCTTATTTTGAATATGTACTGACGTTTCTTTTGCTGCTGAGTATAGTTGGGCAGGTCCGTTGTGTCAAAACAAAGCTATACAGTAAAACACGTCATGTTGTAGAGATACTAAACAATTTTCCCTTCTATATCGCTTCAAAACATTACCTGGACACAGATTAGTGATGCTGGATTGTTGTGCATACATGTGAAATATCACCCTTCTGAACGCCTTTGATAGAGCAAAAGTAATCTAACATGAAGTTTTTATGATGCTACTGATTGTAAAATGTCAGTGAGTGAGATGTTAAAGGTCCCATAATTCATAAATCCCATTCAAAGTAAACAAATCTGTGGCTCGAAATCAAACTAACGTAATCACGCGTCGTTTATGTGATTACAGTGGGGGAGTACAAATGTCTATTATTATAGTATGACCAGAAATTATTGAGAATTTTAGGAATATGTTTAATTGGATTTCTAGTATTTATAAACAACCTTGACCAGCTATCAAGTGCTTGGTTTCATTCAAGAGAGACAACTCCGTTAATCCTTTTTCATTAGTTTGTGAAGAGTTATCCCCCTTTGTTTACTTGCTAGCAGACGACATTTTCAGTGATCCTCAGTATGGATGATTTAGAGAAGAGGAAGTTGATTTTGGAGTATTATAACAAGAACATCAGATCAGCTAAAGTGATTTCAAGTAGAACAGGCATCCCTTTGTCCACTGTTTATCGTGTTTTGAAAAATATTGCAAATGGATATGACATTGAGCACCAGGGAGGCGCAGACCGTAGGCCCAGAAAATTGACTGTCGGTGACAGGAGGCGGCTTGGTATTCTTGTTTCTAAAAACAAACGAAGGAGTTCAGAAAACTTAAGGCTGGATATGATTGATAGAGGAACTGTGGCTGTCTGTAAGGAGACAATTAGAACTGAGCTGCATGCAATGGGTTGGCAGAAAAGTCGAGGAATTCCATCACCGATCATGAAACCTGAACAAAAGGAGCGAAGGTTGAACTGGTGCTTACAGCATAGAAATTTTAACTGGGACAATGTGATTTTCTCAGATGAAAGTTCTGTGTGGCTGTTTCCTAATACACTGAAATTCTGAACAAAAAACCCCTGAAAAACCTTTGTATCAGCGCCTAATGTACAGTACGAAATTTTAACGTTTGGGGTGGCATATCTGTGTTAGGGGCAACGCCCCTCTGTGTATTTGAAGGGAATATGAACAGTGGGCGGTACACAGATATTCTCGAGGGACATTTACTTTCATCTGCTCACGTGTTCTATGGAAATGTTTTGATTTTCCAGCAGGACAACCCAAAACATCGTTCAAAGCATTCACAGGCCTGGTGTCGGACCAAAAATATGACATTATTAGATTGGCCAAGCTATAACCCTGACCTAAATCCAATAGAAAATGTTTGGGGACTTATGAAGGAAAGTTTCAATAAGAGAAATCTGACAAATATTGTTGAAATGAAAGAAGAGGTGGTCCGATATTGGGACAGCATGGACCACGACTTTCTAACTTCTTTGATCAGAAGTATGCCCCGCCGTATTGAAGCCTGCATTGCTGCCTATGGTGACTTGACAAAATACTAACTGTTCACCTGTCTTTGAATCTGGAGTTATGTTCTGCTAATATTCACATTTAATACGCGAGTAATGAGTAAAAAAAAAAATTACAATCTTAAATTCTCAATAATTGCTGGTTGTACTGTAGTAGGTATTATCTCTCATTCGCGGCAAGGCGTTAGTGATGCGTTGTTCAGCCAATAGAAGCGCAGCGCTGCCCAGCGTATCGCCTAAACAACGCCGTGTGACCGTGGGTAAAAAATAATGTTTATGTTTTTTTGAGTCAGGTGTATAGCAACGGGAAGAGAATGACATCATGGAATATTTATAAATTAACTGGTTTAATTCGGTTTTAATTTTAACTATAAAACCATTTGATAATGAGTTGAGGGTATCACTTCCTGACTTCATTTAGAGGACAGCATTTTGTTTCAACAAGTTCAAGAAACGAAAAGTTTAGTCAGTGGCGGATCCAGAGGGGGGTATGTGTGTGTGGCAGGGGTTCGGACCCCCAACCCCCTGAAACACACACACACACCTTGAAAATTTCTGGATCCGCCTATGTTAGTGAACATTATGTTTATATACTAAATTTTTACATCATTACTACACAGATGTTTATCAACTTTATTCGCTCACATACCGAAACATGCGTTCATTATTACCTACAAGCTATATGATGATGTATAAAAGTCGTTATTACGAGATTAAAAAGTCGTTATTGCGACATTTAAAAGTCGTTATAACGAGACAATAAGTCGTTATTACGAGAATTTCTTCTTCTTCTTTTTTTTATACGCAAATGTCCCTTCGGGAGCGTCGTATGCTGGAGATCGCTTGTCACGCCAAAAGTTCGCGTTCCATACTAACGCAGCCTCTTCTGCAAACTTCAAGCAGCGACGCTGTAGGGAGCATCCGTTTTCCAAGAGTTGTCGTCCTTGACAAACGCTGCAGTACGAAAAGAGCTACCAACAGTAGCACTATACTATTGACCAAATTTAGATATATTTCACTGGGTATTTCCAAGAATATGATTCCCGGTTTGCGTTGAAGGTTTGTTGTGGTAACCTATCGCTCACTTCATTTCTGATTAATTTAACTTCTACGGTCCCAAGCATCCCAAGAAAGTTTCACGAGGAGTTTATCATCCACACAACTCGACTGACTGTCCTGAGCCTGAATTGACAAAGGCCAAAGGGGTCTGCTTGGTGAGCAGAAGGTCTATGGGTCGATTCCTTTCAAATGATGTAAGGTCAAAGATATTATTTTGCCCCGTTTGTCGGCGTATGTAAAACTATGACTGTCGGAATACTGTGTCCGAGATAACCAACCACGCTGAACTGAGACTTACCAAAGAAAACAAGCAGAAGGCTCCCAAACTATTAGAATATGTAGATACTTTGAATAGAATTAGCCACTCATATAACAAAGAAATATACAGTCCCTATAATGATAAGAATACAACACATCTTCTCAAAACGGCCATCAAGGTACTGTCACTGACAGGTCATGGCACTATATAAAAGGATGGCAGTTTTTTTGCATTATCTAAGGCCCTGTGGAACCAGACACAGTGAATCACCTAGTGTGTAACCATGGAATGCAGTACCATTCAAGAAACTTGTTAATCTGTCTATGCTAATTGTGATAAAAATGTCTAACCATGAAGTGAAAAGGTATGGCCTTGTGTTTATATTCCTGACCTTGTGAAGTTGTCTCTTGATAATGATATCGTTTTCAGTGGATTTTAGTCCAAATATCAACACAATTATTAGCTGAGCTTACCAGAACAGTTACCAGATATACTGTCTATAGTTACAGACTGTGATATTATGTAGAGGTGTGACGATACAGAAAGTTCACAATACGATACGATTCGATGCATATCACAATATGCTTTCTTTAGTTATTTTCTTTAAAAAATCATATTTTAATAGCAAGAAATTTTGACATAACCGTCAATATCTAATGAAAATTAACAATTTTTAGGTCAATGATACATATCACGATACAAAAAAAACGTGTATCGATATATTTATCATCAGGAAAGTATCACGATTATCGATACTATGATATATCATCACAGCTCTATTATTATGTCCTCGTAACTTTTAATCACGTAAAACTTTTTGTGTAGCCGCAGTAAGTTTTACTGCATATTTCCTTCTTTGTTGATATTTACAGAGCTTAACAGAATCATGTCCATCACAATGTGGTACATGACAGTGGTCCTGTTGTGTTCAGTGGTTCAGCACTGCCACACTGAAGTCAGGATGGATACAGATGACTGGATCGATCCATATGACATGGTAAACTTCAACCATGACACTATGACAATGAAGGGGAAACAAGAGGTAGGCTAAATCAGCATTTGCATACATACTATTGATCAGCTACCTTTCCTTTCAATGTACATGATTTGTGTGTTATATTCACAATGAAAAGATTTCAAAGTAATATAAGTTTGCTAGCCAGAGGACAGTAAGTTCCACAAAGGACTACAGCCACACTTGTGGACTACCAGTGTTACCATTATGTAAATGACAACTCTGTATCAAATCATTTTTCTGGACTGGTGAGATTTAAATAAATTTTAAATGTAAATTTAAATGTAAATAAATATCTACCCTGAGTTGACAATATTGTGAAAAAAGTTTTGACAATGATGTCAGATTTGCTGGTCGTTGAATGGATAACAGTTACATTTGAAATATTGACAGTCACATACAATAACTTCATTTTCTTTGTAGTACAGTAAATTTTGTTTATAACGAACATGGTTAAACCAAACACGTTTATTACGAACTGACAGATATAACTGCCACTTGCTATATATTTTAGTACTGTGCGTATAATGAACGAAGGTTATAACAAGCTAAACTTAGTGATCCCTGTATGTAATGATTGTAGTTTATTGTGCATGGGTAGTATAAGATAACTGGAATATAACTCATCACATTTAACAATATACGTAGATGAACACTTTCAGTCATTTCACTGACACAGTGATAGGGTATTTATTATTTTAGAATATATTTACAAAAGTATATTCTCGTGAGAATGGAAGTTACATTTTGATGTTTTTTGTAAAAGAATTCTTGCCAGTCTATGAGACAAGTCTCTGCTCTGAACTCAGGTGATGCATCTAAATGAAAAGTGACAACGTTTACACACACATTTCCATCACACAAGCTCATCACATATACACATACAAGACATCACATCACCTCTCACCTTCACTGCTGCAACTTTTTCTCATTTTTATTGGTATTTATAAAACTTCCCTGTTTTTCATAAAGGGTGGTACACCACAGGCAAACCACAATCAAGATCAAGGTCAAAAACAGATCCCAAAGAAAGATGAATCAATCACCCAAGAGACAGAGTCAGAAGCCTCCAAAATAGTGGAGGATGCTGAGCGATCAAAGGGAGATAATCCTGGTACCTGCTCCCAGCCACCTTCCCCCTGTCCAGCTTTGTTTAGGCAGTATGTGAAGTCACTGCTGTTTCACATGAAGGGAAAGGTAAAATGTAGTGTTATTACGTGGGATGGAGGGGGAAGGGAATTGAAATTTACTCTTCCTAAGTGTTGTAGCATCATGCCACAAGGTTCATTATGAAAACTTTATTCACCTTAAATTTCTCAATATGCAAAGCCAGATTTAGGTTAAGGAAAAAGTCGTCAAACATACTTTCTAACTCTACTACTTTATGCCTTTGTATTGTAAAATTATTGTCCTCCTGAGAGGGTATGTAAGACCCAAAATTTTCAAAGTCAATTTAAACTTACCAGGATTTTTATACATAGTATTCTTGTTATTTTAATTTTGGCTAACATTTCTTCAGCCAGCAGCTGAAGGGATGGTGTAAATCCAACTAGGGTCCATGCAGGTAGCAAAGATACTGTAAGTCCCCATGGTCCTTAGTATGGTGATCTACCTTCTGTTGTTGGCGATCTATAGCCTGTTTTTATATTGTATTGTCCTAATAGTGCTATTAGTTTTAACTTTCCACGTAAGTTTTAATTCTAATTGTGATATTCTAGTTGTTTTTCTGTCCTTTGACGACAGGTTTATATAATATGCACATGTTCCATTTCAATGTCAAATATGTTCTCGTCACGATATGGCTGAAATATTGCCGATGTGACGTTAATTCTTAACTCACTCACTCACTCACTTTATGCATTTCTACAGAGATCTAGACTACTTGAACTTTGAAATAAATGGGAAGTTCTTCTATTTTTAAGGTTGCCTCCGGTGTGGAAGAGCTCAATATACGAGTAAAGGTCAGTGCAACTGAGGTCGAGTACCTGGAACAGTACACCTCCTCGTCATCAGAACAGAACTTTCACCGAGTCCATGAGATCCTCAGCTCAATGGTGCAGCATGTGTCTGAGGTTTCACAAGATGATCCATCCGTACGCAGGCTGTGGATCGAAAATGTCATTGGGATGCAAGTTGAAAAGTTTGTTATGGTCAGTTTTGAAGTTGACAAATGCTGTTGCATCTCAATGTGTCAATAGAATGTACTTATTGTTAAGGGTGTAATTATTCATCCAATCACTGTATGCATCTTCATACTATTTGCAATTCATGTATCAAATCAAAACCATAGATGTACATGAACATACAGTGAAATTTGTCTGAACCGGCACCCCACGGGACCGAAATAAAATGCTGGTTTAGACAGGGTGCCGGATTAGACAGTGACGATCGTTGTCCAGCATGGCTGTCATTTACACTCAATCTCTTTATCTTTATAATGCCTTTTGATTCACTGCGCAATCACTACTTCCTGATTATGTAGCGTGCCAAGAGGATTAATTAGTGTATTAGATTAAGGGACCTTGATTGGACTGCTCATACCCATGCCAGTTTAGACAGTGTTATTTACAGTTAAAATTGCTTGTTGGGACCGGAAAGCCGTGCCGGATTGGACAATGATTTAATGACCGTAATATCTTTGTAAAATGGCGGAACCAAAATTTTATGCCAGTTTGGACAGTGTGCTGGATTAGACAGGTGCCGGTGTTAGCAGGTTTTACTGTATTTTGCAGACGTCTCTTTGGTGTCCAACAAACTAAGATGTTTAAAACAAATTGGAGACCATCAAGTTCATGCTCATTCATTCAAATACTGTCAATTATAACTATTACATACCAAATTTGAGTGTCATAAGATGACCGGTTATTGCTGTGACAAATCAAAACTGTCAACATGGGCGTTCCATATTTTACATCAATCACTTAACTACAATATTGTATTCGTGAATAATTATTCGTATTCGTTACCCAATATTCATGATACGTATCATATTCACCACATAGTGTATTCGTTGCAGCCCTAGTCACATACAATAACTTCATTTTCTTTTTAGTACAGTAAATTTTGTTTATAACGAACATGGTTAAACCAACCACGTTTATTACCAACTGACAGATATAACTGCCACTTGCAATATATTGTAGTACTATGCGTATAATGAGCGAAGGTTATAACAAGCTAAACTTAGTGATCCCTGTATGTTATGATTGTATTTTATTATGCATGGGTAGTGTAAGATAACTGGAATATAACTCATCACATTTAACATTATACGTAGATGAACAGTTTCAGTCATTTCACTGACACAGTGATAGGGTATTTATTATTTTAGAATATATTTACAACAGTATATTCTCGTGAGAATGGAAGTTACATTTTGATGTTATTTGTAAAATAATTCTTGCCAGTCTATGAGACAAGTCTCTGCTCTGAACGCAGGTGATGCATCTTAATGAAAAGTGACGTTTACACATACATTTCCATCACACAAGCCCATCACATATACACATATAAGACATCACATCACCTCTTACCTTCACTGCTGCAACCTTTTCTCATTTTTATTGGTATTTATAAAACTTTCCTGTTTTTCACAAAGGGTGGTACACCACAGGCAAACCACAATCAAGATCAAGGTCAAAGACAGGTCCCAAAGAAAGATGAATCAATCACCCAAGAGACAGAGTCAGAAGCATCCAAAATGGTGGAGGATGCTGAGCGATCAAAGGGAGATAATCCTGGTACCTGCTCCCAGCCACCTTCCCCCTGTCCAGCTTTGTTTAGGCAGTATGTGAAGTCACTGCTGTTTCACATGAAGGGAAAGGTAACATGTAGTGTTATTACGTGGGATGGAGGGGGAAGGGAATTGAAATTTACTCTTCCTGAGTGTTGTAGCATATTGCCACAAGGTGCATTATGAAAACTTTATTCACCTTAAATTTCTCAATATGCAAAGCCAGATTAAGGTTAAGGAAAAAGTTGTCAAACATACTTTCTAACTCTACTACTTTATGCCTTTGTATTGTAAAATTATTGTCCTCCTGAGAGGGTATGTAAGACCCAAAATTTTCAAAGTCAATTTAAACTTACCAGGATTTTAAATCGTAGTATTCTTGTTATTTTAATTTTGGCTAACATTTCTTACAATCGCCAGCAGCTGTAGGGATGGTGTAAATCCAACTAGGGTCCATGCAGGTAGCAAAGGTACTGTAAGTACTCATGGTCCCTAGTATGGTGATCTACCTTCTGTTGTTGGCGATCTATAGCCTGTTTTTATATTGCATTGTCCCAATAGTGCTATTAGTTTTAATTTTCCTTGCTAGTTTTAATTCTAATTGTGATATTCTAGTTGTTTTCTGTCCTTTGACGACACATTTATATAATATACACATGTTCCAGTTCAATGTCAAATATGTTCTCATCACGATATGGCTGAAATATTGCCGATGTGACGTTAATTCTTAACTCACTCACTCACTTACTTGATGCATTTCTACAGAGATCTAGACTATTTGAACTTTGAAATAAATGGGAAGTTCTTCTATTTTTAAGGTTGCCTCTGGTGTGGAAGAGCTCAATATACGAGTAAAGGTCAGTGCAACTGAGGTCGAGTACCTGGAACAGTACACCTCCTCGTCATCAGAACAGAACTTTCACCGAGTCCATGAGATCCTCAGCTCAATGGTGCAGCATGTGTCTGAGGTTTCACAAGATGATCCATCTGTACGCAGGCTGTGGATCGAAAATGTCATTGGGATGCAAGTTGAAAAGTTTGTTATGGTCAGTTTTGAAGTTGACAAATGCTGTTGCATCTCAATGTGTCAATAGAATGTACTTATTGTTAAGGGTGTAATTATTCATCCAATCACTGTATGCATCTTCATACTATTTGCAATTCATGTATCAAATCAAAACCATAGATGTACATGAACATACAGTGAAATTTGTCTGAACCGCACCCCACGGGACCCGAAATAAAATGCTGGTTTAGACAGGGTGCGGATTAGACAGTGACGATCGTTGTCCAGCATGGCTGCCATTTACACTCAATCTCTTTATCTTTATAATGCCTTTTGATTCACTGCTCAATCACTACTTCCTGATTATGTAGCGTGCAAGAGGATTAATTAGTGTATTAGATTAAGGGACCTTGATTGGACTGCTCATACCCATGCCAGTTTAGACAGTGTTATTTACAGTTAAAATTGCTTGTTGGGACCGGAAAGCCGTGCCGGATTGGACAATGATTTAATGACCGTAATATCTTTGTAAAATGGCGGAACCAAAATTTTATGCCAGTTTGGACAGTGTGCTGGATTAGACAGGTGCCGGTGTTAGCAGGTTTTACTGTATTTTGCAGACGTCTCTTTGGTGTCCAACAAACTAAGATGTTTAAAACAAATTGGAGACCATCAAGTTCATGCTCATTCATTCAAAATGTTTTTGTCCTATGTGAAGCTTTGCTGTATTATGTTTGGAACTTGTTTTGTGGATCTTAGGCTCAGAGTCAGAAAACTTGACAGTTAAACTTCATTTTCAAGGTTAATACTGACTAAGTGAAAATCTTGTATCCTCAAAGTAACTAATATTTTCTTACTAACAGTATTTCCAGCATGCTCAGCACACAATTCACTTCATACATCAAACTTCAAAGGTCTTATCACTGATTTCATTACAAGACTTAAACATGTTTACTGTAAACAATATGATTATATACACAGGTGAAGGACCTACAATTACAATGTTACAGTGAATAGAGGGGGTGGTAGGCTAGTGTTTAAAGCATTTACGTGTCTCCAAGAAGAAGGGGTTGGTAACCTCGGGTTAAAGCATTGACTTCCTACCTTAGAGAAAAGGGTTTTCTTAAGCAAGTGGTTGTAGCATTCCCATATTGAAATGGATAGAAGTGATGCCAAGAGGTTGAAACAATAACTATTACATTAGGAACAAAGGCTAGTAGGCTAGTTGTTGAAGCATTCACTTATCACAATAAATGGAAGGGGTTGAAAGCCTAAGGGCTGAAGTATTGACATGTCCGGGTGGGAAGTAATCTAGAACATTGTATTTCATGTGTTATTGTATACCATAATACAGGCAGTGTACATGTATGTTACAGTTCGCTCTTCTGGCAGCTGCGTTGGTCACTGGAATGTTGGTTGCTGCCCGACTACACTTTTCCTGGAAGAAGCTGTCTATGAAACTTATTTTTGTTTTGTTTGTCTTGAGTACTGTCTGGCAGTGGGTTGAACTATACAAGGTGAGTTGTTAAGGAGTGGCAAAATCAATTGACATTTTGTTAAAAGGATTATGATTATGAGATTCCTATGGGTGCAGTGATACAGCAATGCATGATATATGTCTAGATACACTGGGCATGAAATGATGCATAGCTCGACTCCCCAGAATTACAACAGATAGGCCATGAACAGAAATGCAGATTAGTGAAAATATGGCATCAGGTTGTTTTTTGTCATGACTGACCAGTCAATCGGTCAACCACTTGTTTCAGATCGAAGAGGCAAAGCAGCACATGGCAATCATGAAGGAAATGCCAGAAGGATGTCGTAAGCGAGAGAGGGATGAGGACTTCATGTCCACAGTTATGAGAACACTTTCTTCAACTTTTACATTTGAGAAGGATGATTGCTTAAAATACTATGAGCATCACCTGATTGCACCTTTATGGAGAGCCACCCCCACGCAGGTATGCATGTGTGTACCACTTTGCCCAATGCTAGATGATAACCCACACCAATATATATAGGTGGTATACCAAATTTATGTATGTGGCATACCCAATTGCCCCATATTGGCAGCTAGCCTTCATTCACATGTGTAAATGGTAGACCAGATTGCCCACTGGTAGAGGGTCGCCCTCACTGATGTACATAATTGGTAGTCCAGATTGTCATCATCAATTTAACTTTATAATCACTTAGGTGTATGTATGAAGCTATATTAATTGATAGTCTCTTTTCATTCACAGGCACTGTCAAGAACATTTATCCGTTTCTTTGTCAGCCCATTGCAAGACATAGGTGAGGCATTGCGAGAATTCTTGGTAGGATTACTGAAAGATCTTCCAGCTCAGCTTTGGCCTGTGGCTTTAGGAGGAGTGGCCCTCTTCTTCTTCCTCTTCCTGTTTATGTATTTCCGCTACAGTGTCAGGCTGCCATTTTGGCTTCTTTCCATTGAGCCAGGACAAAGGGAGGATAACTCTAATGTTCAGTTAGCATTACAAGAACAGGGAAAAGAGGTAAGCTCTGATTCAGCTCCATCTAAAGCATATAACTTTCACTACTCTCTTAGTATAATGAGACACTATGTTGCTGACATTAATAAAGGTTACCTTTTGTCTTGTTAAACTGTGTAGAACATGATGAAAAGGATTTTTGACAGTAGAGATGTTAACCATGCCTGGATTTGTTGATCTGTGGTTTTAATCCATTATTCAATCAATATTGATCCTTGGCTTGTTAACACCACACAGATACTGCTTGGTTACTCCAAACTGATAAACATCTGTAACTTGTGTCACTGTAGATATTCCTCTCACAGTGAACGTGATTCACCTAAGTTGTGTATGACATGTTTGATCCCACCATTCTTCAGATGGACATTTTGTTTCAAACATTGGTATATATTACCATTTCAGCTAAAAGCACTAAAAGAGGCCCATAGCAGTCAAATGAACGAGATTATGGATGTTTTGAAAAAAGACCAACAAGCCCTGGAGCAACAGTTAGCCAATCAGGAGACCATTCTGTCTTTACCTGATGTAAGGAGAATGGTGCAGGTGCCCCCTGAGAAACAGGGGGCAGAGGTGATGGCAAGTCGCTCTTACCCGATGATTGCTGGTGGTGATAGAAAGCCAGATTTGACAGGAGTAGAGGATCAGAGCAATCAAGTATTTTGTGCAGCTGGTGGACCCGAACCTCAAGAACAACTGAATATTTCTGGAGACTCGGAGATAAAAAATGTTCAGTTAGCGTTACAAGAACAGGGAAAAGAGGTAAGCTCTGGTTCAGCTCCATCTAAAGCATATAACTTTCACTACTCTCTTAGTATAAGGAGACACTATGTTGCTGACCATAATAAAGGTTACCTTCTCATCTTGTTAAACTGTGTACAACATGATGAAAAGGTTTTTGACAGTAGAGATGTTAACTATGCCTGGATTTGTTTATCTGTGGTTTTAATCCATTATTCAAGTATTCAATCAATATTGATCCTTGGCTTGTTAACACCACACAGATACTCCTTGGTTACTCCAAACTGATAAACATCTGTAATTTGTGTCACTGTAGATATTCCTCTCACAGTGAACGTGATTCACCCAAGTTGTGTATGACATGTTTGATCCCACCATTCTTCAGATGGACATTTTGTTTCAAACATTGGTATATATTACCATTTCAGCTAAAAGCACTAAAAGAGGCCCATAGCAGTCAAATGAACAAGATTATGGATGTTTTGAAAAAAGACCCACAAGCCCTGGAGCAACAGTTAGCCAATCAGGAGACCATTCTGTCTTTACCTGATGTAAGGAGAATGGTGCAGGTGCCCCCTGAGAAACAGGGGGCAGAGGTGATGGCAAGTCGCTCTTACCCGATGATTGCTGGTGGTGATAGAAAGCCAGATTTGACAGGAGTAGAGGATCAGAGCAATCAAGTAATTTGTGCAGCTGGTGGACCCGAACCTCAAGAACAACTGAATATTTCTGGAGACTCGAGATAAAAGATGATTTGAAACTGAAGCCTTCAGATACAGAATCATTTGAGGAAATCACTATCGAAAACATTGGTCCAAGGGACAGTTAATAAGGTGTTCATGTTTAGTAGTTTTTGCTGTTATTATTAACACATTACACGTGTCATCATGACATTTTACACTGTACAAGTGGCTTGAGAATGAAATTTTCAGACAATTGGGTCAGATAAAATTAGGATTCTGTCTCCCCCTGATGAAGTATTACAGTAATACATCAGGACTGAAATATAGAAACTGAAGCTTGAGTTTGGTGGCAAGACAATGTCAATCAGGCTCTATGAATGGAACCTCATCTTAAAGGACTCATCATTCATTTAAATATTTGCTCTCACTTAGTGGGTATATGTTTAATGATTTCATGAAATCTTGCCTCATTTAGTATCGTAGTACTGTATATTTATTGACAAAACCTTTTAAAAACCCAGATTCACAGGTAAAATTGGTTCCCAGTAACCTGTGCCTGTCTTATGAGGCAACTAAACAACTTGATAGTCAAGCTTAGTGACTTATTTTATTGCTTTCAATCGGTCATATATTGCAGTTGCTTGGATCTGTTCCTATGCAGTGAATCACAGGAGTGTTAGGTCTACACTTGGGTTATTTTTTCAAGCTTCTGTGTATAGAGTGGATCAAGTTCAGTCAAGACAGTTGATCATTGCTGATCCTTTAGTCACTTGTTTGTTTGGTTAAAACTAAGCTACATACATCCCGTGATATTGCTGAAATTTTGCTTGCTAGAAGACAATATATCTGTATTCACTCAGTTTTACATAAGAAACATAAGTGGTCTCTTAGAGTATTGCTGGTTTGATGAAAAAAATTAGAAAATTAAAAAGATAAGAGACTCAGTTGCATTGCACGATGTGAGGTTCTGAGGCATCAGATCCATGATTCAAAATAATACATTGTTACAAAAAGGCAAAACAGTTTGAACTTTTAGTGATATGGTTATAGAATTACTTAAGATGACAAATTGTCACTCTTGGCTTTAGTCAACTGTACAGTGTGGAGAGTCTTGCAATGATACTTCTAGTGTGTTAATATTGTAAGCAACCTTTGTGTTATTGGATGAATATAATATATTCTTTTTCAAACACAACAAAAACAATGCCTGTTATTACATTTTTGGAAACATTTCAATCTTGAAGTGCATTTTGATTGTCTTTCAATCTGTCTGTGATAACCTCCTAAGAAACCCAGTTTCTCTCTGTGTCAACATCAGTGTCAAAACCTCAGTCCTCTCTGAGCATAGTTGATGCAGGGTGCCGTTGTTCAGAGTGAACAAGAATAGAACCATACAAACAGGAATGGAATTGTGTACAGGAACTGACTTTGGAACAGGTCCCCTTTCCACCAAGCAATGTTGCTGCTCAGGTGATCAGAACTCCCATACTTAACATAGGCTTTTGACAGACGTAGCACTAAGGTTGTTTTGTACAACAGCGCCAAGGAATATTGTCTGTGTTGTACATGTAATGGTTACCTTGGAGTTGATATTATTTCATGGTGCTGTCAACCTGTGTCAACCTGTGAGACAAGGATGTCTGAGCTGTTAAGGCCAGTTCAACCTGGATCCTTCCGAATATGTTGTGTATGAAATGGTTACTTTAGAGTGAATGTTGTTTTACTTGTATTTATCCATATTCAGACAGAATCATGCTTGTGTTTTAACATACACAAATGGGTGTCGTTTGAATTGTCCATTGTTACATTTCAGTGGGGAACAAGTGAAAATTATTCCTCCCTGTCCGACTGCCTTGAAGTAACTTCTGAACATATTATCATCTGTATTTTGATAGTCAGTGAAGTGGTGCTGAATTAAAACATTATTTGGCTTAACAGCAGATTGCAAGTAAATATCATTTTGTCTTAAAATTGCTGTTATCAGCTTCCATATTTTCAAGTGGAAAGCTTCCATCTGATTGGTTCATCTCAGGATTAGGACCAATGGAAGTGTTCAAGAAAAAAAGATAGTTTGTCTTTCTACTACAGATGGTATTTACAAATGTGTGACTGCAACTTTCAAAACAGCTTGGATACACTATGAGTCAGCAGATCGCCAGGCTTTTTTGGGAGTAAACTTATTTCAGACACTGATGCTGGAGAATCTGATATTCAGGCTGAAATCAGTGGATGACTGCCTTCACAATAGGAGTGGATGTCAACATTGTTATGTCTTGTGACCAAGTGATACAAGGTGATGGAGTGGTATTATCTTGTTCATGGAGCTGAAGGTCCAAGTGGTCTGATGTCCTTTCCTGCTTATCACACACATGCCTTCAGTCAAGCAGCAACCTTCAAGCCAACTGTGTTTGTTATGTTTTCATCTATCCGTGAAGATCTGGGTTAGAATTCAGTAACCCATGCTTGTCGTGAAAGGTGACTAACGGGATCGGGTGGTCAGCCATGCTGACTTGTTTGACACATGTAATCATATCCCAATTGCATAGATCAATGCTCATGCTGTTGATCACTCGATTGTCTGGTCCAGACTCGATTGTTTACAGACTGCAGCCAAATAGCTGGAATATTGCTGAGTGTGGTGTAAAACTATACTCACTCACTGTTTTCATCTATATAACTGCTGCCTGTAAATAAATGAATCTGGACAAGTCAAACTGGTTCTCTCCATGGGGGTGCACTTGCAGTATTCCAGCAATATTAAGGCAGAAGAATAATGACAATTAGTACAAGGTTTGTACAAATGATTCTAAATCAGCCATTGCCGACCACATCAAATCCCATCCTAACCACACCATCAAATGGGACAAGACCAAAACCATAGTAAAGAACCAGTCAGACTACAAAATTCGTAAACTTTTGGAAGCAGTACACATCAAGAAGATAGGACCCGCCCTCAACAGAGATGAAGGATACTACACACCATCACTTGATAAAGTAATCAATAATATTTCTTGTGTACATTACCTGTTTCATTTCAACTATGTATATCAACCCCATCCATTGTATAAACATCCACCTGGCTTCCTATCAGTTGTATAAGCTCTAATTCAGTCCTTGTATGTCACCCTACTGACTGACTGAGTTTTGGTTTTCAGCGCTTTTGGCAATATTCCACCAACATCACGGCGGGGGACACCAGAAATGGGCTTCACACATTGTACCCATGTGGGAATTCAAACCCGGGTCATCTGCGTGACAAGTCAACGCTTTAACCACTAGGCTACCCCACCGCCCCGTCACCCTACTTGCTTCCTATCAGTTTACTCAAACTCTCATACCAACCTTGTACATAAACCTCATCTATTGTATAAACAACTCATTCCTATCTACTGTAACAACAACTCCTGTATATATTCTCTCAATTTGTTACTCATGTATCACTTGCTTGACAACGACATTAGAACCTATGTCGAAACGTCGCCTCCACAGAATATAAGGAGTTGTATATCCATAATAATTGTCATTATTCTTCATCAACTCAACTTCTAAAATGCCCATCAAAGAAGTAATATCAAGGCAGACCATAAGTAACTGAAACTGGACCAGATAAACCATTAGTTGGAATTATTATGAACAAAGATACTTGCAATAAGCTAAAGGAAAGAGTTCCTTCTGTTCCCCCAACCCTAAACCAAACTCTAAACCTAACCCTAACTTAAACTTTGGACTTTTTAGTCATCTTGTGAGTTCTCTAGTAATTGTTGTGTTAAGTTTTGATAATAATTTTAGTATATTTATAAATATTATTTGGGATGGGGAATGGGAGGAACTCTTACCAAGCTAAATCATGGAGCCTGACCACCCAATCCATGAGTTTTATGTTCACATGGCAATCATTACTTTGACAAATACCCTCCATCTTATTTATTCTGGCATCAAAAATCACACAATACAAAATCCATGAAGATCTGGGTTAGAATTTGTCTTCATCAACACATGCTTGTTGAACCTGCTCTCCAGGTTGCATAAAGTACAGAATGTAGCTGCCAGATTGATCTGCAAAACCACCAAGCCTCTTGCCTCTGCACTGGTTACTACTCCCAGCTAGGTTAGAATACAAGATCCTTAACATGACTTTCAGCTGTCTTAACATGACATCTCCATCCTCTCTCTCTAGTCTTGTCAGAGAGTACGTTCCAACCAGAACTCTGAGATCCGCCAATCAGTCGCGCGCTCATCGTCCCGAATGCATGACTGAAGACATACAGACATTTCTCCTACTTGTCAGCTATCCTCTGGGACAATCTGCATGTGTCTCTCAAAGAATCCCCTTCAATAACCAGCTTCCCGTCTAACCTAAAACCTTTCCTGTTCAAGAAGCAGTATGACATCTAAATGAACTGTTAATTTATATATGTATGTCCGTGCCATGAGCAACCACTTGGTGATTGAATATAGGGCACTATACAAATGGACTTATTATTATTGTAAGAGGCTACTAACGGGATCGGGTAGTCAGGCTGGCTGACTTGGTTGACACATGTCATCGTATCCTACTTGTGTAGATCGATGCTCATGATATCACTGGATTGACTGGTCCAGATTATCATTTACAGAATGCCATCATATAACTGGAAAATTGCTGAGTGTGGCATTGAACAACAAACAAACACAATTAAGAAGTCAATCTGACAAAACATCTTGCATATAATATATAAACTTTATTTCAATGAAGTCTTCCTGTAACAAAATCTGAATACATCCAAAATAGACCTTATACAATAAATCTACCAAACAATACATAATCCTAACCTTTCCATCCATGGCTTATCCTTACCAAGTCGTTTGGAGATGGGAATGTTTTTATCTGTGAGTTGACATTCTCCATGACATACAGTATTTTCCTGAAAGATTCCTCTGTTTCCATGACATCCTGGGTCAAGCTGATCTGTGTCTTGATCTGGTATTTGACTAATGCAACCTTTAAGTGACCGTTACTTCACTTTTAATACATTAATCTTCTGACAGTGGCATAAATATCTTCCTTGGTATATATTTACAGTATCCTAACACTGGCAGTGTAAACATGAAGCATGTGAAGATACAGGTTTGTGATAGGATACATAGTTTGGAAAATGGATTAGTAGAAGTCTACCTGCTGCCTCATCTGAACACAATCTAGATATTTCTTAAAAGAATTCAGATGAACATGTGTTGGTATTGTTTATGTTTGTAAAACTCAAATCCATGGCGTGACTTGTATACATGTCAGGCGATCAGATCTGAGGTCTGTATAGCCAGTGTGGCACCAAGCAATGACGAAAAGAACATAGATGCTGTTTGTCTAACAAGTACTTGTATGAAGATGACATTTTGAGTAAAGATATCATCAGTCATAAGATCACATGATATGTACCATAAAAGAGTTGGCTGCCTATGTGAAAAGAAATATATATACTGATATATATAAAATCCTATCAACGAAAATGTATTATCATACAATTCTTTTTTATTGTAATGGTGAAAAATCATGGCAAGTCAGGATCAGAACGTTAGGAATTTAAAAGTGGAAGTATGAAAAACTTTTGAAAATCCTTTCCAATATCTGATTAAAAATATGTTCTTAAATATTGTGTTGAGACCAGACTTCCTGTATAAAATCAGGTTTACTGGAATACTCCACTTAACTTACTTGACAACATATATTTAAGTAACAATACATCATATTTTAATTGCTTTTCATACTCAATTAAGCACACCCAAGCCAGATTTCTTCACTGGTGCATCTGACTGCTGGGATTTATGTATGACTCTGAAATAAGCACCCTTGGGCAGGGGCCATGGGCCATTTTGCACATTACAATAAAAAATGGCCCATTAAAATTTTGATGTTTACTATTGATGCAACAGAAGTGGCCCATTCTAAATTCAGAAAATGGCTAATAATCCTGAAAATGGCCCATTGTCAAAGTTCTCTATCCCAATCCCTGCTTGGTGGGCAACATGGGAAAGACCAATTATTCTGCTCAATATTCATATTAAATAAAATCCTTACTTCTTTCAAATTCAGAGGCACATATTATGAAACTGTTATCAAAAAATTTCATCCAAGACGGGAATCTACACCTAAAAACTATTGTACATCATGCTTCTGTGTCTCTTCTAAATGTTTCATTAATGACAAAAGTTCCAAGTAGGTAAACATGTCCCAGTAATCACCCATTTTCTATTCCAAGGACATGTATCTATATTGTTCCTATTTGTTATATTTTGATAACTCACATTTTGAATTTTTTAATAACCATGCACTGTAAAGAAAGCAAATAAAGCAATATTCACTAACTCTCTCATTCTAGACTGCACCAACCCTTAAAATTAACTATGCTCAGATATGATTTGAATAAAACAATACTTTAAATAATGTCAGTTATCAGGATAAGGCATTGATCTCTTCAGAGTATGTGTGTACAGCATCGATGAAGACTTTAAGTTTGTCAGGGTTGGTTTCCTTCATTACTCCATGTCCAAGGTTGGCAATATAACGCTGAGTGCCAAACTTCTGTATCATCTCCTTGACATTGTGCCGAATCTCATCCTGAAACATCATGAGTGTTGAGTTACAGCATAGGCAGGAAGCAGTAAAATTTCAACAATTTCATAACAGTTCCTTGGGAGAGCCAACCAGACAATATGTTCCGTCATCCATGCCACAGTTGTACAGTGACACACTATTCACCAGACCACACATTATAATGATCTTATCCAGGATAGCCACTTCTAATGACAAGCATAGCCGTTTGTTGTATATTCTGCCCCAGAATCATAATGAGATTCTTTTCTCAGATAAATAATCCGCGACAGAAATTCTGTGATAATTGAATATACCAGTTACTGGGAGTGCTTACATCTGTTCCGAATACCGCCACTGGATCAAGGTTTCCTTGGAGAGTCACCTTTGTCCCAGCCAGTCGTCTGGAAAATAACACTTGTAAGTCAGGTAAACACTTCAGAATCAGCTGAAACACTGCAAGGAAATATCTCCCCCAACACAAAGTTTCCTTCAACTACTCTACTGAAATACAAAATCATTATGTCCAGTGAACTGTTTCAGTACTCTACCTCACCAACTTCAGTTCATTACAACACACCACATGACCTTGTTTAAGCAAATTTTCATTCCAGATCCTTTTCATCCAGACTCCCACCTTCCAGGTACTGACAAACACTGTCACTCAAATCGAATGTGTGAAGTTCTGTCCAGTCTAGCTGTCAGTCGAGGCCCCATTCATGCAGACCCCATACTTCTAAACGATTACCAATGAAAACAGCCACTCACCTGGCATGTGTAGGGTTCTGTGTCCAGTCGATCTGGACCACATCAAAGCCAATTGTAGCAAGCTGTTCCGTAGCGTAGTGAGCATCCTTGGCAAACACCACCTGCAATCAGCATCATGGCATCACAAGACCTATTTCCTTAAAAACGTTCAGTCTAACAATATCTTTCTCAGAAAGGAGGAACTAAACAGTTCTTTGGGGAACTTTTAATATTGCTCTGAACATTTAGAATGTCCTGCAAATCATATATTTATTTCATAAAATCTGAAAACAAAATATTTTCTTCTAGCATTTTAAGTTTATAAATATTTGTTTTAAACCCGATCCCTCAAACATCAAATGGGTGTCTCTAAAGGTGCATTCTCATGGTGCGACATGTAGTAACAACTTGTAGCATGCAACACAGTTGCAATGCAAGAACACCTAAATCATAACAATTTACAATAGTATACAACTAGTCGCAGCGGAGTTGTAAGGCATAGGATTTATCCTAATTCCTACTGCAAGTTGTAAGCTCTTGACCAATCAAATCGAAGAGTTTAGATCTTAATTCCTACTGTCCACCTCAAATCGTTTAGATCTGTGTCCACCTCAGAGTGGCGTCCCTTTGGTTAATGTTGACATCATTTTGAAGGGACAACTGAAAAATAAATCGACCTTACGCGGGAAGAAACTGAGTGGTTTATAGGTTTTTACTTCATGGAAAATACATCATGTCACCTATTCCAAAAGGACTGACATTAACACTAGCCTTTCTTCTTCACTCGACAAATCCATGTTGCCACGTCATACCAGAGAATCTTGCTAGTTGTATGCGACTTAAGAATTACACAAATAACAAAGTCGTTACGATCTTTGTTGTTACTACAAGTCGCACAGTGAGAATGCACCTTACTGTAAGCAGGATACTTGACACCTTAAATCCATGACATATATCCAAGAAGTTCACCTACCATTGGGATGAGCTCCAGCCCCTGCTGTTTAACCTCCTGCTTCACCTTGTAGGCGATGTCCTGTAGACATGGAAGCTCATACTTGGTGAAAAGTCCTGGACCAAGCTCTCCGCCGCTCGAGTCAAACACCTGCAGAATCTGTTGGACAGACGTTTGAACTTCTTACTCATAGAATATAGATGCATACATAAAGATACCAAGGTTATTGAAACAAGGATTTCCGTGAATGGAAACATAATAATATGTCAGCCATGCCTTTTGTTTGTATTTTTTTGCATTTGATGCCACATGCAATATTCCTGCAATATGGTGCTAGTCACTAAATAGTTGAGTCTGGACCAGACAGTCCACTGATTTGCATCATCGGCATTAATCTACCTAATTTGGCTACAACGTTCAGCATTGAACCAAGTCAGCACAGCTGACCACCAGGTACCTCAGAACACCTCATACAACAAGACCAATTTTAACCCCGTCTTTACAGGGGACACCGGATGTAAGTGGGGACAACTCCCACATCCACAAATGTAATGATACCAGAAAGGGTTTGTTTTGGGTCAGGTATCAAGTATCAGGCACCAGGGTAGTGATCACAGCACTAAGGTGATCTAAGTCCTACACTTTAACACTGGCTTACAATCACTGTAGCACTAAGATCGCTTTGTTTTCGCATGCTACCTACCTGAGCCCCAGCTCGAACCTGTTCCACAAGATGGCGGACAATGGCGTCTGTCAGAATCTTCAACAGTTTTTCCCTGCCTCAGGATATTCTATCAGAAATCGACGGGCTGCATTTGGATTGGGTCCTGCTCCGAGATTTTCTATCATATATTTCATCAGTGTCCACTGAAATTGTAAAACATTCTTCCTATATAATGATCAAAATTCCAATATACACCATATTTGTTTTGTAATAAACATGAATTTCTCAACATTGGTCTGAACTGTCAGTTTTAAAAATGATAACTTTGAACTTTTACAATACATATCATTAAAACAATGGAATATGAAAAGATAAAAGCTGAAAATGTCAACACTGTAGTGAAACTGTCTGGATAACTGTCCAGATTACCAAACCATTCTTATGAAGCAATATTAAAAATAATTGTTAAGAACTGATCAGCAATAAGAAAGCCCTTTAGGAGGAGAAGTGACTGGGTTCCAGTTATATCATGGTGTGTCAATAGGGGGTTCCAGTTATATCATGGTGTGTCAGTATGGGGTGTAAGCCTAAAGGTATACAGGTCTTACACTTTATGTCAGTGGTGAAACCCACGAGCACAGGCATTAAACATAATCAGGGCAAACCCAGCTCTGAACCATTGATCATAAGTTTATAACAACAATGTACAGAGAATACCGGCACCTTAGATGAAAAGGCTACCTGGGCCTCATCTGAAGCAGAGGAAAAAGAGCATACAGTACTCCAAAGGAAATCTCTAAGCAATGTGGTTCTTTCATACTGTTTGGTCTTTGTACCCCACATTTTGGAAAAAGAGTGATTATGAAAAGTCTTTACCGGAGCACCTGTGAATCCAAACAATGGCACTCTTCCTTGGAGCTTGTGTCTTGTTAGGGTGATACACTCATAGACGTAGCCAAGTTCCTTGATGATGTCAAAGTTGGGATTGAGGCGGTCAATGTCTTCCGGCTTCTTTATTGGGTCGGCAAATACAGGGCCCTGGTACACACAGACAGAAGTCATTAGCAACAGCATATTGATTTCTATAACAGATATCTGGAATTCGTGAAGTGTAGCATGATAATTCTCTGAGCCCTTTACACAACCAAGCAATCTAGGTCAGTGTGCGAAACAGCCACTGGCCCGCTAGCCCGTGGCTAGCCAGCCGGGCCAGTAAATCTCCACAGTCACAGCCCGACTGGCTAGTGAATTTTCATGGGACATTTTGTTAATATGTCACCTTCTCTGACCTATTAAGTTATAGTACACTTTTAAATCATGCGAGATTATGGTCTGATAAAAATTATTTTGTGGGCTAGTAACTTTAAGGCATAGCTAGCCCTACTGGCCAGCAAAATTTAACCAAACCTGCAGAGGTTTTCAATTCTTTGAAGAGAGTCGTCCTTGGGGTACATATTATGCATTTTCCGGCTGAAAAATGTCCTGTGACAGTTGTATCAATGTTTTTTGAATAAAAAGATTGTACAATAAATAAACTCTTTTATTTATTATACGGACCCTACCTCACGGAGTTACCTCCCTTAACGCATGCGCACCAACTGGGTAGGCTCCTAGACCCGTATCATCATTCCTTCTGCTGAATTCTCATCAGTGAACAGAATTGCGGGGAGGTGGGAAGGCCCTACCCCAAGGACAACTCTCTTCAAAGAATTGAAAACCTCTGCAGGTTTGGTTAATTCTTTTTCAGAGAGATCGTCCTTGGGGTACATATTATCCCAAAGACCGGAGGCCAGGGAGGAGGGAATTCTGTCCAAGCACACTCAAAATATAGCGATCGTATCATGGAAAAAAATTGAACAGACGCCATAACACTCACCTGTCACTCGACCCAGTTTCGCTTCCGCGAGAGGCATTATGGGAGGGGAACTGACAGGGAGGATTTGTGCTCAAAGACGACCTCTAGCATAATGAGACATTGCACGTAGTGCGAATATCAACGAAATCCGACCCACTAAGTGGCTTCTTTCATGAGAGCACCGTAGGGGGAAAACAAAAAATACCACTCACTAATCGACACAGTACTCCGTAGAGAATCGAAAGGGGGTACAGGTTCTCTGAGTGCTCACAGTAGCAGACATGTCAATAATGGAATCTTATTGTACAGCAGCGTCAAAACAAACCAATAAACCAAGACTCACTCGGTCAGGGTGGCAGGACACTGTCCACTGGAGAGAACAGTACGGCCAAAGTTTGCACGATTACGTGAATGCGTATCGAGCTGATAGTGGCGTATAACGCGTGCTTAGCGGCTCCAAATAGCGGGCGGAGCAGATCTCTTCAATGGGGAGTGCCGATGCAAAAGCTTTTGATGCGGCTACTGCCCTGACTGAGTGAGCCTTCAACCCCTCAGGGGGAGGCTTGCCCTTAGCCTGATAAGCGGCACAAATACACGATACTAGCCAGCGAGACAAAGTCTGCTTGCTCGCTGGCAGACCAGCCTTCCCGCCACCGTAACAACAGAACAGCTGGGTACCCGTGCGGATCCCCTGCGTTAGTTTGAGATAGACTTTGAGCGTCTTCACGGACATCCAACGGGTGAGTGCTCAGAGGAGTGGTCCCGATGTGGAAGGCTGGGTAAGAGTAGGAAGTTCGATAGGAGCTGTCACATGGAAGCGTGATCGACCTTCGGTCGGCAAAAAGTATCTGGGAGGCCGAATACTGACACGATCCGTGTGAAACACAGTCAGCGCGGTCGGACGACATAGCATGTAAATCGCCGACCCTTCGACCAGATGTTACCGCCACCAGAAAACAGCTTCCAGGTCAACAACTGAATGGAAATAGCCGATAGGTGTGAGAAAGTGGGACCGACAGCCAATCGAAAGCACGATCGACAAATCCCAAAGGTGGACTGGGTCGCCTGAGAGCAGGTCGAATCCGTTCAGCCAGCCAGAAAGCGCTATGTCGAGAGGGTGCTGCCCCAGAAGAGCACCATCGACAGGGTGTGAAAAGTGGAAATAAGCGGTGGAGTAGCGCGAATGGTCGGCCGCCAGGCCTTCTTCCAAACGAGCTTGCAAAACTCAATACTTTCGGGACTAAATCCGCAGAGAAAGGGATCTGCAATCCCCTATCTGAACACCAGCGCCGCGCATAGGGACCACCTATCCTCGTATCTGAGCGTTTGTCGAATCCGCACCGAAGCCAGAATTGTGTCTGCAACTGCTGCAGGAATTCCGGCGTGCCTCGAGGTTAGACCTGACAGAGGCCAAGCCACCCACTGAATCCGTGGATTTGGGTGGGGAAGCTCCGTTCTGAGTGAGAATGTCCGATCGCCAAAGGTAATAGAACAGGAGGCTGAGCCAGAAACCTGAGAATTACCGGAAACCAGCTCTGTGGCCGGCCAAAGCGGTGCCAGTAGCACAAGTAGCCGAGCTGGCTGGGTGGACAGCTGTGAAAGGACACGGGGAATGAGTGGTAACGGCGAACGCCAGAGCACTTTGCCCGTCCCAATCCAGCAGGAAGGCGTCGGCAGCCAACGCCCTGGGTCCGGTATCCGAGAGCAGAACACGGAGTCTGATGCGTCCCGCCGGGCGCAAACAGATCCACCTCGAGCGACCCGTACAACTGGGAGATTACTGTGAATATCTGCCTGTCGAGCATCCACTGCGTGCGGGGCCAGGATCCGGCGAGAGCGCATCTGCTCGCCGCGTTCTCCAGCCCCGGGAGATAAACAGGGAGTACCTGACAATCGTACTGGTCGCTCCAGAGGAGAAAGTCCCACGCTTCCCGGAGGAGCGCTGGGGACACCGTGCCTCCCTGCTTCAGGATGTACGACATGGCCGTCTGGTTGTCTAACTGAAGACGGACTACCTGGCCACGGACATGCTCTCTGAAGCGCTCGAATACCAACCGCACAGCTCTCAGTTCCAACACGTTGATGTGAAGGTGAGCTTCAGCTTCGGACCAGAGTCCGGAAGCCGTCAGACTGCCCAGAACGCCCCCCCAGCCCGTGAGGGACGCATCGGTCTGAACTGTGAGAGCTGGCGTCGGGATTTCCAAGGGGAACCCCCTGGTGAGATTCCCGACATTTGTCCACCACTGAAGGTGAGGTGTCAACCACTCGGGGACTGTGAGACTGCGCTCCAGATCCTCCGTGTGAGTCCACAGACGAGCCAAAGCTTGCTGTATGGGGCGCATCCTCAACAGCGCCACCACACTACAGAGATGCGTCGCCGCCATATGGCCCAGTAGGCGGAGCCAAGTCCGTGCTGGTGCCTGGGGCTGGGAGAGGAATGAAGAGACCATCTCCCGAACTCTGGTGACCCGGTCGGGCGACAAGGAAACGAGATCCTTGTTCGTTTGGAATCGCTCCAAGAAAAACCAAGTCCTGGGTGGGTACCAGGTCGGTTTCTTGAGGTTGATGATCCACCCCAGTCGAGTTAGAATGTCTATCACTGTGTGAGTAGCATCTTGACTTCGCTGGCTGTGTTAGTGCTCGAGCAACCAGTCGTCTAGGTAAGGGTAACAACGCCTTCCTTGCGGCGAGCTAGGGTAGCTGGGACTAACATGAGCTTGGTGAACACCCTTGGGGCAGTCGATATGCCGAAGGGGAGCACCCTGAATTGGTAATACATCCGTCGTAGAGAGAACCGAAGGTACTGCTTGAACGAGGGATGTATGGGTACATGCAGAATCACGCATCCTTTAGGTCGATTGACGTGAGCCAATCGCCGGGCTGAACAGATGAGATCACCGGCGCGCAGTGTCTCCATCTTGAAGGATGGTACTTGAGCATCGCGATTCAACCCCTTGAGGTTGAGAATCGGACGGAACCCGCCGTCTTTCTTCGGGACGAGGGAAGTACGTGGAATAAAATCCCGCCTGTTCCTCTCCGGTGGAATCGCGCTTCGATTGCGGACTTGTCCAGCAGAGCCTGAACCGTCAGCGCAATATGTCGCCCTGGCTTGACATGGCGGCACCGGAGTCGCGGCGTATGCCGGTGAAGTCGGGCGGACCTGGCTTCCACAGTGGGAGATGGCCTATGCTGACCGTGGCCAGCACCTGCGTTGTTGGTAGCCTTCTCCCATTCCGGCAGGAATAGAGAGAGGCGCCTCCCACTGGGATATGGGGTAGGAGCGGCGTGTGTGGACCCGGTAGCCCGGAGCTGACTGGGCGTGACACCGCGGCTTGAGCGGTAGCCTGATGGGTTAACGGAGGTCGGGCAGACCTCCAGCGCCCATGAAAAGGCTGGGAGCTAGTCGAGGACTGCTCCTTGCCCCTACCCTTGGCGGACCTGTTCCTCCGCCTACCCCTACCAAGCGGCCGAAGCCAGCCGGCAGACTTCGGGTGTAGGCTGCACCCGGCCGGAGGAAGGTGGCACGAGGGGCCGGGGCGAGACACCGCTGGTGCTCCAACAAGGCCTTAGAATCCTTGAAGGAGGTAGCTGCAGCGGCAGCCCCCGTATGACCTGCTGGGCTCCGGAAAAGAGTGCGGCTCCCAGACGGGAAGGGAGAGCCAGCAAGGTCTGCTGTGTTGCTGCCGAGTACCCCTGACGTCGACAGCCACAGCGGCGCATCCCATGACTGCGCACATCACCGTCGGCGCAGCAGACCGCAAAGAGTGCGCCACAGGTGAGCCTGAACTTCCGACAGCTGGCGGAATTGTACGACATCGCGGCGACATCGTCGCCAGCATGCCCCTCCGCCTCCAGGGCCGACCTCTGTATCGAGGAGAGGTAGGCCTCATGGACCACCACCGCACCTGCTGCATCGGCGTTCGGTAGACCTCCTGCGTAGGTCCGATGCGCTGCGTGCGCGAGAAGCTGCAGCAGGGCAAAAGGTGGAGTTAGGCGCCCCTTGCCGAGCAGCGGGAGCTGCTCCGAGGAAGCCGAGCCTCCCCAGGGCGACGGAGTGAAAACACATTCGTCAACGATCGGTACTACGAACAGGGAATCCTCCCCAAGCTGGTAGCGCCGCACGAGTTCAGGTAAGTCAAACCTGACTCGGGCACCAGACAAGAGGGGATCGACCACGTCCGAGACCAACGATGGCAGAATGCGGAGCTGCGTCTGTGAGGGTTGCCTAGGGGCAAACGCCTCACCAGGCAAGCGGAACTCAGTCGAGTCCACGCAACCAGCAGGCACCGCGGCCTGGGGTAGGCCCTCGGCAATTTCTCTGCCGGACCTCCCGCAAGGCGAAGCAAAACGGAAGCGCCGTCATGCTCCTCGACCTCCCGAGCTCCATTGCCTGCGGCGTCCGAGCCGAGTCAGAGGCTGGGTCTCCTCCGTAAGAGGACCCTAACCCGACCCGGTGGACTGCCTAGCGCTGGGCACCACAGGAAGGGAGGAACAGACCGACTGCTCCCGTCCAGCGCCAGCCCGGCGTCGTGGACCCTCGTCCCGAGAGAGCTGGAGGCAGGCCAGGCAGAACTGGTGCCTCCGCACTCATGGGGCGGGTGTGCGCCGGACCGGAATACCAGGAATACTCAACGGCCCTCCAGCGAGTCCCGAGAGGGGACTGGGAGCACCTCCCTCTCCGAGCAGCCGAAGCGTCCCGGATCGAAGCCAGAGGCAACGGATCGACAGACGCCTCAAGGCTGAGGGATCGAGCAGCCCGGCAGCGATCCCACCCGGACTCTCCGCCCCGTCCGAGTGGGTGAGAACTCCCTGCGGAGACCTCCAACCGACTCACGGACGAAGGACTTCATCGAGTCCATCTGCTGCTGAAACATAGACTCCATCAGTGACATGTCAAAACCACTTTCGAAGTGGCAGGAGAGGGGAAGGGCCACGGATTTTTTCCCTTTTGGAGACCGCGTTTGGTCTTTGGCGGGGAACCTGCGTCAGGTCCCCTCCGCCTCCGCGCTTCAAGGTAGAATAGTGTGTCGGCAGCCCGCCTCTTCTGGGCCGGGGGAAAAGGCCAGACAAATTGCACAGGAGTCTGCTTCATGGCCTGTCTTCTCTAGACAGGCCACGCGAACTGGAATGACTGTCGGCCCGGGATACTCCCCACAGACCGAGCAGCATGAAAAGCCTGAAACAAACACGCAAACATGTTAGGTAGCGGCAGCCAGCAGCATATAAACACGTAGAAAACATTGAAAAACTACGTGAAGGTTACCACGGAAAGTAATAGTTGGTTTTAAAAACGCAATATTACGACCACGCGGCACGCTAAACTTCCCGCCATGGCAGCGCAATACTTGCGTAAACCACGGGAAAGTTCGCGTATTAGAATTAATACAAAGTCACAATTATGAAACAACCAACTGTAAAGCTTTACTGTTCCTTGTTTTAGGCAAATAAAGACCATACATACAGGTGGTGTCTCAGACATAGTCGTTTTCTGTTTCTCTTTCAGAAAGTTCAGCTCTGTACGGCTCATGAATTTTAACGTCTGTTCATGGCAGTGACAGCAGAAGGAATGATGATACGGGTCTAGGAGCCTACCCAGTTGGTGCGCATGCGCTAAGGGAGGTAACTCCGTGAGGTAGGGTCCGTATAATAAATAAAAGAGTTTATTTATTGTACAATCTTTTTATTCAAAAAACATTGATACAACTGTCACAGGACATTTTTCAGCCGGAAAATGCATAATATGTACCCCAAGGACGATCTCTCTGAAAAAGAATGGGAATGTATTTCGCACACTGATCTAGGTTAAAGTTTATGTGACTTTTGATAAGTTACTGTGTAACTGCTAAATATATCCTTAAAAAATTCAGAGCACATAACAGCATAGCAGATAGCCGCAGATCAGTGCCTAACATATTACCTGGCTACTATTATTATGGCTGCAACGATTCGGTTCGATTCATCGAAAATCGAATCTGACACTTTAGTTACTATGATCACTATTTCGATTTGCTATTTGAATACCTATTTAAATTTTGTCTCCAATTCAAGCAGTTTCAAACGCTGAAAAAGGCGAAACATGATTGGTCCAATGAGAATTGTTGTTAGTAGACATCACCAAGTTGATGATAGTTTTCACGCTAAATAAGCCGACTCTGAGAGGTAAATGAAATCTCATGTTTTTACTTGTATGAAGAATCGAATCAAAAATGATCGAATCGAGGATCCAATATCAAAAATTGAATTGAATCGAGGTCTGGGTGAATCTTTGCAGCCCTTATTATAACAGCTAATGACAACAGGTCAGCACACATCACAGTCATGGTCAACTGGACACTGCGTTAAAGTTCTATTTGATATTACTGGGAAGCATACTGATCTAAAAAAAGCAGAAATGATCTACCATGAATACATGTGGCCACTTTAAGGTATAGTTGCTATTTTTAACAAATGTCCAGCCAATGTCCAATGTAAAAGAAAAGCCTGTGAATATTCAGATCAAGGGATGCTGTGCCTACATCACACAAACAGCCATGTTTCCTACTTGATGATTCCAACAGCCTTGTGGCATCCAGTTCTACACACAGCTTGAATTTCTTTCAATTGTTTAGGTTTTATGCAAAGGGATAATTTGACTTGTCTGAGTTACACACAACTTGGTTTCAACAACTCACAGAAAAAGATGTAAACACGCCTCCTGGGTATTCACACATTATGGATCAATGTGGTGTATACAAACCTGTGAAGCATCGATTATGATCAATGAATAAAGTGAGAACTGAAACAGAAGCAAAATAACCAACCTGTCCTGGATCGTTGAGTGATTTCAGTCCAAGGGCAAGGGGGATAACCAAGATGTCTGAGAAGATAATTGCTGCATCAAGGTCAAACCTGTCAATTGGCTGAAAACAAGGAACATATAAACATATTTTATTTTAAAGGTGTCTTATCATAATATAGAAATTCTTATCTATAAAATTCCTTGTTAAATGTTTACATTAATTTATAAAATAATGCATCATCCTAGACTAATATTGACACACTGGTTTTCTCAAACTGATAACTCATTACACATGCAATGCTCATGCTTCCGATCACTGTTTGGGACCACTGTTTATTTACAGGACATTGTAACATGGCTAAAATGCAAAAACGCCTTCACATTCTCACTCTCCATGATAGAGTATGACTCACCTGTAATGTCAACCGACTAACAAGCTCCACATCTCGACAGGTAGCGAAGAAGGCCTTGTCCCCCTTCGCTTCCTTGTATTCTGTCAACAGAGAGCAGTATCACAGGAAGTAAGACAACCAAGAATTGACACATTAGGACTCTGTTTGTCACCATTAGTTTTAGGTTTTATCAGAGACCATATTATACCGTCTCTGGTTTTATCTCTCACAATCTTTGAAGGAGGTTACAATAAAAATAGATTCGACCGTGGCATTCTCCAATCTCCTGCCTCTAACACCCCTTCAGTGTCAGTACCCATCTGGGCCCACTTGCACAGAACAACCTTAGTTACAATCAATCTTAGGGCCTTACAATCAACTTTACAATCACAATACAATTGCCCTAATCCAATTGCACAAAGCCGATCTTAGCGCGATTGTAAGACAGCATGGATTTAAGATCGCGATCTTAGCTAAGATCGAACTCTTCAACGGTGGAGGTGCGAATTTCTTAAACTCGACTCCTGTCTACAGTTGTCTGCAAGTGCGCATAGCATACTGCGCAAATAGAGAGTGATACTGGTCCCTGCACACAATACATTCGTCCCTCAATCGCACTTTGCAGAATTTTCATGAAAAACATTCCCAGAAATCTTCGAAGGAAACGATTATGTGGACGATAGCATATATGTTTCTAGATTTTAACTGTCTTGATTTATGACTGACTGACTGACTGAATTTGGTTTTACGCCGCATTTAGCAATATTCCAGCAACATCACGGCGGGGGACACCAGAAATGGGCTTCACACATTGTACCCATGTGGGGATTCCAACCCGGGTCTTCGGCGTGACGAGCCAACGCTTTAACATTAGGCTACCCAACCGCCCCCTTGATTTATGAACTGAGAATGTGATATTTCAACCACGGAAATACCTACCCATGTTTTATGAAAATATTGAACTGCGGAAAAATACATGCATAAATTTGGGTCTAGATTTAGTGACTTAATAATTATGAAAATTATAATAATATATCAAATATCGACAATATTCCTTATGATATACCACCGAAATGCATGATTTGCCATTGGTTGTCAATGAGACATTGTTTAATGCACAGCTGTTTGTTTTTCTTTTGTGTGTGTGTGTGTGTGTAAAATCCTAAATATACCCTAGAAGTAATGGTTTCCTCACAATATAACAAGAAAATGTAATATGGCTACAGAAGTGTTGTAAAGAATTCATGACAGGGAAATACGAATATAAAATAATATATAGAGAGAGCAGTTGTTAAATACTCATTCACAGTATATTAATGATATATCCCTATTGCGTTGATAATATTTTTCTAAAAGTGAAATAAAAATTGAATCTTGATTTTGCACGTTAACTTGTATCTATTTTTTTAATACTTAATGATTAACTAAGACAAAACCACTCCATCACCGAAAAGAAAATATCTTGAGCTCTGCGATTGGGCATGACAGACTCTACGGCAACGGCATAGGACAGGGGAAACCACTCCCATCTTGCCCATAAACTAAAATTATCTGCTCTTGAGTTAATGAAAAGGTCACGGCCATTGTTAATCGCACGCGGACACCATTTGCTAGAATCCTTTCCTTGATTATCAAGAAGGTATGTTGTTTCACACTTATTCCAACATTGAATCGGGTGGGAATAGTACTTTGTGATATCGACTCGATAGTTCTGTGGTTCACTACAGCAAATAACAATGTATTCGACGTTAAATCAGTTGTACATTCTCCGTGTTGTTGAAGTGTCGAAGCTTAATCATACAGTACAGTTTTATGCAATATAAAGGCATGCTATCTCCAAACGTAAAGCTGATTATTTGCGTGAAACTTGAACACCATTTTGTCACAGACTACAATGATCTTAGCTCCTTACAATTGGTCCGGACCAATTGTAAGTTTCGATTGTAACTTACAACGATCTTAGCCTACAATCGCTTTGTGCAAGTCGATGGCGATTGTAGCCGAAGCCTAAGATCGCGATCTTATGGATTTACAATAATTGTAGCGCTAAGATCGTTCTGTGCAAGTGGGCCCTGGAATTGATGAACAAGCAGTCCTGTCAACATCCAGCTATATGGGCAGATAACTCTCCAGAATGAATTACAGAATCATCTGGCAACAAGGAGGGCAGCCTGGCATAAGTGTGCTAGTGGTCCTGTGCTAGTCCTTTCAGCCCCTTAGCCATTTATATGCTGACAACCCACTTATATAATATATATACTACTGTTTAAACTTTTATTTTCAACTCCAGCAAGGCAAGGAACAGGTCCACACCTTTCTGACCATAGCATACATGTAATAAAACAAACCTTTAGATGCAAGAATCTAGTACATGAGCATCTTACTGCACAAATGGGAAACATATTAATACAATTTTGTATTTTTAACTACCAAATTGACCACCATTTGTTTTATGCCATGTACATTTGACTGAAATGTGCTGAAGCTTTAGAGACAGTTACTTGTAAGATCACTGCATGAACTATAGCTGGACAGACAAGAGCTGACTGTCCTTTCAAACACTGAAGGGTTTGGCATAAGAAATAGTGCTACCATATATTTTGTTTCAAAATTATTTCAACACTTGAAGAAAGCACTCAAATTCAATGTTCAGTATTTCCCCATACACTCAAACCTGCTGCTGATACAAAGAGGGCTGTATGAAACAAGAGCTTCATCATCAAGATCAAAGTCTTCAAACTTACACCAATGTTGTCTCATAAATATAGTTTTAGCTAAAGTCACTACAACCCTAGAATACCCAAATCCTAAAGAGTGTGTCCTAACATGAAGCAGGGTTAAGCTGTGGACAGGCATGGGTTTCCTTCAGACTATACAGCACTCCAACCTTCTGCTCCTAGACTAATGGAGTTACGTAGTTATGTCATTATCAAATTATATATGAAATATAAACAATGAAGCCCAGGAGTATCAACATATCACCATACAACATCTTCTATGTTTCACAAAAAAGAGTTCATCAGTTCCCACTTCCCATAGCCAAACAAGGCAGGAATATTTCCAAAGTTCAACCAATCAATACATTACAAAGCCCAGGACAATAAACGGAAAAAGAGTTCAGTTCCCACCTTTGCCAAACAAGGCTGGAATTTTAAGGCTTGATCATAGTGCCTCCATTGGGTATATCCCTTCTGTTTGTCCTTCCTACTGATTTAAACAAAATGGTGGCATCCAGTCAATACTGTGATCGATAATTTAATCATTCATCGTTATCAGTTGAACCCAAATGGACTGTAGTTAGTGAGTGAAACCGATGGTCAGGACAGAATGGTCTGTCTCCCAGATGGAAAAATAACATGGAGAAAATAAATCCAATCCCAAGCTGAAACCATTTGGCAAGGGTACATTTGCTTGTTTTCCTGAGACAAGGGAGTTGACTCACTGACCTTCAGATGTCAGATGATTGCAGTATTTTCAAGGCATGTGTACTGTCAAATGGGCATCAGCCTGTATTTTCCATATTTTCAATCAAGGTATAAATTGATGCACTCCTCGAGGTAAGACCCATTTTATTACCATATAGATCTTGATATCTCAAAATAGGGATAAGTGCACAAAACATTAATAAGACACATGGTCCTCAAACCTCTGTACCCAAAAGGTCTGAAATCTGACATTTATGATCGATCATGGAAAAAGTTGCTTAAGAAACTATCATGTAAAAGTGTTCACCGAGGGGTGACAAACGGATGGTGGAACAGTGCCGGCACGCACTTCAGGGGCAACTCAGCGCATCCAGGTTTAATCATGAAACAGCCAGTGTTGTTCCACAAGCCATTTGTCATCCCTCAGTGTGAAGTGTGAAAATAGAACAATATTACATGATAGTTCCTTAAATGTTTTCCATGATCGATCATAAAACATCAGATTTCAGATCCTGTTGGGTACAGAAGTCTCAGGACCATGTGTCTTATTTATGTTTTGTGCACTCACTATTTCGAGTTATTTAATCCTTCATTGTTCTCTTTGAACCCAAATGGACTGTAACAGCATAGAATATATTTATTACCTGGGAGATATCTTCCTGCCTGCCTCATGACCCACACTGGAACACGTTCTGTCCTCTCACCACGAGCTGCACGGAGCAGCAGATCATTCTTCAAGGGAGCAAACTCCTGAAGTAGACAAAAATTATTTCTCTCCAGCATCTTGTTTAAACTTAAAAGCATCATGCATATTAAATACACGACAATTTTAAAAATGTATACACTTGAACTCAAAAACTGAACTAAAAATAATACAATACAATTATTACAGGCATGTGTGTGTCTTGATGCCATAACTATTTTCTAATTGACTATGATGACTCAACCAAGATGTGAAGTAACTGTTCTTTATTTACTGACAAAAACACCTACAGAAATAGAATGTCAATTGTACACACCGCAGGTAAGAATTTGTGTATGCTATTAGTTTGATGCAGGTGAACATAATTACTGAAAACCAGACAAAAGCAAATTAAAGAGAAGATTTCTCTAAAATCTCAAAGAAGATATTGTTGTTACTGATTGACACGGTCGTAAAATGTCACATCACTTTCATTACATGCTAGCGCATAACAAGTTTGTGTAGCAGCACACTCCCTTCTGATTTTAATAGAAATCACAATTAATGTCAACAAGAAGACAAAGTCATCAATATCCCCCGCAATGGCAAAATACTCTTCATGATTATGTCTACAAGTTATGATTATGTCAAATATTTAGGTGTGTATATAGAAAAGTGGAAGGAGAGTATTGAAAGGTTTTTAAAGTTCTGCTCCAGAAAGGAGCACTACCACCAATTTCAGTCAAAGTCGAGCTTGTTGCCATGGAAAGGCCAAAAATATTTTATTCAGAATTCCAAAAGGCACCAGTACACCACCAGATTCATGTATGCCAAGTTTGGTGAAGAAATATTGAACGGTTTTAGAGTTCTGCTCCGGAAAAGACAAATGTGTTTTAGTCACTTGGACGGACGGATTCAAACACGCACGGACAGAGTCCAATTTAATACCCCCTGCAAAACGCATTGAGGGGGATAACAACAGCTGCAGTTAAGATTACTGTCCAGATGTACCCTATAAGTACCATGCATGGTGTGCCCATGATGAGAATAAGGTTTGAAACTGGTCATGTGTAGACAACACAGTTATAGTCTTTGTAAACCTGAATAGATGCTTTCCCCAAGAGATTATCATGGCTTGCATATACAGTTTCAGGGATACTAGAGGGACATTAATTTCTGACCAAACTTTTGTCTTTTATGAGTTCAAGGTCACCTTCTTTCAGATATGAGCATGGATGTTTCCATTTAGTTCTCATCAGTAGATTCTAGAAGAATTCACTGCTCCAGTGTTTCCAGAATCGTCCATCCAACACCTGTACATGCCTCCACTGCGACTTGTACATAACCTTTGCATCTATAGATGCAGTCAAACAGAAACTTGGTGAGATAGGTCCTCTGTGTGAGAAGTGTTGAGGGTGATAAAATCAGTAGTTGACCCGACTCCTTGGATACTGCTGGAATTGTGCAGCATTCATAACAAGAAGACAAAGTCATCAACATCCCCAGCAATGGCAAAATACCTTTCATGAATATGTCTACGAGTTATGATTATGTCAAATGTTTTGGCGTGTATATAGCAAAGTGGAAGGAGAGTACTGAAACGTTTCAAAGTTCTGCTCCAGAAAGCAGCACTACCCCCAAATTCAGTTGAAGCCAAAACTGTTGCCATGTGCCAAGTTTGGGGAAGAAACATCGCATGGTTTTAGAGTTCTGCTCCGGAAAAGAGTACTATCACCAATTTCAGTCTAAGTCAAACTTGTTGCCCTGGAAATGCAAAAAATGTTTTATTCAGAAATCCAAAACTACCAAAAGGCACTAGTTCAACACTAGACCTACCTATGTTTGAAATTTCGTGATGAAACAGTGAACAGTTTTTATCCTCTGCTCCGGAAAAGAGTACTACCACCAATTTCAGTCTAAGTCAAACTTGCTGCCATGGAAACGCAAACAATTATCTCATTCAGAAATCCATAACTACCAAAAGGCACCAGTTCACCATTCGACCTACCTATGTATGAAATTTTGTGATGAAACAGTGAACAGTTTTTAAGCTCTGCTCCGGAAAAGAGTACTACCACCAATTTCAGTCTAAGTCAAACTTGCTGCCATGGAAACGCAAAACAAATATCTCATTCAGAAATCCATAACTACAGTTGGCACCAGTTCACCACTTTCGACCTACCTATGTATTTTTCTGGGTGAACAGTTTTAAGCTCTGCCCACCACCAATTTCAGTCATCATATGTTCCCAGAGATTCTATGTGCCAAGTTTGGTGAAGAAATATTGAGCGGTTTTGGAGTTATGCTCCATAAAAGACATATGTGAAGATAATAACTGTCACCTCAAACATGACTGTTGAGGGGATAATAACTGTCACCTCAAACATGACTGTTGACACAACCTCATTGGCCAGACGCTTACAGTTGGCAAGAACCACTGACTCCCATATTCTGGGTGTAGTCTCAATCATATGTTCCCAGATTCCGCCCATGTGGCAGGAGTAGGGGTTTTGAAGATCCATGTTACACCATTGTCACAGAGAAAGTTATGTGATGTTTCAGCTTCTATAATGATGGCATTGTTGCAGAGTCGGTCAGTTGCACTTTTGAAGTGAGTTCCATCATCAGATCGAAATTGTTTTACTTCACCTCAATGGCCTCTAATCTTCTGAAACAGCTAAAGAAGTTGGTACTGATGTCCTCAACTACGTAAATGTGTAACGAGTCAGGTGAAAAGGATGGCCCAGCATTTCCTGTTAGAAGCAATGCTTCTTGTATGGTGAGTTATGATATTCCATGGGGCTGTGAGGTAGCCTAGGGTTAAAGTGTTTGCCCGTCACGCCGAAGATTCAATTCCCCACATGGGTACAAAGTGTGAAGCCCATTTTTGGTGTTCCCTGTTGTGATATTGCTGGAATATTACTAAAAGCGCTGTAAAACCATACTCAGGGCACCAGATAAGGGCCGTATCGGGGTATGTATGGATAAAAAATATGCACGATACGGTAGGAATTAATTTTTAAAACGTAGCAGATACGCACCACAGCAATGGTGTACAGTCTTAGAATCACTTACAGGCGTATTTATCTGATAAAGTATTGTCTTATTGTCCATTGACCTGTTTACACAAGAGAAGCAATGTTGTGGTGCATATATGAAACGAAACACAAGATTACTCATACTCCATTAATTTCCATTCAGTACTCTAAATGTACACTTAAGGTTTTCCAGTACTCCTATATTGAACAAATAAGGAGTATGTACTCCTGATGTTGCAAAATTATCTGGAGCCCTGCATACTCACTCACTATGATACTCCAAACATGTCCAGTTTCACAGACAACAAAGGTGGACAAGGAACAAGATGATCAAGGGGGAGATCTGATATATTTATATTTTCAGGTACAGTCTCAGCTTTCTGCATATAAAACATTAATGTTCATGAGGGAGGATATTATGTTCCCATGCACTGACTAAACTGAAATATGAATATGCAGTACTTTTTCAGAAAGTCATCAGATGGAACAAATGTATTTTATATTAAACTTTCTAAGTTAAGTGCAAATTTGGGTAGAGTCCCACTCAGGTTTAGAAATTGTAATTTAAAATATAACATATGTTACATTTGACTTTTTGTTAAAAGGCATTGTGTATTCACAGCTTTCAGTCACCATATAGCTGGTATTTTGCTGAGTGCGGCATAAAACAAAACTCCTTCACTTCTCGCTTTCGGTCATGGAAGCCATGCCTATTTACACTTGTCAGAGGGGTGCATGAATTATGTGATCTGGGCTACCAGTTGTTTCACCTTCAGTTTTGTGGAGGCTCAGGTGGCTGAGTGGGTTAGACTGTGGGCTTCATGAGCCGATGAATATGTTCCCAGCTCACATCCTGCATAGGACTCTAAAGTATATGATTTGTCAAGAGGGCACCATCGTAGGTTACAGAGCCTTAATTTGCCTGTATTACGAACACACTAAGCCAGCCATAAAATTTCTGATTCCCATGAGGGGAACTGAACCATTGACCTGCTGACCCAAGGTTGAATATCTTGTCCACATAACCAAAGAGGCTGACAAGATAAGGATAACATGTATGGAATGATTCAACGCTCTGCTAGATATATCTGTACATAATTGAATATAATAATAATAGAATATTTGTTACGCGCATATATCCATGCTAAAGCATGCTCAAAGAGCACAATATAAAGATGAGATTAATGGTAAAGAGCTACAGTTCAAAGGCTATCTTGGACATGTGTGTTTTTAGATTGGATCTAAAAGAATTAAAGTCACAACAGTCTCTGAGGCTCTGCGGAAGACTGTTCCATGCTATAGATCCTGCATGGACAAAGGACCTCTTTCCATACATCACTGTCTTTACTTTGGGAACAACAAGCAAGTTCTTTTCCCCGTGAACGGAGAGATCGGAGAGGCGTGTTCATGGTTAGAAGAATGGATAGATAAGAAGGTGCAGTTCCAGTGAGACAGCAGAAAACAAGGCCTAAGAGTTTAAACTGGATCCTGAACTCGACTGGAAGCCAGTAGAGAGTGTACAGTATAGGAGTAATGTGTTCATATTTTCCAGAGCGAGTCACGATACGGGCGGCGACGTTCTGCAATCTCTGCAGCTTGGCTATCTGGGTCTTTGATGCACCGGCAATATATTGTTCCTAAACTAAATAATGACTTATGAAGTTGTATGCCAATTAATAATATTGTCTAAAACTGCAATACATTTATTTAGATGTAACAGACACTGAAATAGATTTCATCCTTTCTGAAGAAAATAAAAATGAAAATTGTAATAAAAACTACATACAATAATATATACCTCCTTACCATTTTATGCTTCCAAACTAAACTCCTTATTCTACAGTCAGTACATTCTTCATTAATCCAAAAGCTACGAGAAACAGTCTACTCTACACAGAACAGCACAGCACTAAATGACGCTGTATCTCACTGTGACAGGTGTGCCAGCAAAATGAGTTACAAAACAATGGCTTGGTCACAAACTGGAACTTGTATTGTGAGACCACGTACACAATATCACAGCCGCCAGGACTGAATGGGTTTATGAGTAATAGATCCTGAATGTGAACTAACCTATTCATGTTTCCATAGTAATCAGTTTTATCGGTAATATAAAATCAGATAAGAAATAAATTACTTTAGCTGTTATTAGTAGAAATTTTTATCCATAAATACAAGCATTGAAACATGCAAGTGCCTGCTAGCCTGAGTTCCTTTGAATCAAATATTATTTGAATTCCTAAAATTTGAAATATCATATATGGTAATTTAATATATTTTTTATTTATAACTCAGGATGCTCAGTAATTCCATAACCTTACTTAAACAACCAACCAAATAAATGCCATTTATTGTCATTCATGTATATTATAAGCTAAAGGTGAAAATATGTAACATGTGCTTTTGTAGGCCCACTGGTAATCAAAATAGTTGATCGATGATCGTTGATTAATGATCATCTAAGCTCCACGCCTTTATGTTTCCGTTTCGAGTATTTTGTTACTAACATTTCAGCCTCTTTTTGTTTCAAAAATATCATTTCATTAATGCTCTACATTGTAACATAAGCGTAACGTCGCAACTGAGATTTACCCAAAAGCGTCACATGACTGTCGGTGACACAGTTCTTAACACTTAACGGGTTCATGGTAGACAGTGCAGCTGTTGCAAAACGCTGTGAGATTTTTATAACAGGTGTGTGTGCATACACTATATTTGTACATCGGAACATTCCGCCATACACAGTGTGTGAAATAATGCAGAAATGTCGTTGTTAAAAAAATAAATGTTCGAGTGCTTTTGGATATCTAAAATGTGAACTATTTACCTGGACACGTTCCTCACTGGAAGTCGCCATGCTGACGAATAGAAATTAGAGTTACCTCCCTTTGACTGACGAACACCCGTTTGGTAAATTATATTTGGGAATTCAGGTTATCGTTTGCGAGTTCTAATTTGCTGCACACGTAGAGAGATGCGTTATTTGAAGGCAAAAATTACGCATACTCGCGCATAATTCAAATTGCTGTTTCTTTGTCTATGATTAGTTCAACCTAGATATGTTTTTACACCCATATTATATAATATATCTAGGTCATAATCACAAATTTCTGGATAACAATTTCTTTTCTGTTGTGAGTGCGATATTTCTGTACAGATTCTTGTATTGTGGTTTAGACAGGCATACAATGTTACCACAATCTGTACCAAAACTTGACACTCACAAAAGAGAAGTTGCCATCCAGAAATTTTCATTACTGTACTTCCAAAATTATAAAATGCCACTCAACTGTACATTTACTGAAATATTTTCACAAGGCTCTTTCTCAACGAGTTTGAAATGGCATGTATACGCATTTCACTTTGAAAACATCAAATTATATTTCACGTGAAAAGAAAACAACTAATGAAATGATGAATGAAGTTGTATTTATTTCAAAACTACACCAAAACAGTTTTGTAATTTGTGTGTATTGTCTGAGTATGCATAAAAGTGGTTACATTTGAAACAAGTTGTACATGTCAGCATCTCCTCATGCACTCTCCTACCCAGAGTTCCATGCGGCCAGCCAGCAATGTTATGCTAATTCATCGCTGCGCCGGTGTGTGCTCCTCATGTAGTACCCACAATTTGTGTCACATGACTAAATCTCTTTCACATGACCTAATCTGCATAGAAGCGGATGGAGTCTGCAAACTGACCTCAAAGATTCTGCATCAAGTAGAACATACTTCTTAATTACTGATCAGAATATGGTTCAGTTGTAATAATGTAAATAATACACTTCTAAAACTAATGTCACTATGATTTGTATATTCTGGAGTCAGTCAATAAGATTCCAGCTATATATAAGCAAGATTCAAGCTACATCAGAAATTATCCAGCTATATCGGCAATATTCCAGCCATATCACATCAGACTAAATAATCAGGTCTGGACAGACCAATGATTGATATTATGAGCAATGTGCTACACTATCAAGTTATGACGACAATCAACCCAACCACTGAGCCTGACTACCAATGTGTCACTCCTTTCATCAAGTGCAGGTCACTGTGACCTTCCCTAACCTAGAACACCCCCAGACAAGCTAGGATAATATACTGGAATGCTGGTGATGGAATGGTATACAAACTGTAAAGGTGTTTTTATTGATAAGGAATGTATGTATAATGCTGTTCCAGCACATATCCTCTTGTTTGTTAATGTAGAGCTTTAATAGAGCAGAAACAAATGTATTTAGGAACCAGTGTCATGTTCATCAAAGTAGAAAAGTGAAATACTTATTAACTATTCTTTTCAGTTTGAGCAGATTTAAGACAGCTACTTTGTTAAAGATAACATTGACATATTACTGAAAGAGTGCACATATAGGTAAGATAATTTCAACTAAATTGGATCATTCTTGTTGGTAAGCTTACACAAAACTTCAACCTTCCAAGGGACACAACTCTGCATGGCTTGTTGCAATGTGAGTTAGCAAATAGGAAATATTGTGATAATTCGCCTTAGAGTGTTTGATTAATGTATCATAAACTTATCAGGGGCATTCATTGTAATAAACATAATATTTGTGGACAAAACATGCAAAGATACCCCTACTGAAAACAGACAGCCAACATGGAATACTTACATACTTTAAATAGAAATAGACACAATTGTGTCATAAGACCTTGGTCAGTTTCACCAGTTAATCATGCAGACCGTTTCCTACAATGGTTACAATATTCATGATTTACTGTTAGGTGCCATTCAGTCTAAGTAAACTTAGGCTCAGTATTGTTCGTTACACTGCTTATACTGAGTCTAACAAACCCTAGTAGAAGGTCGCGTCATCTAACCTTTTCAACTGACCAATCAGAACACAGCTTACCAAATCGCGAAAGTTGACATTCGCACATACTTTTTGAACTTTTACCACGCTTTTTTTCAGTGTAACGAATAATACTGAGGCTGAGTTTACTTAGACTGGGTGCCATTTAAAATGATAGGTTCTTATAATCATGATGCAAAAATTGTGGGGAATGTGTCTTTGTGATCAAGTGTGGCTTCTTCTATTTAAAGTGTTTACATATTTCATAGCTTGGTAGCTTTTTGCTGTTTTTTTTTGGTGGGTCTAAAGTGAGTGTTCTTCACTATGTGCCAGTGAAACATGGGAGCTCGGCACCATATCAGGTTACAGATCATGATGTCAGAAGTGGAGAGTCAGGGATTAGACAAACAGCTGAGGGGTCGACATGAACAATCTGCTCAGAAAATCCCACATACAGTGCCCCAAATTTTGAGTCTAATATCTTAAACCTTTCTTGTCACATTACTCTTTGACCATTTCAGTGTTGTCATAGGGCTTGAGCTGAGACTACAAAATGAAACAGAATATTACTAAACTCGGACTTCGTACAACTGGTCATTCATAGAACTGCTGCAATAGCAACTGTAGTAATTTATCAGTATGAGCTCACAAGTAACAAACACCTGTTTTCAGAGTAATAATTGTCTATGACAATATCTAGTGACAGCCACAAGACCTTCAGCAACGTAACTGGAAACAGGCTGAATCATTATGTGACAACGAAGTCCTGTCACATCAAACATCATGCTATCCATACAGGCTGGCCGACTTGCACAGGTTGTTACAAGACAGAGTGAGTGAGTTTAGATTTAGCAATATTCCAGAAATATCAAGGCTGGGAATACCAGAAATGGGCTTTAAATTTTGTACCCATGTGGGGAATCAACCCGGGTCTTCCGCATGACGAGCGTACGCTTTTAATCACTACGCTACCCAACCAGCCCTTACAAGACAGAGACTGTCCAATCAGAGAGCATATTTCTTTAATAGTAATAACATATTATCCTGTGGGAGCTAGGGAATGTGGCATAAATACTCTATCTACATTGAAAAAATAGTAAATAATAAAGAAATCCCTTACCATGCTTACATCATATATATCCATGGCAAATATATATTCTCAGTATTACATCACTGCACACAGGTAACTATAAAACATGTTACTTGGAATAAAAACCAATTGTATAATACCATACATATATATGCAAAATACACCTTCATGTAAATGGTTTCTAACCTTGATTATTTGGACACAAATAGAAACTCAACACATAGTATGAAATACTAAACAAGAACAGTGGCGAAAAGATCACAATAGCTTAGCTAAACAACAAGAAGAATACACTGTACAAACAGGAATGGATTTAACAGGAACTGACTTGGAACAGGTCCCTTTTCCACCAAGTGATGTTGACTGACTGACTGAGTTTGGTTTTACGCCGCTTTAAGCAATATTCCAGCAACATCACAGCGGGGGACACCAGAAATGGGCTTCACACATTGTACCCAAGTGGGGAGTCGAACCCGGGTCTTCGGCGTGATGAGCCAACGCTTTAACCACTAGGCTACCCCACCGCCTCAAAGTGATGTTGGTGCTAAGGTGATTGTAACTGCCACACCTCAGGCTTATGAGCAACATAGCACCGAGATCACATTGTGGAATAAGACCCTGGAGTGGAAATATATCCTACTCTGAGATCCAAATGAAAATAACAAACATAATAGTATTTATCTAAATGCTATCCTGATTACATTTGTCACCAAAACATTTTAACTAATGTTATATTATGACTGGTTACAAATGACCTGTGATACATGTGCAACAAATAGTTCATATCTCATTGTTATGTCCCTTACACCTGATATATATAATAACGTCATGCATTGTTAATAGCTCACAACAGGTTTTGCGTGCAGTGTGATTTATTGCCACATTGATGGTAGTCTGTAAATAATTTGATTTGGCCCAGAGAGTGATTGATATTCGAACAATATCCCATGTTGTCATGTAAATTCACAGACTCAGACCACCTGATTCTTGGTTAATGACCTCATCTTTGTTGTCATGGATTCTCTTACAATATTCAGGGATTTACCTTGAGTCCTGTTTTTGAGGGTCCCTGGGACTCATACTCTTAATTTTCAGGGGTCCTGGACAACAAAATAGGGGTCCAGACACTTAAATATTATTATCAATACTGTTATTGTCTTGTGTATCATGATCACCACATTATTTGTTACAGTAATTAAATTGCAAATGATACCATAACCCAGCTAGTAGCAAACTCTTTGATAACTTATTGTTACTTGATTGGAATTTTTACAAAAAGTATTGGGACTTTTTCTGCGTCCCTGTGGATGCACTTAATAAAATTTGTTGCGTCCATTGTCAATTTTATGCATATAGGACGCAGGAATTTGTGTCCTGTAAATCCCTGAATATTGACTTTGCATTCTAAACACATCAGTCATATCTAAACAGATGCATTACTGTAGATATTCACCACTATGTTAACAATATGCTAGCACAATGGTCATGAAAAGGTTGATTGTGTATTTTCCTATAATAATGACCTGCATTCAAGTGTGAGTATTTACCACATTAAAAAGCGACCAAACTACCCGACATACACATTCATCATGGGTCAAAAGACTCAACAAGTACAAAATGTCACTTGATTTGATTAAACGGAAAATATTGCACATGAAATGGAGTAGTATACACAAGAAATGAACCATAACACACTCGCCTGAGCAAGTATCCTACACTTGGGTGATAGTAGCTAACATTCCCCAGGATTTATCACCCATCATACCTGCGTGAATAGACATGGGAATGTGATTATCTATATATTCAACATATGTTGTATTTCAGTCTCATCCAGGATTCAAAACCACACTCTCAGAGTCAGGCACCTAAACGCCAGCACACAAAGTCAGAGATCTAGCCCACTCAGCCACTGCAACATTCACCAGGATGGAAGTCAACCCCAAAAGTACTAGAATCTGTACTTTGCTGAGGAAGTGTAATCCCAAATATAACATGTTGCATTTGACCACTTTCTAAATGGCATTGTGCATTAATCTATAATTTATCAAACCACAACTTAATCATAACCATTCCAAGCTGATTAAGAGAACCTTAATGGAACGTTTCTATTCAACCACCTTCATACCTTTATATCATGTCTATATGATAGACAATATATGAATATCAAACACATACATTATGAATAAAACTGTCTGGCAGATACATGATAATATCTTCAGTGAGTGAGTGAGTTCAGTTTTACGCCGCTTTTAACAATATTCCAGCTATATCACGGCAGGGGACACCAGAAATAGGCTTCACACATTGTACCCATGTGGGGATTTGAACCCGGGTCTTCGGCGTGACGAGCAAACGTTTTAACCACTAGGCTACCCCACCGCCCCTTAATATCTTCAGAAGATGGAAGTATGCAAACGTTACACGGTCCTGATTTTCTGGGACTGGCCAATGGGACAAACCAGGATCAGATGTCACATTATCATGGGTTTTTTAAAACAAGGGCTTAAAAACGAGAATAACCATCAGTGGCTTCAGAAATCTGTTAGTCCTGATGGCAGTCTGGAATTTCTTAGTTTTTTATCTTGAGCACTGATCTAACATGAAGGCAAAACTTAGATGCCCCTTCCCACGGCCCAACTTAAGAATCTATTCCACTACGCTTCACAAACTAAGCTTCTCAAGTGACAAAAATCATTGAATCCTGGGGTTGCCCTAGACACAGTGGGGTAGAAGACCAAGGAGTACCAGGCATATTGCTGTTTATTTATCAGGTATTGTGGAACTCTATGTTGACTACCCAAGTTGGATACAACACTTCTTCTAAGGATGTAATTTCTTGATGTATCTCTGGCTATGTTCCACCTCCAAGTTCTAGAAATGGATACTGACATTTGTGTTCATCTCCACTAATGCTGGACAGCAATAACATCCACACTCACACCAAGTGGTTGGTTGGTTTGTTGGTTTGTTGTTTAACGCTGCACTCACCAATATTCCAGCTATATGGCGGTGGACTGTAAATAATTGAGTCTGGACCAGACAATGCATCAATCTATGCAATTGGGATACGATGACATGTGTCAACCAAGTCAGCGAGTTTGACTACCTGATCCCATTAGTTGCCTTTTACAACAAGCATAAATTACTGAAGATCAATTCTGACCCGGATCTTCACAGGTACCTCACACCAAGTGTTCCATGGTGTCGTGTGGGTGGTGTAAAGTGCACATCAGCTTCCCCTGTCACATGGCTGGGTACAAAAGGCACATGAAATATAGAATGATTACAACATGCCGTGGACTTGTTCAGAGGCACAAGAGTTTCACGCTGAATATATCATACCTCAAACATACCAAACTCTCCAGGAAACTCTCTTTGGAAATAAGTGCATTCCTCGTTATTCCATAAAATGTGTTTTTTATGATAAAATGTAACTAGAAACATGAACTCAATGAATACTACAGTTACTTGTTAACTATCAAATATAAAACAATATTTCTAAAGAAACATTATCTCCGTGCTGAACACAGCCTATTATAACCTTTCCAATGAAACATGACCTTTATGTTGAACATGGTTCGCTATTTAACCTGTCTAATGAAATATGATCTCTATGTCAAATACAGTTCATTATTACGTGTCCAATTAAATATGATCTCTATGTCAAATACAGTTCATCATTACTTGTCCAATTAAATATGATCTCTATGTCGAATACAGTTCATTACTACCTTCCCAATAAAAGAAGATTTGTATGGTGAATATGTTTCATTATTACTTGTGTAATGAAATATAATCTCTATGTTGAATACACTCCATCATTACCTACCATACCCGGTCTAAATGTAAGAAAATACAGTGCATTATACATTATATTTCAAATGAAATGGATTTGAAATGGAAAAAACCCCAAAGCAATCATAAAAACAATACAAAAAGGGAGCATTATGAACAATGTATAAAATACTACTTTGGCAAAACCTTAAGAGCTAAAGTACTATTATGTTTTACAGACAAATATGTTGCAGGCAAACCAGCAATAGATGCAGTATTCCTGACAACAGCAAACCAATTATATTACCGCTACAATATGATGTGATGTACCTTGAACAGTCAAACACTGAACTGAACAAGCTGCTGTAAAGTGCATTTAACTTTATGTAAACATTCATTAACAAAAATTACAACAATAAACATCACAACGCTCATTATGTAGAGATTCAATTTCTCCTCTGATTATGGATTTCTTAGCCCTGTAACAAGTGTGAAAAACATCATCAACAAAATGAATAAATCCTCCATATAATAGAGAAATAAAATAAATAAATAAATTAACAAAAAACTGGTCCCATCATCTCTGTCTGGCAAAATATGACTTTCAAAATGAGCAAAATCAGATGAGAAGACTTAATGTTTACAGTGACTGAGTGTAGATGTACAAATGTCTCAACGGTCATGGTAACATTACATACACTACATTAATCTCAAGTTGTGAGTCCATGGGAATAACTGTTTCAACACATCAACGTAATAAACAAAACAAACACAATACAGATTGTTTCAGTGAACATAAATGAGGAAACAAATCAATCTGTTATTAAGTTGTAGTAACAAATTGACAATGTATTTCCATGACTAGTAAACATCATCATGTACACATGAAAAACTTGTGAACATGGTAACATTAAATAACAAACAAACACACATAATGTACACAAACTTAAAATATCAAAAACATAAAACAAGAGGATACATCAACAAATACAAAGTTAAATACTATTTATTAATTTGTTTGTGTTAACCCCACAAATAGAATAAAGAAAACAAAAGAATGCAAACGTGCTGTTTGACTAAAACTATGCTTATTTTGAAAATTGTTTTGTTTGCATATTCAAATAATCAAAATGACTTCATGTCAAATGTTTTAGGAAATTACATCCACCCTGACTACTGAGGCTTAATTGATATATTTTTTACTCCTGGAACTTTGCAAACTGACTTTTGATACACATGCTATAATCTAACTCCTACCTACACCATACAAATACTCTTAAAATGTGGCATTAGCTCAATTTTGATTGTGTACACTGAAAAATGTAGTCTGAAAAACATTTTGATTGGTTTGGACTTAATGACAATAGCAAGAGAACAAGAGCAGCCAACCACTTAAAGCTTGAAATTGAACTTGTTCTCAACAAACATAGCTTACCCTAGTTGTACACAACAAACTGCTGTGTATGTTTTGATGAACCTCAAGCTTCAATATCAAAACAACATACGGATTATTGAGTTAAATCTTATCAGCACAAGTAACACTGGTCTACAGCATGGCAACTGAACAACTTGTGCAGAACCAAATTATTAATAACAGCAATGTGCAAAATGTATTATTAATATCTACTTTCATGGCTTCCTATCTCATATACTTATGAAACATGAACAGAGAACAGATTCCTTTTTGACACCGAGTCAAAAAATACAAAACAGGTCTATCATGTTTACACTGGCAAAATATTGACAGCAAGTTTACCTTTTATACCATGAAAGTACAAGATGAATCACTCATATAAACATATCCCAGTATCTCATTAATGTCATTCATCATGTTCATCACCAAAGATTTCCTGAAATATTTGTCAGTGGTGTTCAGCAGTGGTTCGGTCAACTCCACTCCTAGCGTCATAGGTAAAATTCTTTCCCCTTGGGTTTAGCTTTTCTTTCCCCTCTGGGTTTTCTTCCCTGACGAACCTTCCAAACATCATCCTCTGAATCCACCCCATCCATACTCTGATCATCTTGAACGTTGTCATGATTTGCATAACTATTCACAAGTGTAGAGTTTATGTGTAATCCTGATGACTTAGGACTTGAGTTGGCATTCATGGTGATAGCTGTGGAAGAGTCAGTATACAAACTAAGGAAGTCTCTTTGACTGGCCATGTCTTTCTCAGCATCATCTATGCAGCTCAATAGCTCTCTCACATTATTCTTGAAAGACACTAAATTTTGCATAAGCCTACAACTACGTTGCAGTATTGCAACTTGTTGGTGTTTCTGACGCAGTTGCTCTTGAATGATTTCCACAGTCTTTTCTGTTGAAACAAGTTTCTCTGATAATTTACCCAGTTCACTGTTTTTTGCTGCCTCTATCTCAGAAACTTTTGTCTTCAATAATTCATCCTTCGCATGGAGTGCATCATTTTGCTCCTTGACAGTATTTTCCAGCTCATTTACACGTCTGTGTAGAGCCAGTAGGTGTCGATTGGCCTCATCAATACTGGTTCTTGGTATCATGGTAGACATTGTTGCTTCCTCCTGAAACGACCACATGCAGGCTTAACATACTTAAGTAAAGAAAAGGCAATGTCTATTTACCACCGAAAGGTAAAAGGCTCTTTGACTGACTGACTGAGTTTGGTTTTACACTGCTTTTAGCAATATTCCAGCAACATCACGGCGGGGAACACCAGAAATGGGCTTCACACATTGTACCCATGTAGGGATTCGAACCCGGATCTTCAGCGTGACGAGCCAAGACTTTAACCACTAGGCTACCCTACCGCCCCAAAGGCTCTTTGAAGACATAATATAATCTTTTTCAATCCAAAATTATTTTACATTACACTTAATATTATGTATCAGGATACATCTTTGTTCATTAACAGACATGTTGTAATTTTGTTATTAATTTTCTAACATGTACATACATTTTTTCAAATTTTGCATACATGACATTTGGATATTTGTAAGGTTACTTGACCAATTAGCTTTGGTTAACAAACATAAAGAATGTGAGAATTGATAAAGTGACAATTTATTCATAGCAGCACATGTTTTAATGCCAAGATCAAGACAACTATGGAACATATCTAGAATTTAATACTGATATTATGAAGGTTAGAAGTTAATGTAAGTCTGTTTAACTCAAAACAGTAGAATTCAAGGACTGGTGACCACTTTCACCATGAGGCAGATCTAACTGGCAACTTCGAGGCAGATAGTCCCTTAGATATCCGACTAGTCAGAAAAACAAGCATTTATTTAACTTTGGTAATAACCTCGAGATTCACATTCGTAGTAGCAACAGTACAACAGGGCACAACAGGATCAGACGTGCACAACATCATCTCTGAATTTAGTAATAATTACACAATTAAGCTGGTAGCAGATGTTCACAGGTTTCGTCTATTCAGTATTTGATTTAGCCTAGCTGTCGAAATCACACCTGTCATTACAAGTGCTTAAATGGTTTAGTTTCAAACGTCTAGCTTTTATTCTTACAAGAGTGTCTTATTTCACCTAAGATAAGGAGTGAAACAGAATGAAAACTTGATATATGTTCAGATGACCTACGTTTTGACAGAAACTGTCGGTTTTGTCAACATGTACACGGCGGAAGCGGAAGTGCTGTGTGATGGACAGACAGATGCGCGATGGGTGACCAATCAACATGCTTGTTGCACACAACGATGGCAACATTCCGCCAATCAGGATGTAGTTAACAAAATAGGAATAAATTGATGTCTCCGCTTGGCGCTCTTTTCACGAACACTTTACAAACATTTCGGCACAAGTCTTTCCAACTTTGTTGTAAACATATTACAAATGAAACTTTAAACGTTTGACTAATAATGGCTAAAGTACATATAAGTAACGTAACTGTCTTGGACAATCCATCATCTTTCCTGAACCCGTTCCAATTCGAAATAACTTTTGAGTGCACAGAAGATCTAGCGACAGGTAAGAGTACAAAAGGAACAAATTCTGTATAAATACATCAGATTGATTGCTTTTGACCATTCGTTTCCAAGACCGTGAAACAATTGCATTATATTTATGAAACATGTCAATGTCTGAAGCTGTTTTGGAAAATGAAAATGCACAGTTCAGTTACTGGATTGTACCGTCGTTTTCAACAAATAAGTTTTCTTGGAAAACAACGGTACAATCTATTCAGATCTATGCTGAGATTGCAGTTTGTTCTATAAATGTATATTACTCATTCTTTCTTTATCTCGATGAGATCTGCTAGATGGCAATTTGTAGACCCCTTGGGAAATCTAAGAAGGTCCCATGCAATCTAACCTGGTCAGTGGTTGTAGAAAGTGACCAATCTTATTTGATGGTTAAGATTGGTTGCTTAGTTGTCTATTTATCCCAAAGGTGTGGCTCGTTGTTCACACAAATAGTCAATACATTGTCTGATCCAGTTAATTAAAGGATGTACTGGTGGTGGCCCTAATCCTGGAGTATCGTTGAGTATCATGCAGAGACCATATATCGGTATATGGAGTCTTATTTACTCTGCTATCCCTTCAAAGGTCAGTGGATGTCCAGTCATTAAGCCAACACAATGAACTGTGCAATGTTATGTTCCTGAGATGTGTTAAGTGTTATATAGCTGAAATATTGTCCAAAGTGGCCTTCAGCCCAACTTGCTCATTGAAGTCACTTGAATGTATAAATTGTGTGGCAGTGTCTTCTCTGTGGAAATGACCCATGAAGATCCGGGGTAGAATAGGTCTTCAGCAACCCATGTGCTTGCCATAAAAGGTGACTATGCTTGTCGTAAGAGGCGACTAACGGGATCGGGTGGTCAGTTTCGATGACTTGGTTGACACATGTCATCGGTTCCCAATAGTGCAGATCGATGCTCGTGCTGTTAATCACTGGATTGTCTGGTCCAGACTTGATTATTACAGACTGCCGCCATATAGCTGGGATATTGCTGAGTCCGGCGTAAAACTAAACTCACTCACTCACTCTGTGGAAATTCCTGTATTGAAAATACTGATACCAAGATGAAATTTTAAATTGAATTGAAAACCATGGGTAAAATGCCAATTTGCCAATGTCTATCTGTAAGCGGACTGTGCAACCATCAATCTCAATAGTCCATTTTCATATCCAGTTTTGAAAGTAATTATTTAAGTAGTTCATCATAATGCTTTCATAGATGCTTGCAGATACGTGTGTGTTATATATCCCCCTTCTGTCTATCGCTTATACCTTGAAACAATCTACAACTATTTATCCTCATCTCCCTTTTCCTTTGTTTCAATCCAAGCTTTTGGTATGGTGCGAAATATATAGTGTATGTTTTCTCAAGTGAATGGTGGTTTATTTGTGATAGACTTAGAATGGAAGATCATCTACGTGGGATCTGCTGAAAGTGTGGAACATGACCAGATTCTGGAAACTGTCCTCGTTGGACCTGTTCCTGCGGGATGCCACAAGTTTGTATTTGAGGTAACTAATCTGATCATTGCCAGCAGCTCCCTAGTGTGATTGAGCATGTTGAGGTCATGAGGAAGTAGTGTTCCACAGAACTTCCACTCCTTGCAGAAAGGAGGCATTGGTGGTTTGTTGTGAAATAGGACAGGTAAACCAGTGTTTTTTCTAAAAATCCAAGCTATATGACCTTGGTAGGCAAATTGAGGTGTGTCAAGTTGTCCGTACAAACACAAGTCACTACGACACAGCTACCCCATCAGGTATAGCTATATGTACATGAACATCAGTTGGAAATCCATTTTTTCCCACTTGGGATTTTTTACTCTTATTTGCTGTAGAATTGCTGCATATCAGCCTCTGAAGAGGACTACATGCATTTCACCTTGTCATTGCACTTTGACAATGAGGGTCATTGATCATAATCAACCAAACCAATTGAAGTTACACAACAGTTTCAATCTCCATGTAGATGTTGTGCCTAAACAGTTAAAAACCTCTCATAACTGATCATTGATGATTCTCCAGACGTGCAGAAAAGCAATGAGAGATAGCTGGACATACACCCAGATCTGTTTAATTTGTTACAGTTGTGTAGACCTTTTGGCAAATTGGATGAAATAATCAATGACAGTGTTACTATGAACATCCCAACTGATGGCAGTGTATTTGATACAGATCAGAGATTCAGACTCCCTGATTAGTTGATCAGAGTAGCATTAGGCCAGTTGCACACTGTATGAAACTGATTACTATTAGTGCCTAGCAACATCTGATTAAGCCTCACTGAAATCAAAATCCTGGGCAGTAAGAGACCAGTTTATTTTATAAAAATGGTTGTTTTGTTTTGTTTTTGTATTTGTAAGAACAAGATTTTGTTTCCAGACAAGTGAATATGAACTTAATTGAGACCCATTAAGATCCGGGTTAGATTTATCCTTCAGTAACCCATGCTTGTCGTAAAAGGCGACTGACGGGTTTAGATGGTCAGGCGCCCTGACTTGGTTGACACATGTCATCGCATCCCAATTGCTTAGATTCATGGTCATGCTATTGATCACTGGAGTGTCTGGTCCAGACTCGATTATTTACAGACTGCCGCCATATAGCTGGAATATTGCTGAGTGCAGCGTTAAACAACAAACCAACCACTAACTTAATTGAGTAATATTACTTGTTCAGGAAGAGTTTCAGAATTTCTGCAGCTCATCTCTTCTTCATATCTGTGTATTGTTGAGAAGTTGTAATGAACTGACCAATCACTTGTCTTGTTCCAGGCACCTGCACCTGACATTAATAAGATTCCCATCAACGATGTAGTCGGAGTAACTGTCGTCCTCCTCACATGCTCTTACAGGAGTAAAGAGTTCATTCGAGTGGGGTATTACGTCAACAATTTCTACCGCTCAGAAGATGTAGAGTTGAATGAAAATCCACCAGCAATACCTATTTATGAACAGGTTTGTTAAACTGGCTCATTTACTGATAGACCCAATGACCCGTGAAGATCCGGGTTAGAATTGATCTTGAGTAACCCATGCTTGTGGTAAGAGGCGACTGACAGGATCGGGAGATCAGACTCGCTGGCTTGGTTGACACATGTATGTCATCAGTTCCCAATTGCACAGATCGATGCTCATGCTCTTGACCATTGGATTGTCTTGGCCAGACTCGACTATTTACAGCCCGCCGACATATAGCTGGAATATTGCTGAGTGCAGCGTAAAACTAAACTCACTCACTTACTCATTTACTGATATGGTAGAGTTGTGTCCCTTGACCATGCCATCTCATTTGTCATAGAACAAGATCCTAGATTTTCAATAAATACTATCAGTAGTCTTTATGAACCATTTGTTTTACTAACCAAGAAGGCCATTACTACTGATCTCTGAATCATGACTTACATTTGAGTAGATATTTTGAAGAATGTCTAAGGGAGACAACTATACTCATCTGCTGATATGAATGAAGCTGTTTCCCTTAGTTCTTTTTACTAAGAACATGCCGGGGGATATAGTCAACGCCTTGTCCATCTGTCCGTCCGTAATCATTTTGTTTCTGGAGCATAAATCAAAAACTGTTAAATATTTTTCTACAAAACCTGGTAGATATATCAAACAGAACCTAAAGTGGTGCCTTAAACAACTTACAGATATTTTGATATTATTTTCTTGGTTTCCAATGGAATCGGTTCAGACATAGTCTCAAAAGGGAGGGGTGGGCTTCGTTTCCTGAGCACAACTTGAAAACCTTTCACTATCTTTCTACAAGGTTTGGCAGACATGTCAAACAGATCTTGAAGTGGTGCCTTTTGTTATTTACAGATTTTTGGCATTTATACTTTCATGATTTCCATGGAAACGACTTAGTCTAAGAAAATTCAAGTTGGACTTTAAGTAACTGTCAGATGAATTGTTCTCTCAAATATGTTGGTCTGGGGGGGTTTGTCATCTTCTGATGACTCTTGTTTAATTTGTCAGTTTTTCAACTTTCAGTTTTGTGTTTGATAAGGCCTGGGAATCTGCATTTCAGATTCAACTGGTTATGGCACAGCAATCAGTTAAGCCTGAACTTGGAATATCAATCTTTAGAAGAACCAGTAATATTATATTATGCTATAGTTAGTATGATATGTACAAACAATGTAAACTTGGAAGACCTGTATCACTTCAGGCTTTCCTCCGTCATTAAGCAGACCTGCCTTGACATACAAATGTAATTGGAATACTGTTAAAAAAGGGTGTTCTACCCAAATCACTCTCCCAAGCAGAGCAGTCATCAAGCACCTACCTGATGTAGTGAGTCACTATGCATCCTTACTTAATTATCCCCCACAACGCGTTAAGCAGGGGGTATTAAAATGGACTGCGTGCGTGCGTCTGTCTGTGCACATTTGTCTTTTCTGGAGCATAACTCTAAAACCGTCCGATCTGTCTTCACCAAATTTGGCACATAGATAGATCTGGTGGTTTACTGGTGCCTTTGGTAGTTTTGGATTTCTGACCATTTTTGAGTTTCCATGGCAACAAGTTTGACTTTGACTGAAATTGGTGGTAGTACTCTTTTACGGAGCAGAACTCTAAAACCGTGGAAAGTTTCTTCACCAAACTTGGCACATAGATAGATCTGGTGGTGAACTGGTGCCTTTTGGTAGTTTTGGATTTCTGAATAAAGTGTTTTTGGCGTTTCCATGGCAACAAGTTTGACTTTGACTGAAATTGGTGGTAGTGCTCTTTTCCGGAGCAGAACTGTTTCATCACAAAATTTCATACATAGGTAGGTCTAGTGGTGAACTGGTGCATTTTGCTAGTTTGGGATTTCTGAATAAAATGGGTTTTTTGTTTGCGTTTCCATGGCACCAATTTTGGCTTCAACTGAATTTGGTGGTAGTGCTCCTTTCTGGAGCAGAACTTTGAAACCTTTCAGTACTCTCCTTCCACTTAGCTATATACACGCCAAAAGATTTTACATAATCATAACTCGTAGACATATTCATGAAGAGTATTTTGCCATTGCGAGGGATATTGATGACTTCTTGTTTAATCTTGTTTGTCCCAGTAACTCTTTGGCAAATAGTTAAGTCAACAAACCAAACCATTAACAAGACCAGAATGAAGTGAGATACATCTTAATACGTGTTGAGTTTACAGGGTAAATTCATGATGCATGATCAATGAGTCTTGCCATTATCAGATCAGAAAGTTGCTTCACTTACAATGAAATGGTATGAACTTCATCCAAATTGATTGGAAGGGTTGTGTCAGTATTTCTTGAAGTGATATGAACATGATGATAACATAGGGATAGATTCTTATCATGTATGTAGTTATATGTTGTGAATGTCTTTTTACAGCTTCAACGAACAATTGTAACAAAAGATGTCAGAGTTACCAAGTTCAAAATTGACTGGGATGACGAGGTTCAAGCTGACACTAATAATGCAGAGAATGTGCCACCTGTTGGTAACCCTGAAAATGCTGCTAACCAAGAACGTGACAGGGAGTCAATGAAACCTGTCAACTTCTCCAACGAAAGCAACAGTGTTGGTGTTGCCATGGATACAAGTTAATAACAATGGCCAACAATGGGAATAAGACAAACAGTGACATCTTCTGGAATAGTGTGAAGAATGTTTCCACTAACATTTGGACAAATGTGTTGGCAGCAGCTTATGACCTCAAGGATTTACATCTTTGTAGAAATATTCTTACCATTGTGAGAGACATACTCCTTGATATCAAACAGACGGTTCTGAACTACAGTGACACCTTGTTTATCCAGACTCCAGGCTATCTGGGCAATACTGGAACTTCTACCATACATATATGTAAACAAGGGATCGTGATAACGATGATAATTTAGTCTGGAAATTAAATAATCCAGATTCGCTGGAAAAGGTTGTCTGGATTAGGAAGGTATCACTGAAACCTACTTCACAGACCCCAGCTGTGGATGTGCTTGAGGTGCTAAGTGCTACAGTCGAGTAAACAGTGTCCACACCTGACCTCGTAACCATGACCACATTGTAAAATGCTCAATTGAATAAAGGAAAACACTGCTGACCTTCAGGTTAAGAAATTCTAAATTGTATCTATTGCAACTGAAACATGATAGAAGTACATATTTACATTCAGTGGAGAAGGGCATATCAGTGACTGTTGTGTTCGTTTTCATACCTGATTCATAATGGGGGCTGTAATGATAGATGAAGTTTAGGTGTGCGACACAGGCCAAATCAGGAGGTCAGGAATGAAGATAAAATGACAGTAAGGATGTTGTGTGCAAATAAATTAAGAACAATGGTTTGTTTAACATGTCTTTGAGATTTGTCAAGCTCCTTTGATTTACTAAAGTGTTCTAATCATGTTTTGATGGGCTCACGAAGTCTTGGGTTTGACTCCTCACATGGGTACGTGTAAGCCCAACTGTCTCCCTTACACTGCTTTTACTTAAAGTTTGCAACAACAGAGAAATATCATAGACCATGCTCACTCAGTCCATTTGAAGGAAAATCTTAAATGCTTTGGCACACATAGCAAGGCTAAGTTTTCATCTCATGCTGTATGACTTTTCATCCTTGATAGAGAAACATATTGTTGACATCCAAGTTAATTGTGAGGCCAGCATTCAGAATAGCTTGAATATTTAACCAGCGTAGATTGAAAGCTTTTACTGCTCTTATCCCACCTCCAACACAAGCAACAAGAAAAGTTGTCTGTGTGTCATACTGTAATCATAACCCGATTTTTTATGTCAATGTGGAAAAGATGCAACTGAACATAATTTATTCACAAACCAAATATTTGATGCAACAATATGTGTCCAAACATTAATTTCAGAGTTGAAGATGTTCCAAATATTTTCATTATGTGAAATGTTGAAGACAGGATAAAGATTTCCACCAAATATTTTTTATTATGTGAAATGTTGAAGACAGGATAAAGATTTCTAATATTTACTTGTCTGCTGTCAGTCTGTACCAAATACTTAGGAGTTTATTAATACAAACATGGCTCTTGACATCATTTTCAGTAGGGTTCTGAGTTGTGCAGACATACCAGTTGATCATTCTTGATTCAAAAGAATTTTACTACAGGCGAGCTTATAAATATTGACTAAATTCACAGACTTTCCCTGTAAGTCTAGAACACACTCGAGTAAACTCTGCTTGTAAGAGACTAGTAGGGAAATGAAGCAGCCAGACTTTGTGACATGTCCATTATATCAGTCACTGGTTTGTTCTGCGAGGAGCTGATTATTTATAAACTGCTTTGATACAGCCGGGAATATTGCTGATACCCAAAGCAAAGAAACGAAGGTTATACATATTCTCTAGAACATTGACTGTGGCATCAGTTCAGGGTCATGGCCATGTTTGTTCTAATGGATCCAGATGGTGTCGACTTGTACTTCACAAAGACCTCAGCAGGGTATATGGTCACAATCATTTTGAAGTAACCTCTATTTTACTTTCAAGCTTGGTGTAAATATATTTTGCTGTGGGCATTTTCATTTTAGGTATTGTTGACGACATATTATGCATTGTGGCGTTTAGTTTGCTGTAGTTCTGTAATGAATTGGCCATGTGTACCTAGGTTACCATGGTTATATAACATTTGTCTATTCATCTTTGTGCGTCACCTTTATGTATACTGAATATTTATTTTTTTTACTACTCTGTGAATATTAGTTAATGTTTCACTGTCTGTTTTGATAATTTTTCTTTTCTTTCTGCATGTAAAGATTTCATCAGATCCCAATTCATTCATGTAAACCATGTCAGCATGTTAATATATTTGTATTTAAATTGAGGAAGATCATGCTTTGTGCTATGAACCAAAATCTAGTGCTAGAGGAAGACATTGAGAACAAGTTTAACTGTTCACTCACAATGATCGATCATTTGTCACCAGCAACACCAAAAATGTCCAAGACAACAAGACCTCATTACCATGGTCACTATCACCACATTTATCAAAAGAGTGCAAGACAGTAACAAACCCATGATTCTAGGGAAAGATGTTTGTTCTGAATCACTTCCTCCTGAGTCATCCTTTGGAGATTCGGGGTCGTGGGGTAGCCTAGTGGTTAAAGTGTGGAGTCGTCACGCCGAAAACCTGGGTTCAATTCCCCACATGGGTACTATGAGTGAAGCCCTCTTCTGGTGTCCCCTGATGATATTGCTGGAATATTGCTTAAAGGGGCATAAAACTAAACTCACTCACTCACTTTGGGGATTCCGAGTTATAATAGCTCCATAGCAACATGATAGTTGTACAATATTAGTCCTGTGATATGTCCATCTAAAGTCAGAATTCTGCCTTCTATATTTTAATTAACATTTTCCTACCTTGATATTATTTCTGTTGAAAAAAAATGAAAAGTTTAGAGCATTAGAAATTCTTGGCTTTTCTTTCTTGAATTCTTTGGTTATGCTTCAGCCATAAGCTACAAAGTTACTTCTGGAAAGGGATGATCAGGCTCCCTAACCTTGCAATTGTTTTGCTTGTCACGTTGTTCATAATATCAATCACTGGTTTGTCTGGTCCGGACGTTTTCACTGGACTCTTCATTGATGGAATATTGTTGAGTGGTGCCCCACAACAAACAAAAGACATTGATTTTTGGAGCCACAATATTACAACATTCCTTAAGAAATGTTTATCAGGAGCTGCTTAATTTCCAAATAAATGTCCCTTGAAGGGATGAAACGGTTTACGGTATGTTGTGTTCGCTACCTTATACCGTAATGCAATCCAAACATTTTTAAACTTATTCTGACATGCCTCGAAATGATATTATTTTGTCAAAAGGTATGCCGTTCTGAAAGGTTTAGCTCTTGTCCATTTTCTGCTTAAAGTTTATATCTCATATACCGAAACGGAAACGGACCGAACGGAAGGTTTTGTACCACAATACATACCGTACTGTGGTAAGAGCGTACTTTTCACCCTTAGTCCCTTGCTTTCCTACTGATTTGGCCAACACTTTTGATGCATGTGGTGATGTGTTCTCAAGGCAATTCCAAGACAGGCTCCCAATCTGACTGAAGTGCTAAACCATTTAGATTAGATCTGGATCAGTGTCGTAATGGAATTGTATTCATAGTCATGTAATGCCAGGCTACTGAACTTCAGGTAGTATTTAATATTTTGATATTGTATATATCAGTGTGTTGTCTCTCTAGTCTACCAAATCAACAGAAATAAATTTGGTGACATTATGGGTTTTGCTTGTCTCTTTTTATCAAGATATCATCAAGATTTACTTTTCGATAGGAAATTCACATTATCCACAGCTTTTTCATAGGACAAGAGCCTGGTGGAAAGCTCCGTCTTTTTTTTAATCCCCCTCAACGCATTTTGCGGGTTATTAACATGGACACCGTCCGTGCACATTTGTCTTTTCCAGAGCAAAACTCTTAAACCATTCAATATTTCTTCACCAAACTTGGCACATAGATAGATCTGGTGGTGTACTGGTGCCTTTTGGTATTTTGGGAATTCTGAATGAAATATTTTTGGCGTTTCCATGGCAACAAGTTCGACTTAGAATGAAATTAGTGGTAGTGATCTTTTCCGGAGCAGAAGTCTAAAACCATTCACTATTCTTCACCAAATTTGGCACATAGATTGGTCTGGTGGTGTACTGGTGCCTTTTGGTAGTTTTGGAATTCTGAATAAAATATTTTTGCTTTTCCGTGGCAACAAGTTTGACTTAGCCTGAAATTGGTGCTAGTGCGCTTTTCCGGAGCAGAACTCTAAAACCGTACAATGTTTCTTCACCAAACTTGGCACATACATAGATCTGGTGGTGTACTGGTGCCTTTTGGTAGTTTTGGATTTCTGAATAAAATATTTTTGGCAAGTTTGAGGTGAGGTGAAATTGAATTTAACGTCGTGCTTGAGAATATTTTGCTCATATGACGACGTGCATGCGTGTGTGTGTGTATGTGCGGCTGCTTGTACTAGCCCAGACTTAAGCTGGTTTTATAGTGCTAGCCCACTGAGATACCATGCCGCAGTGAAGCATGGATACCCCATCAGACACATTATACTGACTCCGAGCCGACCAGTCCTTGTACCCATTAATGCCGAGCGCCAGGCAGGGACCAACAAGTACCATATTTTAACGTCTTTTGGAAGAAATTAGACTGATACATCCATTTACCATGATTGTCTCAGGGCCACCCTCCTGTGGGAAAACCTACATAGTGAAGCAGCTTTTAGAACGGATGAACATTAAACCTTATCCTGAATGTACTATATGGCTCTACAAACGTTGGCAGCCATTGTATAATGCCATTCAAGCCTGTGTTTATCCCTACGTTGAATTTCATCAAGGCATTCCTTCTGATCTCGAAAAGGATGAGTTTCTGAACCCAAGTGTTGTGAACGTTGTCGTGCTCGATGACTTAATGTCTACTGCCAGCAAGGATCCACGCATTACAGATCTTTTTACTGAAGGAAGTCACTTTCGTAATCTCTCAGTGATAGCCTTGAACCAGAATTTGTATGACAGTAAGGATCACACACAACGAAGAAACTCATTATCTGCTTCTGTTCAACAACCCTATTGATCAACAACCCATCATGACTTTGGCGAGGCAAATGTATCCAGGTAACACAGACCATTTCAAAGGGCTACCCAGAAACCTTATGGATACTTGTTGGTTGATCTAAAACCCCAAACATCTCCCCATTTGCGACTTTTTCCCAAATGCATTCAGTTTAAAAGGAGGCCTCTAAGCTAGGACAATTCAGTCCGAGTTAGACCTTCAGAGTGAGCAGACGTGGCAAGAAAACCTCCCAACAATGCCATCTTGTGATGACTGTGGACTCGTGTTGTGTGAAGTGGAAGGAAGACGACAACTTCTCTGCTGTGAAGTCACCACGTCTCTGCTGTGAACACTGTCAGAAGACTTAAAATTGATGATGATGATGAAGACATGACATCTGATGTAGGTTCTGGACAGGACTTTGAGGAAGGACAATTAGACAATTAGCACAACATGTAAAGTAGACATTTGGGAGATCTCCTATCCTAAAGCCTACTCATTTGAAACGGAGCTAATAAACAATGAAATCTGTATATCTTTCTTGTTTCTTAATGTATTGTACCCGTGAAGGTCCGGGTTAGAATGAACCTTCAGTAACCCATGCTTGTCGTAAGACTAACGGGATGGGGTGGTCAGTCTCGCTGGCATGGTTGACACATATCATCATATCCCAACTGGGTAGATCGATGCTCATGCTGTTGATCACTGGATTGTCTGGTCCAGACTCGGTTATTTACAGACCATATAGCTGGGATATTACTGAGTGCAAGATAAAACTAAACTCACTCACTCACTTAATGCATTAATTGCTGGAGGATTGACATGAGACAACTGTTCATTGTACAAATCTTTGTTTTACAACTGATACATAATCCTCCCTATGTCACTGAATACATTTAACCTACAGTACAATTCTTAACACCAGGAGGTCCCAACCTCTTCATACCCCACACAATACAGTCACAAGAAGCTTACACCAGTATTTCATTGTACTGTCTGTGGAATAAGAGCAGCTAACGGCATGTGAGTAACCTATGTGTCACATGATGTCAGTCAAATAAGTGTCATATATAGCATTCATGGACATAAGATGCTTTTTTGATGTTTGCAGTTTGAGAGTAAAGTTCAACTTTAAAATTTTGAGTAAAAGCATTGGAAAGTTTTACAGGAGAACACATGTAGGTTTGTTTTCTTATTCAGTAATATATATGACAAATGCTAAATAATTTCATCACTGTACAACCACTTGACACCCTACTTGAGATATTCAGTGACCATCAGTCCTCAACTGCTTAATTACTATTTCCTGTATTTAATTCCGGTCAGACACTTCTCTCCCTACATAACGGAAGCTGACCACTTGTCAGCATACATTCAACATCACATTGAAACTTATCGACAGGAATTCCATGTACACATTATTACAGTCTGACCTTTAAACAACGGAAGCTGACCATTTGTGACACAACATTCGCCACCACGCTAAAAATTATCAACAACCATTCCATGTACACATGATTACAGCCTGACCTTTAAATTACAATAAAACAATTTCTGGTCACGTTGAACCGGCTAACTTTGCGAGCACAGGAAGCTAAACACATCAACTCTCCCAGGTCCGCACCAACTGTCACCTACTTGAACATATCTGTACTCGCATAAGTCATTGTGATACAAATGACAGCATTAAATGCTTAAAATGGTGGTCAGTTTTAATGACTAGATGGAGGTGCTTTTAACAAAAATAACACATATTTCACCCAATCACAGCTGTCACATGTCTCTTCTGTAAATTATGCGAGGTCCTACTGTTAAATTATGGAATTCATTACCGGCTGAACATAGAGAATCACCGTGCCTATCGAGATTCAAAATGTACTTTAAATGATTCTAATATCTACAGTCATTTTGACTTAAATTTCGGTAGCAGATTTTGTCAAATCATTCATTCTCGTCTCCGACTTGAATGTAGTGACCTAATGCGCACAAATATGAAAGATTTATATCTCCAACATCATCTTGCTCTTGTGGCCACAACTATGAAGACTCTGATCATTATTTCTTCTCATTTACTCTTTACAACGATCGATATACGTCAAATTTTGTAGGTTTATACTAAAGGATTTGACCTAAAATCAATTTCGTTTGGAAACCAAAAGCTGTTCCTCGATAGTAAACAAAGAACTTTTAATTTCAGTGCACTCGTTTATAAATTTAACAGGCCGATTTGATCCAAAATAATTTCTTCATATGACATATACTGTTTAACAATGATTGGCGTTATTTCTCGTTTTTGCAATATTTATATAATCATTCACATTGTACATTCATTATGACATGTTTACTCTTCCTTCCATTGTATCCCGGAGCGGTATTCATATAAGCTTATGCTTGTTTACCAATCCGGTTCCTTTCTTTGGAAATAAATATGTTTAAATCACATGTCTCTTCAGTTACGGCCCGGCTCAGCGAGCAAGCGATTCTACTCTTAGTAGTAGTAGTGCATAGACTGCGCCCCATTCACGCACGCAATAATCATATACGGGCCCACATGGCGCATGAATTTTATTTGCTAACAGCTACAATCGTTTATTGTTCACAGATATTGAAACATTCGGAGTTGTTCCTTGTGTACCAAATCACCAATGACAGCGTATTTTAAACTGGCAAGTGATACATTTGATTTAAAAGAAGGCGCTCTGAGATTTTCACAGCTTTTGACCTAATAAATAGCAACTAATTTCCCCTCATATGCATAGTGTGAAATTAATTCTACGTTGAAAAAAAAGATTTTGCCGTGTGAACACTCGAGTCGGCAAACTCATACCACTCATAAAATAATTGAATAATAATCACAGCCCACTAAGGTCAACCTGAAGGTCACACACACACACCTGGGTCGGAAGGAGACTCCCAAAGGAGGGTGGGGTTTAAGGCCTTAAGTTCAACAGTCGATTAGGTCACACAAAGGTCACACATATGTGTGATTCAAAACAAAATGGCCGACCAAAATGTGCTCAAAAACACACACACACACACACACACACTCTCTCTCTCTCTCTACGTCTTCAGCAACCCATGTGCTTGCCATAAAAAGGCGACTATCTTGTCGTAAGAGGCGACTAACGGGATCGGGTGGTCAGTTTAGCTGACTTGGTTGACACATGTCATCGGTTCCCAATTGCGCAGATCGATGCTCATGCTGTTGATCACTGGATTGTCTGGTCCAGACTCGATTATTTACAGACCGCCGCCATATAGCTTGAATATTGCTGAGTGCGGCGTAAAACTAAACTCACTCACTCTCTCTCTACAACATTCACTCAGTTTAGAATTGATTTTCAGTAACCCATGCTTGTGTAAGAGGCGACCAACGGGATCGGGTGGTCAGGCTGCCTGACTTGGTTAAAACATGTCATCGTATCCCAATTGTGTAGATTGATGCTCATGGTGTTGATCACTGGATTGTCTGGTCCAGACTCAATTATTTATACAGTCCGCTGCCATTTAGCTGGAATATTGCTGAGTGCAGCTTAAGACAACAAATCAACCAACCAACTTTTCAATTTTAAAGGAACTATCCAAATCATATATATTCAGGGACTAAACAATAGTCTGATCATAGTCCTAAGGGAACATTGCATATTTTAACAAGCAGGGGCGGATACAGTGTGTGTGTGTGTTGCACAATATTGAGAAAAGGGGGGTGGGGTGGGATCACTTCAGTTTCACGTGAGTTTCAATGGTCATTAAATATACTTTCAGGACGGGGGGGGTCCCCCCCACCACCCCCTCTGGATCCGCCTATGTAACAAGCAATGTGTTTCTGTCAATAATTACTTTTCAGCCACCATCTTCAATGACAGTGGGTATACCGTAACTCTCCTCATATTCTCAGAAACACTTGACAAAAATTAATATGCTGTTGTAAAATAGTATTAAGTATTTTTTATGCTTTGTTGATAAAGTAATGTTGAATGATAATGCTCCAGTGGATAATAGTAACTTCATGTGGAATCTAACTAAAATGCATGTATTAAATGATATTTCATGATACTTTCCTGAGTTTACAAGTGAACGATTGGTAATAATGGTAGTCGGTATCAGTATATATTTTGTATATTTGAAATGTTAGTGAAAAAGTTTTAAAAAAAAAAAAAAAAAAGGTTGAGGGGGCACCCGGGATCGAACCGGGGACCTCTCGATCTGCAGTCGAATGCTCTACCACTGAGCTATACCCCCAAGACGAGCTAAATGGGCTAAAATTCACGAGTTATTGCACTGGGAAAAATATTATTCTCAGGCTGGGCCTGGGATTTCGATATTTAAAAAACACAAACAGTTTGTCGTTATCTCAAACACTGAGGTATTAGCAATAGTAGGGTATTACAGAATAATTCAATCTTTACGATCACATCCGAACGGTCAACTTGTTGTCAATGGCAACAGACACTGTATACAACATCCGGGTCCTTTCAATATGGCCGCGTTGTGTTGACGCTATCAGTGATTCAACACACTCGCATTCGAGGATTACTTTTTATATAATTATATCAGCGTCTAGCACTGACAATAAGGTGAGTATATACCTGTGTAATTGCATTGTTTTAGCACCCTGTTTGCTTGATTCAAGCCTTTTGGATGATGTAGGTTCTCAACTCTAGCAGAAGGAACGGTTGGATACACCGAGCACCTTGCTTTGTCGAGTCCTCTGTTTTGGTATCCAAGGCAGTTTTCACTCTCCCTGTGTCGTGAAAATGGGCAAATGAGCATTTTGTGTAAATAATGTTTCTGCTGTCACTGACTTCGTTCATTAACATTCACGTTGCAAAGTGACATTGTTATGAACATGCTTTTAGGGAAGATTGGGCATCCCCAAATTCATTCATCTTTTCGTGTCAGCTGCTCTATAGATCCATGCCAATACTGTTACAGTTACCAATTATGATTTGAACTGCACTTCTAGATTGATAACAAACAGTAAAACATTTTTTTTAAAACACTCTACCTGTTTCTTCAAATTCAGACATCACGCTATGTTTCATCTGCAGTCATCTATAATAATTACTAACTCATAATGAAAACCAGTTTGAAAGTAGCAGGAGGTCCTCAAAATAATATTCTTTTCAATTTCTTTTGATGTAACTAAACTTACTTGGAGGTAATTTGGTGGTAGGTAGTTGTATTGTTTTTAGAAATATTTTATGAATATATGGATACTCTACAGTATTGGCACTCACATGCACATTCATCATCAGTCTGTCAAGAATATAAAGATTATTATTAGCAGCATGTGGGAAACTATTTCTGTACAAAATAAGATTTCTTGAAGCAGTCATAACATGCAACAGATTGGAAAGCAGATGTAGTTATAAGACTGCCTGCTTTATTTGACCGCCTCCGTGGTGTAGTGGTTAGAGCGTCCGCCCGGAGAGCGGAAGGTCGCGGGTTCAATCCCCGACCGCGTCATACCAAAAGACGTTAAAATATGGTACTTGTTGGTCCCTGTCTGGCTCTCAGCATTAATGGGTACAACAAGGACTGGTCGGCTCGGAGTCAGTACAATGTGTCTGAGTGGGGTATTCATGCTTCACTGCGGCATGGTACTATCTCAGTGGGCTAGCACTATAAAACCAGCTTAAGTCTGGGCTAGTACAAGCAGCCGCACATACACATACACACGCATGCACGTCGTCATATGAGCGAAATATTCTCAAGTACGACATTAAACCCAATTTCACCTCACCTCACCTTATTTGATGCTGCCACTTCATCTTTAGGTGTGAACCATGTCTGACACGGAGGGCAAGGAAACAGACAAGGAGAAACTGTCAGCTGAACAGTCGGAGAAAGATGAGGTAATTTGATTTTTGTGTGCTACTTACATAGATAATTGTTATATGTGATTGTAATCAATGTTAACATGAAAATTTGAAAGGAATGTTGAACCAAAAGTACTAAGAGATAAGTAATTAATCCTGTATAGAATTCCTTACATGATTATGTTGTCTTGGGTTTTATATCTGAAATTAACTTATCTTAGAAAAGTAATATTGCAGACAGAGAAGCAAAATGAATGTGAGTCACCTTATTGTCAGAATTAAAGAACCAACATGTATATTAAGTGTGTGAAACAATTTTTTGCAATTATGATATTTTCTGTTGGACCATTGTGTTTATTGCTGCTTTTGTCCTGTTGGCATTCAAGACAATTTTCATTTGTCAAAGCCTGTCTAGACATGATAAACAGCAGTACCATTACACAATGAATTCAGCTTCTGATTAGCCTGGTTTACACACCATACTGCCATTCTGTTTGATGTGATTGGCTTGCCGCATCATGACTGACCCCGTTTGTGCTTTCATTGACCATATTGAAAGTCTGCTTAGTAGACAGAGCTACTGTTGTCACACCAATGTATTTCACAATACATAGATCATTTTAACTTTTGAATAATTCTTTAAAGGCAAGATATACAGGATTTACCAGCTTCAGGATTGTGGTGTACAGAAACATTCCGTTCATTAGATCCTGTTAGTGATGCAATTGTAACTGTATACTGGTATATCACAATACGCTTTTTAAACAATATTGCAATATTTTTTCTGAGAACCGGTATATTGGATTATATTGCGGTATGAAGTTTCTGTGATTATCTTTATGGTTTAAATTAAAATCTACACAAACTTTTATTCACAACAAATGTTTTCCTTCGTTATAATATTTAATGATAAAACAACATACTGTAATATTATAAATTATCTAAAAAAGAAAATAGAATCCATGACTAATTAGCCTAATTTTGAGATTGCTGTTGTCAGAACCATAACATACATGTTTAGGGACTTATAATGTAGAAAATAGGAGTGACATGCACAATTAGTGTCACTCACAGTCAAACAGTCTTAAGTTCCCAATATATCGCAATATGGTTACCTGAATCGCAATATGTTGCAAAACAGTTTATTTGCCAATACACAGTCCTACATGTTACAGATATATTGAGTTGTTGTCATAAAATGTTGGGTTATTCTCTTAAATAATGATGATGAGGCTGATTCCTGGTGAGATCAGGTTAGAATTTGATAAGACACTTAGTAATACAGAAGACTTTAAGTTTGCGATATTTGTTTTAGGATACAAGCCCTAAGAAACCAGCCACTCCATCCTCTGTCAAATCTAAGAGCCCCACTCCCTCTGGTCCTGGGAGTGCCAGGACTGGGAGTAAGTCAGGGAGTAAGCCTGGGAGTGGAGTTACCAAGGGAGTGAAGAGTCCACAGTCTAGCGCTAAGAGTAAAACTGCTCCGAAGGCAAATGCGAAAGGTATATGGGAAATTTGTGGCTGTTCATATTATTGGAACATATTTTTCCTCATGAAAAGAAATAAATAAGATATTTCTTAATGCTCATGTTGAAAACTTATCATGCATTGATGTTGCTGGTTGACTTCCTGAATGTGAAAAAATAATTGTGCGATGTATATTTTGTTGACAATCTCAAAGTAATCTTGTTGTGTACCAGTAGGTTTATATGTATTTATATATTATTTATTTTTTACTTGTATTGATTGGTATATTTTGTAGGGGATTTAGGTGGTAATTGAAGCATTGTTTGAAATGAATGAACTCTAGAGCTAAAAACTGTAAAAATCTAGTGACTGTGGATTTGAATAATACAGGTAATATCTCTGTTAATGTCCAAAGCTAAAAACTATCAACTGCATCTGAAATAATTATTTTGCATACTAGCCTTGCTTAAAGTAACTGTCATATCTGTGCAGGGAAGGGCAAATCCAAGTCTGAAGATAAGCGTGAAGATACGCCTGCTGCCAGCACCACTGCCGACGACACAGAGGAAGATGGTCAGTTGGAGTTAGTTGTCATCAGCATGTAGACTCTAAATGTTGGAGAAGCATGAGAGACTGTTGTGTTCAAAGTTACTTGTTAAAAATAGACTTATGTCAAAGGAATCTTTGAAACATTAGCAAACTCTTTCGAAATTGTTGTGTTATGTATTTACCTTGGAATATCCTGGCAAATGTGGTGTTGCATGTTTAGGTTGTAAAGAGCAGTATCCCTTTAAAGTCACTGGTATGTCATATAGCAATCCATTGTGTGATATTGTTCCTTGTTTAAAGTGACAGGCCTTCATATTTGGAATAGTGAGTTGACTATTTGCCACAGTCATCTCATTATATCTAAATGTCAATTCCGCATATACCAAATAACAGTCCAGTTTTACCCATGTCCCAGTCTACCCACTTATTCCTGTTCCAGTCTACTGCATACCTGTCCCATACTAGACTGCAAGACTATACCCCATTCTGTCCCATTATACCAATGTCATACCTGTCCTGTATTCTACCTTTTCGGGCGGTGGGGTAGCTTAGTGGTTAACAAGTTCGCTTGTCAAGCCGAAGGCCCGGGTTCGATTCCCCACATGGTTACAATGTGTTAAGCCCATCATCTGGTGTCCCCCGCCATGATATTGCTGGAATATTGCCTAAAGCGGCATAAAACCCAACTCACTCATTCACTCACAAGTCTACCCAACAAACTTGGCCTGCAGAGTTGCTTCCCTTAGTCATACCCGTCATGGATGAGAATATCAGCTTAATTCAGCCTGATCACGATCCTTGGTTTTCACCAAAGTGATTAAACTTCTTTGATGTTCATGAATTGGATATTTATATATAACCACCATACAGCCAGTGTCATCGCCGAGACAGTTACAAAATAATGTTAACATCAACCCTCCATTGCTGTTTATTCATTCAGGAATCCCTGATGGAGTCTTTCCTCTCTTCATGGCATCCAAAACACAGGAGATCTTCCACTGTGTATGTGATGACGATGTTACGAAAGATGAACCTTTCAAGCTGATCCCCAAGCAGGACATCGTAGAGGACATGAAGATGAGAGCAGCCATCAGTGACTTCAGTGTTTTCAAGCAGCAGATCCTGGTATTCTTCTTTATATCAAACAAGGGAGATAATTGTATTGACCTACTTACTCCCTTTTTACAATTAGTGTGACATTTTGGTGTAGATACTTACACCCTCATCAAGATAGTTAGTATCTGTAACCAAACATCACACACACTAAAGTTAAATAATCTACTGAATTATCTACCTTGTTCCTCAAACCAACTTTAAAATGCCTTTTAAGGAAGTTATTCATACTTTAACATAAATTTACGTCCTTTGTGGCATACGCTTGTTTGACATTTTGTTAAAAGCACAAATGAGATGGTTACAAATTAAAATGGTATTTGATGAAAAATGTTTGAATATGTGACATCCAGGGGAGATAACTCTTTTGGATAGTTCACCATCAAGGGTTGACACAGTGCATCAGGTTGGTTGGTTGGTTTGTTGTGTAATACCACACTCAGCAATATTCCAGCTATATGGCGGTGGTCTGTAAGTAATCGAGTCTGGACCAGACAATCCAGTGATCAACAGCATGAGCATCATTCTACACTATTGGGATGCAATGAAATGTGTCAACCAAGTCAGCGAGCATGACCACCCAATCCCATCAGTCGCCTATTATGGCAAGCATGGGTAGCTGAAGACCAACTCCAACCCGGATCTTCATATACAGTGCATCAGAACCTTGACCAAACAAACGATAGTGATTTGTATGTGGGGTATCATTCAACCAGATCACCAGCACTGACCACCTGATCCATTTAGTAGAAATCTACAAATATAGAGAATCTGTTCTTCCTTGAATGCCCACAATGCAGAGATATGTGACACTGTGCATTACAATAACATTGACTGCTTGTATTGCAGGACTACCCAGGGGAAGAAATCCTCGTGGTTTATGACTACGATTTCAAATATGAGCAGAACTTCTATGTGGCGATGACAGAAGAAGCTAAAGAAAAACTACTCCATGTAAGAATGATTCAAACTATACACTTGCAATCTCTATAAGGTAACAGTATAAAACCATCCACGTTCGTCTTAACATACTGACTATTTCTGGTTTCATAATTCGAATGTAGTGATCCCTATCATGCCTATATGTACAGTGTTGCTCAATGTATAACAATTATTGGTTCCAGATACGAGAGTTTGAAATGATGGAATGGGTATAACAAGTCATTAAGAGCGACATTTTAGCTCGCATGCTAGGATTGTGCACTGTACACTCTAGTCTGACTTAATCTGCAACCAGTTATGAAATATCTATCTACAATGCATTTTTTTGCATGTGAGTTTGTGATTACTTGTGAATCTATTGTCATTGATTTTATTCTTTATTGTTTTTACATAGAAACTAGTTCTATGTCTGCATTTCTTTATAGATTGATACATAATTGTCCTAATGGTAAATGTGTATTGCATGGTTCACTGTGATGTTAGTTCCTAGTTGTTTACATTGATGAATAGCGTCAACCCACATAATGTTTACAGCAACCTACAGCTGCCATCTTGCTACCATGCATCATACCTCAGTAGTCTTGACTTGTTTGACCCTTTCTGCATGTTCTGTCACAATAGACTGTGTTATCTCCAGTACTTTGACACTACCAAGCTTTCTCCAGTACTATCTATACCCCATGCTTACTCCAGTACTATGTATATCCCATGCTTTCTCCAGTACTATGTATATCCCATGCTTTCTCTAGTACTATGTATATCCCATGCTTTCTCCAGTACTGTGTATATCCTATGCTTTCTCCAGTACTATGTATATTCTATGCTTCCTCCAGTACTATGTATATCCCATGCTTTCTCCAGTACTGTGTATGTCCCATACTTTCTCTAGTACTATGTGTATATCCCATGCTTTCTCCAGTACTATGTATATCCCATGCTTTCTCCAGTACTATGTATATCCTATGCTTCCTCCAGTACTATGTATATCCCATGCTTTCTCCAGTACTATGTATATCCCATGCTTTCTCCAGTACTATGTATATCCCATGCTTTCTCCAGTACTATGTATATCCCATGCTTTCTCCAGTACTATGTATATCCCATGCTTTCTCCAGTACTATGTATATCCCATGCTTTCTCCAGCACTATGCATATCCAATGCTTTCTTTCTGCAGTACAATGTATATCCCATGCTTTTTCCAGTACTATGCATGTATGTCCCATACTTTCTCTAGTACTATGTATATCCCATGCTTTCTCCAGTGCTATCCTTATCCTATACTTTCTCCAGTACTATGTATATCCCATACGCTTTCTCCAGTACTATGTATATCCCATGTTTTCTTCAGTATTATGTATTTCCTGTGCTTTCTGCATTATTATATTCACCCATGCTTTCTCCAGTACTGTATATATCTTATGCAGTACTTCCTCCCAGATTATAATATCCCATGCTTTCTGCATTACTATGTATATCCCATGCTTTCTCCAGTACTATGTATATCCCATGCTTTCTGCAGTACTATGTATATCCCATGCTTTCTCCAGTACCATGTATTTCCCATGCTTTCTGCAGTACCCCATGCTTTCTCCAGTACTATGTATATCCCATGCTTTCTCTACTATGTAGTACTATGTCTATCTCATGCTTTCTCCAGTACTATGTATATCCCATGCTTTCTGCAGTTCTATATATATCCCATATATGCTTTCTCCAGTACTGTGTATATCCTATGCTTTTTCAGTACTGCTACCTCCAGTGTATATCCCATGCTTTCTGCAGTACTATGTATATCCTATGCTTTCCCCAGTACTACATATATCCTATGCTTCTCAGTACTATGTATATCCCATGCTTTCTGCAGTACTATATATATGCTTTCTATGCTTTCTCCAGTACTGTGTATATCCCATGCATTCTCCAGTGCTATGTGACTGCCTCCATGGTGCAGTGGATAGAGCATCCACCCGAGAGAGTATATCGCTGGTTCGATCCCCAACCATGCTTCCATCCCCAGTACTATGCCATACATAAAAGACATTAAATGTGGTACTTGTTGGTCCCTGACTGGCATTAATGCATTAATGGGTGGTCGGCTCGAGTCAGTATAATGTGTCTGAGTGGGGTATTCATGCTTCACTGCGGCATGGTATCTCAGTGGGCTAGTACTATAAAACCAGCTTCAGTCTGGGATAGTACAAAACAGCCACACATACACACGCATGCACATTGTCATATGAGCAAAATATTCTCAAGTATGATGTTAAACCTCATTTCACCTCACCTCACCTCACCTCACCAGTACTAGGTATATGGCACGCTTTCTCCAGTACTTTGTATTACCTATGCTTTCTCGGACAGTACTATGTATTTCCTATGCTTTCTCCAGTACTATGTATATCCTATGCTTTCTCCAATACCATGTACATCCCATACTGTCGGTAGTACTGTGTACATTACATGCTATCTGCAGCTTTGTGCAATGTTTGACCATGTAGTAGACAAATTGACCCATGGTAGCTTTTTAAGGTCTCTGTTTACTTTTGGTGAACCTTGATTGCGTTTTGACCACTGGACATATGATACTCAACTGTATCCAGTCCTGTAGACAAAATGTCCTGGTTTTCAGTTTGTCTATTGCAAGGTTAATTGCCATTTTTGTCTTCCACTAACGCCCTACCTCACGACTAGTATTCTCTAACAAATATTTTTGTCAGACTATAAGACTAGTGGTTGCTTTGCATTGTTAAACTGAGCATCTGAGTGTAGCCATTTGTGAGATATCTGTTTACTAACGTGTGTATGCCTGAGTTAAGTGCTGTGTGTGTTACAGCCCCCAGTGAAGGGAAGGGAAGGAGGCGGTGAGGAAGGGGAAGAGGAGGAGGAAGAGGAGGATGTTGTGTACACATACGTGTCCCCCAGAAGCCAAGGAGTGGGTGTCCCAGGGCAGTGAGAAGGAGATTGAGGAGGAGACTGTTGTTGACAACAGGAGGAGGGTATGTTTGCTTCATGCTGAGGTGTTTACCTGTACATTCCCTGTTGGGTGAACAGATCTGCCTTTCTCAATAACCCCACCTTGCTTAGCCTGTCAGCTAATTCCTGCAAGGAATTACAATTAAATAATGTGAAGGAAATAGCATCAATAAAGTGCAGCATTACATGTCATGTTGTTAAATCAGTTTATCATTTCATACTTAGTTCCTACCATCACAGGGATGGTGGGGTAGCCTAGTGGCTAAAGCATTCTCACGTCACACCGAAGACCCGGGTTTGATTCCCCACACTGGTACAATGTGTGAAATATTGCTGGAATATCGCTAAAAGCGGTGTAAAACTAAACTCACTCACTCACTGCTACCATCACACTGAGTATGTAATGAAGTCATTCTTGATAACTACTAAGAGATCTGGACGACAAAACTTTTGGTTGCTTGTAAAAAAGTGCTAGTTTGTCATGTAAAACCAATCGTTTTGGGAGCACTTTTTTGCCTGTATGAAAGTACTATGAGTATTTCTCTTTTTGTTTGCTGATGATATTTTGGTGAAGTTCAATGTTTTCTATGTCTTTACCTATGCTGAATGCAAAAGCATCCTATGAATTACAAGTATATTTTACAAAGTGTGGCTTCCAATGTATCTTTCGTGAACAAAATGTTTCTGTGATCTCTGACAGTGACTTGAATACTGCTGACTACAGTGTAAAACAATAGTCACTCCCCTGCTTAATCCATACATGTTTAGATGAATATGTTCTCTGTGAATAGGTGAAAGTGTGCATCCGTAGAAAGAGACTAGACTTTGGTGCACCGTGTACCTTTGAGGACCGCAACGTCAGCGATGCCAAGGATGGATATGTAGAATGTACCTCGTATGAGGATAAAACATATGACTTGAAGGTCATTGAGCTGGACAAAGGGACACAGGCCATTCCTTCGATCTCAGACACTGGCACCCAGACTGACTGGAAATATCCCCGCAACGCCAACACACAGTACTACCCTCGCGAGTACTCCGAACAGGAGAGGGAGAAAATAGCATCATCCAAGCCAGTCAAGGACTTTGTGGGAACCGTCGCAGCAAGGTGGTTATTAATGCTCCCGTCTGACTTTGTTATTTTCTCTCTGTCTCTCAGAAGCTGTCTGTCTTTAAAATGAAGCCTGATGATTCTGGTTAGAATATGTCCCTTGCAATCTATTCATCAAATCTTTAAAGGGCATTGTGAAGTGGAATGCATAAGAGAAGCAAGCTTTATAGATGTCAACTTCTTTAAAGTGAATAACACAACGTTTCAGAGTGGTTGCTTGCTCACCTGATGAAAAGAGCATGCATACACTCCAAAACGTTGTGTTATTCACTTTAAAGAAGTTGACATCCATAAATCTTGCTTTTCTTAACCTATTCATGTGGTTTGTAATGACAATTGGATGGTCGACGAGAATTTCAGTATAATTAATTGAAATAATTTTTCTGCAGGTTTGAGCTGGCTCTTCAACAGAATGAAATCATGAATGTATTCTTCAATGACTGGTTGAACCTTGGAGATTCTGACAGTTTCGGCAACAAAGCAGACAATCACCTAAAGGTGGGAGCAATTTATGGTCTCATTAGTTATCAAAATGTGTATATTTATCTTGATTGTGATCTTTTATCTGTCAGCACCAGACCCATGCTGGTGGGTCTCACCAAAGTGAACACCGGCAACATGCAACACTTTTGTCTTATTTCCAAACTGTGTATCAGTGAACCTCATTGCTATGCTGTTGACAGGAGTACCAGTCCTTCACAGACCTGCAGTTCAGTAAGGAGAAGAGGATCACCAGCATACAGTGGCATCCCAGCATCAAAGGTAAGGTTCAGCACTGTATGAGCCTGGGAATCAAACCATGAGGCATCTTTTTGAAGGTTTAGGGTACAAAATCAGAGATACTTGCCTATGGACCAAACAGATGATCAATAATGTTGTCAGTTGAACACCTAGAAAATTTATTAATGGAAACAGGAACTCACTACCGTATTCACACAGACTGTCAACATTCATCTAATGACACCTTGTTGATATATTGTTGTAATGCTCCACAATAGACTGGAGAGTAGCGGAATACTATGGAATTCCAATGAATTTTGAGGGAGTGTATCTGACCTAGAATCTCCCCAAATCTCAGAACAGTTTTAACTCCTGGCAGAATAGCTCTCTCAATTATTACTTATCAAATTTTAAGTTTGGACAGTCAAAGGTTATGTTTTGTGTTTTATATCATTACAAAGTGCATTATTGTAATATATAGGTCTTGTTTTCCAATTATGTATATTTGTGTGTGATGTGGTTGAAGTATTGTTGACTCACTCACTCACTCACTACTTCACACACTCACTCACTCACATACTTTACAACTGAGTGAGTGAGTTTAGTTTTACGCTGCACTCGGCAATATTCCAGCTATATGGCGGCGGTCTGTAAATAATCGAGTCTAGACCAGACAATCCAGTGATCAACAGCATGAGCATCGATCCGCGCAATTGGGAACCGTTGACATGTGTCAACCAAGGCAGCGAGCCTGACCACCTGATCCTGTTAGTCGCCTCTTACGACGAGCATGGGTTGCTGAAGATCAATATTCTAACCTAGACCTTCATGGGTGTCACGTTACAACTGACATTTGATTGCACTGACATTTGGTTGACTTTAACACTGATAGATGATCATGTTATTAACCACTGGTTGTTCTACATCCCAACTTGATATTGATTAATTTGTTTGCTTTTGTGAACAGCTGATAGAATCAATATGGACATTGGGCTATTAACATCTGGGCATCCATGTTGTTGTGTTTCAGGTGTTGTGGCAGTTGCTGTGGCAGAGAGGTTGACGTTTGATGAGCGTATTGACAATGCAGCGAAGGTCATCATGACCCCATCACTGATTCTCATCTGGAGTTTCACGGATCCCATCCACCCACAGGTAATACTAGAGCTCTAACGAGGAAACAGTGTATAGTCTATAGATTACTCTGGGGCAGCACACCTGTCAAGCTGCTCTTTGTAATTAGGAACCTCCCTTGCATATGACTTGGATATTGTGTCCAATTATTCAGCAACAGTTTATGGTGATTATTTTTTTAATGTTGGTTTACTGACTTTTGTTTAGTTCTTACAATGATGATGGTCAAAATGTAAACGAAAAAGCCTTGACTCTGAATGAAAGGCAGATGAATGTCACCCATTGCCTGCCTAAATGACTGCACAATTAATCATGTCCTATGTAGACATGTGTTGTCATTTTTACCATACATTACAATTAATCTTCTTCTCTAAACAAACTAATTTGAGTGATATTTCATGTTCACTTTGATTTTTCATTCTTTTTTTTACCATTAGAGTCAGTGAATTAAAAAATGTGAGAAAAACCATATCAGTTTTATTTCAGTAGCTTCTTTTCATGTCAACCTGTCTGTTAACCAACAAACAAATATAATCACCACAGTAGAAAGCATTTGAGAAAGTCTGTTTTGATCACACGTAAGATCAAAGAAATTGCATGAAATTTCAAGTTGTAATGAAAAATGTAGGTGTTGATGGATTTAGCTTCATTCCCTCCCGATAAGTTTGACAGGCTGTGCTCACCTCATCATGTGAGCTGCTGTATCTGACCCTCTATGTGCTATGTCTCCAGGCTTAATTAACCAATGTCACCAATCATGACATTGACATTTTGGACAGGCACCGTTACAGAACAATCCACAGAATCTTTGGCTTAATTGAGTAAATGTTTCTCATGCAATGGATACCTTTTGCATGAGATCAGGGAACAACTGTTTTGGCTTATGGTAGTACAACATAATGATTTGGTTCCATTCACAAAAATCAGTCTTAGTCATAAGTCATAACTCCATACTTTAACATACATTTATGACAGTCATAATGCTCTGTGCATGCCTAGAGAAGTGTAAGAGTGACTTGGAGAGAAAAAGGTGATCAATTTTCTCAATATTTGCAATTCTGAGAGGGTTGGTGCATAGATGGTCAAGTTCAGTCACAGTTGTCCCCCAGTGTTGTATTACACCTTGACCCAACATGTCCTCACATCTATACTCCTCCTGGCAGCGTATTGTGTAGTGCTACATTGTACTCCATGTATTTCCCTGTGTTCCTGCTTACTGATCCTAACACAGTCCTTACCTTGCTCTAAGTGTCATATACTTTATTTTCTCTTATATTTTATAAGATTATTTCTATGTAAAAAACATGTTCAAATGACATTGATCTTTGTTCCTGTGGTTAAGAAACGTATTGGACATTTCTGTATCCAAGCTAGAAAATAGCTGATCTTACAGTTACATATATTGCTTTAGGTTAAAGGAGAATACTTTAAACGAAAACAAAACTTTTGATATATTGTAAAGGATATTCTAAAAGTCACATTTCGTGGATTAAAATTGAACAAAAGTTTGTAAAATAGCAATAAACACACAAAAAAACGTGCTCGTGATTTCCGCCAATTCACGGAAACACCCGACAGTTAATGAGCAGAGGGGTATCACGTGACATGACGCCATATGTGCCTGTTGCTGATGGCTTCTTCTTTGATTTTACCACACAACTTAACAGTGTCCATGGATTCTGAAGCAGTAAAAGATGTTCCTGATGTCTTTTCTGAAATGGATGTTAGACCGTATCAATACGATCCGATTTTACATCTTGCAAGACAATCTTCCACTGAAGATGAAGAAGAAGAATCAAGCGAAACGAAGGCACCGCTTTGAGGTCAAAATAAATTTAAACATAGACAATATCATTTAACAAGATTACTATTTGTCAGCAAAATGTCATACAGAGATAATATTAGCGGGCAGATAAGTTATTCCCCAAAAACTGGTGAATTATAAAATACTAAGCCAGGACAACGTATGTTTCCCCATTGTTTGGTTATGGAAATAGTTATGGTACTGGGTCATAGCCTTACAATGACATCTTGTCAGCCAATGGGAATACAGAACAACTTTCACGGCACACACTACTGACAAATAGCGAGTCCTGATGCCGACGCGCGTAATTGGACAAAATGGAAAACAATGAAAGCAACAAGTACTTCATGATTTGCCGTTGTATTCGGCAATGTTTTTGAGTAGACTGCATCATTTAGGGCTTCAAACCGTAAAGAACGCGTTATAAGCCCGAAACGTTTCCAAGCTCATGTGAAATCTCTTACTGATTTTGATAGTACATATCTCATGTGTACCAGTCGAACTGCCCCAGCTACAAAATGCCCAGCAAATTTTGGTCATTCATTCTAATTTGTTCGAATTTATTTAAATGATTGAATATATGCACGTAAATGCATAGTTTTTTGTCAACTTATTATGATATTATGTTCTTCATATAAAAGTTATTAGGAAGTAATATTTCTTATAAATGTTTCATTAGTAAACTCATAACTATGTATTACTTTATATATGAAGAACATAATATCAAAGTTGACAAAACTATTACATTTATGGCCTATATTTATTCATTTTAAATAAAATGGGTCATTTTGACTACCCCACTGGGCAATTTGACCAAATTTGCTTGGAGTCATTTTGTAGCGGGGCAATTCGACTGGCAATCGAACTTGATTTGATTTATGTTAAAAATACCACTGACAGTAAGTTGTTACAGGGAATGATGGAGTATAAAATGAATCTCATGGGTACTTTTTCCTTCTTCAGCCTAGCTTTGGGATTTCAATACCCAGTGTGTGCATGTCTCTTTCATATCGCTCGATTTCGGAATGATCGTCAAGATTTCTCCTGCGAAATCTGTCATTTCACTTGGAAAACGGAAGAAATGGTGGTTCTGTTCCATGTTCGATGATGCCGTGCATCCCCAGGCAACGCTTAATACACCATCGCATACCATTTAAAAATGACAGAAACAACACGATTTGTACTACTGTAGCAGCTTTGGTCTTTGGCAATATGGGGACTCAGGGCACATTTGATCCACGAGCGAAAGGTCACGTGGGTTCCAGCGAAATATGCATAATGGCTTCGAGAGCTGAGATTTACATAAACTGTTTTCTGATTAAATCCATAATTATACATAATTTTTAATTGGAAATTTGGGAATATGTTTCTGATGACTTAATCTTTCACCCAGCAAATTATTGCAATTCAATCGTATTCTCCTTTAAATACAAGATTAACCTTTCCATCATACAATCTTACAAAGGATAGATCTGGAATGAAAATATTTTCATAATGTGATCATTTGATTTTGCATTTTCTTTATGACATATTTATGAGTAAGTTTGCATTCATGCGAATAAACTACCCAGTGCTTTTCATGTTGTTGAATACATCCATTTCACCTCACATGACCTTAAATCAAGTGAGGTTATGTCCTGACCTGGATGTTTGTTGTAAATATCATCTCTGGCTCAACCCTGGAACTATGAATCTGAGACTAACATGCTCATTACAAGCTATGATGACATGCAGTGTCAAATTTTGAAAAAGACTGCAATGGAGGCTTATTGAAAGAACCTATTTATGGCCACCAACAGTCTGCTTTGTTAGAAATGTTAATAAAATCTATAGATGAAGGTAGTTAGGGGTTTAACATATATATTCATTTTTTTCTATTTACAATTGTGTCCTTCATTTTACCTTAGGACTCTGAAGAAAAGGACCCTTACCATACTGAAAGCTTATTATGACCATTTTCTTTCCCAATTTAATGTGATCTGTGTTTGTATATTGTGTGGGGCTCAGTTTGAATGTTTCTTTGAATCTAGTGAGCTACAGTACCATAGTACTAACTTTTATTATGGGTGGGGACAAATCCATAAACCAGTTAAAAATATGTTGTAATGATAACATAAACTTTACAGAGCATGATTGTGTCCATTCTCTTTCCCACAGAGGTTACTCCTGTCATATCTTCCTAATGTAACCTCCCCTGTTCTAATAATGGCCCTTTCATGGTGTGAGCTGCTTCAAGACTCATTGATTGGAGGCAATCAGATTTAGTTGTGCAATCAGCGAAAGAGCATGATTGTGGCAGCTTAAGTGTGGGAATATGAAATGTGTATCATGAAATATACATGACTTGTAGATTGCAACCATTGATCAAAGGTCAGATCCAGCCCAGGTAAATGTTGTCCAGATCAGACAATTACTGCAACGACATAGAGTGAATGGTATAGATAATGGCATGAATATTCATTTTCAAATTACATATTTGTTTTATGAATTCCTAGATGTTGTTATTTAGAGTAGTAGAGTTGTGTTTTTTACCTCATGTAGCAATTGGAATGAAATTTTGTAGTATATTAGTTTACTATGGTGTCTACTCAATGTTGCTGTCTTCCTGTAGTCTAGACCTAGAATACCATGATATATAGTATAAGTAGTTGCCTGAATATTGTACCGTATACCCAATACCCACAATGCACTACTTTCATGCACAGCATCCTCCTCCATGCATGTTCTCATTTGTCATGTTCATCATGCATAACAGTGTCTTTATAAACAGACCCATGAAGATCCGGGGTAGAATAGGTCTTCAGCAACCCATGCTTGTCACAGAAGGCGACTATGCTTGTCGTAAGAGGCGACTAACGGGATCGGGTGGTCAGGCTCGCTGACTTGGTTGACACATGTCATCGGTTCACAATTGCGCAGATCGATGTTCATGATGTTGATCACTGGATTGTCTGGTCCAGACTCGATTATTTACAGACCGCGGCCATATAGCTGGAATATTGCTGAGTGCGGCGTAAAACTAAACTCACTCAATCACTCTTTATAAACAAACCTTGCCTAGATTTCTACACTCATCATGCAAATGCCTAGATTACGTATATCTGTATCTGTACGAGTATGTGATTGATAATGTGCTTAAAATTTGTTTGAATTCATTTGTATATACTAATGTTGGAATTTGTACATACATGACTTAAAAGAAGAACACCCAGTTCTTTCATGGTACTATACTTCATGGCATTACAGATGAACTAATAGTATTATGGAAGAATCATGTGTTCTTTAGCATCTTTTAGATGGTGTATATTAAAAATAGTATTCTTTATAGAATAAAGTAATAAAACCTTATGTTCCTGGAATGTAACAACTAAATGAGGCCAAAATATTATAGAAACATATAAGATAAAAAAAACCAGTAATTTTGAGTATTTCATCCTTGCCACTTAAATTCAAAGCCTCTCTTCTGCTCAATTTGACATGACTTGTTAATGATTCAGACTGACCCTGCCCTGTATGACCCTGGGTCATCAATGACTCCATACTGTCCTTTAAGCCTCACTGTAGGAGTGGATGGGATGAAAGTCAAGTAGTCAATAACAGAGACATTGCTTTACTGTTTATAATACAACTTTTAAGATTTCTGTTCTATTATAACTTGAAAAAGTCAAATTCACACACCAAATACAATTTATTTTGAAATTTGACTTAGGAACTCAGTGGGGTTTCTCCCATGTCGCGTTATATTCCTTTCTGAAATCCAAAGGTATACTTTCTTATAAAGATGGAAAGCAAATAGAATTACAGAATTTCTGCCAATATGAATGTATTTTGTAGTTTGAGGGAAACAGTAATTAATTCCAAATATACGTGACCATGGTAACATGTTTTATGTCCTTGACCCCTGCAGCTTCTGCTAGAGGCCCCGGATGACATCTACAGTTTCCAGTTCAATCCAGTTGACCCCAACATCATCGTTGGCGGCTGCTGTAACGGTCAGGTGGTATTATGGGATATCTCTGCTCATGCTGATCGACTAAAAGCTCCTCGAGGAGGTCACCGGAAGAAGGAGAAGAATGTACTGGTAAGTAGAATACTCTCGGAATACACATGTGTTTTTGGGACTGGGTTTGATTTTCCACAAAGTAAAATGCTTACTTTCATCCATGTGACACGTGTTTTACTATTGCCAAATCCTTCGTGGCACCATTCTCACCTTCTCTGCTGTTTGTCTCTATTTGTTGATTCTTCTTTACCCACTTTTTATGATAGTAAACTTATCTCTATTTCAGCCAGGCTTTGAAGACCCCAATGCCCTGAAGACCCCTATAGTCAGGTACTGTGCAGTCTCCAGCATAGAGCACAGCCACAAGGCAGCCATCACAGACATTCAGTGGGTTCCTGACCACATGGAGGTGAGGCTGGCAGCAGGATGTCTTTGATATATTTGGAGGTGTCAGTGTGAGGCAGACACCAGGTGTCATAGAAACAGGTGTGAGAGATAGGGGAGCCTTTGTTAGGGTGAAAAGTGTCATTGTGAGGATATCAGGGTGTCATTGTACTGAGTGAGTGTTTTACGCAGCACTCAGCAACATTCCAGATATATGGCAGCAGTTTGTAAATAATCAAGTCTGGACAAGACAATCCAGTGATCAACAGCATGCGCATCGATCTACACAACTGGGATACGATGACATGTGTCAACCAAGTCAGCGAGTCTAAAGACCCGATCCAATTAGTCGCCTCTTACGACAAGCATGGGTTACTAAGGGTGTCATTGTATGGCTGATAGGGTGTCACTGTGCGGCTGAAAGGGTGTCATTGTGAGTGAGTTTAGTTTTACGCCGCACTCAGCAATATTCCAGCTATATGGCGGCGGTCTGTAAATAATCGAGTCTGGACCAGACAATCCAGTGATCAACAGCATGAGCATCGATCTATGCTATTGGGAACTGATGACATGTGTCAACCAAGTCAGCGAGTTAGACAATCCGATCTCGTTAGTCGCCTCTTACGACAAGCCTGGGTTACTGAAGATCAATATTCTAACCCGGATCTTCATGGGTATTGTCATTGTGAGGCAAATAGGGTGTCATTGTGATCTGGCAGGGTGTCATGAGTGGCCAGGTGTCATTCTGCAGCTGATACAGTGTCATTGTGAGGTGGCAGGGTGTGGTGAGTGGCCAGGTGTCATTCTGCAGCTGATACAGTGTCATTGTGAGGTGGCAGGGTGTGGTGAGTGGCCAGGTGTCATTCTGCAGCTGATACAGTGTCATTGTGAGGTGGCAGGGTGTGGTGAGTGGCCAGGTGTCATTCTGCAGCTGATACAGTGTCATTGTGAGGTGGCAGGGTGTGGTGAGTGGCCAGGTGTCATTCTGCAGCTGATACAGTGTCATTGTGGAGGTGGCAGGGTGTGGTGAGTGGCCAGGTGTCATTCTGCAGCTGATACAGTGTCATTGTGAGGTGGCAGGGTGTGGTGAGTGGCCAGGTGTCATTCTGCAGCTGATACAGTGTCATTGTGAGGTGGCAGGGTGTCATGAGTGGCCAGGTGTCATTCTGCAGCTGATACAGTGTCATTGTGAGGTGGCAGGGTGTCATGAGTGGCCAGGTGTTATTCTGCAGCTGATACAGTGTCATTGTGAGGTGGCAGGGTGTGGTGAGTGGCCAGGTGTCATTCTGCAGCTGATACAGTGTCATTGTGAGGTGGCAGGGTGTCATGAGTGGCCAGGTGTCATTCTGCAGCTGATACAGTGTCATTGTGAGGTGGCAGGGTGTGGTGAGTGGCCAGGTGTCATTCTGCAGCTGATACAGTGTCTTTGTGAGGTGGCAGGGTGTGGTGAGTGGCCAGGTGTCATTCTGCAGCTGATACAGTGTCATTGTGAGGTGGCAGGGTGTGGTGAGTGGCCAGGTGTCATTCTGCAGCTGATACAGTGTCATTGTGAGGTGGCAGGGTGTCATGAGTGGCCAGGTGTCATTCTGCAGCTGATACAGTGTCATTGTGAGGTGGCAGGGTGGCAGGTGAGGTGCCAGGTGTCATTCTGCAGCTGATACAGTGTCATTGTGAGGTGGCAGGGTGTGGTGAGTGGCCAGGTGTTATTCTGCAGCTGATACAGTGTCATTGTGAGGTGGCAGGGTGTGGTGAGTGGCCAGGTGTCATTCTGCAGCTGATACAGTGTCATTGTGAGGTGGCAGGGTGTCATGAGTGGCCAGGTGTCATTCTGCAGCTGATACAGTGTCATTGTGAGGTGGCAGGGTGTCATGAGTGGCCAGGTGTCATTCTGCAGCTGATACAGTGTCATTGTGAGGTGGCAGGGTGTCATGAGAGTAGCCAGGTGTCATTCTGCAGCTGATACAGTGTCATTGTGAGGTGGCAGGGTGTGGTGAGTGGCCAGGTGTTATTCTGCAGCTGATACAGTGTCATTGTGAGGTGGCAGGGTGTCATGAGTAGCCAGGTGTCATTCTGCAGCTGATACAGTGTCATTGTGAGGTGGCAGGGTGTGGTGAGTGGCCAGGTGTCATTCTGCAGCTGATACAGTGTCATTGTGAGGTGGCAGGGTGTCATGAGTGGCCAGGTGTCATTCTGCAGCTGATACAGTGTCATTGTGGAGGTGGCAGGGTGTGGTGAGTGGCCAGGTGTCATTCTGCAGCTGATACAGTGTCATTGTGAGGTGGCAGGGTGTCGTGAGTGGCCAGGTGTCATTCTGCAGCTGATACAGTGTCATTGTGAGGTGGCAGGGTGTGGTGAGTGGCCAGGTGTCATTCTGCAGCTGATACAGTGTCATTGTGAGGTGGCAGGGTGTCATGAGTGGCCAGGTGTCATTCTGCAGCTGATACAGTGTCATTGTGAGGTGGCAGGGTGTGGTGAGTGGCCAGGTGTCATTCTGCAGCTGATACAGTGTCATTGTGAGGTGGCAGGGTGTGGTGAGTGGCCAGGTGTCATTCTGCAGCTGATACAGTGTCATTGTGAGGTGGCAGGGTGTGGTGAGTGGCCAGGTGTCATTCTGCAGCTGATACAGTGTCATTGTGAGGTGGCAGGGTGTGGTGAGTGGCCAGGTGTCATTCTGCAACTAATACAGTGTCATTGTGAGGTGGCAGGGTGTGGTGAGTGGCCAGGTGTCATGCTGCAGCTGATACAGTGTCATTGTGAGGTGGCAGGGTGTCATGAGTGGCCAGGTGTCATTCTGCAGCTGATACAGTGTCATTGTGAGGTGGCAGGGTGTCATGAGTGGCCAGGTGTCATTCTGCAGCTGATACAGTGTCATTGTGAGGTGGCAGGGTGTCATGAGTGGCCAGGTGTCATTCTGCAGCTGATACAGTGTCATTGTGAGGTGGCAGGGTGTCATGAGTGGCCAGGTGTCATTCTGCAGCTGATACAGTGTCATTGTGAGGTGGCAGGGTGTCAGTGAGTGGCCAGGTGTTATTCTGCAGCTGATACAGTGTCATTGTGAGGTGGCAGGGTGTCATGAGTGGCCAGGTGTTATTCTGCAGCTGATACAGTGTCATTGTGAGGTGGCAGGGTGTCATGAGTGGCCAGGTGTTATTCTGCAGCTGATACAGTGTCATTGTGAGGTGGCAGGGTGTCATGAGTGGCCAGGTGTTATTCTGCAGCTGATACAGTGTCATTGTGAGGTGGCAGGGTGTCATGAGTGGCCAGGTGTTATTCTGCAGATGATCATTGTGAGTGTCATTGTGTCAGGTGGCAGGGTGTCTGCAGAGTGGCCAGGTGTCATTCTGCAGCTGATACAGTGTCATTGTGAGGTGGCAGGGTGTCAGGGTGAGTGGCCAGGTGTCATTCTGCAGCTGATACAGTGTCATTGTGAGGTGGCAGGGTGTGGTGAGTGGCCAGGTGTCATTCTGCAGCTGATACAGTGTCATTGTGAGGTGGCAGGGTGTGGTGAGTGGCCAGGTGTCATTCTGCAGCTGATACAGTGTCATTGTGAGGTGGCAGGGTGTGTGAGTGGCCAGGTGTCATTCTGCAGCTGATACAGTGTCATTGTGAGGTGGCAGGGTGTGGTGAGTGGCCAGGTGTCATTCTGCAGCTGATACAGTGTCATTGTGAGGTGGCAGGGTGTCATGAGTGGCCAGGTGTCATTCTGCAGCTGATACAGTGTCATTGTGAGGTGGCAGGGTGTTGGTGAGTGGCCAGGTGTTATTCTGCAGCTGATACAGTGTCATTGTGAGGTGGCAGGGTGTCATGAGTGGCCAGGTGTCATTCTGCAGCTGATACAGTGTCATTGTGAGGTGGCAGGGTGTCATGAGCGGCCAGGTGTCATTCTGCAGCTGATACAGTGTCATTGTGAGGTGGCAGGGTGTCGTGAGTGGCCAGGTGTTATTCTGCAGCTGATGCAGTGTCATTGTGAGGTGGCAGGGTGTGGTGAGTGGCCAGGTGTTATTCTGCAGCTGATACAGTGTCATTGTGAGGTGGCAGGGTGTCGTGAGTGGCCAGGTGTCATTCTGCAGCTGATACAGTGTCATTGTGAGGTGGCATTAATATAGTGTTGCAGAGGTACTCTGAAAGAGGTAGAAGAAGTTCTTGCATATATATTTTTAAAGTTTCAGACCTGTCAATTTGTCTGTATGTTTTCCCCCAAATTCTGAGTCCCACTGCAAACTAACTTTCGCATTTGCGACCACTATCTTTGTTGACACTGGCAAGCTCAGTTGTAACGGCGGCTTATCTGATTGGCTACTGTGAGAATGCTGAGCCAGGGTATAGTGGAGATTTATCGGAACGTTTTCCCTGTAGATTATCGAGGTTGCTGATAGGGTGTCATTGTGAGAGTGTTAAATTATGAGCATCATTATGTTTTCTGTGAACAGGTAAACAGAATGGGCATTCCACAAGAAAACCGTTTCCTAAACTGTGTCCAGATCATGTCCTGTGCTACTGACCAGTAAGTACATTGGGATAATAATAGTACTAACTTGTTTGTCCTTCAAATAAAAGTCATCTTTATCATATGAACTCTGTACTTGCTGTTGCTCACCATATAACTCATATACTGTTTAATGCGGGCTGAAAACAAGTTTGCTCATGTAACAGCAATGAAGAAGAGCATGTCATTCCTTCCATAAAGTAAATCAATTAAATATGGCCGCTGTTTATCAGGGTGACCTTTAATAAGTACCAAGATAGTAATAGTGAACTGATCAGTCTTGAACACTGCATGAAGGGTCAATCTACCCTATATACAGTCAAATCCCGATGAGTCGAATGCCGGTGTCTCGAATATTATGCATAACTCGAAGTACCTGTCGGTCCCGACCATTCCCTGTTATAGTTGTCATCATTTGATTTCCGGTTACACGAATTCGTCTCATAAATACACACGATAACTCGAGAAGGAAATTTGGTCCCATGAGATTCAAACACAGCAATCTTGTATACATAAGCCGAAGTCAGTCAATGAGAAGTTGATTGGTGTAGCAAACTGATCCAATTAACAAACCAGCGCGGCTCACACCTTTCCGCCATTGACAGGTGAGTTCAAAAGGCAGATTAGTGATTTTACGGAAATCACTGTCTGTGTTAATCAGACTGGAACTGATAAGGTGCCCCTATTAGTGATAGGGAAATCATTAGGTAAACAAATGCTTAGGCGGAGGAATTAGGACTGGATCATCTTTTTTTCTACCCTCATAGACATACCTATGTCTCGAATACATCGATAAGTCAAATTTATTACTTGGTCCCCAGCGATTCGACTCATCGGGATTTGACTGTACTTTGTTTCTATTAAGTACACTTATTAATAGATAAGATACCCCAGTGCATGTGGCTGTGTTGTTAGTCAAGATGTTTGTTATACCTCCAGCTGTGTGATGTTCTGGGACACAAGGCCGTCTAAAGGTCATCAAGGGAAGGATGATGACAAAGGCCCCAAGAACCCCATGGGCATTGCGAACACCTTCCGTCACCTTGACCTGCAGTGGAAGCCCCATCTCAGGGTGAGACTATGCAGAAACACTTGCTTATGCAAATATTCAGATTAGCAAGGGCAGAGTTTGCCTAGCAGCCTATGAAAGTTGCATATTTGAGCCATACTATCCAAGACTCCATTTTAAAAAGTAATCATACTGTTATGACTGTTGTGAGTTATCTTGGTGTTGGCTCTGTGGAACTGGTGCCTGGGTTTGAATCCTGATCACAATCCTTGGTTTGTAAGCAGCATATCTGTGCTTGTGCATTTCCTTGTTAAGTTGACATGCTGCGATGTAAATGAAGCACCTGCTCAAAGAGACTCACCCATACTAGTAACTTGTTCGCCTTTATTCACTGTTCTTTATACTGTTGAGGGTTGTTCTAATTTGTGACTTTCATACACAATAATACCTGTTGATGCCAAGACTCCTTCCCATTGTTTCCTGCATCTAACAATAGCTTGTGTTGCTAATACATGTCATGTGTCATGTACTGCTGTTAATCCTGTAATCGTGTGTATATACCTGACAATGTGTGACATGTCCATACTGAACACTGATACTGTACAGGTGAACCTGCACAAGTCGGAGCCAGGCGGTGACCACAGCTCTACCAAGTTCACTATACAAGAGAGGCAGGGTGACAGATCAGCACGTAAGTTACTTTACAATGTCCATGTATGTGTAGGGGCAGGGTGACAGATCAGCACGTAAGTTACTTTACAATGTCCATGTATGTGTAGGGGCAGGGTGACAGATCAGTACATAAATTACTTTACAATGTCCATCATGTATGTGTGGGGGCAGGGTGACAGATCAGCACGTAAGTTACTTTACAATGTCCATGTATGTGTAGGGACAGGGTGACAGATCAGCACGTAAGTTACTTTACAATGTCCATCATTTATGTGTGGGGGCAGGGTGACAGATCAGCACGTAAGTTACTTTACAATGTCCATGTATGTATAGGGGCTGGGTGACAGATCAGCACATAAGTTACTTTACAATGTCCATGTATGTGTAGGGGCAGGGTGACAGATCAGCACGTAAGTTACTTTACAATGTCCATGTATGTGTAGGGGCAGGGTGACAGATCAGTACATAAATTACTTTACAATGTCCATCACAGGGTGACAGATCAGTTCAATGTCCATGTATGTAGTAGGGACAGGGTGACAGATCACACGTAAGTTACTTTACAATGTCCATCATGTATGTACAGATCAGCAATCGTAAGCTACTTTACAATGGGGGCAGGGTGACAGATCAGCACGTAAGTTACTTTACAATGTCCATGTATGTGTAGGGGCAGGGTGACAGATCAGTTACTTTACGTCCATCATGTATGTGTGGGGCAGTTCACTTTACAATGTCCATGTATGTGTAGGGGCAGGGTGACAGATCAGATTTACAATGTCCATGTGTATGTGTAGGGGCAGGGTGACAGATCAGCATGTTTACTTTACAATGTCCATCGTGTATGTGTAGGGACAGGGTGACAGATCAGCATGTACGTTACTTTACAATGTCCATGTATGTGTAGGGGCAGGGTGACAGATCAGCACGTTAGTTACTTTACAATGTCCATCGTGTATGTGTAGGGGCAGGGTGACAGATCAGCACGTAAGTTACTTTACAATGTCCATCGTGTATGTGTAGGGACAGGGTGACAGATCAGCATGTAAGTTACTTTACAGTGTCCATTGTGTATGTGTAGGGGCAGGGTGATGATCAGCACATAAGTTACTTTACAATGTCCATGTATGTGTAGGGGCAGGGTGACAGATCAGCACGTTAGCTACTTTAAAATGTCCATCGTGGTATGTGTAGGGGCAGGGTGACAAATCAGCACGTAAGTTACTTTACAATGGCCATCAATGTCCAGATCAGCATTTGTACTTTACAATGTCCAGATCTTTGTATTAGTTGCTTTGCAATTTATGTTTTCTTTTGGTTTTTTTTACATAGATTGATAGATGCAGATAGAAATTCTTTTCCATGTACATATTGTAGGCATATTTTGCTTATTGTTGCTTGTGCATTAAGTAGGCATTTATAATTTACTAGCTGTTTTTGATTCATTTTTCAAGCTTCAACAGAAATACTTTCCACTTTACTTTTAAGTTTGCTGTATTTTTATTTCAAGATGCAGTAGGTTCCTACACATGTATAGAAGGTGTTTCTTTGAGAATTTTGCAAAACAGGTCTAAAGATAGATTATTATAATGTTCTGCTCTTTTTATACATTGTGAGTTTGATATTTGTAATTAATGGTAAAATGGTCTTTGTCATATGTGACCATTTACTGCAATCACTTGCTTTCATGTCAGATTTACTGCCATTTAAAACCATGATGACCATGTCATACTATTATTGATTCTGAGCCCAGAATACAGTGGTCCTTCTTCATGTGCATTTTAACATCTAGAACTGACACAACTATAGATCATTAGGCAAAATTATACAGAAATTATGTGCATACACTATAACATGGTTTAACTCTGAGAAGTGACTGGTATCCATTGATGTTGACTTAAAATGAACTAAACCAACAACAGTATACTGTCTTTAGTGTATTATGGTTTAAGGCAGTAAAACTGACAACTTTACTTTCAGAGAAAAATTAATTCACTGCATTGTTTCTCTCAATCACTTACTGGCAAACAAGGATAAGTTGAGCACCGACCTGACAATTGACCTGTATTAGCATGTATGAGTGCCGCCCACTGGCAATTGCCATTGTTAGCAAAGGGGTCCCAGGTTGTCCACGATCAAGTGTAGTGGAATGGTTGAAGCAAGGTGCAAGGCGTGTGCAGCTACGCGAAGAATCAATTTCATCGTCATGCAATGCACGTGCACAGCTACTTCTGCTCTACCTTTCACGAACCAAATGGGTTTGCTCATTGCCGTGCACAGCCTACTTCTCGTAAATGCGTTTTCTGCGCCGGTCCAACTTATCCTTGTTTGCCAGTAGATTATGCTTGAATTGTATAATGTTTTCGACGAATGTTAGTAATACTGAATATTTTGTTTTATTGAAGAAATTACAACTTTTTGCTTTTTGGTTAATCTTTGAAATTATTTTTATGGTATTTGTTCATTTGTATAGCAATTTTTCAAGAAAAAACAGAGGAGAGTAAGTCATAGGAATAAGCTTAGTTTTTAGTTTTAGCAATGGTTTTAGAATATTTAGATTATTTACCCCAGGCTTCATTGCAATGGTGTGGCATGGCTGAACCTCTACTAATGTTGATAGTGTTTGTTATGATCATGATTCCTGTAGATATTATAGATACTGATAGAATATGGTTGAAGATTGTAGCTAGGTAGTTTGATGCTTGTGTAGATGCCAGAATATAACCTGTACAAACTGATTGCAATAAACAGGAACATGTATCTCACCTTGGTACTTAAGTGTGACAGTGTGTGTACAGAAGCTTGATACTTTGATACACAATCACAAGAACAGTCAGGATATGTGTTGTTTTATGTAATCAATATTTTAATGATTCTGGTGGAACTATTCAAATATCCCCAGTTCGCAATTAACATCATATAGGTAACAAAAAGAATTGGACATTTTTCTAGAGTACAGCTTGTATTACTATAAACTGTGCAGAATCAGTTGATGTTTTTTTCTAGAAATGTGATAAATATTGATATTCTAGCTCCCAGTAGTGTTTTCGGGGCATAATTACAGTCCCCTTAGAACCATCTGTAATCCTTGACGGTGATCTAATCAACATTCCTTCAGTACACATTGTAATTCTTGACTGATCTAATCATCAACTTTCCTGACCAACTGACCCTCGGTAATCCTTGACTGTGATCTGATCATTAATGTTTCTTCAGTACCCTCGGTAATCCATGACTATGATCTAATCAATGTTTCTTCAGTACCCTCTGTATTCCTTGACTGTGATCTAATCATCAATGTTCCTCCAGTACCCTTGGTAACCCTTGACTGGTCTAATCATCAACCTTCCTTCAGTACCCTTTGTATCCCTTGTCTGGTCTAATCATCAATGTTCCTCCAGTACCATCAGTAACTCTTGACTGGTCTAATCATCAACTTTCCTTCAGTACCCTTGGTAATCCTTGACTGTGATCTAATCGTCAATGTTGCTTCAGTACCCTCGGTAATCCTTGACTGTGATCTAATCATCAATAATGTTGCTTCAGTACCCTCGGTATCCCTTGACTGTGATCTAATCATCAATAATGTTGCTTCAGTACCCTCGGTAATCCTTGACTGTGATCTAATCATCAATGTTGCTTCAGTATCCTCGGTATCCCTTGACTGTGATCTAATCATCAATAATGTTGCTTCAGTACCCTCGGTAATCCTTGACTGTGATCTAATCGTCAATGTTCCTTCAGTACCCTTTGTATCCCTTGACTGTGATCTAATCGTCAATGTTCCTTCAGTACCCTTTGTATCCCTTGACTGTGATCTAATCATCAATGTTCCTTCAGTACCCTTGGTAATCCTTGACTGTGATTTAATCGTCAATGTTGCTTCAGTACCCTCGGTACTCCTTGACTGTGATCTAATCATCAATAATGTTGCTTCAGTACCCTCGGTAATCCTTGACTGTGATCTAATCGTCAATGTTGCTTCAGTACCCTCGGTAATCCTTGACTGTGATCTAATCATCAATAATGTTGCTTCAGTACCCTCGGTAATCCTTGACTGTGATCTAATCATCAATGTTGCTTCAGTACCCTCGGTAATCTTTGACTGTGATCTAATCATCAATGTTTCTTCAGTACATTCGGTATCCCTTGACTGTGATCTAATCATCAATGTTCCTTCAGTACCCTCGGTAATCCTTGACTGTAATCTAATCATCAATGTTGCTTCAGTACCCTCAGTGATCCTTGACTGTGATCTAATCATTAATGTTCCTTCAGTACCCTCGGTAATCCTTGACGGTAATCTAATCGTCAATGTTGCTTCAGTACCCTCGGTAATCCTTGACTGTGATCTAATCATTAATGTTCCTTCAGTACCCTCGGTAATCCTTGACTGTGATCTAATCATCAATGTTGCTTCAGTACCCTCGGTAGTCTTTGACTGTGATCTAATCATCAATGTTTCTTCAGTACATTCGGTATCCCTTGACTGTTATCTAATCATCAATGTTGCTTCAGTACCCTCGGTAATCCTTGACTGTGATCTAATCATCAATGTTTCTTCAGTACATTCGGTATCCCTTGACTGTGATCTAATCATCAATGTTCCTTCAGTACCCTCGGTAATCCTTGACTGTGATCTAATGATCAATGTTTCTTCAGTACATTCGGTATCCCTTGACTGTGATCTAATGATCAATGTTGCTTCAATACATTCGGTATCCCTTGACTGTGATCTAATCATCAATGTATCTTCAGTACATTCGGTATCCCTTGACTGTGATCTAATCATCAATGTTGCTTGAGTACATTCGGTATCCCTTGACTGTGATCTAATCATCAATGTTGCTTCAGTACCCTCAGTAATCCTTGACTGTGATCTAATCATCAATGTTGCTTCAATACATTCGGTATCCCTTGACTGTGATCTAATCATCAATGTTGCTTCAATACATTCGGTATCCCTTGACTGTGATCTAATCATCAATGTTGCTTCAGTACCATCAGTAAGCAGTGTCAGTTAACCAGATATTTTGTACCCTTGTTGATGTATGCAATATTTCTATAATGCTATCTTAGTGGACAGGCAATGGCCTTGAAATTTGATTTAAACACAATCTTAATGACAAAAAGACTGAACTCTCAGAAAGAATTCAACCATATATTGTACCATTTCAGTTGCCAAGGCAACAGACAGTGTGGACAAAGACCTGAGTCAGACAGGAGGATTTTCCTTCGGGAGCAACAAGCCTGGATCGGGGAAAGAGAAGAAGACACTTCAGACAGTCAACACCCACTTCTATGTGGGCACAGAGGTAACACTCATTGCATGAATTCACAGTACCTTTCAAAAAGTGGTCAAATGTAGCATATGTCATATTTAGGATTAAACTTTCTCTGTAAAGAGGGGCGGTGGGGTAGCCTAATGGTTAAAGCGTCCGCTCGTCACGCCGAAGACCCGGGTTAGAATCCCCACATGGGTACAATGTGTGAAGCCCATTTCTGGTGTCCCCCACCGTGATGTTGCTGGAATATTGCTAAAAGCGACGTAAAACCAAACTCAGTCAGTCAGTCTCTGTAAAGAACAGATTCTAGTACTTTCGGCAAAGTTAGGCACCTACCTGGTAACTGCCATCACAGAAAGTCAGCAATGTAACCCACTCAGCCATCACAGCTTTTACAAAATGTCAGTATGACAACTGGTAGTGAAGATCACATGCCTTGTGTACCCCTCTGACAGAGCCATGCGACGATATTTGTGTCATCGTGAAGTCTGGATAACAAGTGATATCATCAGTCCATATGAACTGTTGCTATAAGTACCCATGTGGACCTACCTTGAGGCTGATATTCAGTCAATACCTCTATTGTTAAGACAGTGGGAGGAAAAATTCAAATAGCCTAAGAAAAATTCAAATTTTGTAATAAAATATACATTTTCCCAATGTGTTTGTTCTTCATGTTCCAGGATGGTGAGGTTGTGTACGTGGATTGGATGCCACAGAAAGATCAGGACACTGGCAAAATACAGAGTGAGCAACATGTTTTCTTGTTACAATCGGGGGAGGTGGGGTGGCCCAGTGGTTAAGACATTCGCTCTTTCGCTCGTCAGGCCGAAGACCCGGGTTCGATTCCCCACATGGGCACAATGTGTGAAGTCCATTTCTGGTGTCCCCCGCTGTGATATTACTGGAATATTGCTAAAAGCGGCGTAAAACCATACTCACTCACTCACTTGTTACAATCGATAACACATGGTTACATTTGTTAGTGTCACACAGATATCATTGCATCAAGTGATATCTACTTACACAAATATTTTCTCAGTTTCTTTTCTCAGACTCTTCAGATCAGCTGCTTGTATCTTCAGAAATCTGGGGAGATATGTACCGGGTAGATTCAACTGAAAGCATCATTATCATTAAACTTGTGTTCACTTTCATTTGTGGACATAGGGTACATGAGAAAGTAGTGTTTGAATCCCAGTTCATCCCAACTATGCTTTATAGGTGTGTCAGCACTATATCTATACTCATGTTTGTCACGAAAGTTGTAAACATCTGACACCTGCATCAAGTGAAGCTCTCCTCCACATTTGGAGCACAGTGGTGTAGTGGTTAGCATGCTGGCCTCTCACGCCAAAGGCCCGGGTTCGAATCCAAGTGGAGACACAAATATTTGTGACCTGGGCCTCATACTGTGTTGTGTGGCTGGGCAAGGCACTTCGTCCACATTGCACTCAGTCCACCCAGCTGTTTAAAATGGGTACCAGAGAACAGCATTGCGCTGGATCCTAGGTGCAAAATATAGCATTATTATTATTATAGCTGACATGCCGATGTAATTGGAATACTGTTTAAAGCGACATGAAAATTGATTTGAGATACTGTTTAGTGGCCATCTCATCGCACTCACACTAACGTCTTGTATCTGGTACTCAGTATTTATAAGATAAGATAGATATAACTTTATTATCATGGAGGATATGATAGTATGACAGCAACAAATGTTTCTCACCTCATTCAAGATATCTAACGCTCAATTTTTAGTGTTATTTCACTACATACTTGAAGCCAAAAATCTTAACTAAGGTTTGTTTCTAGTGGTCTGTGATCTCAGATTTTAGGCAGTTTAGATGAGTTACAGTAGTTCAGGGTAGATAAGCTCTCATCATGGCCATGATCAACAAGAGAGCACAGGTTCCACTACTACGTATCATAGAACTGTGGTGTGATATCTTTGTCTATGTTGCAGCCCCAAACCAGATTATTACCATTCCCTCCACGATGGACCAGTCAGAGCTATGGAGAGGTCGCCCTTCATCAAGGAGGTTGTGTTGTGTGTAGGAGGATGGACCTTCAGTCTGTGGAAGGAAAATGTTTTGGTAATGATCTTCTGCATGAACTTGAATAACTTGAAAAACTTTGCATCTTGTCTAATTGCCCATTGAGACCATGTAGTGAAAATGGCAGGCCCCTCTGTAAGTAGATCTTGCTTACTGGTTCTACAAATTACTGTATTCTTCGCGAGTTCAAATCTGACCATTTATACTCTGTGTCAAAAATGTATTATGGCCTGCTATAGCACAGTGGCTGCCATATTACACTCATGAGAGATGATGCCCCTTTGTCAATATGGATTGAAGATTGCTGAAATCAATTCACTCAAGTCATATACTGTGTGCTAGAGTCCCCTGTCACTTCCTTCCAATCCAACATATGCACACTGTATCCACACCACCCTCTTCTGAATGTCAACAGATCGGAACAGTTCCTCCCCATCAAGGGTGGTGGGGTAGCCTAGTGGTTAAAGCGTCCGCTCGTCACGCCGAAAACCCGGGTTCGAATCCCCACATGGGTACAATGTGTGAAGCCCACTTCTGGTGTCCCCCGCCGTGATGTTGCTTGAATATTGCTAAAAGCGGCGTAAAACTAAACTCAGTCAGTCAGTCAGTCCTCCCCATCAACATTATTAACAATCAGTCCCATAGTTGTTAATAATTAAGTTCACCTCAACTCACTTACTGGTTTGCCTGGCCAAATGGAATCATTCTGACTGCTATATAAATACACATTCCCTGTCTCCCTTGTTACAGAGTGGACCAATCCTGTTCTCTGCTCGCCGCCAACGTAAAGCTGTCTGCTGGCCACTGGTCACCGTCTCGACCTGGTGTCTTCTTCATTGCCAAGGTGGACGGTAGTGTTGATGTGTGGGACCTGTTAGACAAGACACACGAGCCCTCCATCACACAGAGTGTGTCACCATCACCCATCACTACCCTCTACCCCTTCCAAGTCACACGTAGGTGTACTTATCGTGACATCAGTAGGCTTATCCTGCTACATCTTTCTCTCGAATATACTCTACTGTGACATCAAAACATCACACCCTTTTTTTTCTTTTTTGATGCAGATGCTTTGTTTAATGATCAATTAATTGTGTAAACATCTCATATTTTTGGGCGTTAAGTTGTTTGAAAAGGTTGGTTTAGTAGAAAAAATAATGCGATTCTCTTTATTACGTTTATCTTGCGGGATGTGTTCATAGTGCAGATGGGGCTTATCTTCCATGCCCGAAGACCGGGTTGAATCCCCACATGGGGGGGGATGTGTCACAGTCATGTTGTTGCTGGAATATAGTGCAGATAAGTCTGATAACACTGTCACTTTCTATTACACAGAGAAGCAGCAGCTGTTGGCTGTGGGAGATGATGCCGGGACGCTGCACATCCTTGAGATACCCTGGAGTCTGCGACAACCTACATCAAATGAGGTGTGTAAGGTATCAGGCAGGTTCATTGCTTCAGTACAACTGAGGAGTCAAGTCTACTGACCATCCAGATGATCTTGGGGGTGACTAGAGTCAATCTTTGCTTCAGTAGATCTTAGAGACATGAGGCACCATCTAACACAAGTAGTCATGATTCATTGAGCAGAGTTGCATCCCTTAGTTGTGCAAGGATCTGCCAGTCATTGGTTTGAATCCTTGATTATTACTTGCCTGTGGAAGATATTGCAGGGTAATATTTTTATGACAATGTTACACATAATGGTTTACAGTTATGACGTCACAATGCTAATACCTCCGTCACAATGGTATTAGACCTTGCTTGACTCGCGCAAAGCTGAGAGTCATCACACTGTAGGCAGATTCTGTCAATTTGTGTTGGAGAGCAATAAACAGAATACTACACAGGCTTCTGTGAAATACCATTTTTATTAAACTTGTGAAAGATTTAGTATCAAATCAGTAACTTGTTCAGTAAAAATGGTATGACACCGAAGGTTGTTAAGTATCCTCTATATATCAGCCTGGGTTTGTCACCGAGATACAGGTGTTAATGGGTTTTACATTCTTTACATTGGATATTCATCTGACATTAGGGTGCCATTCAGAGATAACTGAAATTTCGACTGACATTTAAAAATCTTGACATGTTGTCAACTCAAATTTGGTTTAACAGTTGTTAAAAAGAAAATGCTATTTATGTTACAGTTGAATGGCGTAAGTAATTATTTCGAGCGAGAAGTCAAGAGACGAGGGTTCGTTGTTCAGAGATGGGACTTCAGGGAAGCAGAAAAACGAGAGTTGGAGGCAGAGGTGAAACGTAAAGCTGGGGTGAGTGATATCAACAGCAAGGACCCAAGTTGGACCCTGTTGTATATTGTGTACATGTTTTAGTATCTGCTACCAGTACCAAGTGCTGCACAATTCAGACTCATCCATCCTGCATCACTAAATTTATTTTCTCAGTTACTTCTGCTTTCTGGAATATATTGCACTGATATCCATCTTGATAATTCCCAGTTGCAGATCAGCTACATCTATCTTGAGTGAAATCAGTGAACATACAGAGTAGAAATTATTACAGGAATGTGTGTTGTGCTGAATTTATTAAATAAGTGTCAGAAATAATTATTAAATTTCAAGAGAAAGGGAAATAATTTACTATGACCCACCGTCCATAACATTATGTCACCTTTGGTCTTTCCACATCATCATCACCCGTGAAGGTCCGGATTAGGATTGATCTTCAGGAACCCATGCTTGTCATAAGAGGCCTCTAACGGGATCGGGTGGTCAGGCTCGCTGACTTGGTTGACACATGTCATCGGTTCCCAATTGCGCAGATCGATGCTCATGCTGTTGATCACTTGATTGTCTGGTCCAGACTCGATTATTTACAGACCGCCGACATATAGCTGGAATATTGCTGAGTGTGGCGTAAAACTAACCTCACTCCCTCACTCCATAACATCATCAGTGCCTGTGTGAAAGCTGCTCTCAGACACATCAATCTGGTTGGTGGTTCAGAAACTCTATCAGTCCTACTCTTGTAGTCAGTTGTAGTGATATGATTTCCAACAGGATTGGCAGTATCGAATGGAAATAGCCTGTAACATCTTGCGACTGCTTGTTGTCCTCCTCAGTTGTTGCCCTAATGCTTGTCACCAATACAAGATACAATCACTGGATTGTCTGGTCCAGACTCGATTATTTACAGACCATCGCCATATAGCTGGAATATTGCTGAGTGCGGCGTAAAACTAACCTCACTCCCTCACTCCATAACATCATCAGTGCCATCTGGTATGGGAAATATTTACTATGATGATGCCTGTGTGTTCAGATTGCTCCTAACGTGGTGCTGACGGAGGAGGAGCTGGAGTACAAGGCCAAGATGGAGTACGCAGAGTACGAGAAAGAGGAGGCCAACTTCCTGCGAGAACTCGGACTCAAGGCAGAGGAGGAGGAACCCCTTCCTGAAGTATAGTGCCCTGTCAAATCTGACCACAGGTCAGGGAAACTCAATCAGCATTACCACATCTGTGATGCAGGTGAAGGTCACTGTGTACTGGGATTTTAGCCAACAGTATTGGAAGCTGTTAAACACTGCATTGAGATCTCAATACAACAGAACCTATTGCAAGTTTGGTTTACTATAAATCCTGTTTATGTCAGTATCAATGATTGTGTGATGGCCTCAGTGACTCATATTGTCGAGAGCCAGGTGTCCAGATTATCTATCAGATTCACTGTGTTATTTTGTTAGAAACCAACTGTGATATTTACCATGGTTACTGGGATCCTGTAAGAACAGCTTCCCTGTACTTGATGTTTGCTTGAACTATGTAGATATGCATTATCTGTTCCATTGTTCTAAGTATTCATTTTCATTTGTCCAATGTGTACATAATCAACTGATGTGTTTGTTAAGTCACATGAATATTTATATCATAATCAATAAAAAGTTCATTCCAAAACAGTCGTCATTAGTTTATAAGGTATTTGAGGCTTGATTGAAATTGCATTTTAAATTTATATATATGTAACCATGGCAACTAACAACTCTGGAGTGAGTGAGATGGGTTTGGTGCTATGAATGGTGTTCCTGCTTCATCATGTGTGTCTGCTTCATGTGGGAGGAAAGCCTGTAGTGATGCAGCTCTCAGGTGGGAGGAAAGCCTGTAGTGATGCAGCTCTCAGGTGGGAGGAAAGCCTGTAGTGATGCAGCTCTCAGGTGGGAGGAAAAGCCTCTCAGGTGGGAGGTGATGCAGCTCTCAGGTGGGAGGAAAGCCTGTAGCCTCTCAGGTGGGAGGAAAGCCTGTAGTGATGCAGCTCTCAGGTGGGAGGAATGCCTGTAGTGATGCAGGTCTCAGGTGTTCATTCACCATTTTGGTGAACATGGCATGGCATAGATCCATTAAAGCCTGAACCAGTATTTGAAACCACAGTTATACCTTGTTAGCATGCCCATGGAACACAACTCTGCGCAGCCAAAACTGGTAAGTCTGGAGCAGACGGTAACTGAGAGCAATTGCGACAAACACAGGCTGAGTGGCAAGTCTGGAGTAGACGGTAACTGACAGCAATTGCGACAAACACAGGCTGAGTGGGTTAGACTGCTGACTTTGTGTGCTGGTGAATAGGCTCAGAGTGTGTGGGTCCGAATCTGGGATGGGACTCAACCTATAACAAGTACTAGAATCTGTACTTTAAGTGTTATCCCAAGTATAACATGTGTTACATTTGACCACTTTCTAATCGGCATTGTGTATTGATGCCTCACTTCCAGTACAGCAGACCCCTTGATATTGTAGATCATCACTGTATACAAGAATATCTACTTCACAAGTAATGACAGCTGCTACTTACAAAGAAAAAAGTCATTTTCAATTCTTTTTTTATTTTAATTCAAATATAACAAATCTGTATCACAATGTTTTTCACATTTCGTGAATGATTTCTCAGATGGTAGAAAATAATACATAACATGTGCCATATATAGAATTTACACAACTGATACAAAAGCTAATTAAAAGCAGATATTAGCTGATGGGGCAGGTAGTGTTGTAATGCCACCACCTTCCCACACCTGTGTGAGATTGCTTGCAAATGAGTGACTTGGGTATTCATGACATCATGTGAATATTATATAGATACAATCATTCAACTGGAATGCCTTGTCCATGACTTGAAGTTGTAATTTAACCTTCACTTAAATTTTGAGATTTTCTTTCCTATTTTGTAACTAAGATCTCTGTTATATGTGTGTTATATTTATATAAACATGACACATTTCTCACATAAAAACAACTGTAAACCTGAAAAAATCATTTGATATTTGACAAAACCAGAAAGTGATTCATGGGAAATGTGAATATTGTATTCAGGGTTCGATTTAGTGCTTTGTTACTTGCACTGGTGCAACCCAATATTACAAAGTGCAACCTGGTTATTAGTCTAACTTGCACCAGGTGCACCCCAATATTTTAATGGGTAAACTCTGAATAAAACATATTTCATATATTACATATTGCAATAAAAGCAGTACAACTGGAATCTGGTGGTGCAACTAGGTTTTGTCTTACACCTGTGCAAGTAACTTTGGTATTGTTACTGACAAACTAAGAGTCAGGAACAACTATTTTTCATGGGTTGTGCTCTGGGTCACCTGGTACACACACTACTTTCCTTCATCATAAAAAAAATACCTGGAAATTATTTTTCACCTAGGAAAATATGGGAATAGTGTTTAAAGCTGGGTTATACCATACTCACTCACACACTCCAATAAGATGGATGCTCAGACAATCATCACCTTCAAGCATTGGCTTCAATCATGTCATAAGTCTGTGTCCCCATCATACATATGTGAGTTGCGGGCATGTGTGTGAGTTGCATCAACATGAGTGAGTGAGTTTAGTTTTTCGCCGCACTCAGCAATATTCCAGCCGTATGGCAGCGGTCTGTAAATAATCGAATCTGGACCAGACAATCCAGTGATCAACAGCATGAGCATCGATCTGCGCAATTGGGAACTGATGACATGTGTCAATCAAGCCAGCGAGCCTGACCACCCAATCACGTTAGTCGCCTCTTACGACAAGCATGGGTTGCTGAAGGTGCATTCTAACCTGGACCTTCACGGGTCACATCAACATGAGATCTGTTAGTACAATGGCTCCCTGCTCTACACTTTGCTTCAGTGTGTTTGCACAGTCTATACAAGGAGTAGGATGTATTTGACCAACATAAACCTGCTTCACTCCACTAGCTGTATAAAGTAGACATGTCACAGTGATGGAGGAATGTAGTGTATACACACCCAGGAAGTATTGACATTAGGTGACAGTTTTAGTATACGCAATAACTGAGTTATAACTGTAAAACTTGGTATACACAATGACTACATAACATAACTTCCTTGGAGACTGCTTATTAAATGATTAACAATTTAGACAATATTATGAAATCAGTGACAATTGTTGAGCACAATAATACCATACAAGCCCAGCCCATTTCCTTATCAACTGAAAACAGTAGCCGACTGGTGGGCACAACTTATTCCCTTTTAGGTCCATGGAAACATATATGTATCTTAGGTTAGCCAATCAAATGCATTCTACATAAAAACTCTTTGAATAACCATGATACTAAGCTGCTACCATCAACGCTTACAATTCCAGTAAACCACTGCCAATGTGAGCCTTCTGTGTAAGTTAAGCAATATGTTCCAATAAGCATACATGTTACTTTATCACAGCCCCAGACAACAGGAAGATCTATAACAGTCTGTGAACGTACAGCAATATCACAGTGGAATGTGACTAGAAAGCTACTATGGCAAACATGAAATGATAGCATATTCACATCAAATACAACACATACATGTAGGACTATAACTTCAAAATACAAAAATGATGTTGATAAACAAAAGAGATTTTACTCAGTTTGAAGAGATACACAGCATAATGCCAGCTGTAAATGATGCTTCGATATTACAACATTTCTGACCATTTTTGAGCTTTTGGTTGGTTCATTATGATACAAACAAGGTTTTCAAATAACTAGTCAATTCTACGATGCCTTGATTAACTATAGTCATATTAAACTCTGGGGTGTTCTAGAAGTTGTTTTAAGGAGTGTATATATTTAGGACAGACATACTGGTATATCCATTTGTTGTATGTATGCACAACAATTTCATCCGCACTTGATACTATCGATTTACGAGGGGTATCAAAAATGTCTCGTTATCATCAAGACGTATTCAGTTTAGAAACTTTATTTTGATTTCTTGTCCTTAAGACTTCTCTACATAATCATCATCCAGAGTTACACATGTCTCCCAACATTTCTTGTCCTGCAGACCGCTTGATGAGACCCCCATGATTTCAAGGAAAGCCAACCCTTCACCTCTTCAATGACCTCACTGGTATTGTTAAAATGCAGTCCACATCCCTACAACTGTGAGGGACATATGACTGGTTTGAAAATGCCTTTCCATCTCACAACAGTATCATAAGATAGACTATCTTCACCACAAACAGATTTCATCTCCTCGTGAATCTGTCAGGCAATGCAACCGTCAAGTGCAAAAGTATAAAAAATCATCTTGATAATGCTATGTGCCTCTAATCTTCTCCATACATGGGGTTACTCCATGTTTTGGATCAACTAGCACAAGATTGAATTTAGTGATGTAAATAGTTTTTGGTCCATTAATTAGACAACGATCACTGATGTTACCTTCAAATTTTTGTCATAATTTCTCAATAAATTCATGGCGATAATTAAAACATTTTGATATCCCTTTGTACGTTTACTGGATACTATCAGTGTATACTTGCTGACACTATCAGTTTACATTTACTGATACTATCAATTTACATTTACTGATACTATCAGTTTAAATTTACTGATACTATCAATTTACATTTACTGACACTATTAGTGTACATTTACTGATACTATCAGTGTACATTTACTGACACTATCAGTGTACATTTACTGATACTATCAGTGTACATTTACTGATACTATCAGTTTACATTTACTGATACTATCAGTGTACATTTACTGATACTATCAGTTTACATTTACTGACACTAACAGTGTACATTTACTGATACTATCAGTTTACATTTACTGACACTAACAGTGTACATTTACTGATACTATCAGTTTACATTTACTGACACTAACAGTGTACATTTACTGATACTATCAGTTTACATTTACTGACACTATCAGTGTACATTTACTGATACTATCGGTTTACATTTACTGATACTATCAGTGTACATTTACTGACACTATCAGTTTACATTTACTGATACTATCGTGTACATTTACTGACACTATCGGTGTACATTTACTGACACTATCAGTGTACATTTACTGATACTATCAGTGTACATTTACTGACTTGTTTGAGTGGCATTTTTAGAAGTTGAGACGTACAATATGGAACACGTTTTTATGGATAACAACTACTTTATTTCGTGAGTGCGATGTTTCGATACAGATTCTTGTACCGTTGTCAAGCAAGAGTGATACATGAAGTGGAGGAGCTGCATATATACACTGTATATAATAATGAAACAACATACATAGTAATTGACAAAGGAAACAACATAATTGCCATAATTGGTTAAGCAGTAAGCTGATGAAGCCAGTGAGTACACAAGGGATAGTGAATGGAAGCCAGAGATGTATAAACACAGGAGTAGTTACAATCAAGGAGATGTTTATACAATAGGTGCGATGTTTATACAATAGGCTGGGATTGGTGGAGGAGTGGATCATAAGCTGATGGAATGAAGTATCCTTTGTCACGGTTGATGGTGGGCTTATGGCGTTTGATGTGAATGGCTTCGGTGAGCTTGCGTTTAGTGAAGTCCGTTTGGTTGTTGGCGAGAATGGTGAAGTCGGACCACTCTATTTGATAATTGGGGTTTGCTTTGATGTGGTCAGAGATAGCTGATTTGGTGTCGAATTAGCAACAGAGATCGCGATGTTCTTTGACTTCGGGTGTTGATGGGTCGGGATGTTTCACCTACGTAGCTTTGTCCACAATCACAGTTTATTTTATAAATAACACATTTCGGGTTGTTGTTGTTGACGGTGGGTTGTTTTTTTCCGTTGGCATGGAGGAGGTTGTTGAGGCTGGAGGACGCTGAGAAGGTTGTGTCTATGCCTGCCTGTTGTTTCAGGAGTCGGCTGATTTGATGTGATGGTTTACCATTCCCTACATAGGTAAACTATCAGTTTACATTTACTGATACTATCAGTGTACATTTACTGATACTATCAGTGTACATTTACTGATACTATCAGTTTACATTTACTTACACTATCGGTGTACATTTACTGATACTATCAATTTACATTTACTGATACTATCAGTGTAGATTTACTGACACTATCGGTGTACATTTACTGATACTATCAGTGTACATTTACTGATACTATCAGTGTACATTTACTGATACTATCAATTTACATTTATCATTCATCAAACTCCCTAATGTGAATGATAACAAGAGAAATCACTCAATGGCTTAAAGAATATCTGGAGCAATGTTTTGTCTTTGGGAGTAAGTTGGCCAGTTATCGATTGGAAAGGAAATATAAACCTGAAGTTTTCATGCAGACATAAGCCAATAGTACAATAATGTCACAAACAGGACAAACAGATCATTACAAAAGAGGTGAAATCTGTGGGATTACATGGGTTAAAGATTACCAGGATCTCTGGTTGCCAGATTGTTAGTTTGTCATTGTTGGATCTGACACACAAAACAAAAGGGAAATTACATTATACAAAAACAATTAACTGGACAACAGATCATTAAGAAACTTAATAAAAGGTGAAGTAGAAGAAATGAGACAGAAATTGATGTTTTTCTGCAGATATAAGCATGATATGGTAGAGGCAAGGACAGGACTAACAGATCATTACATAACAGCTATTGAGGTGACGACTGTGAGAGATTACAGGGGTGAAGAGATTATCTTGAACCCTTGTTGGAATAGAAAGTGAGCTATTCAATGCCAAATATGAAGAATATGATATATCTGATGTTTTTCAGTGAATACATGTATAACATGGTAAAGGCATGAAAAGGACTAACAGATCATTACATAACATCTACTGAGGTGAAGACTGTGAGAGATTACAGGGATGAAGAGATTATCTTAAACTCTCGTGTGTTAGAAGTGAGCTATTTAATGTTGGATATGAAAAATAAAATAAATTTGATGTTTTTCTGATCATTACATAACATCTACTGAGGTGAAGAGATTACAGGGTTGAAGAGATTATCTTAAACTCTCGTTGATCATAACTAACAGTGTGTACAAAGAGCTATTTAATGTTGGATATGAAAAATAAAATAAATTTGATGTTTTTCTGCGAACATAAACATAATACGGTAAATGCACAAACAGGACTAACAGATCATTGTGGAACTTTATAAGACGTGAGATTACATGGGTTTATGTGGGAATACAGGTGTCTTCCTACAATCCCCAGCACTTGTAAATTAAGATAGTAATGACAGTTGCAGCATCAACAACACATGGTGGACTGTGACCTTCAGTTTGATTAATTACAATAAATTTTAAGTATATACTGATGCTGGATTCTGATTCTGTCATGTAAGTTTTTCAGATATCATGCAGTCAGTATACTTATCTTAACTGGAAAATATATCATATTGATATCAATTATGTTGATGATATTTTTCTGAAACAAAGTGTATGACAAAGAATCTGTGTGGGATAAATGTGTGATTTGAGACATACAAAACAAAACGAAAACCCTGTGTGATATAACCATTGTATAACTGCTGCTGTTGAATAATCACAGCCCAATTCCTGCTCTTGTGGTTGATCCAAGTTACTGGTAGCGTACACATGGAGACAAATGAAACAATTTTACACATATGAAAATCAATAACACCACACACAGACAAAAGTAATCATCAGCCTCTTGCATCACACTGTGATGCTTATAAACACTTAAGACATTTTTCTAATAAAAATATGCATTGATGTGTTTAACTGTGCCAAAGCAAGACCCACCAGAATAAATCAATTTTTTATCTCTTTAAAAATAAAATTGAATTTTCTTATTTTGCCAAAAGCTTTCATAGCAGTTTGTACTGGAAAGAAAAGAGCTGACTTTAATTTTTAGCTACACAGTCATTAAAACATCAGCACCAACTACAAGTGGATAGCTAAAACTGATCACTGTGTCAACATGGTTCATTTCAACTTCATTATTATCAATATCAATAAATTCATGCAAACACTTTTGATGAGGAGGACACTAAAGATAATTGATGATGATAAAAGAGGATCATATATGTATACTCAGGTAGGATAGCCTACAATACACTTAAGCTTATTGAGATTTCTAGCACATGTTTACATCATCAGCATTTAAATTCCATTCAACTGTATCAATGCATCTATCTCAATATAAATTTGTGGAAAACATAAAGTCTTGCAGTAAAAAGCTGCCTTGATTACAGTAGCAATAAGTACACAATAGTGAGATGGGTCCTGTAAGCTGTAAGCGCCATAATACAGTCAATTTACACACAACTTCATTAACTCCTCGATGATTTAGAAAACATGATGACTTTTTCATAGTCAGAATGATCAGAATCGTAAAGATTCTGTAATGCAAGGGATGGTCTTTGACCTAAAAGCTAAGCCTTTCAAGTGACATTCTACAGCATCCAGTTTTATCAACAAGAACAGTACAGCTCCAGCTCTTGTTTATATCATACATACAGGATGTTGCAGATTTCCATGTCTGTCTTTTGGCATGTTGACAAAAATATGTGAAAAACAAGAAAATATATTTGCCTTGAACAATAATACTACAATATACAAAGCATGGTCATTTTATTAAAAATATACCTGCTGTGAACGTGAGGTAAATATGCTCTATCTAAGTGATCGGGACATTACACCTCTCAGGCGTAACTCTCTATAAAGTCCCAGTGAAGCCCTTCAGTAGTGTGAAGGGAGAGATGGAGACAATCTACAACCATTATCTGCCAGTCTCCATTCAAGTTATTTAGTAGTATCCTTATCTTTTCCCGAAGTCCAAATTTTACTATTTGCAACCTTTGACGAGGATTTTTAACATGGACCCTTCACTGTCGGGTATGTTTCATATGTACACATTATCATTCCACAAAATCATTACTGATAGGCTTAATAACACTTATCTGTAATGACTAGAGAAAATATTTATACAGTTTAAAAGGATCCCTTCAGTATTAGGTAGCCTAAATATATACACATTATAGTACAAAAAATATATCATTCTGCTATTTGCATATGTGTATTTTAGCAATTCACAAAGTGGAATGGTCAGTTAAAAAAATTATGTCATAATGGCGTATTGTTGGGAACAATATGTTTCACTATCAATGCCATCCAATATTCTGATGTCCCAAAATGATAGCGTTGTATCACAGGAGAGATGGAGGTAGTGACACTACTTCAGACATAAAGTCAGGGTGGAGTGCAGCCTATTTATCATAACTGAATGGATATAAACTACACTGTACTAATGAGGGTACATATGTTGTAGTATATGTGGAACATAGGCAGATCACGTCTACTATGTTGTGTGGCCAATGATAAGGAACTGCCAGTGGTCCTATGTCGTGTGGCCAATGATAAGGAGCTGCCAGTGGTCCTATGTCGTGTGGCCAATGATAAGGAACTGCCAGTGGTCCTATGTTGTGTGGCCAATGATAAGGAGCTGCCAGTGGTCCTATGTCGTGTGGCCAATGATAAGGAACTGTCCAAGAAAGTTGGCAAACCCGAGAAGAATGAGCATGGAGTGAAATATTGCAGATGGCCACGAGAGGTAACTTCCTGTCTGGCCCGTATAGAGCTCTCGCATGTGCACCAGGCAGGGCAATGCTATGGCATATGAGAACCCACAAAATGCTCCAACAAACCTGCATAGAAAGAAAACGGATATGAAGTAAACATGTGTCACAACACTGCGTGTGAGATAAAATTCTTCAGTCAAAATATGCTTGAAATACTTGACTCTGGATTGGGCAACAGGTGACTGAAATGAGTAAGTATACATATCTCCAGTATAAATACCAATAATTAACCCTAAAATGAAATAATGGACTGATCAAAATACGATTTGATCGTAAGGCAAAGTACAGCTCCCTGTCTGGCAATGTTACAGAAGTTTACTGAGACAAAAATTTTCAGGGAATAAGGAGGCAAGATGAAAAGAGAATGCCAATATTTGAAATATTGGAAACAAAGATAAGATCAATTTAAATCCAAATAGTAACTAGACAGGTTTGCTGAAAAGAGGTGATGAGGTGAAATGAGGTTTAACGTGTACTTAAGAACATTTCGCTCATATGACGATGTGCATGCATGTGTATGTATGGCTGCTTGTACTCGTCCAGACTTCAGTTGGTTTTATAGTGCTAGCTGACTGATATACCATGCTGCATTTAAGCATGGAAACCCCACACAGACACATCATAACAACCAATAATTGTTTTAAGCATCAGAACATGTTAGAATATGAACTGACCTACCACTGAAATATATAGAGTGCACAAAGAGTCATAACAAAACATGTGGTTACAAGAGCAAAACAGGTAAAACTCACCCAATGATCCTTCCAATGTGCGGTTCAAAGACAGCAAATACTATACATACAGACATCAGCACCAGATTGAGCAGCAGGACATGGCGCCAACTGTAACCATGGCAACATATCATCTCATTACCAAATAATAGCATCAAGTTTCTTGCAGTAAGCTTAATCAAATTCATCCTTGACATCAAATCTCAAGTATCCTAGTATCTACCGTATATTACCGTAGATAAGCTGAATTTTGAAGACCCAAAAAGCAGCCTGTAGAAGGGGGTCGGCTTATCTACGGGTAACACTTTCGCTGAACTTTTTTCTAGTGACCAGTAAGAAAACGACATCGTATCGTTTCGCGTGAACGAACAAGAGGAATGTAATTTTTCAAGTAAAATTGATATTTTTATACTTATCCTGACTCATGATCTTTTGCTTATCTCCCTTTCCCTTGCGAATGGTAGTGGAACACTTGAATCCCTTGAAGTTCCCGAAGCGGACGTAAAAATACATCACCCACGAGTAACCTCCCTTTTGCCCTTTCCCGCGCAAACAGTCATGAGACCAGCCTTACTTGTCCCTCTCTCCTAATTTTTCTGCCCATGCACTTGGATCTGCTGTGAAATCCGAAGTGTTTCCAGTGGGGAGGTTTTCTCGTCATGATTCAGGATAAGCATAAAAATATCAATTTTACTTGAAAAATTACATATTTTTTCTTATCCTGACTCATGATCTTTTGTTTATAGAATCCGACGGATTGGTGGTGGGTCAACCACTTCGTGGATTCATCAGCTGTCCTTAGATACGTCCTGTATCCCCCCCCATGGGAACTGCGAAACAGCATTTCCGTGATCCTATTCTTCCGTTATAACTCGGGGGGACCACTTTCTTGTCTTACTTCAGTCTCAGACAAGTTGAATCATGTTGATTCACGTGGCTACAGATAAACTAGTATCTTCTTATTACTTCATATCTTATAACAACCCATAGATTATGATAAGATCTTTATCATAAATGAGTTGCGACCCCTTCACGTACAGGTAAGATCTTTACCCGTACAGGATCTTTAATAACTCATGCTAGCCTGTCCTAGACTGTGCGCATGGACTTTCAAACTAATACTTTTCCTTAGTAAAAGTTATCAACAAGTCAGCGTGATAAGGGTGAGATTTTCCAACTCAGTGTTGACGCCAGTGCTCTGACTTCATGTGGGTTGGAAGCTCTAGGAGGTTCTAGTCCTGCTGCTTAATAGGCTCTCAATATGACGGCTCTCATCCAGAACGATATCGTCGTTCTTGAGACTTCTGCTGATGTCTTTGTGGATAATGGGATGAACAGGCGCTTGAATTTCCGTCTCCTTGTCTTAGTCTTTTGAAGATATATCTTCAGGGTTCTGACCGGACACAAGGATAAGTCCTCCATATCCTCTGGTCCGAGGATTGTAGATAGCGCTGGTACGTGGAACTGTCTACCTGGCTGGCCAGGTAGTTGGTTCCTGGCAATGAAGTCCCATCTAAATCCTAGATGAACTTCAGCATGTTGCCCTGTGTCGAATCTGGTTCAACCAAAGTCCAGCGCATGTATCTCTGATATTCAAGCTGCCGTGGCTAGCGCAAGCAGGAACAGAGTCTTCTGTGTTAGCAGCTCGAGGGTAGTCTCGCCTAGAGGTTCGTAGGCATCACTTGTAAGATGACGTAGAATTACATTCAGATCCCAGGCCGGAGCTCTGAACTTCTTTTGCTGGTCCTCCAGTTTAAAAGATCTCAGCAGAGCAAGTAATTCTGGTACTTTCGTCAACTTGATGCCTGTTTTCATGGTAATCACTGTACTGATGGCAGCGAGGTATGTAGATAATGTCGAACATTTCAGATGTCTGGTCTGTCTAAGATGACACAGGTATTCCGCCACTTGAGGATGAGTAGCTTTCATCGCTGTGAAGCCTTTCCGCCTTGCATAAGTCTCAAACTTCTGCCACTTGTCATCATACAGGTTACGAGTCGATCTGCGTAACGCTAGCGTTACTGCCTTGGCTGCCCTGGCGGAGTATCCTCTTTTCTTCAAGCATGTTTTGATACGGTCCACACGTGTAGCTGGAACGCATTCGGGTTCCCGTGGACTTGCTTGGTGTGCGGATGTATGAGTAGGTTCGGCCAATCTGGTAACTTGATTGTTGGACTTCCGAGATCTTCTATTAGGTCTAGGAACCATACTCTCACTGGCCAGTATGGCGCGACCAAAGTCAGTTGTAGCGCCTGTGACTGTTTGATCTTCAACAGTACTTCCGGTAGTAATATCGGGGGTGGAAAAGCATAAGCGTTTAGTCCATCCCAAGATATGCTCAGTGCATCTGTTGCCCAGGCCTGAGGATCTGGAACTGGTGAGACAAACATCTGTAGTTGCTTGTTGAACCTCGTGGCAAACAGGTCTATGCAAGGGGATCCTATTTCCCTTATGATGAGCCGGAATGCTTCTGGATGGAGCATCCATTCCTTAGGTGATGGGTGCAGTGGTCGGGAGAGAGCGTCTGCAAGTACGTTCTTGGCTCCGAGTATGTGACACGCCTTTATCCAGATGTTTGCTTCCTCCGTGATGTGGAACAACTGGAATGTGAACTGTAGAAGCCTTGCCAATTTATGGAGAATGCCACTGTAGAATTGTCCGTGTGGATCATCAGCATTTTGTTGTTCAGCGAGCTCGACCCTAGTTGTAAGGCGTTGATCACGGCTTTCATCCCCAGAAGATTGATGTGAAGATGCTGCTCTATTTTGGACCACCTCCCTGATGCAACTAGATTGTTGATATGCGCACCCTGGCCTTGTATCGAAGCGTCTACGTAGGTGAGGTGAGGTGAAATTGGGTTTAACGTCGTACTTGAGAATATTTCGCTCATATGACGACGTGCATGCATGTGTATGTGTATGTGCGGCTGTTTGTACTAGCCCAGACTTAAGCTGGTTTTATAGTGCTAGCCCAATGAGATACCATGCCGCAGTGAAGCATGAATACCCCACTCAGACACATTATACTGACTCCGAGCCGACCAGCCCTTGTTGTACCCATTAATGGTGAGCGCCAGGCAGGGACCACCAAGTACCATATTTTAACGTCTTTTGGTATGACGCGGTTGGGGATTGAACCCGCGACCTTCCGCTCTCCGGGCGGATGCTCTAACCACTACACCATGGAGGCGGTCCGTCTACGTAGAGATGTGTCGAAGGCCGGCTCTTGTAAATAGGTCCCTCCGCAAACGTTCAACCTGTGTGTCCACCACAGTAGATACCTCTTGAGGTTGTCTGGCAGCAAGATTGGGTCGACGCTGTCTAGATGTTTTGTCAGGAACCGTTGCAGTGGTCTTAGTTGTAACCTTCCTGTGCAAGTCAAGTCCTGCGCCGAGGTTAGTAGACCGAGTAGAGCTTGCCATGATCGTAGTGTTAACGGCGTGATGAATGCTAGTGGAATCATGGCTTGTATCTTGACCCAACGATCTTCTGGGACGACAATACGATTCTGTGTTGTGATAAACCTTATCCCCAGAAATTGCAGATCTTGTTTTGGTTCCAACTCTGACTTCAAAAGGTTCACCAGCCATCCTAGTTGAGTGAGCAACTTGATCGTAAAGTTAAGCTGTAGTCTGAGTTGACTGGCATCTTGGTGAACCTGAATGCAGTCATCCAAGTAGAAGGCATTGCATAGACCTCGATGATGTAGATATGCGACTATAGGCTTGGTTACTCGTGTGAATAGCCACGGAGCCGAAGATATTCCAAACGGTCGGACGTTCCATTGGAAGTGCTGCCCTCTGAATAGGAATCGTAGATACTTTCTTGATTCCGGATGTATGGGGATGTGTATATACGCATCCTGCAGGTCTATGCTGGCCATGTAATCTGCTGGACAGACGAGTAGTCTGAGTTGAGGTAGGTGGATCATTCTGAACCTGTCTGGTTTCAGTAGATAGTCTGCGCATGTTGTAAATCAGTCTGAACTTCTCCTTGGAGTTCTTCTTGGGTACTAGAAAAATTGGGGAGTAGAAGCCTGGAGTGAGATGATGCTGATCTATTATCTCTACCGCCTCCTTCATAAGTAGTGTGTTGATGGCTTCTTGTAGTCTGTCTGCCTGCTCCTCTGCATAGTCGAAGACCATCGGGCTGAGGGTTAGCGGAGGTGTGGCCTTGAGTTGTACTCTGTATCCTTCTCACAGTACTTGGGAGACGTAGACGTCCTCTAGTATTCCCCAATTTTCCAGTACCTTTGTAGACGTCCACCCACTGTCGATGGTTCGGCTGGGGGTGGAAGACTCCAGTCGTTCCAAACCCTGATATCAACATCTAGTTCCTCTGGATCCTCTGGGAGTGCGGCCTCTCCCTAAGTTGCCTCTGTAATTTCCAGATGGGCGACGAAAAGATCCTTTGCCGCCTCTGGAGCTGGAGTACTTCTTCTCCTTTGCCTTCCTTATGCCGGAATATTTGGACTTGCTGTTATACTTTTGCGTAGTATGACGGATGATGTTGGCCAGAGTATCTATGGATTTTATCATCATAACTTCTCTAGAGTCGTGCGTAGCTTCCTTAGCTGCATCGTCTATTTGTCCTCCAAAGATAGTAGGCGCGCCTCCCATGGAGCTCTAAGTAGCGGTTGGGTGAATCTGTCACTCCATGAACAGGATGCAAGTAGCCCTTGTCTGCGTAGTAAAGTGAGACCTGCAGATATAGATGCCAAATGGTCCAAATAAAAAGTATTGACTCATGATGAGAAGCCCTCCCAACCTCCCCGTTGAAGACACTTTGGATTTCACAGCAGATCCAAGTGCATGGGAGAGAGTGACAAGTAAGGCTGGTCACATGACTGTTTGCGCGGGAGTAGGCAAAAGGGAGGTAACCCGTGGGTGAGTGTATTTTTACGTCCGCTTCGGGAACTTCAAGGGATTCAAGTGTTCCACTACCATTCGCAAGGGAAAGGGAGATAAGCAAAAGATCATGAGTCAGGATAAGAAAAAATAATGACTTTGTCAGTGAAGACGTCAAATTTGCAATTAAACGTCACATACTGTCATCTAGAGAGAGGGAGTAACGGGGAAGGAGGGACATGTATTGGAAAAGAGTTTGCATTTATAAACCACCCACCCAAGGGAACACTTGGAAATCACACTTTTTAAGCTAAACATTAAACACTTTTTTTAAACAGGTTTAACACTGCACTCAATACTAAGCTAGATCCAGACTAGCCTATAAATGGTCTTGACCAGACAATCCTGTGATTGATATTATAAGTACACATCTTCCATTGTCAGGGTTCAATGACATACAATCAACCAAGAGAGTCTAACCAACAAATCCATTGAGTGACATTGTAAAGCAAGTACTGTTACTTATTCTAACCCACACATCAAACATGTGTAATAACTTATTTTTAAACTTCCTTCACGCCTTCATCCAGCAATTGGGGCTGCAGAGTATCGTCATGACAACACTCACCTTGGCCAGACTGACTTGAAGATTGCCTGCAGGAACTGAATTCTGAATATAAACAGCAGCAGAGGGAACACAGTGAGCATCTGGAAGAACAGGCCGATGCGTGCCACGAATGCCATAACGTCAGTTGTGTTAATGTTGTTGAGCAGATTCTGAAATTCACATATTAGCCATTAGCTGCTGCCATCGGGAGATGGGACACAGGAGGCATGTCTATGTCATTCAGCAGGGAATGCCTAAGTAACCACTCAACCCTTGGCTACAAATCATAGATACATTGATATCACAATGTACACATCTAGAAACACTTAAGCAACAAGAAGACAGGAGCCTGTGGAATATCTATCATGCTAAGGGACCATTCATAATTCATGGCTAGAGGGGGGATGGGATAGGGTGCATTGGGGGTGGGGTCGGGGTTTGATGATGGTGATTTTCGGGGGCACACCCATTTTGTTCTGGGGAGGTAATCAATTTTATATATGTACATATTTAAAAATTTTGCTTAAAAATTATGGAAGGGTAATTGATTTTGTACATGAAATGCATGGGGTGGGGTGGTTTCACTTGCTTTGAACATAAATTGGGGCATTCACATTGTACATGCTACTTCATAGAAATCATGATCACCCCCTTAGCCATAAATTATGCTCGGTCCCTAATATAGGAAGTGATCAACACCGAAATCATTAAAAACAGACTGACAGTACTTTGTATCTTTCACATAAATGGAAATAGGCATTATGCTTTTATACTGACTAACAGTGCAATTAGGTTTTCCCCTTGGTTATCTTGAATCCAAATTGAAAAGAATAAACCTTGAATATTAAGCAAGATTTAGTTTGGCACGCTGAGTTAGTTAGGCACCACCTATCTGGTTTCCATGAATAAAGAAGAAGGTATATATCCATGTGTCCAGTTATGGTACTCACATCCTCTATACAAGATTTGTCCAGTGGGAAAGATGCATAAAACATGGCACCAATGTAGATGTAGGTAGCAGCTACCAGGATATAGGCTATTGTCAAATCTCGAACCTGAAAACAGAAACAGTGATGTGTTAACAACATACTTTACCTGAATGGCCAGGAATCTTTAACATAAAGATCTGTAGGAGACCAAGTTGTAGGTTTCATCAACTACAGCTGTATTAGATCATGTAAATACTTTACCAACTACAGCTGTATTAGATCATGTAAATACTTTACCAACTACAGCTGTATTAGATCATGTAAATACTTTACCAACTGCAGCTGTATTAGGCCAGGTAAAATGAACGAGATGACAAGTTTAGATGTTAACTATAATCAGCCAAGATTTTATTCTAAAGGTTTTGTCTGTATTTTCTTCTATACATACATTATTTTCTGGATGTTTCTGGTTTCTACAGATTGCCAGGCAACAGTTTTGAACAAAATAGGCCAGAGCTGCTATACCAGTCAAGGCTGGAAATGTCAGCTTGAAGTCTGAAACACACAAGACACCAAATCGCCTGAAATATCAAACTGTTCCAAGCATATTTTTAGGAAAGGAGTGTTGTGTCTCATAGATGAATGAGTGAATGTTGTTTTATGCTGCAGGAATATTGAAGTTGTAACCATTCCATCATGGCAACCTGTAAGCATGGTAATTATTCCAAGTGTATTCTTGCAGCCTGTAACAATGGTAACTAATCAAGCTGCATCATGACTGACTGTAACCATGGTAACAAATCAAGCTGCACCATGACTGACTGTAACCATGGTAACAAATCAAGCTGCATCATGACTGCCTGTAACCATGGTAACTAATCAAGCTGCATCATGACTGACTGTAACCATGGTAACTAATCAAGCTGCATCATGACTGACTGTAACCATGGTAACTAATCAAGCTGCATCATGACTGACTGTAACCATGGTAACTAATCAAGCTGCATCATGACTGACTGTAACCATGGTAACTAATCAAGCTGCATCATGACTGACTGTAACCATGGTAACTAATCAAGCTGCATCATGACTGACTGTAACCATGGTAACTAATCAAGCTGCATCATGACTGACTGTAACCATGGTAACTAATCAAGCTGCAGATCATGGCAGCCTGCAACCACAGTTATTAATTCAGCTGTATCATAGCTGCCTGTAACCCACAAGTCAAGGATGATAGGTGAGTGAGTGAGTGAGTGAATATGGTTTTACGCCGCTTTTAGCAATATTCCAGCAATATCACGGCGGGGAACACCAGAAATGGGCTTCACAAATTGTACCCATGTGGGGACTTGAACCCGGGTCTTTGGCGTGACGAGCGAACGCTGTAACCACTAGGCTACCCTACGCCCCAAGGATGATAAACTAGTGTTGGACTACATGAGCAATATGACCATGGAGGCAATCAACATTAATCACCTGTGGCTCATTAGTCATAACACACATGGAGTTCTAGGGCTGCCGCACTCACTGATGTACTAGCTATATAACAGTGGTCCACCAACATTCAAGTCTGGACCAGACATTTCACTGACTGACATCATGGGTTTCATCAATGTGGATACAATGAAAGGCATCAATCAAGTCAGTGAGTCTGACAACCCAATCCTGTTAGTCACCTCTTGTGACAAGCATGGGTTGATGAAGAGCAGTTCTAACCCAGATGTAATGGAATCAGTCTCACACAGTCAATATTTCTAACAAACTTTTGATTAATTTTTTGGAATTACATTGTTCTTAGCATTGCTTACTTACTTTCAACATAATCAAAGGACAAGGCTTCATCTGGGTTAAAATTGATGTTGAACTTCCAATGGGATGTCTTCACAGCCACAAAACACACCAGGTAAGCCACAGATATTGTTCCTGGGAAACAGAGTACAGTATTGTATAACCCATACAGAAATATCACCAGGGAAGTTATTGTGAAGAAGTCTCTCTGAGACAAATGCAATGTTGCTGCCAGCATTTCAATTGTTCTGCTTTTGACTGTGTATGAGCAGCCCTTAAATTAATAATGTGTCATATTTGCAGTTTTTCAAAGAATAAATAATGGTATCTGTTCCCTTACATCAAAAAGAGAATCAGACCACACCCATCAGCGGACTACTACTTCCTGATTGGCTTCAGATGCATTATGGGCATGAACAATGTCTTTGATGCTGTATGAACCGCCACAATTATTTTAGGATGATTGAATATGCAGTCTGTAATGTTATTACTGTAGAATTATATAATAACAGTAATTTGCTTCAAGAGAAAAGTGTTGAAACCAGTATTTTTACATGTATTTACAGGAAAGTTACACTATGTGTACATTGATGTTTGTGTTAAAACATCAACAAATGCATAATTTACAAAACCCAAAGTAGCTTCACAAGAATCCATAGACCCCTTCAACCTTCAACATCACATAAAACCTGAAAAAAAAATCCTGCTATTTATATGTTTTATACAAAATGTTACAAAAGGGCAGAATCAGGTCCATTTTGAGTGAAATTCTAGCTTCAACTTACCCAGAGCATTAAACTTGGTAAAGAATGTTGGAGACTTGAAGTTAAGAAGTGGCCCAAGGATGACAATGAGGAAGAAAGGCACAGTATACTGCTCATCCCAGTATCTGCTGAAGGTGCTGTGTGCTGTCTCCCCTAACACACCTGTACCCAGGGACCTGTTGCCCCCAGCACTGCTGGAGCATACAGCTGCAATAGAGAGTGAGTGAGTGAGTGAGTGAGAGAGTGAGTGAGTGAGTGAGTGAGGTGGAGTGAGTGAGTGAGTGCTGTATCACAACATGAGTGCATGATGCTGAAGGAAAACCCTGAGTGATGTATCATCACCTTTACCATATGGTAAAACCACATGATTAGAGGTTTCTGGAATACTTAAGACATCCAGTTTCCACAGGTAATCCTGATGCCACAGACGGTAGAGCAATTCAGGCCACCACAAAGATGACTAAGGTCACCCACAGGCCAGAAACATTTGGCATATTGAAAGTCTTATACTGACCACATAGCTGTCATTAAGTTGCAGGGGTGGAAATAACTTTAATATTGCTAGTGTACTCCGGTACAGTGGCACATGTAAAATCACTTGCCCTGATAATTTTTCCACTATACCGGCCGTTTTCTTATTGATTTTTTAAATAAACAACATAATTAACATTGGAATATCAACTGGACACCGGTACAGTGTGATATACAAATTTGCTTGCCCGACAGAAAAAAACACTGGACTCGGGCGTCGGGCAATGGGTTATTTCCACCCCTGAGTTGTTGATAGTGGAATATCTATACTCAGGTTTGCAGTAAAACAATTATGATGCATGATACAGTGAGTATGGTTGGAGTCCACTGTAAAAATGTAGTTAAATCTTCAGGCATCAGTGCGATAAATTGTGGTTGTCAATTGGTCTGCTGATTGTTCTGAGAGGCCAGCATGACCTCTTCTAATATGATTAATACTTCCTAAACTTTACGAACATCATAAGGTAAGGTTATGGTAAGAAACATTCATGTTAAATATCACCATGTTTAATAAAGCAGTTACTGAGATATAAGAAGTGTTCTTAACCACACTTTCAATAAAGACAAAACAGGGGGAAATATTATTTATTACATGTATGAACATAAAGATTTGGCTTAATCAAAACAATACGAAACACATTTTCACACCACTTCAGACACTTGTTACGAAAACATGTCAGTGTTGTTCCGATCCAGAACAGACTGGGAACATTTTGCCCAAACTGTGATGTTCTAGCCATCTGCAGTGTTAAATAGTTGGGGACATGCATAATTTGGGGGGTAAAATTTAGGTGGGCAAATCTTCAGAGAACCCACTCACAGCACTTCAACCTTAAATAATACTGAGATCATAGGATTACCATGACATAAAAGGGCATTGACACATCTATCTCAACTTTGCAGGTTAGTTATTCGTTTCTAGTCATTTGAATCTTGTCTTAAGTCAGAAAACATTATTAACTTAGAACCTATAGGTCAGTGATGATTTTCTTTCTAACATTGAGAAAAAGGCAATATTAAAACTGTCACAATAGGATAAGTCACTTGTGAACAGAGTCAAAGAAATGTTTCAATTTTTTTTTAACAAAACAACATATACTGAGGGAAACAAATAACTTGAACACATGAAAGATCAAGTGCTCCTTTATATTTTTCCAGGTTTCTTTTCAAGCTTTCTATTGCACTGTGAGTGAAGATCTAAGAATAAACATAGGAACACTGTGAAGAAGCAATGTTCCCTTATTTCTTTCAATCAGTATATCTATAAATGAGGAAATCATTTTTACACAGCATAAACACTTTTCCTCCAACTACATCATATGAAGTCCCATGATCATAAGAATGGTTGTACATATCTTCAAAAATCTTAGACAATCCTTAAAGATTTTTCACAATTTGATATTTTTCATTTAATGCAATAAATAACTCCCGATCACATTATGATCTAAAACAAACATCCTATGGAGGAAAAGATTGTTAATGGACAGATAGAAAACAGCCAATAAACAATGACATAAACTGTTTGAGGATGTTGAGATTAAATCAACATGCCATTATCTGATATCATGGATATTAATATCATTTATCATATGATAAACGTTGACAAGGAAGTGGAACAGGAAATTAATATGAAATGGGAAGTGTTTGTTATTTACAAAGAATCACAAGATTATGTGACACAAAACTTACATAGTTACACAGAGATTGTCCGGTTTGGTGTCTATGGTATGTGAAGTGTAATTTGAAACAATAAACAAAAAGCAGAGGACATAAGGGACCATTAATGCTTAATTAATTTGGGGGTGGGGGGTGTATCGATTTTGTACATGACATCATAGGGGGGATAACTTTGTACATACATTTTAGGAAGGGGATGGTCATTCACATTGTACATGCTTCTCCATAAAAATCATTACCACCCCACCCCACCCCAGGTCATAATTTATGAACGGTCCCTAAAAGAGATATTAAGACTAAACTCAGCCAAAATGCAGTCCTAGCAAGCTTAATCTGGACAGAGAACAATAATGACTTTCATATCCCATTTAAGGTCATTTGTATTTACCAAACTGCCTCCAACTTTTAAGTATAAAAAATAATTCAAGAGATTTGACTTCAGAATTTTGTTCTAAATTATACCAGTTGTCATAGTTGCATTCCCACTTTTAAGGCCACCATGTGACACTTTATGAATACTTAATTTCTTACCATCTGAGGGGTCTGTCGAGTTGACCAGTGGCACTGTAGAATTGTCAGCATCATCAAATTTGTCTGAAAATACAAAGTACTTCTATATATTTACACTGAAACAGGTCGCCATGACGAAAACAAATGGCACCTTCTGTGTTGAATCTTACCATTTGGCATGCATAATATTTTTATGACGACAATTAAGATTGGATCTGGGGATTAGGAGTATGTTTGTATGGTTGATTGTTATGATTTTTCCTACTTGTCATATTGTTAGGGTTGGCAGAACCAACCACCATGTTACATCTACAGAAGTCTGTTTGTACCAAAATCACCTGAAAATATTGATTCATATTTGACATAATTGACAAAAGACCTTCCATGGTACTCACAGTATATAAATGAGACAACATTGTAGAGGAAGTTGGACATGAGAATCCAGTAGACAAGAGCGCCACCTAGCAGCGACAACAAGGAGCAGAAAACTGCTCCTATTTCTGCCCATCGGCCCAGATAGTACCCACAAACATCAGAAAACTCAAACGTTTCACTAGAACCAGCTGAAATAAACAATGGACACCAAGGTGATATCCAGACATTAACTTTGAATACACAATGCCATTTAGAAAGTGGCCAAATGTAACATATGTTATATTTGGGATTACACTTTCTTAGTAAAGTACAGATTCTAGTACTTTTGTTGGGTTGAGTCCCATCCGGCATTCATACCACACCCTCAGAGTCAGGCACCTAATCGCCAGCACACAAAGTCAGCCGTCTAACCTGCTCACCCACTGTGATTAGGTGCCTGACTCTGAGGGTATGGGTTCGAATCCCAGATGGGACTCAACCCAACAAAAGTACTAGAATCTGTACTTTACTAAGAAAGTGTAATCCCAAATATAACATATGTTACAGACATTAACTTGATTTCAAGAACAGCTTTGATTAGTATTATATTAACAGGTGGCAAGAAAGAGTGTAAAGGTGATGTAAGTTACAGGGACCTGTTTCACAAAGCTATTGTAGCGCTACGACAGCCATACCTCCTATTCTGTAACATAGACTTATGACAGTCGTAGCGATACGATAGCTTTGTGAAACGGGACCACAACTTTCATAGGAATAAGACTGAGGCTGAAAAGTCAAGATCACTTTCAGAAGGCAACTTTGATTTCAACCTTTATCAGCAGGTCCTGACATGTCTAAGGGATGAAACTCTGCACAGCAAAATGTATTACCTCATACAAAAGGGCTATGTTCTAACAATGTTAAATGTTATTAGTTAACTTAACTGAATAAATCTGAATGGGAAACCATTTGAAATCAATGCAACATAATCTCCTGATGGTCCTCTTTAGACAAAAAGGGGGCTGTGGGGTAGCCTAGTGGTTAAAGCATTTGCTCATCATGCCAAAGGCATGGGTTCAATTCCCCACATGGGTACAATGTGTGAAGCCCATTTCCGGTGTCCCCTGCTGTGATATTGCTGGAATATTGCTAAAAGCAGAATAAATTCCAACTCAATCACTTTTAGACAAAAGTTTAGTGCACTGGAATAAGAACATGCTATTTCCAGTATCTCGCAATCTGTAGTACACAGCCTTATAACTCTATGTGTTAAAAGATGCCTCGATTCATATCTGTGTGTACTCACACTAGATAAGTACATCAGTCTTCTGTGAGATGATTGATTCATGATGTTTGAGCAGAAGAAAATTGACACTAAATAAAATCAAAACAATTCGCCAGAAAAGAATCAAGGAATCTCATATCACCATGTTAACTTGAATATGGCACTATAGAATTTACATACAAAGTGGCTACAAGGTACACAAAACCATAAACATGTGAAGAGATAAGACTCACCGATTCCCTCGCCAGACTTGAGTATTCTATAGCTGGTGTATAACATGAGCCGCCATGGCAGCCAACAGGACTATGCCACAGACAAAGCCAGCCTGAGATGAAACAAACATAATGATCCTGAGTCTTGGCACATCATTCTATTGAGTTTAGTTTTACGCCACACTCAGCAATATTCCAGCTATATAGGGGCGGTCTGTAAATAATTGAGTCTGGACCAGACAATCCAGTGAGCAACAGCTTGAGCATCGATCTACACAATTGGGATATGATAACATGTGTCAACCAAGCCAGCAAGCCTGACCACCCGTTCGTTGCCTCTTACGACAAGCATGGGTTACTGAAGAACAATTCAAACCCGGATCTTAACGGATATCAAATGACCAATAATAATATAATATCCTTGTGCTATACCTGCTTGATGGCCCAAGGCATTGCTAGTATAGAAGTCCCCATCATTGTGTTCCACAGGGAGAAACTGTAATAAGACACAGATTTGACAATGGTTTGTTTGAATACACACAAGAGATCCAACAAATACCAATGAAATATTTACAACACTGTTACAACAAACTCTATTACAAACTGATACAAACAATACATAGGTCTGACATAGCTGAGTGATCATTATTCATTAGTTTATGCAAGTAATTCAATCAGTTCAAGTAATCATTAGTTTATTGATCAATCAGTATCAGCTTGATGAGATGTATAACTGTTTTCTGGAATTTCATCAGTAAACGTTAAAAGTTATAAACTGATCTGCAAAACAACTGGTCAAGAATAGTCAAAGACTCAAACGACACAGGATCTCTTATAGAAATGGGGGCGATTGGGTAACCCTGTCTTCAAAGTGTTCGCTCAATCAAGGTTGATTCCCCACATAGGTACAATGTGTGAAGCCCATTTCTGGTGTTTCCCGTCATGATATTGCTGGAATATTGCTAAAAGTGGTGTAAAACCCAACTTACTTACTCACTCTTATGGAAATGAAGTCACCAATAAATAACATTAACAAATAAAGACACTTGGTAAAGGTGACTTCAGCATTTATATTAAAATATTTTCTACATAAAGAGAACTAACATTAAAATCTGATGATTTGAACCAAAATGCAATGGCATCATCAGCCTGTCTTGAGGAGAATGATGTTAACAGTTACCCGCCTAGATTTCAGAGAAATTTTACAGATGTTTTACAGATATAAATATGCATTTTGAAAGAATAAAACAATATAGTAATATCATAAGCATGTCAAATCTAAACAGATCAAGTGTGAGTTTATTCAAAATTGCTTTTGTTCACCCAGCAGAAAATGGGTACCCAGTGGGATAAAGTCACGTGACTATAACCCTCCTAACAGGCAGTTGGGTTATCTGGGCAACGAGGAGAGTTTTATGGATTTACAACTTCTTTAATATAATATGAGCGACGTTTCGGTGTAGCTACTAACACCGTTATCAAGCAAATGATGTTCAGTACTAGAGGCGAATGATGTTAACTCAAACGGATTATCTGGGGTAATAATAATCCGATTGTCTGGACGTTTCAAGAATGCATTTGACTATTACTATTAGTAGTAGTAGTAGTAACAAAAGTAGAAAAAAACAAATACCCTTGTATACATTGTCTACTAACACTGGCTCAATAGATCAAGACAAGCTAAATAGATTTTTATACAAGAATGTTATGTTGTGAAAAAAAAACAGCGAAATTTCAAATCATAAAATTAGCTACACTTTATGACAGTAATGATATTATTAAGGCTAAAAATAACACAAATTATCATATATTTGTTGCTATATGACGTCAAATGTATTAAAGAGATTTAAATATTCACTGGATACTCACATGGTGATGATGCTACTCTGTTTTCCCTTGACTGGGATAAGTATCTGGATCCAGTAGTTTTCGGGACAACATGTTCTGGCATTTGCTGAAAAACACAAGATCAATTTGGAAAGAATAAAATGTATGAAACACTGTCATAACAAGAGAAGATACACATAATTAGTATCTTAGAGTGTTTATTGATCTACTGGACTCCATAAAATTGAGGGACAAAACAAAATCATCTACAGCAGAGCATACATTAATGTCACAGAGATGCAACACTTGATGTTTCAATTCATGGGGTGTTGCTCAATTGTAACCCAGCCACTTAGCTTCAACACTCCTTGGCTAACTTAGATCATTAGTCACATCTGTATTTGGGGAAAAAAGCTTCTGGAGCTACACCCAGTAGGCTGGAGGGTGTGTTTCACAAGACATATTTAGATTATGTGTTGAAGAGTGAGTGGTTGAGTGAGTGGTTGAGTGAGTGAGTGGTTGAGTGAGTGGTTGAGTGAGTGGTTGAGTGAGTGAGTGAGAGAGTGAGTGAGTGTAGTTTTATGCCTCTTTTAGCAATATTCCAGCAATACCATGGCGGGGGAAACCAGAAATGGGCTTTGCACATTGTACCCATGTAGGGAATCAAACCCGGGTCTCCGGCATGACGAGCGAACACTTTAACCACTAGGCTACCCCACCGTCCCCAAAGCACTAATGGGCCTGTATTGAAGAATCAGGTAGGTATTGCTATAATGTTTTAGCTCTTACTTTGAGATAAACATACACTGAAAACATGTCTGCAATGAGTATGTGAATCCCTGCAACACTTTCAGACAACCAGCTGAAGAACTGAGCCATGTCATGTGAAATTCAGTTGTTCAGTGGCAAGTGCTCTTGAATATATAACACCAAATGCACATGTAACAAAGATATCTTACCAGCACACTTTCATGGTGTGGAGCCAGTTTGTTGTAGTACTTGTAGCGACTGAGTAGTGCCTTGGTCTCATCATCACCTTCATCAGCAGGGCCGCTTATAGAATACTGACGAATCGGCTGCCTGGAAACAAAACATCACTTTGTACCAGTGTTAGTGTCTCCTTGGGGTGAAAGAGTCAGTGATTGAGTGAGGTTTTACACCGCTTTTAGCAATATTCCACCAATATCATGTTGGGGGGACACCAGAAATGGGCTTCACACATTGTACCCATGTGGGGTATCAAACCCGGGTCTTCAGTGTGACAAGCAAATGCTTTAACCACAAGGCTACCCCACCACCCCTTGGGGTCCCTGACCGCGTCATACCAAAATTTGGTACTTGTTGGTCCCTGTCTGGCGCTCGGCATTAATGGGTACAATAAGGAATGGTCGGCTCGGAGTCAGTATAATGTGTCTGAGTGGGGTATTCATGTTTCACTGCGGCATGGTATCTCAGTGGGCTAGCACTATAAAACCAGCTTAAGTCTGGGCTAGTACAAGCAGCCGCACATACACATACACACGCATCCACGTCGTCATATGAGCGAAATATTCTCAAGCACGACGTAAAACCCAATTTCACCTCACCTCACCTTAGGGTCAAACAATACATTAGTGCAGCATGTCCCGTGTGATGATATGATATACAGTAGGTTTTACTTCCGTGTGAAAACAAGATGATCCACTTGCTAAAAGTATTTCTTGTTACTCTTCCAAATATCTTCCTGTGTTTTAGTCAGTTAAATATTAAAAAAGTATGTTTTAATTAGTATTTCAATTTCACCACTAAAAAAAGTCACTACAAACATTTGTCTTTGTGACCTTACAGTATTGCTTCAACCCCCTGTGTTTCCTTCACATTTCCTTAGCATCTCAGTGAAGCATGTGGTGTCCTCCAATGTGATATTGCTGGAATATCATTCTTAACATGTCATCAAGTCACTTCACTGCATTATTGGCATTCCAGAAGTTACTGAAGTACTATTATTAGGAAATGTACAACTTTATGGATAACGCTGTTGTATGCACTGCAGTATAGTCCATTTGATTTCATTTGAGACCGATGAATTTCTCACTCGGTTGACCACAGCGACACCGATTCCGAATGCAGAATCATGGCTTCTGAAAGCAGCAACACTGACTCTGATTGAACATTCAAAGTGGTAACCAGATAATGGCTTTTGAGATGACCCCCATTTTCACTACACCGCTTGTTGATTACCTGGCTGTTCTCCCTGCAAGTGGTCACCTTCGTAAAAAATAGCGAAAAGTGACAACAAAATGATGATCATTTGTTAAACAACTTTTTTATTTGGGTATCCATAATTATAATATGAGACAAATCATCAGAGTTGGTCTGTCAATTTCATGTGACTGCAAAATCTGTTTTGTTGCAATTATTAGATTTTGTGTTCGGAAGCAATTCATCGGTCTCAAATGAAATCAAACGGACTATAATTGTACATAAAGTTACCTATGTCTATCTATCATACTCATATCCATACTGCCCTTCACAACTAAGGCCAATGTTCAACCTTTGCACCATGAATGGTAGAAATAAATAACAGTTGAAATATTTCCTTATCACCAAAACACTGAAGTTTTATTGCACACATGGGTCATATGAGTGACACCATATATGTGATAGATGAAACTGACAGTCACTATTAATGTCTGCTATTAAGCACACACATGACAATCTACATGACATGAATGACAATAGGGACATTCCACATGACATGTGTAGTGGCTATATTACTTCTGACTTCTGTGGTGAAAATTCTAACCATGGACCTTCGCTACTGATCCTAGGTCTGCCGCCTTGACTAAAATTGGTCAACCCCTATTTACGTCATCACACTGGCATGGTAAAGATGTCATTTGTTGGATGACTCCATGCATGGCTACATACTTCTTCATGAACAAAAAAGCATATCACAGACACCATAGTAGGTTACAGACACCAAGTTTCCTCTAATTTAAAAGACTGAATATATGAATGAGTAGCGTATAATGCTGCTTTGAATATAATTCAGTTTGTATCCTCATATGTCAGACTGATGTTGGGGGAAAGCCTCAAGATATGCAGGTCTCAGACATTTACCATCTAAATGAAACACACTAGCATAGAATTCGAATCCACATATCACCTATCATGCATAGATTTCATTTTTCAAGCATGCCCAAGAAATGCAACTATTGCATATTGAATCACAGGGCCATTAATGACTGTTCCACAGATAGCATGACATTCAACATGAAATATGCGTTACGCTCTACATGACATATGCATGACACTATGTGACTCTAAATATGCATCATTGGTGACGTACAAAATGTTATGAATACAATTCAATACCTTCTTGCTGTAGCTACATCTCCATCTTTGCGAGTTCCTTTCCCCATTTTGCTTCTGAAATTACAAACCAGTCTATCGTAATCCAATTACCGATACTATTGATAAATATTAAAAAGGTATCAGTCTGATTATCCAAAAATCACATTCACAACCTGTTCGGCAGCTGATTTTTGAAGGACAATCGCAGTAACACGGCTACAACTTTTCGTTTTTCATACAATGTGGAAGAAGGAAACTGAAAAGAGGAACCAGCGGTACTGCTGACATAATGTTTTATCTGTCAAATATAGATACTGTGTAGGGAAACCCCAAACAGTTATGGCGATGTCACGTGTAAATGTAAAACAAGACCTTCCGCGTGATTCCCCATTCTCAGCTTCGTCTATTAATATTCTTTCTGAGTTAATTGAATAGCCTCCGCGTCCAACTGTGTCTTCCATGATCCGATTACGTCCACAGTCAGGAAACTAGACAATACATCATCTCGAGCAGCTGACCAATTAATAACAGGAAGTCACACTCATAACAGGCGCGCACTTCCCCGCACTAGTTTCAGGTCAACTAAAAATAGTAAATATACAGAGCATCAGCAACAATTAATATTTTCTACAAAAATCACAATAACGACATATTCTGAATCAGTTCCCCTCAGTTGATTCTCTTGACGGATAAATATTTTTTATTATCTTTGCCTGCCCTTAAACGTCCTTGAGCTGTCAGGGACGGGTCAAGGTCATGGGGTCATTGTCATTGAGTAAATGGCAACGCAGGCGGACTAGATTGCAAATAGCCGGCGTTTGATATATTGTAAAACGACACTGTCATTTGAAGGATATAATCGCCTTACCTGTCTGTAGGACTTAGTAATAGAAAATGTCGCTAACAGTACAAAAAGTTGTCACTAAGCCCTATGATGACCAGAAACCAGGCACAAGTGGACTTAGGAAAGCTGTCAAAGTTTACCAGAATCAGCCCAACTACACTGAAAATTTCATTCAAGCTACCCTCACAGCCGGTGTTGGTGACAAACTTAAGGGAAGTTCTCTCGTCGTCGGTGGTGATGGAAGATTCTATGGCAAAGAAGCAACTGAGCTTATCATCAGAATGTGTGCCGCAAATGGGGTAAGCTATATTTTGACTAAGTGCCTTACCTACTTTCTGCAGTGATCTGCATATTTACAGACAACATTTGAACAGCTGGTCAACAGCTGATAACAAAACTTGGAGCAGGTTGTTAGGGTTAATTCAAATAAGTTGGCAACGTGTCAGTGTTTTGTGACATTTTTTGCAGGAATCATGTAGATTCCAAACTAAGTTCAAGTAACAGGCAACTTGAGGGAAAGTTGTGATGGTTGTGTGTGTAAACATGTTGAAAGTTAAATTTTGCAGAGTAATGATGACATGCATTGCGCCAGGTCACATGTTACTTCAAGCACTAGGCATGTAAACAAGGTCTCCACAGCGACATATATTGTAGGTATTCTGCATACAAAAGCTTTCAAACCTTCATTTGATTAACTGGCTTAAATATGAAATATAATGTTTCCTTTCTCTTGTCACTAGAACTTTCAAGTTAGATATGATGCCTGCAATGATGAAATTCAGTCTTGTGAATCACGTCTGAGGGGTTTAGCTGATTAGAATGATGTCAATGTTATAACTATCACCTCCAAGTTTATATGGGCGATGGGGTAGCTTGATGGTGAAAGTGTTCGTTTGCCACACCGAAGGCCTGGGTTCGATTTCCCACATGGGTACAATGTGTGAAGCCCATTTCTGGTGGGATGTTTCACCTATGTATGTGGAGCCACAATCACAGTGCAGTTTGTATATGCATCCCCTGGGTCTATTTGGGGTCTTGAGGAAACTCGTCCATTGGCTTTCAGGATGACCCAAATAGACCCAGGGATGCATATACAAACTGCACTGTGATTGTGGCTCCACATACATAGGTGTGAAACATCCCATACAACCCATTTGACATCTGTGCAAAAATGGACTAAAAATCTGCTCTCTCAGAGCACATCGTCAAAAACTCTACTCACTCCACTGACTGGCAACAATCAACCATATTAACCACTAATGTCCAAGATTGGCGCAAGCACAAACTATTAGAGTCTTTAGCGATAAGACAATGACAACCGCAGCTGAACAGGGATCAAGGAGTGTACCTCCCCAGTACCTGGGAAGTCAATTAGCTCATTACTGGCTTCTTTCCACGGTTAACTCTCACTTAGCCAGAGTCTGACCAAAAGGCCTTGTTAAAGGTCACATAAACCCTAGGGGTACAAATACATAAATCACTAACTGGCATCGTTATAAATGAAACCCGTCATTAAAACTACTCATTTTCGACCTTTAATTGACTTAAATCGACCTTTTTGACAACAGTGCACAATTCTCACCCATGAGCGAAATTTCAACCAATCAGGCCGGTAGCTCTGTGGCGTCATATGAGGAATAGCTTTGAGAGCGATGCAGAATTTATCTACATTTTAGGGGTAAAATTATCGTGTTTTACAGGCTTGTATAAACCTGAAATCGTGATGACAATTGTTGTGGAAAATGAAAGCTATATGTTCTCACAATCTACTGTCATTTTAATTTTGTCTCCTGCTTTGCCTAGTTTCGAGTTACAACTTGTTTTCATAGACGATTCTGTCAAAATCGATTGTTGTCGTTAGGCCCTATTTGTATAATGACTGATCCAAATTGATCCCATTTCTGTGTTGTTTTACCTCGATATTTAATCATGTCATGTAAAAATCTGTTTGTATTCTCAAAACAGTGTCGGCCCATAAGTTTTCACATGCAATACAGCAATTAATACTCCCTCGTTGTAACCCGTGTTTAGGTGGTATAAACCTACACATGTTATTTGTCATCATTCACTTGATGGTCAGTTAATGAATTTATAACAGGTATAATTAGTGGTAACACACTTAGATTACCGACAAAGGTTCCCATTTGGCATTTCTTGTGTCTGGAGTAAATATTCAACATTATAAACATCGATCAAAGGATTAACCGATAACACGCTGATTGATTAATTACTTTTATCTTACACAGCGGAATTGTCAAAAGGTAGTGTTTATGTATGTAGATTTACTAATCTATACTGAATACACTCTGTCGTGTCGGTGTCTGCGCGTAAAAACAACGTCCTTCTTTCAAAGGATTAACCGGCAATACATTGATTGATTGCCCATTATTGGCTAACTAAATTACTGTTTTTAAAGAAAGGCGGACATTATGCAATTAGTTGCCAGGTGTGCTATCTTGGGTGACCAATGAGACTATACACCAATACCTGAAAAGATTTATCACTTTTTTCAGATATTAAACTGTTAAAAGACACATCATTTGGAACAGTTTTGTGGATATTGATGGATACATTCCTCGAACAAGGTAATGGCCTGATATTGTTCCTATAACTTTAATCTGTTTTAATTTTAATATTTGCATTTTGTTTTATTCATTTGTCGTAGCATTCAACAGAATCATTGTTTTCGCGTGAAGTGTAATGAGACAGACAACATGCACTAGGGTGTGTGTGCGAATTATGATTCACATAGGCAAACTATAAAATGTCTAGATATTACAGTTCTGTTATAAATTCACTATAAGTATCAGCAGATCGTCTGCTTTTTATTTAGTTTCAAAATGCATACAAGTGTGATAATAAACTAATTAGGATTATAAGACCAAATATAAAGGGCGCATTGACTAGTATCTACATACTGGTGAGTGGACATTAACCATGGGAATGTAGCAAATATAAAGAAATTTATCGGCGCTTGGACATTAGTATTGTGACTTCAGACCCCCACCTCGGGCCTTCCGTGGAAGAAATTGTTATGTTATAAGTTGTGTCATGCAAAATCCGTTTGGTTATGATTCCAATACATATTTAACAACGGTAGAAAGTAGTCTTGATTTTCTAACTTGATGAAAACAAACTATAATCTCATTATTCTAACAGATTTTTTATTTTTTTCAAAAATGGCGGCCCTGTCGGAACATCCGCCAGTCTGAGGATAAATGGTATTTAGGTTTGTTTTCACCGTCTTACAAAATCAAAACTACTTTCTACTGGTAGTAAAATATGTATTTTATTGATGGCCAATAGGATTTTGCATGACATAGCGATATCATAACAATTTCTCTCATGGCAGCGAGGTGGGTGTCAATATAATACTACTTACAATATTATTGTTACTTCGACCACAACCTTACTTCCGAGGAAGAAATCGTTATGTTACAAGTTGTGTCATAGAAAATCTTTATGGTCATCAATCATATGCATATTTTACTACAACTAGTAAGTAGTTTTGATTCTTTAACTTCCGTGAAGCGATCTGAACACAAGTAAGATATCGTTTCAGGTTTCCACAACGCCGCTTAGCACTCACAAACATAACCCATTTAGCACGAACTGCGGGGTCCTGTGGAAATCTGTGCATGGGGACACCATCGCCCGACCCTAGGAGCAATTGACGACAAAGCAACGATTCGGCATGTCGTCGTTGATGTCGAAAATCATCAAAATGATGAGCGTGCTACACACTTTCTATACAACTAACTGAAAATCGTTCCTCATATGACGTCACTGCAGTGCTCTGGCGACAGAGTTACGTAAACCTGTCTGTGGTTTCGTTGGTGGGCTTAGAGGGAAGCAGGCGACTTTTTGGCCACTTTTAATCGCCGGTATTAATTAACCACAAGTTTTAAAGAATAAATTTGGTGTTCCGCATAAGACTAACCACAAATCTTTCATATGTAATGGTTAAAAGAGTAACAAAAACAAAGTTTAGTGGTTCTTTAAGAGAACATTGCACTATAGCTAGGTGAAAGATGCTAACCAGGTAATTAGGATTAGGCACTGTTTAGGGCTAGCCTTTAAGATGTTGCAAGTGTGTGTGCGTTTGTTTATTTCTGCTATATTGTATTGTTTACTAGTTGTCATCCATAATATTTCTTGAACACCAACTTCTAAGTTTCTGTTTTCTGTATTGTATAAAACTGTCCTAACATTTTGCTTTCTGGTGCACAATACACTTATCATTCTTACAGACTGGTCTACGAATTAGTTTGGGGATGCTTATTGGCATGATTGGAGGAGGATGCTTAAAAACGTTATTAATAATAATATGGATATCAAGTTGTGCTGTGGACACAGGAAAAGTTACTGTATTAACATTTCAAATAATATGTTTTATCTTCAGGTGTCTAAGCTGTTAATAGGTCAGAATGGCCTCCTATCTACACCAGCAGTTTCACATATCATCCGTAAATACCAGACAAATGGTGGAATCATCCTGACTGCAAGTCACAACCCAGGGGGTCCTAATGGAGACTTTGGCATCAAGTTCAACACATCTAATGGAGGTACAGTATATCAGGTCAAACATATACATTTATTTTCCGACTTGTAGAGATCCCATTTAGAACTGTTGACAGACAGGATCATTATTAGTTACTGACATGCTCACTGAGTCACATAGCTGATGCTTGTCATTGTATCCCCGTTGTATTAATTATATCCCCATTGCTCGTTATGTTTTAGTACTGCTTTTATTAATTGGCACCAGGAGCTTAACCTTTCAGAATCAAGCATTCTTTAATGCCATGGTAGAATTTCAAGTATTGACTTATAATTTCTCTTTGCTGAAGTTAAGTTGAATATCTTGTGAAGTTGAACAGCTGGAATTACCAGTGCACTGCAATAAATATCCAATAATAATAATAATAATAATAATAATAATGAAATAAATAAAAATTAGACTATTCATACACTTCAACTCTGAAACAGTTTATCTGGACGCTTGATACATATTTTTGGGATGTATCATGCAACAATAAATTTTGGTGATGTATAGTTTGATCATTTTCAACATTAATATTTTGTTCTCAGATTTTGTTAGTGTGGAAACTAATCATGATGATGTATTAAGCTCTATTTGTTTCTCATGTTATGGTAAGGGTAACTGTTATAAGTTCCAGATCATGACAGTAATATTCTTCCACACAAGGCTCAGTGAATGCCCTTTGCTTTATAACTATTACATTACTTCTTCTTGGACCATACATTTAGGTGTTAGCTTTTCTTATGAGTGTAGAACTTCTTGCAAGAAGGAAGCAGTGATGATTATTAGTGGTTAAAACGTTTGCTCATCATTCTGAAGGCTCGGGTTCGATTCCACACATGGGTACAATGTGTGAAGCCCATTTCTGGTGTCCCCTTCCTTGATATTGCTGTAACATTGCTAAAAGCGCTGTAAAACCATACTCACTCACTCACGTAATGTCGCACTTAATGCAACTGTAAGACAGCAGCCTGAAAGTTATCATGTCTGGATCTGACAGTGTTGTGATTGACATCATGAACAAACAAAACAACCAAAGCACTAATGAGTGAGTGAGAATTGGGTTTTACGCCGCTTTTAGCAATATTCCAGCAATATCACGGCGGGGGACTCCAGAAATGGGTTTCACACATTTTATCCATGCAGGGAATCGAACCCGGGCCTTTGGCGTGACGAGCGAAACGCTTTACCCACCAGGCTACCCCACCGCCCCCAAAGCACTAATGAGCCTGACCACCTAATCCACTGAGATGCCCCTTTTGACCAGCACTGATTACTCTAGACTCATTCTAACCCATTAGTCCAACACCACACATCCTTGATAATAGTTCAAACAAGAGCTTTCTCCCTTCTGACTTGATGTATGTCACTGTTCCAGGTCCAGCTCCTGAAGCAATAACAAACAGAATCTTTGAAATCACAAAATCCATCTCGAGTACGTGACATGTCCAGACCTGCAGGCAGACATCTCTACAATAGGCACTCAGACGTTCCAGGTGGAGGGCAACACCTTCACAGTTGAAATACTAGACTCTGTCAATGATTATGTCACATATATGAAAGAGATCTTCAACTTTGACTCAATCAAGACTTTCTTGGCAGGAGGCAAAGGAACACCTATGAACATCCTCATCAATGCTATGCATGGAGGTAATGTACTGGTCCACATATCAAACATCCAGGTATTTATCTGGGATTCCAGTGACCACACTTATTCCTCTTGGCACCAAACATGGGATCAAAATTAGTACTTTTAAAATTATAAATCTCTGTTTAGCAACCATAATTTGTCACAAATTCTCTACCTCATGTCAGGATCCCTTGATTTCAATAATTTCAAATACATAGCCCAGTGTATCTTTCTTTTAAATTGTGGTGCTCAAAATTTGGCATTTGACCGTCACTACATTTTAGAATAAAAACATTTGCTGTTTTCGTTAACATGCATTTAATGTTACAATGCTTGTTTTACTCATGTGTCCCAAACCTTTATAATATGTACCGTATTGTTTTATTTCATTTTTATACTAGTTCATTTTAAAAATTGTGTTGGCTCCTAAAATACTGTTACTATCAGGAAAGTAACAACTTTGCATGGACCAGATATATACTACTCAGTACAGTTAAAGGGACATTGATCTAGAGCAATTACCCGGGAATGGGTGTTGAAAGTATCATGTGCTCTTAAACATTTTTTCATTAAAATATCGGCCATAGAGAGTTTTGAACACACAGTGCCCTTTAGAAAGTGGTCAAATCCTGATGAGAACTGGATATCCTGGATATGTACTTTCTGGAGAAAGTGTAATCCCAACTAACCACGATGCCCTAATGATTCCAGTTACTGGTCCCTATGTGAGGAGAATATTTGTGGATGAATTTGGTGCGCCAGAATCCAGCATTATCAACTGTGTCCCTCTGGAAGACTTTGGAGGTCACCACCCTGACCCTAACTTGACCTATGCGGCTGACCTGGTGAAGGAGCTCCAGAAAGGACAGCATGGTTTTGGTGCAGCATTTGACGGGGATGGGGTCAGTAGTTTTGATATGATTCTCCACTGGTGAAGGGTTGCTGTGGAATTGCTATTTTGATACTATGTAACACAATTAAATATATGGGACACTGAGTGAGTGAATGTGACATTTAGCAATATTCCAACAATATCATGGCTGCTTAAGGTGTTGTATCGATATATGGGATGGAACACGGGACTTCAGCGTCTCAAAACCCTATGTCTGTTTATGCGGTGTTTTATGCCTTGTGTTACCCAGAAATATATGTAACTTACCGGGGTAACTGTGGAACATGTAAATTAGGGTGTTGCCAGTTGTTTTTGTTCTATTTAGGTTAGTTATTTCACTCTCAAACTAAGCTTTGTGGGGTATATAGAAACAGGAATTGTGTATAGAGAATCTGTCTGTGCATCCATCACGTTCTTCCCATTGACCAGCTTGAAACCTGAAGCTTTGGAAACACCTTCAGTTGAGAAATGTAAGGATTTATTTGTCAAAACCAGTCAGTGCCAGATACATTCAGTGAGAACTACTGGTCTTACACACTCCTTGTATTTGCACCTGCTCACCTATTGTTACTTGACATGTCATGGATGTGTTCCTGTCTTGTAATCTGTGGCAAAAAATGATGACCAAAGTAGAGAGAAACTTTTTTTTCAATCATTGTTTTAGATGGTACAGACTAAGAACACATGCTTGAACAGACATTGGACACTAATCAGAGGTAGAGAAAATCAGAAGTAATAATATAAATATATGTATTTAACTCAGGTTCCTTTCCAATCATGTCCAAGGGCAGGAAAATACTGTCCATGATTATCATGATTATGCTTATCATACAAGAGTACTAATAACATTACTGTTCTACTAACATGACAGCAATGCGGCTGAGTGGTGGAAGGTGTTGATGTCATTGTTGAAACTGATCTGTGTTCAAGGCTGTAAAATCAATGCTCATCTGAAAAGCACTGTTTTATATGAGTGGAACGTACATGTCTCTGTGCGACAGATGCAACTGACTCAGGAAGGCCAGTCTTCCTCTCACACTAAAATATGGTTGTTTGAACCAGTATGTACTTGACTATTGGGCCAGGGAGGTTAGAAAACTGGGCGTATCCCCCCTGGGACTTGTAATCCTGGTTGTGTATGTGTTTCCTCTTGTTGCAGGATCGGAACATGATCCTGGGACACAATGCGTTCTTTGTGACGCCTTGTGACTCACTCGCCATCCTGGCCAATAACCTTGACTGCATCCCATACTTCCAGAAGACAGGGGTCAAAGGTTATGCCAGGAGCATGCCCACTAGTGGAGCAGTTGACAGGTGCGACAGATAGCAGCTTAGTTAAAAACAACAGATAGAACACCAGCATATATTCATTATATGTAGAACAATGTTCATGTTCATGATTATCAATATCATCAAGGACAGATGTGACCTTGATCATGTTCATACTTTGTGGTAACTCCTTTTATTTACTGTAAAGATTTAAAGTGTTCTGGGCCCCGTTCCACTAAGCGATCGTAGCGTTACGACTGTCATAAGTCTATGTTGAAGTATGGGAGTTACAATCATCTTAGTGCTGCAATCGCTTTGTGGAAAAGGGCAGTGGGGTGTTTATGGTCCCTGAATCCCTATCTTGGTTTGCATCTAGACTATCTCTACTTAAGGTCCACACATAGCAAGCCCAATTGTTAATAATGTTAAGGATTTAATTATAAGTAAAACAAGGGTTATTTTTCTTATTCCTGATAAAAGATTATTGTGTGAAACTCTGGTGTGTTTTGAGTATCTCTTTTTATCTAACTGCTCAACAGTAAAACATATGGCAGGGACCTAGCACTCATGAAGAGTGAGTGAGTTTGGGTTTACACCGCGATTCAGCAATATTCCTTATATGCCGGGCGGTCTGTAAATAAGTCGAGTCTGGACCAGACAATCCAGTGGTCAATAGCATGAGCATCTGGCGCTAATTGGGATACGATGACATGTGTCAACCAAAGTCAGCAAGCCTGACCACCACCCGACCCGCGTTAGTCGCCTTCGTGAAGAACCAAATGCTAAAGGCACAGCATCCTCGAATTAAATCTGTTTACCTTCGGATGTGACTGAGGCATGCAAGGTGAAATCTAATGAGGGTGATCTAGTATCTAGAAATACCCAGGACTATCTCTTGTAGTGGTTGTTGTGTTCACACAAGACTGACTGATCCTTGAATCATCCATTCCACAATTATTAACTATTTCCAGTTACTGGTATCAACAAACTTAGATATGTGATCACTGGAGAATCAACATGATGACTGTATGTTGCAAATAAATTCTTGCAGAGTAGCAAAGTCCACAGGGAAGGAGTGTTTTGAGGTTCCAACTGGCTGGAAGTTTTTCGGTAACTTGATGGATGCTGGGAGATTGTCCCTATGTGGAGAGGAGAGCTTCGGGACAGGCTCAGATCACATCAGGTCAGCAGTCACCCCTGACATAGGATGTACAGTCATGAGTGGAACCTTGATGCCTGACACATACCTATGGTGCATGATCTCTAAATACATCCACTTACCTTTTGGACTTCCTGTATTGGGGCAACAGTTTTCTTTTGTATGTTGTTTGCAAAAGTGGAAAACTTTGCTTTGTAAGAATGTAATTATGCTTATAAACTTTTGAAAAATGAATCAGAGTGTGCACCTACATCTTGGCCAAGTCTAAGAAACCACCTCAAATCCAAGAAAATATGTTTCTTGCGTGGTGATGAAAATGATGAACATCTTCAATATACTGCTGTGGTGTTGCTTACTCTTGACCATGTGTATGGGATGTGCAGTAGTGTTGGGAATTGGTTGAAATCTCACAACTGATGATTGGTTTATTACCAACGAGCAATTAGCAACATTTTTCAGATTTTCCAATTCAGGTTGTTATTGCAGATAAGTATAAAATGATGCAACTTGCTACTTGAAAGTGATGATGAAATTTCCTGTACATAAACTTCCTGAAGTCTTCAAGAAATACGCAGTCATGACTTTTCATTAAGGGAAGTTAGTTTTCTGAGAATTAAACATGTTTTCCGGCCCTGACAACTTCTAAGATATGTTCCTTCATCAAGTGTTTCAAACACTAAAACAGTAGTTCCAAAATTGTTTGTGTTCGATTATGAGAAATGTGATCGGGTCACTTCGACCAATCTTCGATTATTAATCGGCACACTACTAATGTGCAGGAGAAGGATGGTGTGTGGGCGGTGCTGGCATGGCTGTCTGTCCTGGCTCACACCAACAAGTCAGTGGAAGAACTGCTCATGGATCACTGGGGCAAATATGGCAGGAACTTCTTTACAAGGTCAGTAGGTATGACACATGATATGGTGCATGATGTTAGGCATAGTAACCCACATATTTTGTGATAATTCAGTCTCTTCAGGAAGTAGTGTTGTCATGAACACTTACCTTTGTTTTTGCACTTGGTATTGACATTCATAATTGATAATGGCCATTTATAGAGCGCCTGTTTCCACTCATTTGTGCTTGCTCAAAGTGTTGATGCAGTTTTACCCCGGATAACCCATGCTGCATGTGAGGCGCTAGGTTAACAGTCATATGACCTATCCCACGGGATACCCATTCACTGCTGGGTGAACAGAGGCAATTCATGAACAAACTCCCTTGCGTAAGGTGAGACCACATATGTCAGATGTGCTTCGTTGTGCTGCCAAACATGGTCACCCATCCAAGGACTGTCCACGACCAACGTTGCTTAACTTGAAGTGACTTGTGACCTTGGCTCTATACACAGGACCACAGACCACCACTGTTTTATTATCCCCTACATTTTTTAAGAGTATATTTTGTTTCAATCATTGGTTTGTTATATTATCTGGGTTTGTTATAACCATACACTACTGTGTTAATCCATCAGAATTCAAACATCAGCAGGTAAGCTTGTAAACAGTTTTCATGTGTTAAGTTTTTGTAGATACATTTTGTGTAAATCAGCATAAAGTCTAGGGTCATAATACTTTCATTCATTGTCTATGGAACACATTCTTCAGACATGACTATGAGAACGTCGACACTGCCCCAGCCAATCAGATGATGGCGAATCTGAATGCTCTGATAGCTGACCCAGCCCTTGTAGGGAAGCAGTATAGCTCAGGGGACAAGACATATGCAGTAGCTGTGGCCGACAACTTCTCCTATACTGACCCCATCGACAACAGTGTCACCAAAGGCCAGGTAGGGAGAGAACCTGTGTACTTCATGCTTGCCTTTTCATTATAGTGTCAAAATTTGTTTCATCTCATCTGAAAAGTAACTGATAGTAATTCTGAAGTGTTCAGCTTGAGTGAATTAATGTATCCATTTTCATGTCACTTCTGTGCTTCATTTCTGAACAGTACAATGTTAAACTGTTCACTTACTACACCATTGAAAGAAATCACATTGCTGATTTTTTCTGTTCTTTAAAATACTTGATTATTTGTTCATGTGTACATAAATGATTAAACAAGCTTGATGAATACATATTTCAGTTGATGTGTTTAGGGACCGTTCATAATTTATGGCTAGGAGGGGTGATGATGATTGATGATTTTTATGGAGAAGCATGTACAATGAGAATGACCCCCCCTAAAATTTATGTACAAAATAAGTGATCCCCACTACATGTCATGTACAAAATCAATGACCCCCCTCCCCTTCCCATAATTTCTAAGCATAATTTTAAACATATTTTTATGTACAAAATTGCTGACAAACACACACACACACACACACACCCCCTAGTACATGTGTACAAAATTGCTGACCCCTAGCTCCCCAGAACAAAATGGGTGACCCCTTAAAATCATCATCACATACCCAACACCCCCCTAGCCATAAATTATGAATGGTCTTTTACCTCACTACATTGAATATGTTGATCTTGTTTGTCACACATAGGTATTAATGTCCGCTGGCATTTGTGAAAGGAACACTGTTAAACAATAAATGTGTCCTTATGCAAGTGTGATGCATCACGTACAGGGCTGTAATGGTGAGTGTTGCATTGTCAGCTCGAATAACAATGCATGTTCAGAATGGCCAGTGAATTCCTGTCTCAGAATCATTTGCAATGGAAACAGTGTTATGTCATATATATTGACAGCTGCTTTGCTTTCTGTCTTTTCCTGCCAGCTACCTTTCTCACATAGCCACATACAGACTTGCTTCAAACACTTCTCATGTAGTGTCTTTTATTTATGGCAGGGTGTGAGACTCATCATGTCTGATGATTCCCGTGTCATATTCCGACTGAGTGGCACAGGAAGTAGTGGCGCCACCATCAGGCTGTATATTGAAGGATACGAATCTGACCCAGCAAAGTACAAACTGGATTCCCAGGTATAAACTGACACACAGTTTTACAGTGAACATATATACACAGAGGGCATCAGGAGGCACAGTGGTATAGTGCCGGGGTTTGTTGCTAATACACAGAGCTGGTGAATGGTTTGATCCCGTCCACATCATACCAAAAGACAGTCTAAGTAAACTTAGGCTCAGTATTATTCGTTACACTGCTATACTGAGTCTAACAAACCCTAGTAGAAGGTCGCGTCAGTTAACCTTTGAGCGACCTATGACCATCCAATCAAACGCTAGACGGCCGAACACATTTAATCAATCAGACAACGGCTACTATTTAGGGTTCGGTGGGACTTACAAAATGGCAACAAACTAAAATTCGCATAAAACACAATTATTTGACCTGCAGTATATACGCTATGGGGTCCGATGACATGGTTACTTTATTAGCCTATATTTCCGCAAGATGGCATCCTGGAATATTGACAAAAACGCTTTGTTCAGCGACTGTTTACTCACTGTTGTGAATAATGGCGTCCTCCATGTGTATCACTCGGAAGCGATCATGCGGAAAATAGCATTTGGAATCGTTCAAGTACAAATGTTTTTGAGGTAAAAGTTCAAACGGTATGTGTGATTGTTAACTTTTGCGATTTGGTAAGCTGTGTTCTGATTGGTCAGTTCAAAAGGATAGCTGGCGCGACTTTCTGCTTGGGTTTGTTAGACTCAGTATACCAGTGTAACGAATAATACTAAGCCTAAGTTTACTATGACTGTACCAAAAGACATTTAAGATGGTACTTGTTGTTACCTTGCCCATTACTTGGTATTGAGGGATTAAGACTAGCTGGCTGGCTTGAAGCCAGTATGGTGTGTCTGAGTCAATGTTAAACTGCAGTATGCTATTTCAGTAGGCTAGCACTATAAAATTGGTATTAGTCCAGGCTAACACACACACGCAAGCAGATGGCTATGTAAACCCTAAGATCACCTGGCTTCAATTCATGGCAGTGTTAAACACTATCCACATATAGTTTGATTTTGTTGCTGGATGAATGTTTGGACTTATTATTTACAGACTACCGCCATATGGCTGGAATATTGCTGAATGCGGTGTAAAACTAAACTAACTCACTCACTCATTGTCCTGAAACATCTATTGATGTTATGTCATGTCTAACTATTAGATGCCTGACTATAATTTCAGTATAAAGATTTTCTATTTTGTGTTTTGCAGGTTGTCCTTAAGCCATTAATGGATATAGCTCTACAAGTATCTCAGCTGCAAGAACTCACAGGAAGAACAGGGCCAACAGTCATCACTTGAGTCCTTGTTGTCATGACAACTAGGACTGTATAATTAAGGCTTAAGAATTTCTCCTGTCCACCGTGTTCTGCAATCATAGATTCAGCATTTGGCAAAGACAGCTTCCAATCAGAAATCCATCTATAAAACTTGCTTATTACATTAACCCATGGCCTGCTTGTAGGGTGTACTTATAAATGAAGACCTGCTTCATGATCACAAAGCCAGTTGTTACTGGTTTAACAATGTTTAGTACTTATGTTTCCACATGCATATTTTTCTTGCAGCCTATTGCAACATATTTTCTGTGAGACTTGAACTATATTATGGTGCAATGGTTTTGATAGATGTGAACTGCTAAATATGGTCAACTGGTCAGTAATTTGTTTCCAAAATGTGATGGATGAAATGTTTCTTTTTTCATAAGCTTACATGTTTTGTTCAAGTTTTACAGTCATGTACGCTCCTCAAGATGTGATTTGTTCAAATTTCAGTCATTAATACTCCTCGAGAGATGTTTAACTACACACAGTTCTTTCATATTAGTAGTTAATCTGTCATGGCTACAGATCTTTTCATATTACATTAGTTCATTCTGCCATGGCATGAAAAATGACATATGAAAGAAATTGATGTTCCATGACATCTTTTGAGAAGTACCCAAGATCATTTTACCTCAAGAACTGTGTTCATTAATGGGCCTTGCTATACCTACTTTACCTCAACAGCTGTCGTCACAAAGGAAATCACACTGAGATGATTACACATTATCACTGCCAAAAGCTTTGCATCGTGATTTTCTGTTGTTTTTCTACTTCTGCCGATAGTAGTGTCCAGTTTGTCTTTGTGTGTCTTTACCCTCAGTATTCATTCCTTAGCTCCTGCAGTCAATGGAAGTACTCAGACAAACTCCTCGTTGCTCAGCATAATATGGCCAGGAACATCCAGGTACCCAAGATGCATTATTGCATGTTAACGACACTTTGTGCAGACATACATTGAACCAGTTAAAACAAAGCCGAGATCAAAGATAAGACAGCAAGATGTTATAATGTGGCAGTCGTCTAATAGCCAAAGAAAGCTATCCATTGTTTCCACCTAAATCACTATCCATTGTTCAAACACTAACTCACTATCCTTTTTTTAAAGCATCAATAGTATAACTGTTATATCTATTGTCATTGTTCGACTAATTTTTGTCATGAGTTTGTAAATGTTTATTGTCATGTTAAGTTGATATGACATCTTGTTCTATATGCCAAATTGGAATATAAAAGTTCTTCTGGAATGTTTGCTGTTTAATAATACAGATGTACGCTCTGAAATAAATTGTCTGAGAGTGCTCTGTTCCAAGCCCTTGTGAATTCCAACTAGAAATAGCCCTGGTTATGAACTTTATTACTGCACAAGACAAAGATTCAACAAAGTTGAATTTTAACGTGTTGACTAATGTCAAAGTCGGCTCCCTTGGCTGTGCCACTGATATGGGTTTAAGTCCAAGATCTGCCCTATGGATGATCCTTGCTTTGTCTTAGCCAAATAGTTGATATCTACAACCTGATTTCAGTTGTTTTCCCACAAGCTAACACTGAAATACGTCTTATTGTTGAATACATCTCAAATGAACGGGAAAGGTACATTTCCTGGGCACATTTGGCTCCTGATATATGTTGCTGGAAGTTTGAAGACTGAATTCTAAAAAAACATATGAGTGATTAGTGATGATTTCTATTCTTAAGTCAGACATAAGGCTGAGGTTAAAGATTGATGATGAAATATATTTTACATGTGGAGCAGACATGACAGGGTTTTACTGAAGGGTGAACAGTTATTAGAAATAGTGAACAGGTGAAACGATTCAAGGATGCACTACAATATTCATCTCAGTGATGTGATACATGATATGAAACATTCATTACAGCCATACATCATTTTATATATTGAATTAATTATCTGTTTTCAAGTTTGTTTTCACCTGGCATTATTAGTTTCGTCTATTAGTGCATGTGATCATGTATTGTTTTGAAATAACATCTGACTTGAAAAATTATTTCTTTAAATGAAGTTTTTGTTCGTCTTTCATATAAAAATTAGAAGTGTTGTGATACAAACTCAAAGTGTTCCCAGACTCGATTATTTACAGACCGCCACACATAGCTGGAATATTGCTGAGTGCAACGTAAAACTAAACTCACTCACTCACTCACTCTGTTCCACAGTTCTGTTGTTATTCCCCTTTTCCACAATATTTTACTATAACATACTTCAGTGGGTTGACATAATTCCAATGTTACATGTTCACTTGAACGTCTTTGTTTGGGAAATGTTACATAAAAATACTTTGTATGCTTAATATTTTACGCACCCCCTCTACACAGTTGTGTGAAAAAAGGGTGACCAATATATACATGAAAATACTGTACCCTGTATTTTGTGATAATTTTCATGTTTTATTCAGTGATGTTATGAGATGAATGAGTAGTCTTTGCAGGGTAATATGTTTCTCCTTTATAGCATTAAAACAATCTCGAACCTTCTTCACCCTTTGATTACACAATGTTAGCAATAGAAATGAGAAGTGTTTCACTGAGCCTTTAATATTTTGCGGGGCAGTGGGGTAACTGGTGGTTAAAGTGTTGGCTCGTCACGCCGAAGACCCGGGTTCGATTCCCCACATGGGTACAATGTGTGAAGCCCATTTCTGGTGTCCCCCGCCGTGATATTGCTGGAATATTGCTAAAAGCGGCGTAAAACAGTACTCACTCACTCACTTTAATATTTTGCAATGAACAGTGTCATGATATACATATTGAAATCGGCTATTATCCACACCAAACATTGCGGACATGTATCTAACATGGTCGAAAATGTGAAAATACCAAATTCTTCTGGCATGTAAGAGATAAACCTGATCCTGTTTTGTTAATTATTTGAAATTAACTAATTCTTTTTCTTTTTGTTATATCAATTGATAATCTGTCCCTTGCGACGCATGTGTTGAGTTTTCATGTATCATGTTCTGTATCATATCGCTGTCATATCAAGTTATGCATTGTATCGGACAATAGTGTATTGTTACAGTTCTAATAATAACATGTTCTATTGTGAGGATGTCAGTTGTACGACACGTTGATTGTTGGGATCAGACTTTGTACATGTTGTTATTCCTCTGAACAAATGGCTGCAATACCTGAATCAACTGGGGGTGTTTATAGTGCTGTGGTATATCAGACTGGTCGAGCTTGTTATTGAATAAAGTAACCACTTGTTATTAAAGATGTGTTTAACCTTGTCTCTGTTTCCACGTCCTATTCTTGCTTAGGATATCACTGCCTTGCACTACTGCTATTGTGCCACCATCTGCTTAGTGAAATCTCAATGTCTTTGTCTCAGTTGTAAAACCGGAGAAACTGTGCAAACTCAGAACTGGATTACTTCTTCCTTGGTTAATGGGGGCGGTGGGGTAGTCTAGTGGTTAAAGTGTTCGCTCGTCACGCCGAAGACCCGGGTTTCGATTCCCCACATGGGTACAATGTGTGAAGTCCATTTCTGGTGTCCCCCTGGAATATTGCTAAAAGCAGCTTAAAACCAAACTCACCCACTCACTCTTGGTTAATGCTGTTCTCTGCAGTATTAAAGTTTGATAATCTGGACCAGATAATCCAAATTGATTTTATGGACAGTGGTCCCTTCCATTAGTGTACAATAACACACTACCAACAACATTACTGAGCCAGACAACCCAATCCATTTGGCAGCCTCATCCTGACCCATGCTCCACAAAGCGATCAACCTGTGAAGATCCGGGTCAGAATTGATCTTCATCAACCCATGCTTGTTCTATGAGGCGACTAACGGGATCGGGTGGTCAGGCTCGCTGACTTGGCTGACACGTCATCATATCCCAATTGCATAGATCAATGCTCATGTTGTTGATCACTGGATCAATTATTTACAGACTGATGCCATTTTGCTGGAATATTGCTGAGTGCAGCGTAAAACTAAACACACTCACTCACAAAGTGATCTTGGCACTATGATTTTTTCTATTAAGTCTACGTTACGTTTGAGACTTACGATCATCTCTATTCACCAGATTGTTTTCTATAACAGATCCAAACACATGTTGATATGTACATATTCTACAATCCCAACTTGATGACCTGGTTTACAAAGATTAGAAACAGTGTTTATGTATAAACACAGCAAGTTGTAGGGTATACAGTTTATTTAGTAGTGAGTATGTTATGTACAGCATACTGGTACAGGTCCTGGTTAGCACCCTGCAGTCGGTCCAGGTCGCCCTGGAGTCGAACCACCTCCTCCTCCAGCTTGGCTTGGGTGTGGTCATCATGACTGGAACTCTACAGAAGAATGTTACATTGTTTCAGTGTATGTCAACATTGTGTCTGCTCCATCAGTACTAAGGCAGGATACAAGGAATGGTATTCAAGCACTGTATGTGAGTCACACAGACACATCGGCTCCTGGGATGTCTATGTACCTACTTTTATATATGAAGGATATATTATTTACCAAAATCTGAATAAAGCAGAGTATGGATGCTTAATAGGGCCTAAAAAAGTGTTGTGGGTCCGATTACCCGAACTACCCTTGAATTCTGATGCAGATCCTATTGTTTGGGGCAGTATGAATAAAATAAGCTTTCTGATACCATTCGGTTTTTTCCAGGCACCGATGGACACTCGGCCTAGTGCCAGGAATCTCAGTCTGAAACTTCACTGAATAAACAACTACCCATTGATAAATGTGCTATTAGTTCGTACTTTACTTCGTCGAAATTTTTTGTCGGCCTAGGAGTGTATTGATTGATGAAAGAAGTGATGAATTGCAATGCAAATAGTATGCTGTAACACTGTATACCGACTTTGAGCCACCCGGTCTTCACTGTATCCCCTTAATCTTGAGAGCCACACTGGGAACAAGTATACCATCTTTTGACCTCTCTTACTATGACACACTCAGTTGTCAAACCATCTTATGCTCTCTGGCCATTACTCTTTCACAACTTTTGCTTTGTAACTACCTTCAGTAATGAATGCATAGTACTGAGTGTACTGAAGGATAGTGGAGGACCTTACCTTTGGACATGTAGTAATGTACACATGAAACACTGACCACCAAGAAATATACTCACTTTCATCATTTCATTAGATGCAGGATGAGCCATGTACTGATTCAACTGAAACAGTCAGCAAACAATTAGAAAATTCAAGACTTGATAACATAGTCCTTCATTACACAATTCTAAAAACTTACATAAAACAAAACTTACAAGAATTAAGTTAATGAATTATACAGAACAGAAAAGGAAGGACATGTAAACAAAGGCAATGTCAACCTGATGTGTTTCATGAAGCCAGACATCAAACACTTGTGACTTGTCAGAAATTGTATCATCAGCTTGTGTGGACACCAGTTGGCGCTTGAAGTGTTGAAGAGGAAGCTGAGGTCTGCTGTCGGGCAACGCCACACCCCGGGGGGTTTGTTTCAGGAACACGTTCGTGATCACATCTTGGAGAAAAAGAAGCAGTATTAGTTTCGTACTCACAGAATTGAAATGGAAACTGACTGCTTGAAATGTTAAATAGGAATTCAAAGTACCGGTATTGATTTCTTCTTGATTTTTCACTGTGTATGAATGTGATGAAACATCCAAAATGTGAAAAACAAAACAATCACCATGGCAACATTTATGCTGACACTATAAATCTTCAGAAAATTCCCAAGTGATTTTATGTTTACATTCTATGAATATGACACTTTCATTTGTCATTATTGTATGATGCCATTCACTGTATCATTGTGTCACATAGTGACCTTCTATAGCTGACAATGTTTGAGTTCAAGTAGACAGTGTTGTGGAAAACATTGGGGGTTTTTCAGGTTTGATTTCTGATGAGGACGTTACTGAGTATTTGCACATCATTAAATATCCAGCCTCCAGTGGTGGCACATGTTCACCACCTATACAAGTGGTACATGTTCACCACCTCCACAGGTGATACATGTTCACCATCTCAAAACAAGGCACATGTTCACCACCTCCACAGGGAGCACATGTTCACCACCTCCACAGGGAAAACATGTTCACCACCTCCACAGGGAGCACATGTTCACCACCTCCACAAGGGGCACATGTTCACCACCTCCACTCGGTGCCCCACCTCCACAGGGAGCACATGTTCACCACTCACAGGGGGCACATGTTCACCTCCACAGGGAGTACATGTTCACCACCGCCACTGGGTGCCCCCTGTTCACCACCTTCACAGGTGGCACATGTTCACAACCTTCACAGGTGGCAAAAGCCCTAACAACTGTGGACCTGACTGCCACTGGAATCCTTGACAAACCATGAAAGGTAAGGGTGAATTTTCCACTGGAATCCCAGGGTGAGTGAACGCTTCTAAATCCCATGCAACATGTTGATAACCTAGCTTACCTTTATGAGCTAATGTTCGGACACACTGACCGCTGAATACATCCCAGATCCTCACAGATGCGTCATGTGACCCAGACACTAGCCTTGTTCCATCCATGGATACAGATAAACATGTAACTTGTTTTCTTAAAAGACAAGAAAAAACAACATTCCTTAAATGTCTTATCTTTCTTCATTTCATACTGAGATTACTATTCATGATATTGAACATTATCTCTTTTAGTGAAGACTGTTAAAGATGTGTGACTGTGTCAGTGATAAAAGAAGCTGTATGATATAATTTGGCTTGTAGATTGGTTTTCAGTACAGCAAGCTGTATGTTCCTTGTAGAATGTTCATGCCTTGAGAAATTATATGGAATGCTTTTCTTTGTATGATTTGTGCGACAAACAAATTTTATGGACAACCAAATTTACATATGGAAGATTGGATAAAGAAATCAACAGTCAAAGACCTACATTCTTGAAAGTGAGTGACAAGCAAATAATTAACACTATCAATCCAGCCTTAAAGCTACGCATAGCCCCAACTACTCAAACCTTTTCAGAGTATATGACAAAATGATCTTAATATTAACGCTGATATTAAAATGGGAATTGAAATTAAGATGTATGACTATGAAGATAGAAATTTCATGCAATTAACAGCTGATGACTTGGGCATATGCTACTAGTATTTATCATTTTTACAACAACTATAAATTGTTTTGGAATTCTAATAATCATTAAGATAGGCAAACAGGTGTTGAAGTTAACGTGATATACATACTGATGGCCTTTGAACATGGTGACACCCTCATGGCTAGTAGTATTGGTTGTTATGTGTCGTTCTGTTTTCACAGGCTGAAAAATGGAATATAAGCTCTAAAATGAGAAAGGCTTTATGAATCAGCATGGACATTCACTCATTTACAAATCATCACAAACCACATATCTTGTGGGTTAACAACACAACACACCCTGTATTGATATTTTCCAACCGTAACGATAATCTAGGACTTCCCTACCTGTGTAAACATTGCCACGGCATGTATGTTGCCATTACTGTCTCCGGCAAACACCCGCAACTCCATGTTGTCCATGGCAACAGACGTGATACACGAGTCAAACACCAGCGTACACAGCAGCTCCCCTGAGCTCAAGTCCCACAACTACAAACAGAAACAGTACCCCCAATAGATAGGCATTAAAGACCAAGTAAATTTGGGGGAACTTTTAAGTCAATATGCCAATATGAAGAAGCAAATTATGCACAAACTTGTGGATTTTGTGCTTAATTTGCTGAAAATGAAACATATCAATTATTCAAAAAGATGTTATTTCTGTTCACTGTTACAGAACAGAAGTCTTAATGTAAAACATTAAAGACAGTTACAGTGTACACAAATCCTGAAAACAGAATACCATATAGGTTGAGAGAGTGAAAAACACATAATGCAATAAAATCTGGACCTGGCAAACCAAAGATTGCTATTATGAATTATCATTGTGTAATCTCATTGTCACCTTATTCCAATGTAATCACTTCCAAAGTCTTTTTCAACCAAGCTCAATGGCAATCCAGTGCTTTGCTTTCCTTGTTACACTGTGGCTCAAGACTGGCCTCTCTCACCTTGCATGTATTGTCTCTGGAAGAGGAGATAACTCTTGCTCTACTTCCTCCACACCCAACATGGAGGTCTGTGACAGGAAGTGAGTGCCCTGACCAGACATGTCTTGGTTCTGGACGGCTCTGTGAATACTGTGAGATGGACACTAACCTGAAACAAAATGTACAGTTGTATAGCTCTTATTCTAATCGCAAACGCTAAAAAACTGAACTAAACTAATTACTGTGGTAAATGGAATTGTGTACATGGAAGTGCTTTTATAGCTCTCTGCGAAGTATACATCCCAAACTGACTTATCATGCTTATGAACTTGATTGTTCTATTTTCACATTTTAAACTCGTCCTACCAAGTACCTAGTTATTGCTGGGTAAACAATGACATATTTTGTACAAAGATATAAAGATGTCATGACTATAAACCATAGTATTTCAGCCTAAGGCAGGACAGCAGCCATAGAGATTCTCAGGAAACATGATAAGAATGGTCACCCATCAGATGTTAGTCCAGGAAAATCTTATCAATCAGGATTTCCAACTAATCAGATTGCAGCATAATTCACACTCATCTGTGTTACAACTGATCATATCTTAGGGACACCTGAAATGGACTGCACATTATACATGTGAAGAATCTCACACAAAAGACAAATTTAGGCTAGAGGACATCACAACTCTCAGGACAGATTGTGCAGGGGAAGAGGATTACAAACATACCTGACAAGAGACCATGCTATCACAAGATTGTCTTCTCCTCCAGAAACAAAATGGCTGCCATCGTCTGTGAACTTGATACAGTTAATGTTCTGATAGTGCCGACTGACAACTGCTAATAGATTCCCATTACACACCTGCAACAAAATCATGCAACATTAAGTTTAACATTTTACTTATTTACAGCATCACTATTGAAATCCACCTTCATATGTCAATATTTAGTATATAACCTGGCTTCAGTAATCCATGTACTACTTTCAAAGTAACAGATAATTTAACAGTGCATAAAATCATACACATGAATTTTCAATGCTAGAACAGAAGGTTACTATTAAAGATGAAAATTAATAATTTTGAGTCCCATCTTTAATAAAAGAGTTACTTAACATTTCTGTTGATAACACATTTGAATTAAGCGTAAATATGGACACTGAAATAAAGCAATTGCACTTCATGATAAATTCATCTTTCATTGCTTTTGTGAATTATGTAGTATAACACGCCTGTTCCACTATTCATTTTTTATGATTCCCCCGAAGATTCAGTAAAACAGCAGTGATGAAATGTAACATAAACCTATGACAACTCCCTACCTGCCAGACATGTATCTTGTCAGCAATTCCTGCCACACAATAACTCCCATCAGGTGACACGTCAAGGGAGGTCACTCTACCTGGACACACCATCCGCATCTGAGACTGGTTCTGTAAGTGTATATGAGTGAGTGAACTGGGTTTGAGAATACCTCAGTAATATGTTACTTGGAGCATAATGAGTGAGGAAATTTGAAAGTGATATCTTCTTGTCATTTGACACTTCTGTGCTAAGGTGCTTCGGTATCCCGATTGTGTAGACTGATGCTCATGCTGTTGATCAGTGGATTGTCTGGTCGAGACTCGATTATTTACAGCACACCACCACCGTAATTGTGCTGAGTGTGTTAAAAAACAAAGAAACAAGCTTAGGTGTTTACCACAAGTACAGGTATGGGGTGTTGATGAGCTACAGACCCGTGCCAGTTATATTTGGACACTTGATAATTTCCATAGACTTACATGTTAATTTAGTGTAGCATAAATAATTTTCATGAAATTAATTTTCGTAAGTTCCAAGTCAAATTTTGCACACTTGTGAGGAATCATCTTACCTACAATCACATAATTACACAATTTCTGTTTAATTTTCCGTTGCTTATTTATCGAATGGCAACAATTTAATCAACATATGTACAGAGCCGTGAACTCTTTAACATGGCAGCCTATGTGATTGTGCATTGTGGAACCACCTGTAAGTTGATAAATGTGATATCATGAGTTAAATATTGGTCGGAAAATTGAACTGAAGTTATGTGCGCAGAGCAGAGATGATTTCAAATTTGCCTGTCAAATTTTATATAGATCCATCCTAAACTCACTTCATGAAAATTATTTATGCTACACTGAAATAACAATGTAAGTCTATGGACATTACGTCAAGTGTCCGAATATAACTGGCACGGGTCTGTATGTGTCATAATCAGAGGGGTCTGAAATTGTATCTCGCAATCTCAGGGACGCAGCTGTACACAGTATATTGTGTCACTTAGATGACCGAATGAAGCCCAGTGATGGGCCAAATACACCAGTTACAATCAGCTGACAAGGCACAAGGATCAGCTGACAAGGCACAAGTCACCATGGAAACAATAAGATGTGACTATAGTAATAATGAGACAGTAGTGTTGGGAACTGGTTGATATCTCACAATTGATGATTGGTTCATTACCAACGAGCAAGTACCAAAAATAATTGCTTAGCGTCATTTTTAAAATTTTCCTTTTCAGGTTTGCTATTGCAGGTATAAAGAAAAAACATTGGTTCTCTGTTGTTTTTTGTTTTATTGAGAAACTGCGCAGTGTAAAATGATGCAGCTTGCTACTTTAAGGTGATGACTAATATATCATGAACATAAACTTCCCAGAGTCTTCAAGAAATATTTAGTCATGACTTTTCAGTAAGAGAAGTGAGTTTTCTAAGAATTAAACACATTTTTATGTTCCATTGTCAAGTGTTTCAAACACTAAAACAGTAGTTCCCAAATTGTTTGTGCTTGATTATGAGAAAATGTGATTGATTGCTTGGTCGTTTGGTCACTGCGACCAATCTACGATTATTTCAATTAATCGGAGCACCACTATCAGACAGTATGATGGTTATCATTATCTTCTAAAAAGACATTTGCTATCATCTGCTATCATTTTGTAATAGGACACCTGTAACATACAAACGATCAGCCAACATGAACATTTCCATCCACTGACCCTTTTTTGTAGACTCCATACATTCAACAAAGGCTTAGTTGGGTTGGCACCGATCAGGTAGTCCTGTCCCAGGGTGGCAAGTGTTCGGGGACTGGTGCTTCCACCTTTGTATGTGGTGAGACTGCTTCCTGTCTCCAAGTCCCATACACATGCATTCCACAGCTGACCTGATGCATCGCTAGTAAGTAGAACCTGCACACAGAATGTATCATCACAGACAGACAGACATAGTGCATGTATGGTTCACGACTAGACTTCGACATATCGTAAATATTCAAGATGTCACGGGGGAGTGTTTTGTTTTTTATTTCCTTCACCCGTTTCAAGTTGACGTTACACTGTATCAACTAGCTTAATTAGTCTGTACTATGTTTATCATGCTCGCACGGCCTAAATGTCACTGGTGTATGTGGGAGGGGGTTGGGGGACTTGCATCAGCAGTTGTCATCTTCAAAACGCAGAGTGGAAAACGCTGACAACAGCATACTCGATCACATGTTTACGCATAAATTGTACTGAATTAATTTCCTTAATGGCAGACCCATTAATAAACGGGATCATTTTAAGAAAATACTGTAAAAGCATGTACCTCTATGGGCGCAGCCATGTTGAAAATAAGCACCACCTGTAAGCAAACGGAACAAAGAAAGATAACTCTGGCGCACTTATGAAGAAAAATGTATTTTCCCTCTCTTCAATTTGATCCTTTATCGCGAGGTTGCATTTTTTAAAACAATTTTAATGAAAGCAATTATTTCGTCTTTTTTTTTTGGAGAGAGAGAGAGAGAGAGAGAGAGAGAGAGAGAGAGAGAGAGAGAGAGAGAGAGAGAGAGAGAGAGAGAGAGAGAGAGAGAGGGCTATCACATGGTTAACGGAACGCTTTTTGTGGGTGTCACGTATATTAGTGGCGGCAGTCCCGAACCACATAACTTGGAATTTATTTATTTTCGTGAAAAAAAATCCAACAAATCTTAATCATTAAAACCACAGGGAACAAACCATTAAAACCCAAATGAATGAATAGATAAAACAAAATTAAAATAAAAACAAAGAAGTCTCACCCGCTAAGGACCGTTCTCGAGTTTCGATGACTGCCAGTGTCCCCAAAGCATATCTAGTGACGCCATCTGCAATAAGACTCTGTATTAAGCATCACGGCATTCCATCAAATGACAGAACTGAAAAAAAGTTTCAAAACAAATTATGGTTAAGACCAATCATTCAAACACTAAGTGTTTCCAATTCAATGTGAAATAAAACCTGTAATGTACGTATATCATTAAAAAAGGTCCAGTCCAGAACCTGAGTGCACAGAGAGAAGACAACTGTGCCAGAGATGCATATTATACTACTGAAAGTTTGCTGAAGGCATGATATGAAAACAATCATCCCACACTTTAATAGTTGGGAACAGTTGAATAGTTTCTTGATGAACGGACACTGAGAGACAAGGTAAACATAATAAAATAATAGTATGGAATAAATCCTGTGGATAATAGCCTGAAATAATTCCTATGAATAATAGCAGGAGATAAAGCCCATGAATTAAAGTCTATGAATAATAGGGTGGAATAAATTAATTAATGCTCATTTGTGTAGTTAATGAAAGCTTTACTTTACTTTGACTTTCCTAAATATATATGTTCTCGGAATACATAGCGGGCTCTAATCATTTTACTAATGGTGACAGTGTGTCGATACCAACAACTACCGAACAACCTCATATATCACAATGAACATTTACACCCATTCTCTCCCACTAAATACATATGTTCAAGGACTATGACATTTCGCGACGTCTGAGTAGTAACATTGCCTATATTAGCTGCGAGATCGACATTAAAACTGAAAGCTCCACATGTCCATGTTCTGATTTAATACCACGGATAAAGTGGTGTTAAACATGACTAACTGTCCCCATCAGCTTCTATGAGGCCTGCTTCCTGTGTCATTTCAATGAAAGCTATTAAACAATGAATACCAGAATGTCAACGATAGTTCAAAACTATGTTTGCAGACCTTCGTGTATAGGCTATGGAGACTGTTCGTATTTTCATCTGGCTTGCCGGCTTGGTTCTGTTAAGCACCACTCAAAGTGGAATAATAAAAGGTATGTTCATGACTCTGATTGTTTTGATATCCGGTTCTTTCAATGATTCATACAATTAGTGGTGCCAGTGATATGCGTGTCATTTGTTTTTTGTTCTGAATTAATAAATTGATAGTGTTCACCAAATCCCACAGAAAGATAAATGCATATTCTAAGTACAATTTCCATCTTATGGGTTTTTATATTTGCATTAAAATATTTTGAAACACAGACTACTATGAGCAGTTAAAATAATTTTTGAATAGTTTCTTGATGCAGTTAAAAGAATTTTTGTTTAATTTCAAACTTTAAACCACTATGCTCTATGGAAAACGTTTCATATGTATGTTTAGTTTGTTTTGACAGCGCCTTTGAACAGAATATCAAATTGTTTTTTCCTTAGAGTGTTCTGACGGCTGGACACAAGTTCAAAGAACGTGCTTCAAGTTTGTGGAACGAAAACTCGGAAGATATTATGCTAATAAAGTATGTGAAGGACAGGATTCTGTTCTGGCAGTGATTAAAAACAAGGAGGAGAACAAAGTTGTACAAGGTATGTTGAAGTGCTTAAAGGCGAGACAAATGCTTGTGATACTCGCTGTGCATGAGACACTGCTATTTGCATTTATGCGTATAGTGGACATAATTCTGACCCGACAGCATCCATGGCAGAATTTCTTTAAAGAAACCCCCCCAGCTATTCCTTAAACATATACCTGACCAGCATACCCTCAAGCACATAACATGTCTCTCATGAACATACCAACATGTCCATGTGTATGTCATTCAGGTAAATACTGACATGTCCTCAGCTGCGTACTGGCATGTCCGTAAATATGTCGCTTGGATACATACTGATATGACCAAAGATATGTCCCTCAGCTGCATACTACAATCATGTACAATGTCCATACATTTGTCACTCGGGTACATACGCACATGTCCATATATATATGAGGTACAGAATATCGCCATATTGTTTTGTCCGACCCCGGTAACCGACGTCTGCCTGTCACTCATACAGCTTTAGACCGAGGTGTTATCAGTCCGGCAACTCTACGACGTCGTCTACGGTAACACTCGGCGTCCCAACAACGACCCTATTCTAACACATAGACACCGGCAGCGTCGATTAGGGTGGGCTCAGAGACGTGAAGACAGTGGCAAGGTGCCCTCTTCACAAATTTCGACACGTTGTACTTTCCTACAATTCATGTTTACGGTTATGAGCAACTTTGATGAAATTTTTGCGTTTCTAAAGTAGTTCAGTTTATATGTCCCCATGAATAGAGACAGTATCAAGGTATTCATATATGTGACTCTAACGACTAGAGGTGTGACGATACAGAAATTTCACGATACGATATGTATCGCGATATCTTGGAACGATAAGATTCTATTCTATGCATATCACGATATGCTTTCTTTAGTTATTTTCTTTAAAAAATCATATTTTAATAGCAAGAAATTTTGACATAACCGTCAATATCTAATGAAAATTAACAATTTTAAGGTCAACGATAGATATCACGATACGAAAAAACGTATCGATATATTTATCGTCAGATAAAGTATCACGATTATCGATACTACGATATATCGTCACAGCTCTACTAACGACATTATGGTTGTTTCTAGATCTCATCCGTGGTCGTGATGATGCATGGATCGGTCTGCAGTACAGTTTTGGAGAGTACTATTGGAACAATATACCTACTGATCAGGTGAGAATGAAACACCATCCAACTTTTGTGATACGGATGTGTTCATGACTGAAGCAATTTCAAGTAGAAAGTAGAAATATGGCAGACATACAGGTGAATTAACGCAAAATGTCATTGTATTATTCTGTTTCGCAAAGCCCCGGAGCCATGAAATTCCTCCAAGGAATACAACACCATTCATTTGTTGAATTATGGGCAGAAACAAAATGATTGAAATGGAATAAGTTCTAATTAAGTACTTGACCGTTTTCATACAAGTTTATGAGTCCAGATCTAGCAAGAGTCGTTAACCAAACCGCCAAGGACCCTATCCAGAAAACGTACGTAGCACTATGCAAATGGCTTAAGTATAGCTGTACGATAGGCCCTAGCGGCACGAACGCTTCATGGATCGGGACACTGAACTATAATAAGACAAAAGTTTGCGAGCTCACCGAATTTAATGTCATAGATATGAGGAAATATACCAATTCTCCTTCTAAGTAGTATCGTATGTACATTCGTATTTAACAAATAGGGAAATGGGGAGAAAGAGTAATACATCCATTTCACTGGGCTACGATCGATCGGTCCCGATTCCATTTTGTTTTTAAAATCGCCAGCGGGCGTATAATGTCGGAAATATACCTGGAGTAGTCGGCAGAGGTCAGCAAGATACGTGAGTGTGTCTGCATAATCTGGAAGTGGTTTTTGAATCGGCCAAAGTTTTTGAACAGGTACATAAACATGAGCCGATTGAAAAAAGTCGTAAGTTATGCGTGACTGATCGGGATAGTCGCCAGTGAGTCGGGGGTTAATCGGAATGCATCGGCAATCATCATGAGCAATCGGCTTAACCGTAGGTGAAGCGTGAAGAGTCGTGCCATTAGTGAGTGGCACGTGCCATCCCCGTAATGCCACACTTCACACCCGATCAACCACGAATACCTCCCGACACATCTCCAACATGGAACCGACAAGCTAACTGCCTAACAAAGCAGATATGTCAAAGCCACGAATCAGAACGATTCTTCCCAAATAAGACACGATCCACTTACGTAATGTTCACGTTTTACTCACGATTTGCACGATTCACATCAGACTGATAGAAAAGATATAAAAGCACCGGCGATCGAAGTCAACATCACTCAAATTTCAACTGCTGTAATGTGAACATAGAAACATGGCAAGATCAAAGAAAACAGCCAACAGGAAGAGGGTGAGATCACCCACCCCACCACCAGCAGACATCCAGGATGCGCTCTCTACCGTCTCTCAGGACGAGCCTCCACAATCAATGGAGGAGCACTACGGCACTGCCCAGGGATGAAGTTGTGTTCAGCAGCATCCTTATCCACCATGATTTCTTGCAACTCTGTGTACCGCATTCGCACTGTGTTATGGAGACACACGGCAGCTTCAACCATAATCATGATAATCATAACCACATCTGGACCCTGTTGCGAAGTGTTGAGAAGAAATTGCCATCGGTTTGTAAGAATACCAAAGGCATTCTCAATGACTCTTCTTGCTCTGGAGATCCTGTAGTTGGCAATCAGGTCAGCTTCTGACAGACCTCTTCTTGAGTAGGGTTTCATTAGATATTGACGAAGAGCAGATGCATCATCTGCAAGTATGAAGTATCCAAATCATCAATTGGCAATGGTTCAGGTTCGGGCAAGGATATGCTTCCATCTTCTTTACACTCCTTCAACTCTGAGGCATTGAAGATTTGAGCATCTGACACTTGACCCAGGCCTCTGACGTCCACCCATATAAATCGGTAATTAGCATCTACAAGGGCCAACAGGACAATGGATAAGAAACCCTTGTAGTTGTGTTAGAGGCTTCCACTACCATGTGGATTACAAATCGCGATGTGTTTCCCATCGAGGGCACCAACAGCATGAGGGAGATTCCATCTCGAATTCCAGACTGATGGTCTTCCAATCCCCTTGAGTGACAGGACATGCAATCACTGTATCCTTGTAGTGGTCTATGGTGGTTTGGCACATCCCTGGGAGAAAGATGGCTATGGTGTGTCTTGACACTCTGAAATGGTAGGAGAGGGAGGGGTTTTGTCTCCAGAGGCTAGGTGCCTTATGGTAACTGCTAATTTCAGACCAGTGTGCATAGCTTTCCTGAAGTTGGTGTCTTTTTTGGTAAGTCTGAGAGACAGGGAATTAAGCAGTTCATCAACTATATCAGGAGGCATTCGCAGATAGTTGAAGAAAGAAGACGTGTCTTCGAATGTAAGATCACATAGGAGATTGTCATAGTTTTCAAAGTTCTTCTTTCCAACCTCAACCACGGACGTACCCAAAGCCGTTTCTATTTTCTTCTTCTTTTTGGTTCCTGGTTCCTTCTGTATTGATAGATATCTATCTCCAATCCCATATGTTAATGCAGCAGAAGAAGTAGCAGCTGTGAGCATGTTGCTAGATAATAAGAATCGGCTGTCGTCGTCAGCTTTTTTAGCCAGAATCGGGTCCATTTTGTCGTTTGGAGGCCGATTGTACGTGTCTCACTCGGCAATTATACGTACTTTACTCGGCGTCGATCGGTACTCTCCGCGTGTAATCGGTAATTACGGCAATGAGTCTTCGATATCGTAAGCCTTACATCACTGTGTCGGCGAGCATCGTGAGGAATCGGGAGTGAATCGTAGATATATCACCGCAGAAACGTGATTTACACGTAGCCAATCGGCCAATACTGGGTGCAATCGTATCAACAACGGGTGCTCAATCGCAGTGTTATCGTCATTTATACAGTCTACAGTCTCTTCATCGTCTATGACGTAGGTTTACCGTAGATACTGCGTAGAAAAGGAAAATATAAACAAAAACTGGCCGATTGAGAACGATAACATCGTAGGTGACGAATCGGCACTAGTCGGCGTAGCCTAGATAGGTTGTAGCCCAGTGAATTGGGGGTATAAATTTCCATCAAATATGTTTTCCTTGATTAGCATAAATGTTTGCCCTAAAAAAATCGCATAGCGGATAGTAATATGGCTGCATTAAACCCGTCCGATTTACATAGAAACAAAATTCATTCGTACCTTTAATGGTCATTATATTGTCAGAAAGCTATATATCTCTGGAAAATATGTCCATTTCGTCTTTTTATCAATACATTTGAACTAATAATCGACCTTTTATTTTTCAGTTTGATTTCTTTAACATGGCATTTAGCTCTTCTCGAGGCGACCGATGTACTGTAATGTTGCCAGGCACTGGCAGATGGCGAAAAGTCTACTGTTCTACAAAACGTCCTTATGTATGTGGGAAAAGAGTTGGTAAGAATATGTGTACATACACGTGATTAAAAATATTGGTACAAGAAAGGACGCCATGTGGTCGCTTGTCCGAGTAGCTGGTCATTGATTCAGTTCGCTTACGAAGGCTTCGCCTTCAAATATCAGAAGATTTACATTTGCACATGATCATGCAATGTGCAAGCATTATTCACCTTAGAGAAGTACACATGCTGTCTGTGGTGTTTAAGGTTGTGAGTCTGGCTGGGTGGGAGATGAGTGTGATCGCCAGTGCCACTGTTATCTTGGACATGTCTGCAATGAGATAACCAAGAAGTGCCCGTACGGCTGCGAGCCGGGATGGACTGGTGACACGTGTGACAAATGTGAGTAAAACGTAAAGATGAAATGTTTTGCTCTAAGACTGTAAAATCGTTTCCTTAACTTTTCTGTACAGTATTTTTGGCGGAGGGGTAGCCCAGTGGTTAAAGCATTCGCTCGTCACACTGAGGACCCTGTACGGTAACCCACATGGGTACGATGTGTGAAGTCCATTTATTGTGTCTCCGGTGTGATATAGCTTGATTGTTGCTAAAAGCGGCGTAAAAACATACTCACTGTGTACGATATTAAATTCTTGCAGGAGTTATGAATACATTGTTTTGGGTTTTACATAGTTTTAGCGACAGCAAAGCTGTATCACATCAACTCAGTATTAAAGCGGAAAACCTAAAGTAACAGAGGTCGTGTAGAACTACAGTTATGGTTGATGTTATATATGACACCAGTTGAAATAACGCCGAATAATAAATTAATATACACAATAGCAATTCTATTTTGGCGAAAATATAATTTTACACTCGTATTTTTGTTCCAGATCTTGAAAAGCCTACGGGTAAGAACATGCGTCTTTCTGTCAGTCGCAACTTGTATACACACGAATACTTTACAGTGTTATTTCTGTAATAGTCGTTCGTGGTATGTTATCATAGGTTCACAGTTATTTTCATATTCGTGAGGAAAAATGATTCGACGAACATCAGCAAGATTGAATTATCAGGTGTAAAATGCTAATTTTAAGCGATACATTGCTTATTTCAAGGCCAGCTGACACCATATATGACGTTACACAGGTACAACCATATGAACTAGCCGCATCGTTCGAAATATTCGCTGGCCCGGAGGCCCAGTGCCGGTTGTTATTGTGCCGGCAGTTTCAAATATTTGCAGGCCCTTGTGGCCTTCACTAAATTATCTGTCATTTTTTTCCAACTACAATCGGTCCCATAATTGTTTTCCATGATCCACCACGTTACAATAACTTATAATTTCACTTCCTGGTATTTCAGTGATTTGCGCATAGGAATGTCAACACCAGTCTTCAACAAATAAGAACTTCTCTCTGCGCCATAGGCTTCGCTAATTGATTTTGTAGAAACAGTTTGAAACTGTGTACACTGTAGTCTATTTTGTGTTTATTGGTTTGACTTTAAGAAAATGGGCATGTAGATTTCATTCAGGGATTGTAGATTTTAAAGCCTGCTGGCAACAGCAGGCCTTGATGGCCAACTGGCAAATTAAAGCATTGCAAACACTGGTTAGACTGGGTAGTGTTATCAGTGTGTGTGTCATGAATAATAAAAGATTTGATTTCTGAACAAAACCTAACGTCCACGTCAGCTGCCTCTCTCAACAGTGTTGAGATTTCTGAAAGACATGCAGCTGTATTGGACTAATCTCAGGTCTAGCGTTTGCGGCTATTTACAGCAACATCTTTCAGCATCATGCGTCCTGGTCATCTGATCAGCAGGTGCTTCAGTTATTAGGTACTACTTCATTGACACCCGTGAAGATCCGGGTTAGAATTGATCTTCAGTAACCCATGCTTGTCGTAAGAGGCGACTAACGGGATCGGGTGGTCAGGCTCGCTGACTTGGTTAGCACATGTCATCGTATCCCAATTGCGAAGATCGATGCTCATGTTGTTGTTCACTGGATTGTCTGGTCCAGGCTCGATTATTTACAGCCCGCCGCCATATAGCTAGAATATTGCTTAGCGCAGCGTTAAACTAAACTCACTCACTCACTTCATTGAATACATCTTGTACCACACAGATGTATATTTTATTTCCTTTATATTCTTTACCTTCTCGATTCCAGTTGAATCATTCTACTGTATGAAACAGAGGGGAGGCTACTCCATGATGGTGTCCATGGACCTGAAAGGTATCTCCTTCTCGAATGTCGGGGCTATGAATGCCGAAGGGGACATCACTTCCAACTGCAACATGAACCGATTTGAAAGCAAGGGTGATGGACTAACGTATCTAAATATTCAGATTCAGAACGTGTCGGGGACTTTGGAACCAGACTGTCCGGCGAATACCGTAAGTTATATGAACCAAAAATGATAATATATTTCTTTACCATTCAGCTACATTTCTAAGCCAGTTTCTAACATGTTCTACATCATCATGTTCATAAATGGTTTAAGGTTAAGAAGTGTTTGAAAGGTGTACCTAACAAATGTGTCACTAGCATTATTATTTTGTTGAGTTTTGTACTTGGGGCCTATGGCCTTTATGGAATAAACTTTGATTGTTCGTAAATGTAATTATACTGAATGAAGATCCAGCTCAAAACATGGGATTCATTTTTTGTCACTGAATACAGTCAAATGCGGAAAATCAACGTCACACGACAACCATAAAACGTTCATGAAAGTGTTCACGGTGTCCTTGAATGTTGTAAGCTTGATGAAACATCATTGGATCAAGAGTCGTATGACGTTGTTTAAAACCGAACTGACACCCTGGATAGTATCTCAAAGGTTGTGTGAAATATACACACCAACTGACAGACCTGTTGATGCATTCCTCGACATAAACTGAAAGGTGCGTATTTGGGAGCATCACCCCCTAATGTCATGCAGTGTTGTACAGAGGTATTGACGTTTCTGAATTTTTGCATCTTTATTAAAACATGCATTTCCAGTTCTCAAGTGTAAATGGCTATTTGAGCGGGTTATATTTAACCACATCAGATCATCGATATACCTGAAGCTTGAGTTGAGTTTGTTTGCAAAATTATCTGTCTGAGCAGAAATTACGATTCATATGAATGGAGACATATAGCAGTTCAGGGCCCCGTTTCACAAAGCTCTCGTAAGCCTAAGATCTCGTAACTTTTCTCGTAGCATTCGAATCTCCTATACTGTAACACAGGAGGTACGAATGCTACGAGAAAAGTTACGAGATCTTAGGCTTACGAGAGCTTTGAGAAACGAGGCCTTGAAAGGGAGACCCGTGAAGATCCAGGTAAGAATTGGTCTTCAGCAACTCATGTTTGTCGTAAGAGACGACTAACGGGATCGAGTGGTCAGACTCGCTGACTTGGTTAAAATATATCATCGTATCCCAATCGCGTAGAACAATGCTCATGCTGTTGATCACTGGATTGTCTGGTCCAGACTCGATTATTTTCAGACGCCGACTTATAGCTGGAATATTGCGGCGTTAAATAACCAACCAGCCAGCCAGAAAGGGAACAGTCAGTGCCCGTGGGTTGCCTACTTCTGGTTGATGTCGTTTTTGTGCCTTCATGTTCTGTCAGTGAGGGAGTAAATATACGTTTCCATCACTTTCAGTTCACTGACAGCCTTCAAACAGCGTCCCACACGGCTGTCGGGTTTAATCACTGATCCACGTGTTCTGATTATATTCGAATCTCATAATACTGATTCTTTTTTATGGAATTATATTATAGTAAATCTGACAAAAGCCCTGAAACGCAGCAAGAAACTTAAAAAATACCCACAATCATTCTTGCAGGAAACATGGGGACCAATAAAACCATATTATTTTTACATTAACAGCTTGGTGATGGGATCCTGCAATGGACGTTCAGATTTCAGTTGACCGAGGGCAGGGTGTCTTTTGAAGATGCGGAACTTCATGTCCAGTGTGATCTGTCTGAAACTGATGCTGCCTATGATGAATCTAAGAGCGTCGAAATAGAGGAGTAAGAATTTATAGCACGTTCAAATGAACTGTGCTCATCTCTCCTTAATAATTTCTGAGAAGACACTATTCATAGACTAGTCTTTATAAAGATGAGTATCGATTGGAAACTGAAAACAACGAGCGGACAGGTCTTTGGATTTTAGAGTCAAGCCAAAGTTAATTGTAGTAATGCCCAGTTTATGCGGAAGAAAACAAATAAATTCCATTTTGGAAATATTGCTATGTGAAGTCTAAATTCTAGTTGACCTGTTTCAGGATCCGAGGGAAATACGTATTTGATGTTTCGAGGACACCAGTCAATGTACAGACGTATATAGCAAACCCTGAAACCCTGAAACCGGCCACAAACCTCAGCCTTGGTGAGCCTGTGAGATTGGTGGCCACACTTACAGAAGGTTCGAATAAATCAAGCATTTGCATGTTCCTGTCCGACATATAAATCGCTGCCGGGAGTGTTAGAGTAATGCATAATAATGAGCCTCCCTAAACAACTATTCAAGGACTAGTTTACTCCTCTGCTGCTGGTGTACATGGTGGAAGTGATTGTTAATAACAACATATTAATCTGGCCTTTTGGCGAAGAGGTGTCAGGACACCTGACTTTCGTGACAATGCATACTGTACATTTCGAGTAGATATTCTCGTTTTTGTCCACCTCAGTGATACATACTGTTGACAAACAATGATAGGTACATGTATTAGCATGACTGTGTCTCCTGTAGTGTATTATTGAGTGTCTTCAGCTGAAATGTCCTTTTTCTTGTTTCAGGGTATGATGTCGTCACTCGAATGTCTTCAGCTGAAATGTCCATCTTGTTGTTTCAGGGCATGATGTCGTCACTCGAATGTCTTCAGCTGAAATGTCCATCTTGTTGTTTCAGGGCATGATGTCGTCACTCGATGATGTCTTCAGCTGAAATGTCCATCTTCTTGTTACAGAGCATGATGTCGTCACTCCGTTGTTCACACCTTCGAACTGCCAAGCATCTTCTCCTGATGGGAAGGTGGCTGTAGCACTAAAAGCCTTGGATGGGTCAGTATTAGGACCAAATATAGTAACATGTCTTGTGAGAAACATTTTACACTTTTTATTGACCATATGCCACGTGTTACCCATTGTACTAATGTATTTTCCAGTTTAAGGCCTGTAGTGCACAACCGCCTCCGTGGTGTAGTGGTTAGAGCGTCCGCCCGGAGGTTGCGGGTTTGTTCCCCAGTCGCGTCATACCAAAAGACGTTAAACTATGGTACCTGTTGGTCCCTGCCTGGTGCACGGCATTAATGGGTACATCAAGGACTGGTCAGCTCGGAGTCAGTATCATGTGTCTGTGTGTGGTATTCATGCTTAACTGCGGCATGGTATCTCAGTGAGCTAGCACTATAAAACCAGCTTAATTCTGGGTTACTATAAGCAGTCACACATACACACGCATGCACGTCGTCATATGAGCGAAATATTTAACTCCATTTCACCTCACCTAATCTGTAGTGCACTTTGACTATTAGATGCTGAAATGTTCTTGTTTGTGTTTTACAATTCATATACCCCGACTTTTTCAAAGACGTTTACTTTGAATTGTTTTCAAGTTTGGGTCAAACCGGCTAAACCTTCATTACACATACGAAACCGGTCCAAGAAGTATTGTAAGTGCATCCACGAATGTATAGACGTTTTTCATGGGGTATGCCTTAAAACATGCGTCTCCGTTTTTGAATCTTGAGAATGTTAGAAGAATATGGCAGAATATCATTCGTATAGTTACCAACAATCTTTATCATTTAACATGAAAAGAAACTCATTCGGTATACAATAAATATTTTGCTAATAATTCTGGCTCTGTTACCTAAGATTGACGAATATGTGTCACACAAAACTACTTCTATTATTAGGCAAATTTTGTAAATGGACATGCTAAACCTTTGCGCGAACACCAGGTGTCATAATTGATTGTAGGTGATCAGTTCATATAATGTCCTAGCTATTACACTCTTTACAACAGACGGAGTTTGTTTCTGTGGATAGTCAAGAATGGATGTTTTATGTGAAATTCAAAACGACAACTCACAAATGCGATGTGGCTGTCGTGGTATATAAAAATGCGACGTGTTCATGTTGCTGTAAACATGAAGGTGAGCTACTGTATATGTCTATTAAAAACGAACATTGTTGTCATGTTTGCATTTATTATTCCGGAGTTTTTTTTCAGTTGCCCCCTGTCCTGGAGACTTGGAGAGAATGAACATCTCATTCTGACGGACATATTTCGGATGTTTTGTTTACCAGGGTACACTGAAGTGGTTTTCAGTTGTACATTTACGCCATGTTTGTATGATCCAAGTCATTGCTCTGAGGTAGGTTTGTTGCTATTTTTTAAGACGTAACATGATATAAATTAATATATTCAAATATTGCAAATGAATAACATTAATGTCTTTATTGCTTAGATTTATGGTGTTCCTTTCAAAACATTTCAGCTCGCAGGGATCTCGTGAGACAACATTTCGTTGGGTGAAAAAGACAACATATGATAATTATATGTATGGACCACTTGAACTGATTACTAACCCAGGTTTTTTTGCGAAAAGGAAAACCATTTCCTGCTTTGTCGGTAACACTTGTTTAGAACAGTTTGTTGACTTTCCATTAGGTAATTGAATTCAGGTAAGAAGGTAAATATGGTTGTCTATACAGTAGGTAAGCCTCGCATTTGAACAGATAATGAAGTTAAGCGACTGGAAATGCTGAAATGCTGTTGGAAACGCAACATTTACTAAAGTGACAGCATGTTCTGTTCTATGAATTTGTATCAACAAATTTGGCAAGGTTTCAGCCTGTCTTCCGTATTTCATGCTACACATTTAATTCATAATTTTATAATTAATTCATTTTTGTCCACAGCGATGCTATAGATACTATGGATAACAAAATTGTGTTGAAGTGGAAAAGGATTACATGGTGAGAATATCATTGTTTATCATCAAATATTCAATTTCCATTGAAATTTCTACATTCTCATGTCAGGAATCTGTCACGGTTTGCCTATATTTCAGATATAAGTAGTAACCACTATAGCCAAAACTCACTCAGTTGATAGATGAGCCAATCGACGTTTCCTGTGTACTCACTCAGTTGATACAGCAGCCAATCAACGTTCACTGTGTACTCACTCAGTTGATACTGCAGCCAATCAACGTTCCCTGTGTACTCGCTCAGTTGATACAGCAGCCAACCAACGTTCCCTGTGTACTCACTCAGTTGATACTGCAGCCAATCAACGTTCCCTGTGTACTCGCTCAGTTGATACAGCAGCCAATCAACGTTCCCTGTGTACTCACTCAGTTGATACTGCAGCCAATCAACGTTCCCTGTGTACTCACTCAGTTGATACATCAGCCAATCAACGTTCCCTGTGTACTCACTCAGTTGATACATCAGCCAATCAACGTTCCCTGTGTACTCGCTCAGTTGATACATCAGCCAATCAACGTTCCCTGTGTACTCACTCAGTTGATACATCAGCCAATCAACGTTCCCTGTGTACTCACTCAGTTGATACAGCAGCCAATCAACGTTCCCTGTGTACTCACTCAGTTGATACAGCAGCCAATCAACGTTCCCTGTGTACTCACTCAGTTGATACAGTCAGCCAATCAACGTTCCCTGTGTACTCACTCAGTTGATACATCAACGTTCCCTGTGTACTCGCTCAGTTGATACATCAGCCAATCAACGTTCCCTGTGTACTCACTCAGTTGATACATCAACGTTCCCTGTGTACTCACTCAGTTGATACAGCAGCCAATCAACGTTCCCTGTGTACTCAGTTGATACAGCAGCCAATCAACGTTCCCTGTGTACTCACTCAGTTGATACATCAGCCAATCAACGTTCCCTGTGTACTCACTCAGTTGATACATCAACGTTCCCTGTGTTCCTGTTGATACATCACGCTCAGTTGATACAGCAGCCAACCAACGTTCCCTGTGTACTCAGTTGATACATCAGCCAATCAACGTTCCCAGTGTACTCACTAAGTTGATAGCATCAACGTTCCTGTGTACTCGCGTTCAGTTGATACAGCAGCCAACCAACGTTCACTGTGTACTCGCTCAGTTGATACATCAACGTTCCATGTGTACTCACTCAGTTGATACATCAGCCAATCAACGTTCCCTGTGTACTCAGTTGATACATCAGCCAATCAACGTTCCCTGTGTACTCACTCAGTTGATACAGCAGCCAATCAACGTTCCCTGTGTACTCACTCAGTTGATACATCAGCCAATCAACGTTCCCTGTGTACTCACTCAGTTGATACATCAACGTTCCTGTGTTCCTCGCTCAGTTGATACATCAGCCAATCAACGTTCCCAGCGTACTCACTCAGTTGATACATCAACGTTCCCTGTGTACTGTTGATACTCAACGTTCCCTGTGTACTCACTCAGTTGATACAGCAGCCAATCAACGTTCCCTGTGTACTCAGTTGATACATCAGCCAATCAACGTTCCCTGTGTACTCACTCAGTTGATACATCAGCCAATCAACGTTCCCTGTGTACTCACTCAGTTGATACAGCAGCCAATCAACGTTCCCTGTGTACTCACTCAGTTGATACATCAGCTCAGTTGATACAGCAGCCAATCAACGTTCCCTGTGTACTCACTCAGTTGATACAGCAGCCAATTTCCCTGTGTACTCACTCAGTTGATACAGCAGCCAATCAACGTTCCCTGTACTCACTCAGTTGATACATCAACGTTCCCTGTGTACTCACTCAGTTGTTCCCTGTGTATACAGTTGATACATCAGCCAATCAACGTTCCCTGTGTACTCACTCAGTTGATACATCAACGTTCCCTGTGTACTCGCTCAGTTGATACATCAGCCAATCAACGTTCCCTGTGTACTCACTCAGTTGATACATCAACGTTCCCTGTGTACTCAGTTGATACAGCAGCCAATGAACGTTCCCTGTGTACTCAGTTGATACATCAGCCAACCAACGTTCCCTGTGTACTCAGTTGATACATCAGCCAATCAACGTTCCCTGTGTACTCACTAAGTTGATACATCAACGTTCCCTGTGTACTCGCTCAGTTGATACAGCAGCCAACCAACGTTCCCTGTGTACTCAGTTGATACATCAGCCAATCAACGTTCCTAGTGTACTCACTAAGTTGATACATCAACGTTCCCTGTGTACTCGCTCAGTTGATACAGCAGCCAACCAACGTTCACTGTGTACTCGCTCAGTTGATACATCAACGTTCCATGTGTACTCACTCAGTTGATACATCAGCCAATGAACGTTCCCTGTGTACTCAGTTAATACATCAGCCAATCAACGTTCACTGTGTACTCGCTCAGTTGATACATCAACGTTCCCTGTGTACTCACTCAGTTGATACATCAGCCAATCAACGTTCCCTGTGTACTCGCTCAGTTGATACATCAGCCAATCAACGTTCACTGTGTACTCGCTCAGTTGATACATCAACGTTCCCTGTGTACTCACTCAGTTGATACATCAGCCAATGAACGTTCCCTGTGTACTCGCTCAGTTGATACATCAGCCAATCAACGTTCCCTGTGTACTCGCTCAGTTGATACAGCAGCCAATCAACGTTCCCTGTGTACTCACTCAGTTGATACAGCAGCCAATCAACGTTCCCTGTGTACTCGCTCAGTTGATACAGCAGCCAATCAACGTTCCCTGTGTACTCACTCAGTTGATACAGCAGCCAACCAGGAGCAACCAGATTATCTGTAATTAAACTACAAAAAACTGCATGTTTCTTGTATGTCATCTTCTTCATTTTGAAGAACTGAACGATTCGGAGCGTATGCTTACTCCTTCGTCGGGTAAATGGTGTGAGCAGTTAATTAGTTGGTACTTGTATTCCTCTAAATAAAGAAGTAGACATCCATCGATTCCGTCCGTTGTTTGTATCACTCCTAAAGGCCATTCAAAGACTTGTGTGTTTTTCTTTCTAATTCATTCTTACCTTTACTCGTTATCGTGTGCCATGATGACACCGTGCATCTTTCCGTGCACGTGGCCAATAATGCTCAAAATGGACATGCAACTTGGCCTAAGTGTTCCGGTCCTGCTTTGAAATGTTTGATATTGGCCAATTAAACGAGTTCAATGCCGATGGTGGAGCAACTGGTTTAACGCCGCACTCACCATTAGTCCAGCCGTATGACAGCGGTCTATAAATAATCATTTGGGGAAAACCACACTGGTGTTGGCTGTAAGGTCCTGTGAAAGTTCTGAGTTAGCAATGCTTCAGCAGCCCATGCTTGTCGCAAGAGGCAAGTAACGGGATCGGGTGGTCAGGCTTGCTATCATCGTATCCCAATTGCGCAGATCGATGTTCATGGTGTCTAACACTGGATTGTCTGATCCAGACTCGATTATTTACAGATTGCACCATTAAACAACAAACAATGTGCTGTTCAACAATTGACTGGGCACACGTTCACACCGTGTGCTGATAAACAAAATGAGAATACAGCTGGCGAAGGTTTTTGACATGTGTGATCTCTAAGATGTGAGACAGATAATACTTTCATGCATACGCCTACTACATTTCCAATAAATGTCTCTTATTAGTTCATTGTCACGTAAACATGGTGATGAACCTGGGGGTCAAAACATTCACTCGTCATTGTCTTATGTCACTGTACAAAGCAACCTTAGCTCTAAGGTGACCACAGTATACCTTATTGTAAGATGCCTAGCGGTTAGAACAATCGAAAAAAAAATACATTATCAGACAATAAAGGTATCGTTTTTTGATGACGTAACAATTGAATGACGTTCTCCCGTCACTGCGCCGTTCTAGTGTGCCCCCTCGTAATCGAACCATTTTATATTACGTCACAATGTAAGCGACGTCACGATGCATGTCAGTTGTCATCGCCTCGTACGGCCTCCTACAGTAAACTACACCGTTGCATCCCGTTTCTTGGTTTGCTGTTGCTTCACGCAGCTAACATCACTGGTGGAAACATTACGTTTATGTTTTACGACGGTTAAAATGTGTCATTTCGACTCACAAGTTTTCAGCGACACGGTAACGTTCGCAATGTTTATTCCACACAATGCAATCGTGGAATGTCGCTTGACTACTCAACTTCCTCTGGATGTACTGATCTAAACTTACGTTGGTAGTAGAAATGCAACGTTCATATTGCCCCATATGGTTTACGTTAATGACAGATGTAATTAAAATAATTCAGAGAAGATATTTAATCCGAACGTAAACCGTCATCAAACTGTTATCATTTGTTTTTCTGGTAACGTTCGTCTTAACGTAGGGGGCAGACACATCAATAGAACAGCGCGCCAGTTAGCCCTGTGCGAGGATTCTTAATTTAGGTCACAGACACCGTCGTTTGTTTTCTGCCTTAAATTAATCGTAATTATCCTTAGAAAGTATTAAATTTGGCATCTTAGAAAAGAAATACAGTTCGGCCCAACAGCCATCTATAACGTTAAAGCACTCGGACGCAAGCGTCCTCGTGCTTTAACTATAATAGTTCAGGGCAAAAGTGTGTTTTATTACACTATACATGGTGGTAGAGCGAAGTGTATTTCTTAAACATAGAGCAACGACTGGTCCTGGTGCTTAGGTTGTTTTCCACAACGGCAACCTCGGTTTGTTTCTCACACTGTAGGATGCCAGAAGCCAAAACTCCCACTCACTCACATTCTTCTTCCCCAAGGAACCACAACCACGGCACAATGTTTCTTAATCGTTTTTTATTACCCCGGTGAATGTTTTAGGTGAATTGGCATTCAGTGGAGTAAGAATCCTACTTTTAGATTCAGATGTCAAACAATTAAGGCTGTCGGCTTCAGTAAATCTTGGATGTTTGGAAGCCTTTATCTTATCATTTACTCTGGACATTGTCCTTTTAAAGTCTTGGATGTTGCTGAGTTTTAAAAGAGCCTCTAGAACATGTTATGATAACTGGAAGTTACCAATTGATACTGCAATAACTAAAGCAACAGCTCTCGGTGAAAGTAACCTGAAACTCAAGCTCGCTCGTAGTGACGTACATGCTGGCGTGCAGTTGTCTCTCCAGGATGATGGGTTTTTTTCATTTCCAAAGACCTTAGCAGAACCCGATTGTTTAGATATTGCAGTCATCTCTGCGAAAACGATCTACTGTCACTGACAACATTCTAATTTTTATGCAAATCCTTATTAAACATTCGTACAACTTTCAGTGTCGCTGAGTGAGTGAGTGTAGTTTTACGCCGCTTTTAGCAATATACCAGCAACATCACGGAGGGGGACACCAGAAATGGGCTCACACATTGTTCCCATGTGGGGAATCGAACCCGGGTCTTCGGCGTGACGAGCGAACACTTTAACCACTATTCTAACCCACCGCCCCAGTATCGCTGAGCAGGAAATGGTAAATGATGTTGGGCTGCAAAGATACTTTTGAGATCTTCGTGAACGCTGGCAGCAACAGAGTACTAGAAATGAGAAACCTTTTCTGAAACAGTATGTCCAAACAGGGAAGATTAATCTCTTAGAGGTCTTTCAGAGTGGAATGTTGTCTTTGGTTGAATACTCAGAATTAAAACCAGCACATTCTGTCTTGTCATCCAAACATCCAAATCCAGTATAATTGCAGCACAACTACAAAGTGTTTGATCAACGAATTTAGTATATCAGACATATCACTTCTATCAACCTTTAGCTTGACTCTTTGTTCCTCATTTTACAAGATTCCAATGCTCCATAACATCACTCCAAAGAGAAAAGTAGCAAATGAACCACCGAAATCCCTTCAACAATGAATTATCATACTCCTTCAAAAGAAAGACAATACGTATTCACTCATATTTGAGTGGAATTAATACTACATGGATTCTCAAAACGTCAAAAATAATTTGCTTGAAGTAGTTTTGCAATCTCAGAGAACGATCCAGTTCAGTTATAACACAATATTTGACATTGATGAATTGTAAACCACACTAGAAGCTCTTACGATACTAGAACGCTTCATATCTTCACCCTGTTTCTAAACCTGGGTACCATGGATTTGGTTTCATCTTCATCGTCAGAGCTTCTGGCCAGTTTGCTAAAATGAGGTCAAGTCCTTTTTCAGTTTACCCCCAAAAAGTGGCAATAAAATCTGGGGACAGACAATTTTGGAAAGAAGTGGGCGTCCCGTGGAACATTAGTTGTACTCTTCTCCTATCTCAGCTGGCTCTTTATGCATGGCAGTCGGAAATTTTCTGACTGGCCAAAATCGAAACAAGGGAAATTGACCACGACATTTACTTAAGCTTTACCTATATCGATTATCTAAAATAGTTAAAAAATAGTTCAAATAGCCATTTTCCAATATTGATAAAGTACTGCGAAAAGCAGCCAAGTTGATGAGACGGCGTAACGCAGTAATAAGTCATTCTCTCCTCAATTTATCAATGCGAACTATGAATAAATGCGACCTGTCAAGTTTGAATATTCTTTGAAGATTCAAGACACCAACCTTTTGACACTTAATCACATCTTGGGGTTACAAAATCCAATGCCACTAGCCTAACCAAAACATGCTTTAAAACTTCACCGTGACCTTGAATTTTAACCTCCATGTTTAAACTTTTGAAAAAGAATTGCATGAAGCTCTTTGAAGCGTTCCAAGAACAGGCATGCTGAATTGTAAGACTGAAAACATGAAGTCATCTTACGTGTCACATATAGACATTTTGTCACTCTGAATCATAAAAATCTGACTTGGATCCTTGTCAAGATGTCAAATACGCATTGATAGCTGTCGGGCACATGTACGCAACGACATGACAGCGTGAACATTAGTTTGGAAAAAGAAATAAGATAAATCTGTAGCTAAGAATGACAAAGTAAATACTATTGACACATAAATTCAGAAACAGCTAAAGGATCATAGCCTAGTAGCTGTTGAACACTGATGGACATGAACTGCATGCGTTTTCCCAGATGACTGCAACACTAAATATATATAATATGTTCTAATCTGCTATAATGACACTGATACAGGCACCGAACTTTGCCCGTATTAGCCATAATTTGAGCTACAGTGACACCCGTTTCCTGCCTGCAGTTGAAGACAGACAGTTTGTGCATGACTAACAAGCCACAGGCGATAGTTCAGCAGTTTGTTGCAGATGTCGCCGGAAATGGAGGTTGTTTTTACGCTCATGCTTCTTTCCCTGCTGGCTAATATCGCTGACGCTGGAAGAATCCAAGGTATGAACTAAGGGAACATTTCGCTGCCCACGTCAACAGCAAAATATTTCATTTATAACGCAGTCAAAAAAGTCATTGTCCTCGTCAGTGTATGCGTGTTTTTTTGGTGTTTTTTTTGTTTGGAGTTTTTTTGTGTAAGAAGTTAAAGTGTTACATTTTGCATATTTTGAATAACCTTGTATTGTTAGGGGTAAATGAGGTGAAAATTTACACCATAAATATGTGTTTGAGGAGCATGATATTTAGTAAACAATTGGATTTTGTGATATTCACATGAACATTATCTGTATTGAATGGAACCAGTACCTTTTATCAGAATGCACACAGGGATGGAAACGGGTGAACAGAAAGTGCTACAAGCTGATGGAAGAAGAACTGACCAGAGTCAAGGCATATCGTAGATGTCTGAAGCAGTATAATGGTTCTCTTGCAACGATTGCGAATGAAGAAGAAAATGAAGCAGTCCAAGGTATGTCCATGGGCTATCGATACTACAATAAGCGTGCCCACGCGATGATAACACACCTGCACTCTTGCATTTAATGTGAAAAGAAACTCATTGGTATACAAGCAGGATTTTGCTGATAATTCTGGCTTTGTTATTTACGATTTACAAATATACCACCCATCAAAAGTTTAGACTCACTTAAAGCACTCACTATATGCTTTGTATATATGTATGGTTACATCGAAGATGAATTTCTGCACGAACTTCGGGGAACCAACTGAAAATCTTATGAAGATGAATTGCAAGAGGATCATGCATCAAATTGCTGTAAAGCATGTGCAAATATCATGCATGTGAACAGCTGCGTTTTAGAGTAATGTTTTGTTTACGAATTCGCCAATTTTCACTGAGTTTCATCATTTATTGAACTCATGACAATAATCTTGACGTTACAAATGTGTTTTACAACACATCACTTATGTGTAAACAGTACCTTTAAACACTATGAAAGTTTTGCAAAAATTATTTTACAACAGCTGACTAAAGTAAATTAATCAATCTCTCTCTCGGCGTAAAACCATACTCACTCACTCTTATACATATATTAGTTCATACATAAGTTCAGAAGAGCAGTTGAGTGGAGTAAGATCTTGTGCAGATAAAGGAATTTCACATCTAAATATCAATTATACGATCAGACTTTCTAATCAGGGTTAGTAATTATGGTTTGAAACATTGGATAGCCTAAGTACACCCCGTAGTAGAATGTATTTGATGTTACAACTGCATGACCTACTCATTCGTTTATTACAGCGTTCGCTCGTCTCGCCAATTGATCAATGTGTGAAGCCCATTTCTGGTGTCCCCGTGACATAGCTGGAATATTGCTAAAAGCAGCGTAAAACTAAACTCCCTCACTCACTCACACTGTAAACACGAATTCTGCCACCATACCTTGTCAACGTGCTGTAACTCGTAATGTCCCAGTTGAAGACCTTAATCAGAGGTTGTACACCTATGCCCCCCGTGAACTTACTCTCAAGTAGTACCTACATGTCCCTCTTGAACGTATTTTCAAGTTTTGCACGCGGGTCCATCGTGAACTTAATTTCAGTTGTAAATATATGTCCCCAATGAATGTTCTCTCAAATTGTTCATGCATGTCCCTTCTGGCTCATTCTCCACTAAACGTGCATATAGGTGGGTGTGGGTGCTGAGAAATAAAGTGTCTCACAGATTATCATTTGTATAGGCAATCTGCAGAATAACGTCAGGGAAACATATATCTGAAGTGGCTGGACTGTGCGATGCTTGTGCTGGTTTTTATGGTGGTCAACATACATATACCCCCTTTTGTGTATGGGCAGATACGTTACTACACTACTTGTTAGTTGAGAGAACTATATACAAAACAACATGCACATATCAGATATTGATGTATTTTTTTGTATTGTTGATACGTCTTGTAGTACAAAACACATGTCCAGTGGGTACATGTTGCACTTTGAAGTATGCCAAACAGTGTTTGGGTGAAAAAACAAACAACTTCCTCTATTTATTCAATGATTACAAGTATAATATTTTCTTCATAAAAAAGGGAACTGAACCAAGAATGTACATATTCCTCCAGGTGAGGCATTTGTCTGTGCACAACACGGTCAAAGAACAGAAAGATGAAAATATATTAACTTAACCTCTGCAGGAAACTATTTTCACCAAGAGTCAAATTGTCACGTATCTGTCACGTTGGTTGATACTGGTGTCAGCTCATGGGCAATCCGTCCGTCACATAGTGGATTCCAGTTCAGACAGTTGTCACAGTATCAAGATGTCTCCCGAACATAGATAACCCTGTCTCCAGAAGACTGTACATCATCTTCATAGTTCCAGGCACTGTCTTTGATTTCAGTGAGGCAAAATAGGCTGCTGCACCATCATACTCATCCTGGGAGTAGAAAATATACCGGATTGCTTTCTCATTTTCAGATTCCCATTTGTATTGATTACGGGCATCCTGAATTGTACCTTTGCCTTGTCTGATAGCATGTGCTGCCATACGTTTAGATGTCCCCCATATCCCATCGGACCTTTACCATGTCCACACCAAAAATAATTCCATCTGGCTCGGATGTTGTCAAAATAGTCTGTGTGGTTTGCAATGATGTTGAACATAAACCTGTTTCTGTACTGGAAAGATGGACTATCAGTTCAGTAATGGATATCCGTGAGCTTTGGATAGAATTGTTTTCAATTCAGGTATCAGCTTCTGCACGACAATCTCAGCATTAGCATTATGATAGCTTATATCTGACACATAAACCAATTCTTATGAATTAGGTCTTCTGTGTCACTCCTGATGCCATATAGCTGGAATATTGCTGAGTACGGCGTAAACCTAAACTCGATAAACTGTGTCACTCCTGAAATGAAAAAACTGGGTGTAATGAAGCTACTGTAGCATTCCAGTATGCGGACTGAATTGCATCCATGGTCTGGCATATAAAGTCTGCAAAGTCCATCTGTATCAGGGAATGTCCTTGGGGCAAATTCATTTTCAGATCATGGAGCGCTTTGTATTGTGTAGCTACACAAGAGGTGGTACTGATGGGTTTGATACTCTTAACTGAAATGCTGCAGTACTGTAGTAGCTGTAGTGTCTGGTTCAGTTACGTTGGTTATCATCAGATTTCTTTTTGCGTTCGCAATAGGCTTTTTTAATATCGACTCCTGTTTTGGCCATGACTGTCTGAACTTGAAAGTAAAACCCCATTTAGACTTTAGGAATCGTTGATGGTTATCAAAAACTAGAATTTCATGCTTTACCATCTTGTAAAGTTAGTAAAATCTGATAGAATGTACAGTTGAAAATGTGCAACAGATACATTACCAAATGCAACAGATACGTTACTATGAAAGACTTCGGTAAATCATCAATGCATGTTTAAACAGTAAGCTAATTAGAATTGCAATTTATAAATAAACTTTGAATTAAATAGTTAACATAACAAAACCCCAATATAGCATGTTTTTTCAACGTTTAGACTGGTGATGATCCGAGACTGCATGGATAATAAATGCATACCTTTCAGATAGGTGACGTTCCTTCTCATGCGTCCTTCCTAGGAACCAGAAATGCTTCTGTGATAAAAACATCGTTAATTATCACGTCAAACGTGAGTTCTTAACGCGGTAAATTCAAATTTTGACACGGTGGTAACGTATTGGTAACGTATCTGTTCATAATGTATCTGTTGGACATAACATGTATTTAGATGTGTTGGACAAACAGTTAAAGCCAGAAAAGGGCCATAACCCCCAGACTACTCACCAAACTCCATGCACGATGGTCATGTATGAGAGTCGATGAATGTAAGACGATTCATTCCAAAATGGGAAGCAACATATGTAACGTATCTGGTGATATTTTCGCGTACTTGTTACAGTTGAGAGTACTTTCTCAAAAAAACATAATATTGTGAAAGCATGCGTCTTTTAACTGATTGTTAAATATTGTTTTATGTTCATTTGCGGTTGAGATGACATTATAAGTATTGTTATATACCTTCAATTTTGATTTCATAATGCAACATGATTTTAGGTAACGTATCTGTCAGTTATTTTGGCGACACCTACCTCTGAGTCTGGCTTGAAAAACACTGACATGTTTAGGTATTGGAATCGTACTAAATATATTCTTATGTTATCGAGACAACATTAAAACCTAATATTTAGAAAATATGTTCACTATTTCGACTATGACATGTATAAATGTAACTGCACTGTTGGTTGGCGGCATGTAATTTATGTAAAACTGGCACATTTAAGAGCCTGAAAGTAAATAAAATCCGTTTCTATAACTTCTGTTACACATGTTCTGACACTGTCATATCATAAGGTACACTTTGGAGTATCAATTGCCCATTACCAACAAAACATTTTACAACTATCCCAAAGCGACGCCATTGTCTGTTAAATGCACGTTTAGTGGAGAATGAACCTTCTAACGAACAACTTATACGTTATTATGACTATTTCCAGATCTTGTTCATGGCCACAACGACTCGTGGATCGCTCTAAGGCACCTGTACGGAAGGTACAACATGGATCCGGTGAGTAGCGTCCTCACTACTGAGAAATAGGCGTTTAGTTTAAACTGATATTGATTCAGTAACTGACCATCAAGAGCAAGGCATGACACACAAAACTTCCCTCGGGTAAACGATCACGGACCCTCCATTTTCTTCTCATGATAACTATACATCACATGCATAAGGGGGCGGTAAAATAGCCTTGTGGTTACAGCGTTTGCTCGTCACGCTGAAGACTTTGGTTCTATTCTCCTCGTGTGTAAGCTCATTTTTGGTGTCACTGGAATATTGCTAAAAGCGGCCTAACACTAGATTCACTCTCGTCATGTAAAACTTAATCCAAGAAAGTATGACACCTTATACGGTAATCTGAGGTATACATAAGAAAGCCCACTTCCGGTGCTTTGTGTTTTTTTGCCGAAATATAACGACATCGTAAATATTTTGAAAAGTGTTTTGATTCAATTTTCCATATATATAACGTAAATATTTTGAAAAGTGTTTTGATTAAATTTTCCAAATATATAACGTAAATATTTTAAAAAGTACTTTGATTCAATTTTCCAAATATATAAAGCAAAATATTTTGAAAAGTGTTTTGATTTAATTTTCCAAACATATAACGTAAATATTTTGAAAAATATTTTGAATTCTACGTACAACACACAAATATTGTGTACATATTGCTAAAACTCCAAAGCAAATGTACCAGCTTGGGTGCCGGGTGCTGAGAGCAGGCAGTAGTCTCCTCATCACTATGCTTCTGCTGATGCGCTGACCCAACGCCATTGATGCTATCAGGTCACTGTAAGCATCCGTTTGCGCAGATGGAGAATGCGCAGTTGATGGTCTCCTCGTGTGGCGGTCCCTGTGATTCTTGAAGTTCTGGGACTCTCAGATGTCTACCCAGTCTGTCTGACGCCTGTTTTTACCCAGATGATTGTCTGCCTTCAGCACGTTCTGTCATTATGGTTTTTGGAACCATATTGACAATCCAATGGCTCATACTCGCTCCGTTACTGAGAATAGATCGATCAAGTCTGTCAATCAAAACTGGCGCATGCGTCATTAATATATAATTACATAAATGTATACAGACACATAAGGTGCACGAAGTAGTAAATGGGCAATATTTTTTTCTGCTTTGTTCATGAAAAGGTATAGTTTTCACATTATTGTGTAAATAAATAAAGGCGCCACGCGCAGTGTTGACACGACCAGTAACTTGAACATGTGGTTGTGTTCACGGTTTTATAACATACTTCAGTTACCGTTCCCCTGTTCATATCTTAGACGGACGTGAATTGCCAGATAGATCTTTGGTCCGAACGAAAACACTCTTCCCACTCTTAGCAGCTGGCCGAGAAGATTTTCATTGGGCATGTAACTCATTTTCACTCGCCAATTGCAATCTGTCAACTAACATATATTAAAAATAAAATACGAATAACTTTCCTCTGTAAATATCATTCACAAACGACGGATACCAATAAAACTACCATAAGCAGAATTCATCAAAAACGTTCTCAATCGCGTACGTTTCGCCGGCGGTGACGCCATTGTGATTAGTCAGTGCATGGTTATGCGCCCTAACGTCAAAAATGAAGTGGGTGGGGCTTATCGGCCGGGACTGGATCGGTCTATTAGCTTAGAATTTTGATGTGTGCCCATAACAGGTATACCACTGTTAATTTCAGTCAACACCATGACATGCCAGCTCGATTCAAAATAATCATGATATCCCAAAATCACAAATAAATAACTTTTCAAAATGTTTAGGCTGATATTATAACACAATCCAAAAACACTAGGTGAGTACCTTCACTTGTACTTAATTTAGAACAATGTGCATGTACGAGGTATTGAAGGTATTTTCTGCATCAAATTGATAAATTCTACTTCTGAATGACGTCTAGATAAAGAACATAGATACGTCACAAATCTGACACAAATGGGCATCTTGTGTTTACGTAGTGCCCCTTTGTGAAGTACCAATGCTTAATAGGGAACTTACGGTATACACCCTTTCATTCTGTGCAAACATAACATTCTTACGTCACATTCTGTACAAACATAACATTCTTACGTCACATTCTGTACAAACATAAGTCCTACGTCACATTCTCTGCAAACATAACAGTCTTACGTCACATTCTGTGCAAACATAACAGTCTTACATCACATTCTGTACAAACATAAGTCTCGTCACATTCTGAGGATGAATTTAACATTCTCACATCACATTCTGTACAAACATAACAGTCTTACGTCACATTCTGTGCAAACATAACATTCTTACGTCACATTCTGTGCAAACATAACAGTCTTACGTCACATTCTGTGCAAACATAACAGTCTTACGTCACATTCTGTACAAACATAACAATCTTACATCACATTCTGTACAAACATAACAGTCTTACGTCACATTCTGTACAAACATGTCTTACGTCACATTCTGTGCAAGCATAACAGTCTTACGTCACATTCTGTGCAAACATAACAGTCTTACGTCACATTCTGTGCAAACATAAAATTCTCACGTCACATTCTGTACAAATATAACAGTCTTACGTCACATTCTATTCAAACATTACAGTCTTACATCACATTCTGTGTAAACATAACATTCTTACATCACATTCTGTACAAATATAGCAGCCTTACATCACATTCTGTACAAACATAACATTCTTACATCACATTCTGTTCAAACATAACAGTCTTACGTCACATTCTGTACAAATATAACAGTCTTACGTCACATTCTATTCAAACATTACAGTCTTACATCACATTCTGTACAAACATAACATTCTTACGTCACATTCTGTACAAATATAGCAGTCTTACGTCACATTCTATACAAACATAACAGTCTTACATCACATTCTGTGCAAACATAAGTCTTACGTCACATTCTGTGCAAACATAACATTCTCACGTCACATTCTCTTCAAACATAACAGTCTTACGTCACATTCAATTCAAACACTACAGTCTTACATCACATTCTGTACAAACATAACATTCTTACGTCACATTCTCTGCAAACATAACAGTCTTACGTCACATTCTCTGCAAACATAACAGTCTTACGTCACATTCTGTGCAATATAACAGTCTTACGTCACATTCAAACATTACAGTCTTACATCACATTCTGTGCAAACATAACAGTCTTACGTCCCATTCTGTGCAAACATAACCGTCTTACGTCACATTCTGTACAAACATAACATTCTTACGTCACATTCTCTGCAAACATAACAGTCTTACGTCACATTCTCTGCAAACATAACAGTCTTACGTCACATTCTGTGCAATATAACAGTCTTACGTCACATTCAAACATTACAGTCTTACATCACATTCTGTGCAAACATAACAGTCTTACGTCCCATTCTGTGCAAACATAACCGTCTTACGTCACATTCTGTACAAACATAACAGCCTTACATCACATTCTGTACAAATATAACAGCCTTACGTCACATTCTGTACAAATATAACAGTCTGACGTCACATTCTGTACAAACATAACATTCTTACGTCACATTCTGTACAAATATAACAGTCTAACGTCACATTCTGTACAAACATAACATTCGTACATCACAGTCTGTTCAAACATAACAGTCTTACGTCACATTCTGTACAAATATAACAGTCTTACGTCACATTCTATTCGAACATTACAGTCTTACATCACATTCTGTGCAAACATAACATTCTTACATCACATTCTGTACAAATATAACAGTCTAACGTCACATTCTGTACAAACATAACATTCTTACATCACATTCTGTTCAAACATAACAGTCTTACGTCACATTCTGTACAAATATAACAGTCTTACGCCACATTCTATTCAAACATTACAGTCTTACATCACATTCTGTACAAACATAACATTCTTACGTCACATTCTGTACAAATATAGCAGTCTTACGTCACATTCTATACAAACATAACAGTTTTACATCACATTCTGTGCAAACATAACAGTCTTACGTCACATTCTGTTCAAACATAACAGTCTTACGTCACATGCAGTCTTACGTCACATCTCTGTTCAAACATAACATTCTTACCATGCTCTTGTTCCAAAACACCGTCTACGTCACATTCTGTGTACACATTCTGTACAAACATAACAGTCACATTCTCTGCAAACATAACAGTCTTACGTCACATTCTGTGCAAACATAACAGTCTTACGTCACATTCTCTGCAAACATAACAGTCTTACGTCACATTCAATTCAAACATTACAGTCTTACATCACATTCTGTGCAAACGAAACAGTCTTACATCACATTCTGTGCAAACATAACAGTCTTACGTCACATTCTGTACAAACATAACAGTCTTATGTCACATTCTCTGCAAACATAACAGTCTTACGTCACATTCTGTACAAACATAACAGTCTTACATCACATTCTTTACAAACATCTGTACAAACATAAGTCTTACATCACATCCTATACAAACATAACAGTCTTACATCACATTCTGTACAAACATAACAGTCTTACGTCACATTCTGTTCAAACATTACAGTCTTACGTCACATTGAATTCAAACATTACAGTCTTACGTCACATTCTGTGCAAACATAACAGTCTTACGTCACCTCCTGTACAAACATAACAGTCTTACGTCACATTCTGTTCAAACAGAACAGTCTTACGTCACATTCTGTACAAATATAACAGTCACTACTTCGCCATTCTGCAATTACCATTGCGTCACATCAACTTTGAACACCCATTTTCAATGTTATTCTTTTTTTTTTAGTTATATGTCTGCTGGTTGAAGACAGTCCAAATAGAACATTCTGTAGATGTAAACAAGTATAGCGCATATTCTCGTTTATTCTACTTTCAGTTGACGTTTAGTAAGTTTGAAGGTCGACCCATTCCACGGCGAGGACAAGTATGTGTACATATATCACCAAATGGCTCTTGGCGACTTGCCAGATGCAATGTTCACAGCCCTTTTGTGTGTGAGCGAAGAGCTGGTAAGAAAGTTATGCTTGTATACTTCGATCCGCCTCGTAAACGAGCTGATTCATGTTTTACAAATTAAAGCAGTAAGTGATAAAAATAAATGTAAATAACATATTAAGATTGCCTTATATTATCACTAAACAAAAGATGAAGAAAATGTCATGAATAGGGTACATAATTTTCAGTTTCAAAAGTCTTCTTTTACTTGAAGTCATTCAATAAAACGCAGGAAAGGCTAGATGACGGTAGGCATGTTAATACGATTGCCATGGTAGGCGTGTTACAAATGACTGATGGTAGGCGTGTTACATATATTTGATGGTAGGTATGTTGCATATGTTTGATGGTAGGCGTGTTACATATGTTTGATGCTAGGCGTGGAACATATGTTTGATGGTATTCGTGGAACATATGTTTGATGGTAGGCGTGGAACATATGTTTGATGGTAAGCGTGGGACATATGTTTGGTGGTAAGCATGGAGCAAATGTTTGATGTTAGACGTGTTGCATATGTTTGATGGTAATCGTGAAACCCATGTTGGATGGTAAGCGTGGGACATGTTTGATGGTAATCGTTGAACACATGTTTGATGATAGGCGTGTTACATATGTTTGATAGTAGGCGTGTTGCATATGTTTAATGGTAGGCGTGTTACATATGTTTGATGGTAGGCGTGTTGCATATGTTTGATGGTAAGCGTGGAACATATGTTTGATGATAGGCGTGTTACATATGTTTGATAGTAAGCGTGTTGCATATGTTTAATGGTAGGCGTGTTACATATGTTTAATGGTAGGCGTGTTACATATGTTTGATGGTATGTTTAATGGGAGGCGTGTTACATATGGTTGATGGTAGGCGTGTTGCATATGTTTGATGGTAAGCGTGGAACATATGTTTGATGATAGGCGTGTTACATGTTTGATGGTAGGCGCGTTGATGGTAGGCGTGTTGCATATGTTTAATGGTAGGCGTGTTACATATGTTTAATGGTAGGCGTGTTACATGTGTTTGATGGTAGGCGTGTTACATATGAAACCATGTTTAGATAGCAGGCATATAAGTAAAGAGAATCTGTATTTTCAGATTGTGACACTGGATGGTTTGGAGAACGCAACTGTGATGGCCGGTGCCACTGTTACCTGAACTATGGCTGTCACAACAGAGGTTGTCCGTACGGGTGCGAACCGGGATGGACCGGGTATATGTGTGCCCAACGTGAGTATAAAATACCACTGTTGCTTCCCAATGTACAGTTTTCCCAGAAATTATTGAGAAAATCATTGCTTCCTAATACTGATAATAAAATTGTAAACGGATCGCCGACGACCTTGTCAGATTGTGAGTAAGGGAAACTTGAAAAGCGTTCAGAATATCAGAAATGGGATGATTAATAGAGGAAGTCCTCAGGTATGTGATGAAACCCTTAGACAAGAATTACAAAGACTTAACTGGGTGAGAAAGACGTTTAATCCGGTGAAGGGCTCACGAAACTTGGGATAGTGTTTTCTTTACTGATGAAAGTTCTGTCGGGCTTTTTCCTAACTATGTGGACATTTGAACAAAAGATCCCGTGAACCCTATCTACCAACGCCCCAAACAGCCCGAAATGTCACATGTGGGATGAGTTAGTATCACGTTGACGCCATTGTGTATTTTCACTGGATATGACGAAGGAACGACATATTGACGTATTAAATGGTCTCCTCCTTCTAAAGGCCTGAACACTGTATGAAGATAACTGGATTTTCCATCATGATAACTAATGGTGTTCCGATTAATTGAAATAATCGAAGATTGGTAGCAGTGACCAAACGACCAAGCAATCGATCACAATTTCTCATAATCGAACACAAACGATTTTGGAACTACTGTTTTAGTCTTTGACAATGGAACATATCTTAGAAGTTGTCAGGGCCTGAAAACGTGTTTAATTCTTAGAAAACTCGCTTCACAAACTGAAAAGCCATGACCGAATGTTTCTCTAAGATTCAAGGAAGTTTATGTTCATGATATATAAGTCATCACTTTAAAGTAGCAAGTTGCATCATGTTATACATATCTGCAATAACAACCTGGATAGGAAAATCTGAAAAATGAGGCTAACCAATTTTTTTCGATGATTGTTCGTTGGTAATGAACCAATCATCAATTGTGAGATTTCAACTAATTCCCAACACTAATGATAACGACCCAAAACACACTGCGGGCTACACAAAACAGAGGTTGTCGGACGAAAATGTTCATGTTTTCGACTGGCCTAGCTAAAGTTGAGATCTTAGCCTATTGAGAATGTGTGGGGACTAATGAAGGACAGAATAAACCAAACAGAACTTAGAAATATTGAGGATATGAAGAAAGAAGAGGTCGAATATTGGATACGCTGTCACACGATTTCCTACAAATTTGATCGGTAGTGTACATTGTACCTAGGCGCATTCACTCGTGTATTGCAGGGCAAGGAGGTCTCACAAAATACTGAAAAGACTCTTAGGCTGTAAGAGAATCATATCTCAACATATTCATTTAAACAAAACTTCTATAGTTTATATACATGTATTAGATATTTGCCGAAACAACATTCTCAAGAATTTTTGGGAATACTATATACGTATTACTTACCATAGTTTGAATGTTGAACAACTAGGATAAAGGGTTGGTATATTTCTGCGCGTATACTATGATACACTTTGACCATTTCATTATATAAACTTATAAATGAATACTCGTGTCAGCATTGTAGAAACTACAGGGGAAAATGTTTAACAACATGATTTTACAGAAGGGGGTCCTTGTCCTTGATGCCGACGGCCCACTGAAGGGAGGTAATCCAAATGTTCTCGTCGATCAGAGCCTGGATCGCTTCACCTGGCCGAAGAAAACAAAACGTATTTGACACGAAAATAGAAGTACAACTATTCAGTTTATTTGGATTAAGTGCCGCAAATCGTATGTTTGGTGAAGACTCTGACCATGGGTAGTGTCAACCCAAGGAAACTAGACGAGTTAAGTTTCAGGTATACTAACATAGTATTACTAATATCGCTTAAAACTGGCCGCAAGCTGTACTTGAATTGTTGTGCATGGTGCTGCACACTGATGTTGACATTTATTTTCCAGGGAGGAAAAAAACTAAAGGTAAGCATACTGGCTATTTTTTTTTTAATTTACGAATAATATTGTTTTGTTGGTCAGTGCTATTATGTCCTGGCTGTTGCCAAATATATTGATAGATCTCAGTTATAGACAGACTGAATGATGTACTCCTGCATTCTGGTAAAACTAAATAATGTGTTATGTGAGGAATGATCTTCTCGTAATTCGTGTCGTGTCCTTCACACTCATACCAACACATACTCACACCACGATGTACAGAAAATCCCGAGACGTTGCGGGCATTACGTCCAATACCGGCCCTACAGTCATGCTTTTAAGAACTAAATACACAGCAGTACGGCATGTTTCTGAAGGCATTAGGTAAATAGACTTTCTCTGTTGATGGACAAATATGTCTACCTCCTTCATCAAGCAGCTCAAACACCCTTCCATGTGGAAATGGTTTCAACTATTGGGAAGGAAACAGGTGGGCAGATGTGTCCAAAAAGGGAAGGAAAAGCCTTGGAGATGATGTTTTATCACTAAGACCTTCAACTACCACAAGTTGCACTGGGCAACATTCCAGTTATTTGGCATAGGTCTGTAAATAATCGAGTCTGGACCAGACAATCCAGTGATCAATTGGAATACCATGACATGTGTCAACCAAGTCAGCAAGCCTAACCACCCTATCCCGTTAGTCGCCTCTTACGACAAGTATGGGTTACTGGAGATCAATTCTAACCCGGATCGTCACGGGTAATCAGCAAATGGGAAACGCTGCCTAGTGGAATCCACCAAGAGCCTTCGGAGAATGCGTGTAATCAAGTGATCAACATCATGAGCATCGATCTACGCAATTTGGGATACGATGACGTGTCAACCGAATCAGCGAGCCTAACCACCCGGTCTTGTTAGTCGCCTCTGACGACAAAAATGGGTTGCTGAAGACGTATCCTTACCCAGATCAATAAGGATAATGTTGATGAAATACGTGTTAAACATTCAAAGTAAATTTCAACTTTCCATTTTTAATCGTAGAATATGTGTAATTTTAACGTATGGCTAGATTCATCTCAATTGCTAACAGCTGAAGGGATGAATACTTATGGATGATCGTCGACTCATCCTTTGTTGTGGGGTTTTATCATTTCACTTAAAATGTTGATAGATTTATAACTTGCTTTAGTCACGTACGTCCTTTTCAAACCAGGCCCAACCAGATTGTAACCATGATTGTAACCATGGGGTTGCCACTATCATCTAGAAACTACACAAGAGTTAAAACACTCGAAACACGTTACGTTCTCTGTCGATGGCTTTGGTTGTGTCAGATTGCCGAGACCACTAATAGCCAGTTATGGTAATCTGTTTTGGCAACTGCCTGGGACGGAAGCCGAAGTCCCTGAAATGTCATCAAAGATTTGTTGTAATAGCAAGACAATGTATCTTTGCAAACGTGTCTGGTCCCCATGTGGTCAACATTCAAGGTGCTAGGGCTTCAGTAAATTCTTCAAATACCTTCATTGTGACCAGATTTCACACCCTAAGATGTCCACCCGTTATTATTGAATAATAATAATCAGTCATCTTCTATAGCGCACAGTCTCCAAACACCAAAAGTGATTGCTCGCGGCGCTTAATCAGAATCTGATTATTATTACCCCGGATAACCTAAGCTGCCTGTTAGGCGCTAGAAGGTTATAGTCTCACGACTTTATCCAACCGGGTACCCATTTTCTGATGGGAGAACATAGGAAATTTTTAACAAACTCACTTGCCTAAGGTGAGACCACATGTATCGTTGTGGGGCAGGACTGAAGACCTAGAAACTCTCAGGATAATCTGAGATTATCTCAGATAATCTGTAATCACAAATATGTCCAATGTTACATTTGACACTTTCTAAAATTCATGGTTTATTCATCGTTGAATATGTGTAACAGCCAACGCTCCATGCAGTCCATGTTTGTTACGTAACCCTCAGCCACTCCTACAGGCCCTGATGTCGGTCATCTGATATCCATCACTTCATTGTATGGATGGAATGATGTAGCATTGCTTACCTTGAATTACGTGTTTGCAGTGTCTTCCTACTGTCTGAAAGAAAGGGAAGGAGAGTACTCTCTGAATGTTTCCTTCACCCGCCGTGAGCTCTACTCAACCTACGTAACATTTGGGGCTGTGGACGCTAAAGGGGTGATCAGTCCAAGATGTAAGAAGATAAACGCCCAAATGACCCGTCGTGATGAAATCCGTTTTCGTGTTCAAGTTCACAACGTTTCCGGAGTTTTGGAATCGAAATGTCCATTTGAAACGGTAAGAATCAACAGAACATCAAACCAATAATGCATTTGTTAACGTATGTGTTTCTTAAGCTTGTTCCACATCATATACGCAATTTGCTAATGACCGATGTCAGGTATATAATTGAACACATCGTCAAGTGTTGGATGTGCTGTTGGAATGACTTGACATTTATTTGATTATTTGTGTTCACAAAAATCTAGCTGTCTGGGGGGATCCTGCAATGGACGTTCAGACTTGAGAAGAAAGGTGGTATAGAGTCATTTGAGGATGAGGAACATCAGGTCCAGTGTGATCTGTCTGAAGCTGATGGGGTATATGACACTCAGAGCATCGAGATAGAGCAGTAGGTTTCTCAAACACATTTGAATCCAAGCTTCCTTTCAGTGACATGACAAATACAATCGAAGTAATAAGTATTGGAAATAAGAAGATTTACCGTCTTTTCAGACAATTACGACATATATTTTGGAAATATAAGTTACCCTGGGATGTGAATGACTAACATAGTTGATCACGGGCTGGGCTTTCTAGATGTTGTTCACTGAAGGTTTTGTTTGTCTCGAACAACGCAAAAAGGGCCTCTTCAGGAAAACGTCAAACACAATGCGACACAGACTAGGGTCACCGGTTACTGCAGAATAGACATACACAGTTCAGGCGACTAAACCCAAGGCAAATACCATCTTTATAAAGTCTTCCAATAGCATGTTGAAATGAAAATGCATGGATGTCAACTTCTGTGATATGAGGAACACCACGTTTCGGAGTATAGTCTTACTCCTTCATCACTTTGTTTGTATATCAACCTTAACATCTTTTTTTTGTTTCAGGATTCGCGAGAGATCCTTAATAGTTGCCACACAGACAAGAGTCAATATTCGGACATACGTGGCCTACCCTGATGCACTGGAGCCAGTGGCAAACGTTAGTCTTGGCGGTCACGCCAGACTGGTTGTCACGCTTCCTGAAGGTTAATTGATCAATCATGTCCTTGTACATGGGAGGAGTCACTGTCTAGACCGTTATATAAATCACCAGCTTCTAATAATGATGACTTTTACTAACGCCCAAGGACCCGTGAAGATCCGGGGTAGAACGGTCTTCAGCAACCCATGTGCTTGCCATAACAAGGCGACTATCTTGTCGTAAGAGGCGACTAACGGGATCGGGTGGTCAGTTTCGCTGACTTGGTTGACAAATGTCATCGGTTCCCAATTGCGCAGATCGATGCTCATGCTGTTGATCACTGGATTGTCTGGTCCAGACTCGATTATTTACAGACCGCCGCCATATAGCTGGAATATTGCTGAGTGCGGCGTAAAACTAAACTCACTCACTCACTAACGCCCAAGAGCTGATAGAGACTGCAAGCCAATTGAGATTGACATATAGAGAAAGGGTCTTGAAAGAGATGTGTTTATAAGAGTGTCTTGAACAGATAGAGAGTTGCAGGTTTCCACTAGCTGCTTTAAGAGGGATGAGACGATTGCTGTAAATGATGTTTGTATAATTTTACAATAAGCTTACCTTTGAGGAGACTTAACTGTTGTTCTCAGTTTGGCGACATCTTGGGGTACATGCATTTGTAGTCATACCCATGTAGCTTAACCTGTCCATATTTTTTGTTCCAGGGGATGATTTTGTCAATCCGTTCTTTTACCCTCGGGCCTGTCAAGCTTTATCTCCAGATGGGAAGGTTTCTTTTCCATTGACTTCCCCCTATGGGTCAGTATGAGGTCCTACTTCACATTCCATATAATCAAAGGGCTATTTCGGGGCATTTGTTTATAAAAGCTCCCATTATTCCAGATCCGGATTAGAATTGGTCTTCAGTAACCCATCCTTGTCGTAAGAGGCGACTAACGGGGTTGGGGTGATCAGGTTCGCATACTTGGTTGACACATGTCATCATATCCCAATTGCGTTGATCGATGTTCATGCCGTTGATCACTGGATTGTCTGGTCCAGACTTGCATATCTACAGACAGCCGCCACATACCTGGGAATATTGCTGAGTGCGGCGTTAAACAACAACCAACTAATGAATTTATGGTTACAAAGTCATACATTTGTTGGAGATATCGTATTTAGATATAGGTTAATAGGATCCTCACGACAGCTAGTAAGCTGGCCTAATAAAACCCCATTTTTATTAGATATGAAATGTATATGAACAAACGTGTTTAAATGGATTCTTAAGAGAATATTAGGATCCAACATTCTGAGTAGACGTTTTTTAACATCTCTGAAACTACTGCTGTTAAAATTTCACAAGCAAGCTGAAACTGTGTGAAAATGACAATGGTATGGGTAAACGTAGATTAAGTTTGTGGTGCTAGTTCAAGATCGGTATCTATATTTGGAGAAGCAGATGATCCACATTTGAAGTGTCCAAACGCTGTTCTCAATAAAGCATGCAGCCAAGATTGTTTATCTTAGTTTATCTATTTCAGCTGTCGGAAGCACTACCGTTTCGGCTTTGGAATAATGGAAAAGGTCTCTGGTGTGATCCAGTCGGGGACATTTCCCATGTTTCGGCTTCCTGGCTACACCGAACTGGTGTTCAGTTGTACTCTTGTAGTACCTCATTTGAACCATGTAAAATATCAGGCACCGGTTAGTGTTCGTTTAGTATGTACTGATAGGATAAACACCTTCTGTGTCATGTCATCGTATCCCAATTTTGTAGATCGATGCTCATGCTGTTGATCACTGGATTGTCTGGTGCAGACTCGATTATTACAGAACGCCGCCATATAGCTGGAATATTGCTGAGTACGGCGTTAACCAACCCACCAGAAAACAAAGTGCGATAGAGAAGCGTACCAAAATGGAATATTTCTTTATACATCAGGGTATCTCCTTTCATCCATAGCGGCATTAAACATTAAACCAACAAACAACCACGAATATAAGATATCTTTGAAAACTACGCATACATAGATACACATGGGCAACTCGACAGCAGTTTTAGGCTGTCCGTATTTCTTCCCATCTCCCACCAGTCCCGATGTACCACCCTGAGGTATCTCCCACCAGTCCTGATGTACCACCCTCAGGTGAAATGATGAACAGTTTACGTATTTCAGTTTTCTAAGTCACTGTGGAAATCTTTTTCCTGATAAAGATATGTTTACCCTTGCACACACACTCATGAATGGATGTCTTGATGTTTCTTCATCAATTTTAATTAAAAATATATTTCCGTAACAAAGCGGAAACTACATTATGAACTAACTCTCTATTAAAGACTTACCACTGTGATCAAAATTGTATAAATTTAGGCAATAAGTATCACTGTTGGTGAAAAACATATTGTAATTTTTCATTATTTACAGTCCGCCGCCATATAGCTGGAATATTGCTGAGTGTGGCGTAAAACTAAACTCACTCACTCACTTGGTGAGGTTGGAGATGAGAAACAAGAAATACGGATGACCTTTGATCGGAAAGAGGTCACAGTAGCGATAAAGATATTTCTCAAGTTCAAGAGTGAAGATAAATTACCTATATTCTTGACAAGAAAACTACAGTGAGAGGGTAGGTGTGGGCGGTCGTGGTGCGCATAAATCTTGAAGTCCAAAGGTTAGGGGAAATGCTTCTCAGGGAATTTCAGCCTCACGAAACTCTCCTTGTGTCTGTATACATCTCTACCACGAAACTGTCCTTGTGTCTGTATACATCTGCCTCACGAAACTCTCCTATTTGTCTGTATACATCTCTACCACGAATCTCTCCTTGTGTCTGTATACATCTCTACCACGGATCTCTCCTTGTGTCTGTATACATCTGCCTCACGAAACTCTCCTTGTGTCTGTATACATCTCTACCACGAGACTCTCCTTGTGTCTGTATACATCTCTCTCACGAAACTCTCCTTGTGTGTGTATACATCTCTACCACCAATCTCTCCTTGTGTCTGTATACATCTCTACCACGGATCTCTCCTTGTGTCTGTATACATGTGCCTCACGAAACTCTCCTTGTGTCTGTATACATCTCCACGGATCTCTCCTTGTGTCTGTATACATCTGCCCCCTCACGAAACTCCTCCATCTCTACCACGTGTGTCTGTATACATCTCTACCACGAGACTCTCCCTTGTGTCTGTGTATACATCTCTACCACGAATCTCTCCTTGTGTCTTATACATCTCTACCACGAATCACTCCTTGTGTGTATACATCTCTACCACGACGAATCTCTCCCTTGTGTCTGTATACATCACCATGAATCTCTCTCCTTGTGTCTGTATACATCTCTACCACGAATCTCTCCTTGTGTCTGTCTACACGGATCTCTCCTTGTGTCTGTATACATCTCTACCACGAAACTCTCCTTGTGTCTGTATACATCTCTCCACGAAACTCTCCTTGTGTCTGTATACATCTCTACCACGAATCTCTCCTTGTGTCTGTATACATCTCTACCACGAATCTCTCCTTGTGTCTGTATACATCTCTACCACGAAACTCTCCTTGTGTCTGTATACATCTCTACCACGAAACTCTCCTATGTGTCTGTATACATCTCTACCACGAATCTCTCCTTGTGTCTGTATACATCTCTACCACGAATCTCTCCTTGTGTCTGTATACATCTCTACCACGGATCTCTCCTTGTGTCTGTATACATCTCTACCACGAATCTCTCCTTGTGTCTGTATACATCTCTACCACGAATCTCTCCTTGTGTCTGTATACATCTCTACCACGAATCTCTCCTTGTGTCTGTATACATCTCTACCACGAGACTCTCCTTGTGTCTGTATACATCTCTACCACGAGATCTCCTGTGTCTGTATACATCTCTACCACGAAACTCCTTGTGTCTGTATACATCTCTACCACGTCTCTCCTTGTCTGTATACATCTCTACCACGAATCTCTCCTTGTGTCTGTATACATCTCTACCACGAATCTCTCCTTGTGTCTGTATACATCTCTACCACGAATCTCTCCTTGTGTCTGTATACATCTGCCTCACGAAACTCTCCTTTGTGTCTGTATACATCTCTACCACGATACTCTCCTTGTGTCTGTATACATCTGCCTCACGAAACTCTCCTATGTGTCTGTATACATCTCTACCACGAGACTCTCCTTGTGTCTGTATACATCTCTACCACGAATCTCTCCTTGTGTCTGTATACATCTCTACCACGAATCTCTCCTTGTGTCTGTATACATCTCTACCACGAATCTCTCCTTGTGTCTGTATACATCTCTACCACGAATCTCTCCTTGTGTCTGTATGTGTCTACCACGAATCTCTCCTATGTGTCTGTATACATCTCTACCACGAATCTCTCCTTGTGTCTGTATACATCTCTACCACGAGACTCTCCTCCTTGTGTCTGTATACATCTCTACCACACGATCTCTCCTTGTGTCTGTATACATCTCTACCACGAAACTCTCCTTGTGTCTGTATACATCTCTACCACGAATCTCTCCTTGTGTCTGTATACATCTCTACCACGAAACTCTCCTCTGTGTCTGTATACATCTCTACCACGTATACATCTGCCTCACGAAACTCTCCTATGTGTCTGTATACATCTCTACCACGAATCTCTCCTTGTGTCTGTATACATCTCTACCACGAGACTCTCCTACGAGTCTCTCCTTGTGTCTGTATACATCTGCCTCACCAAACTCCCCTATGTGTATATACATCTCTTCCACAAAATTCTCCTTATGTGTGTATACATCTCCAATACGAATCTCACCATATTTGTACATACACCTCCCACACGAATCTATCCTTATTTCTATATACATCTTTGCCACGAATCTCTCCTTAATTGTATATACATCTCTACCACCAATCTCTCCTTGTGTCTGTATACATCTCGCCCTAGGATCTCTCCTTATTTGTATGGATAGATAGATAGATAGACAACAGATAGATAGATATTCTTTACTTCCTCCTAAGTTTGAAGATCACAGATGTATATTATACAGTCATATTAATGGTACGTAATACAACAAAAATGTACATGAAATAGTTTATACGGGGTAGTAAGGTAAAATACAACAATTACAAATATTTTTCCATTTAGATTTCAAAATTTGAGACACATTTTATAACATTTGCCCACACATCATAGTTTTAACTGGGCCTTTACATCTTCCGGTATTCCGCCAAGTAGAAATTTCAATCATTCATCATCATCATCATTGGTCCATAATTTTACAAACATATTAACATCAAGTAAGTCACAAATTTGTTCAAATAAGTCATTTCTTACAGCAATATTAATCTTACAAGACATAGGGACATGCTTCAAAATATCATGCGCCACAGTGCCACACTCACATTCCTTCGACTGAATGGGGACAGAACCCAATTTAATTAGAAAACCAATACTTTTGTAGTATCTTGGTCTGTCAAGCGCTAGTTGCCATCGTTGACTAACACCGTCCGATCTTATTGACTGATACCGTATCAATGATAGCCTTGACTGAATGGCATACTCTGCTGCTTTTCTATCATATTCTAAAACCTTTCTCCGCACCATTCTTGACTATTTCCTTTTGCATAAAAATTCAGAACATACTACATATTGTCTAATTTCTTCCTGGATATCATATTTAGCTACTAATTCCATCATATGAAATATAGGTGATTTCATGTCTGGTTTATGCTCTCTGCCAATCATAAGTTAATTGTCATATTGCAAGATTTCTTCTCTGTGTATGTACATCTCTACCACGAAGCTCTCTTTATTTGGATATACATCTCGCTCACGAATCTCTCACTGGGTGTACATAATCACTACCACGATTTTTGTCCTACGAATCTTTTTCTTATGCTTCACGTTTACGTCGTATGTATGGTTGTAGATCTTATCCAAGGTCACAGGAAGGCATGGATTGGTTTAAGTCAACGACGGATCAACAGTGGTTTTAAGTGGGATGACAGCGCTAAGGTGAGAATGAAAAAAACCGAAATTAATGCGAAATTAAGTTCCATACAGTTTGACAGAAATTGTAACACTTGGGACACGATCAACTCTGGAGACTCAATTCGTGTCCCCGGATTTATGGTCCGTTATGTAACTGTCTGATTTATTTCATTACTTACATCTCAAAGAAAGGTCACCATGTTACTGTGTCAGGCAGCAAAACATGCAGATTGTGTAAGTGGCGGAAGACACCGGTGGGCCAGGGAATGTATTTCGCGAATAAACTGTTCCTCTTAATATATGGGGGCGGTTTAATATCACAAAAAACATGTATTACCTCCAGTTATTTTGAATAAGATTATCAGGTGATTGCATGATGAAGCAGTTGGTGAGTCATCCCAAAGCATTAACGATTAGACTCTATCTATCACCTCACATCCAACCAGCTTTGTTTTACTATTTAATCCATCACATGCATTGGCTTAATGACAGTTGCTATTAATATTTGTTATTCTCCTACCTAGCACATTCCAGTTATGTTTCACTATTATCAATTACCTGGTGTTGTTAATGTTAATGTGCTGCTTGCCTTACTCTCCATATATGCGTCTCATCACCTGGCTCCTGCCACTTGCAGCTAGAAAATGGTGTAACAATCTGCATCGAAATGTCGATCTGTGCAATGAACACGAGCTCGTTTTCTATAAAGACGTATGCTTTGTTAAAGGTTATCGGCCTTAACAAGAAACGCCATGACATTCATTAATCCAGGTTTGTGAAGTTACTTCAAGGATTATTGACTATCTTAAGTTAGGAATTGGGAGTTTCTGTATTGAAAACCGCACGTAACAATTTTAATATAGTAATATAGTAATATTTATGATATCAATTCCGTAAATAATCATATGGAAACACACTAAACGCCAAAAGAAACCTTACCCTCCTGCCTTAGTGACGGGGGTACCTATCTTCAGCTGGCGTTGTGATGCGTGGACGTCCACTTCTTAGTCAGTGACCCCAGTCTGACTGAAGCCCTGAATAATTATAAGTCTTATAACCATGATGCGGTAGCATCCGATGGCGTTGGCAGCAGCATTGTACGTCGACCCCATCTGCACCATCCCAATGGCTCGTTCTCTCTCTTCAGCTGTTAAGCATGGCATATTTCTCGTATTTGTGTATCATATAATGTATTCTAGCTAGGCCCTCTTCATACCCCGTAGAATCATTCCACATGTGAAATGGATGCAAATACTGCTTGAATATTGCTGCGTTTTGGCGATTGATATTGCTATGTGGAAACAGAAAATGGAAAAAATGCTACTTTGCAAGCAAATTGTTAAAGATAATTTTAGATGTTCATAAGCACCTTTTCCCATTACCAAAGACACGTTTTACTTGTTTTCACTAATGCAAATCAGCAGAAATGTTTTAAGAGACTGGAATCATAGGGACGACTATTTTACAATTTTACACACTCTACAACGGTTGTTTCTTGTTTTAATAGTTGAAAAATGGTGATTTTAAAGGGTTTATCTTTGTCTCACAGCAAAGTTATATTTCAACCTTTCTTTTGGACATCAAAATCACTGTTGTTGGTTTATTTCGGCACAGACGAAATAGGACAATTTAACTCTTCCGAAAAGGATGCATTTCACCTAAATATGAATGAATTTGAGAATTGTTTTTCATGATTTGCATAAAGCTGTGTTGTTAAGCTTTTTTTGTAAACTAATACCTTCTAACATATCTTTGATAGTTTTTCAGTAATTCATAAAGGTAGGAGGGTAACGTTTCTTTTGGCGTGTAGTGTACATCTATAGATATTCTACACTACTTACAAACTAATTAATTCTCGTCTACTTTAGTTTCAGTATAATTTTGGTAACTTTCGGAGTCATGGTCGGCATTCTAAACAGTGCGCAGTGATACGCAGTGATGGCTATTGGGTTTCTTCCTATTGCTCTATTGACAACCCTTATGTATGTTCGAAAAAGCCAGGTAAGGACTTTACACCTTTAGAACCAGTAAATGGTTAACACCGTATATAATAATGTTTTTATCATGTATCACTTGCTTGACAACGACATTAGAACCTATGTCGAAACGTCGCCTCCACAGAATAAAAGAAGTTGTATATCCATAATAATTGTCATTATCCTTCATCAACTCAACTTCTAAAAATGCCCCTCAAACGGGTTAACCTTGATAACACATATGAATTATTACGTCATATATACCATCTGAATATTAAACATCCATGTTTTTTAACTAGTCACGTTAATACAGTTAACTATGATTTGTCAGACTGTGAACCTGGATGGAGTGGTGATGAATGTGACCGGCAGTGTCACTGTTACGCGGGGTTTGTCTGTAACGCCAGCGCCACCTGTCGGTATGGTTGTGAGCCGGGATGGTATGGTGAAATGTGTGACACACGTAAGTAAGATTACGGTTAATCACCTCATTGTGCGCGACACAAGGACATCCAGTCATATTCCTGTTTAAGCAGATACTATTTAACGGTGGTCATTGATTGCACAGTAAGGGATCGTAATTCTCACTGTTTTTTCAGTCAGTCAGTCACATAACTGCTTAAGTTGGTCTTGTAAAAGATGGCTGCGGTCATATCTATGTAACACTTATTTTGAAGTGTCAAATGTCGATATAGTTACAAGCAAAGCTAATATGCTCTAAAGATCCTTCCGGCATAATAAACAGATAAATAAAATATTATATTTATATTTGGAAACATTTAAACCGCCTTGAAATTTCACTTCAATTGCTGTTTTGTGGCATATACTGATGCATACATGTATTTTCCAGACCAAGAAAAAACTACAGGTAAGCGTTCCTTCCATCAGTCTCATACCTTTACAAACATATTTTGTTTCGATGTTATCTCTTTATGATTCCGTTACTGCTACTGACAACTACACAAAGCATAGAAATGGACGAGAGGCCTTTTTGGACCACTTTAAATGTTAAATGTTACAGTTTCAGGAAACATTGAAATATTGCTATAACATTATTATATATGCTCGTGTGTCTGAAATTTAGCCTTTTCGATGTTACTGTGTAAGCTTTCGACTTATGACATGAAGTACCCAGGTTTGGTTAAATGATTTTAAATATACCTTTTGCACGTCAAATGCAACGGTACACAACTATTCCTCAACTTAAAATAACTATTTTACCATAGCCGTGTACTGTTTTGTATCTAATTCTCTCAAGTCAAAACACATCATGAAAATCTCTAAAATCTATGTTTAACCTATGCTGTGCAATATAACGTTAATATGATTTCCAAATTCAGTTGCTGAACTGTTGAGTTCATTAAGACGAACACAGCTGGTAACCTTTAAATTTCCAATAGTTATGCTCACTTCGTACATACTGCAGATCCTCAGGGCCAAAGGTACACATATGCTAACTCTGAACATTGTACTTCAGGATATGGCGTCGTTCATATCTTTGCACACTGATAACACCGCATGATGACAACAGCAAAGAAGGCTAACGTCACTGTCTTTCCAAATAATAATGTGATGTGATACTGTCGAAACCCATGCACATATTCCTCGTGTAGGTAAACGCATGCACACATCTAACGTTTTGGGGAAGCATACCTGTGACGATCCGGGCTAGGATTGGTCTTGAGCAACCCATGCTTGTCGTAAGAGGCGACAAACGGGACTCAGTGGTCAGGCTTGCTGACTTGATTGACACAAGTCATCGTATCCCAAATGCATAGACGGATGATCATGCTGCTGATCACTGGATTGTCTGGCCCAGACTAGATATATTTACCGACCGCCGCCATATAGCTGAAATACTGCTGAGTGCGGCGTTAAACAACAAACAAACAAGTACCAATGTCAGGGTTATAGGAGATTCCAACCACCACCACCTGAGTGGTTCATTACACGTCTGTACCTTGTGATTGCAGTGTCATTCTACTGCATGAAGCAGAGAGAAGGAGCCTACTCGCTGATGCTTTCCTCAAGCCATCCAACTGACCAACTTGTTGGTATTGTGAACGCCGAGGGAGCAATCAATCCCAACTGCAGCATTGAGAGACCAGAAAGGATACTCAAGCCTTCCGAAATGCGTTTAAATGTTCAAATTAAAAACGTTTCTGGAGAATTGATACCAAACTGTCCTGCAGAAATAGTAAGAAAATAATGTATGTTGCAGAACCTCAAACATGACGTGCTTATGAACGTGTGTGTGTGTTGTTCCACAATGTGTGTACACTAAATTATAGATCATAGTCTTGTATATAAGAATACATAGTCCTTAAGGTAATTATACATATGTCTTAACTTTATGGTTGTTTGTGTTCGTATATCACTAGGTTGCTGATGGAGTCCTGAATTGGACGATAAGATTTCAGAAGGAAAAAGGTGTAGAATCATTTGAAGATGAGGAACATCAAGTTCAGTGTGATCTGTCTAAAGCCGATGCTGCATTTGATGCCAAGGGTGTCGCGGTGGAGAAGTAAGTTAAAGAAAACGACTTCTCGTGTGTGGCAAGTGGCATCAAACGAACAGTAATACAAAAATTTTATTTCATTTTTGGTTCTGAACAGACATGATTGCTTATGATGATGATAAATGCCCTTTCTACAACGGTAAAGTTGGAAGGAATGTGTCAGGGATTGAAGCTCTTCCCCACTGCATGAAGAGCTATACACAATGCATAAGGGTTTTGACAACTAACTTTATTTTCAAAGTGGTGTTATGTGTAGGAAACTTAATTTCTATTTTACTTTTTCAAGGATTCGAGAGAGACCCATAATGACTGCCACACAGACAAGAGTCAACGTAAGGGCATATCTAGCAAGTCCTGAAACTCTGGAACCGGTTGCAAACATCAGCCTAGGTGTTCCTGTCAGACTGGTGGTCACGCTTCCTGAAGGTATGTTAGGTTATATTTCCAAGCGTTTCTACTGCCGTGTTGCTTGCAGTAACTGTTCTGTAAATGTGACTAACGTTATCAAGCCTGCACTAAGCAGCTGTTGACAAGTTAGTTGTGACATGCATCTTAATATGCAGGGGCAGGGGACATGTCTCCAAGAGCAGCACAGGTTCGGAGTGGTAAATATGCCCTTTACTGTTCGTTTGTATTTCCCCACGATACGACGGGATGGCCATGCTTATCTATTGTTCAAGATACTGACTGATATTAGTTCAGTTGCTGTTCATCTCTTCATCCTTCATTTGAACTCGTATATCTTCATATGACAGGGGATGATGTTGTCAATCCGTTCTTCTACCCTCGGTTCTGTCAAGCTTCATCTCCAGATGGGAAGGTTTCTTTTCCACTGACCGGCTCATATGGGTCAGTATGAGGTCACCCTATAAATCTCCTCTTTCTCCTGTCATATAATGAAAATGCTGTTTCGGGGCATTCTTTATAAGAAAATGTAATTTGATTCCCAGGAAAGTACAGCTTGTGGTATGACCCAGCGAAACACTAATTTATATTCCTTAAAATGTGAACAAATATCTCAAACGTCCTCATTAACATCCACCATGAATGGCTCCATGATGATCCGGTTATATTTGGTTTTCAGCAACGCATGCTTGTCGAAAGAGCTTTAACACAGGATCTGATTGTCAGACATGCTGACTTGGTTGATGCATGCTATAGTATCCCGATTTAGCAGATCAATACTTAGATGTAAATCATCAAATGTTCTGGTCCAGACACAATAATTTACAGACTGACATCAGATAAGTGCGGATTGTGGCGTTAATCTTGACATAACCTTTGATGAAACATGCACGTCTTCTTTGAGTACCGAATGTCATTTAGAGAGTGGTCAACATGTCATATTTGGAATTACACTTTCTTAGCAAAGTGCAGATTCTAGTACGTGTATAAGACCATTCAGCAATCTTGCCCACTCAGCCACGGAGGCAAGAATCTGTACTTCACTGAGAAGTGTAATTCCAAATATAACATATGTTACATGGTCGTCCTCTTCTGTGAAACTACTGGACGGACGAAACTATTGACATCAAATCAAAAGCTTGACGGTCCCGCAACACGTCGATTTAGTTTGGTGGAAGAAAACGATCGTCACTTACCTCAAATTGGTTTCACAAAACGTGCTGAAATTCATGTTATCAGGAGTTCCAGTAATAATACACCTTTCCTGTTGCTGAAGTTGAAGCATCTTCAGACATGTTAAGAAGAACGTAAAGAACTGTTCAGTGATGCCATGTCCCCTATTCCAACATCACATTATCATAATTTTCTGTTTCAGCTGTCCTCCAAATAGAAACAAAATCGGTTTTGGAAGAATGACGAAGGTCTCTGGGGTGATCCAGTCGAATGTGTTTCCCCTGTTCCGACTCTGGGGCTACACTGAAGTGGTGTTCAGTTGCACTCTTGTAGTACCCAGATTCAATCGATTTGAATATTATACACCAGTTAGTATTTGTTCTTTTTTTTACAGTTGTAGTAAAGTGTTCTTTTACTTCACAGACAGCAATATTCCAGCTCAGTCACCGAAGCTGGTAAATACCTTTATGCAAACCGGTGGATGAGGACCGTGAAAACAGCCACCAAGCTACACACCCAGAAACGTTAACCTCTGTGTTTTGAAAGACATTTAAAAGTTGGATGAACACGTTTTATGGATAACAACGTCTTTTGCATTCTTTACACGGCGTTCCAGAGCTAATTCTTGCTCCTTCATCACTCAGCATTCACCTGATGAAGGAGCAAGAATTAGCTCTGAAACGTCGTGTAAAGTTGTTACCCATAAAACGTGTCATGTATTCACGTCAGCCTGGTGATGGGGGAATATGCTCTATGTGTAGCCTGTTAGTGTGACGCCAACTCAAAACACTTTGTTTCCGTTAACTGAATATATGGTAAATATCATTGTGGTAGTATGTATGTACCCTCATTACAGAGATAGTGTGAGTGGTACACATTAACACAACTGCCTAGACCACACACATTTGACATTGTCAAATGTCACCGTTAAAGGTACAATACATCCAAGACATTGTGTTCATTTTTAAACGGAGAGGGTAGTGACTGTGTGCGTGTGCGTGTGTTTGTGTGTGTGTGCGCGCGCGCGCGCGTGTGTGTGTGAGAGAGAGAGAGAGCTCATTTAGGTTGTTACATTAAGTTTCATTACGGTTCACCTGTCGATGGAGAACATCCCGCTTGGTATCATCTGCCTTTGCATGGCGTGCAAAGACATTGCAGCCTCAGGATCGTATCGGGCTGTTCTAGTGTGTTTGTGCGTGCGTGTGTCCATGTGTGCCTGTGTATATGTAGTATTTAGTAGATAGGGTAGTGTCATACCAGGTCACATATTATTTACATAGTTATTTTATTTCACAGAATTGTTCCTGGTAGCACATATGCATTGCGGATGAAAGGTCAACTGCAAAGGTGAGTGTAGCATGAGAACCTACAAACCAATTATTACACACTTGAGGTAGGTAATATGTAAGCTGATGCTGATAATATCACGCTGTTACGAGTGTGGAAGGGTTTCTGTCATTCTGACAGTCATATACTGATGGTAATAATCACAAAACCCCAAAACACAGGAGGGATGTTTTAAGCAATATAAAGAAAGGAAGCTTCCGTAATGAGTTCCAGCAAGTTTGGCAGGCAGGAAGTCTTATCACCAGGGAATGGTGTACAGCATGGCACACTATACATAAAACATCACCTACAGTCAGACAAATATGAAATGACCGCTGCTGTGGAACTGAGGACAATCAGTGTTCGACGGGGCAAAGGCTGGTGAAGTCGAGATTCATTGAATAGTACTTATCACCTTTCATCACAACATTGGTATGTCTAAGGTGTCACAGAAGTGCTACCCAGGCAGGATCGCCATAGGAAGGAACGAAGCTCTACGAACTCTAAAATTCGGATGAAAGGCAGATGAGAAGTTTTGGTATCAAGTTTGGAATGTGACTGAAATTTTGGTTCGTCAGTGGGATTGAGAGACTAAACTTGAACCAACGAAATAGAAACAATCAACATCTCCTACACCTCAGAGGTTCCCGACTCCTCTTCCAACTGAGCAGTGTAGGGTTCTAAGATTAACTACTCCGCAATGCTTCAGAGACAACGACCAATTTCGAACACACGCACGCACACACACACACACACACACACACACACACTTAAATCCAAACTATCAATTTCCGCAACTAAGTCTACACATACGGGGACACATTTTTCAGACAGTGATCACTTACTTTCATAAATATGCCACTCAAAGAAGTTACTTACTTGAGGATTGGTTTAGGAAACTCAGAAGTAAAGTGCTTGATCAGAAGTAAAGTGCTTGATAACACATTTGAATGGACCAAATGCTTTGACAAAAATGATCTTAACATGGGTTTTCACCATTTCGTTACCCCATCGTTTGTATAGGAACTGCCGAACGCTTTGAACGGCCCTTGTAATAAAGCTATACTATGTGTAAATCAATTATTGTTATGAATGTGAGATTGTAAAAATGTGTAAACCAATATGAGATATAAGATGGGGGTTAGAAATATGTACATTATTTTACGTTTTTGTATTCTGTCATCATTTGTATTTATTGCAGATGAAAACATCCCATCAAAGGCAGCGAGTTCCGATGTCACTGTCAAGATGACACAGCAGAAATAAAAACGCCGCAAATTTCCCTTCACATCTTCATGACAAATAATGTTCACTTGGAATAAACAAAAGTGCCTCTGTACATGGAACGGTTCCTGTTGTCTCTACTTCAAGTTACTCTATGATATAGCAATATGATAATCGTATATTCTGGTCGGCACAACCTACACTGGTTTCTAACTATATACTATATACACGTACATCCAATTGTGTACAAAACAAATTGAGTTGTATCGCAGCTGTAACATTTGTGTACCGTTGCTTATAGCAGCTCAACACTGCTACTAAAACGTACCTTAACGGACATGATGACATCTTTCGGTCTTTCTAATGCCATCTTTGCCATGCTTGAGGTTTGGACTCAAAGGTCCATCTGTGGTACGACCCAGATTATGTAGAGGGCATCGTAGGAAATGACAATTACAAAATGTCTTTCAAATAGGCTCGTATAGAGCAACAGACGTATCCAAGACAACAAACCTGATCTTTCACTTTTTGATAGAAACACTGGGATTATTATTTATTTGACAGCAATGTGATTAAAGGCAAGAATTCATGGATGTCAACTTCTTTATTTTGATGGACAAGACGTTTCAGAGTGTATTCTTACTCTTTATGAGGTGAAAGAAAGACTAAGAAACAGACAGCTATATACTAGTATGTACATGTGAAACAACAACAGTGATAAGAAAACAAGGGAAGCCAGTAGTTAATTAGCACTAAACTGATAAGGTGGGTGGACAAGAGGAAGCCAGGCATGAATGATGAGGTAACAATGGTGGCTTTTAACAAGGGAAAGGAAAACAAATGGAAGCCAGAATTTAATCCACGCCTAATTAGTAATGTGGCTGACATGGCTGAAAAGCATGGCTAATATGAAGAACTCGCTTGAAACATTTTACGTTTGCATCCACGTACCAACTTGTCCGACTCTACATCATTCGTGGTGCCTTAGCGTTTTATGACCTCCTAAGCTCTTGACTGACATTAAGAGAGTATCCGGTGGTGCTACCAGGAACACAGCCCTTCTGATACTCTGGGTAACGCAGAAGGATGCAGTGTTTGGGATCCTTCACATTCTTGGTGGTTCCAACTTCTTGAGAGAGGTCGCATTCGTTGTCTGGCCAGCTTGTAAGTCTTACCAGTCTGACTGTGCCAGGATAATCTAACCCTTTCAGCTGCATTCATTAATTCGAATTTACAAATACAAGATAATAGTAGTAGAAGTTGTAGCAGTACATTTCTCACCATTGATGAGTGTGTAAGCTGCATCAAAAACTGGATGTCGTCACACTACCTCAAACTGAATGATGATAAAACTGAACTCATAGTTTTCCACCCTAAGTGTCTCCAACCCAGTATCTCTCTTCCTAAATTCGTCATCGGTCAGTGTGAGATTCAGACACACCATGAGGTGCGAAACTGGGGAGTTATTTTTGATTCCTCACTGTCCATGGAGCCACACATTAATAACATCTGTAGAAGGGCGTACTACCACATTCGCAACATCGGCATAATTCGACGATACAAGACTACAACATCTCTTATTCAGGCATGGGTAACATCTCGTCTTGACTGCTGTAATGCGCTTCTTGTGGGTCTCCCAAATTATCTTATACACAAGCTTCAGAAGGTGCAGAATACTGCAGCCAGAGTGGTCTCTCAGTCAAAGAAATCGGACCACATTACTCCCGTTCTTCACTCACTTCATTGGCTTCCCGTCCACTACCGCATAAAATATAAAACTCTACTCCTTGTTTTCAAAAGTATACATGGTCTAGCTTCGCAGTACCTCTGTGCTCTGTTCCACCGTTATACTCCTGTACGTTCCCTCCGATCAAATGACCAGTGTCTTTTGACAATTCCTGTGACTAGGACAAAAACATATGGTGACAGGTCACTCGAGACGACTGACCCTCATCTCTGGAACAATCTTCCATCTCACCTCAGATCACTAGCAGATTTAGCTGTTTTTAAATCAAATCTAAAGACTTGTCTCTTTGCTGAAGCACTTGAACTCTATGTGATATCAATACCATCTTAGAGCCAAAGCGCCTTTGAGCGGTTTACGGATATTGGCGCTATACAAGTATTTGTATGTATGTGTATATGGTAGTGTCTGAAGTAGCCGTTAGTGGTAGTCGATAATTTACAGTTATGCTGCACTTAGCAATATTCCAGGTATATGACAGCTGTTTATAAATAATCGAGTATGAACCGAACAATACAGTGATTGACGCCAGGAGCATCGATTTATGCAAAAGTAACGAGATGATCCATGAAAGGTTGGTGAGCCTGACTACTCAACGTCAGTTGTTTTCTCTTTCGGTAAATTCCCCCACAGGAGAGCCTATGTCATATTTCACCTAATCACAAAGAACACTGTAGCAAAACATAAAGAATACAATAAACTATGAATAGTAGAAAACCCATAAACATTTTGGGAACTTCATGAAAATTCATATTGTTGACTGAAAATACACTCATTCTTTCGTAACTGGGGTATAATGCGCTGTCTTTGGTGCAAAGTTATGACCGCGAAGCATTAGTGTGACTGCAAGGAGACGCATAGCCTTTTGTCGAAGCTGTTTGGTAGACAAGTCGTTAGTGTGAGGCCAAAATAGAAATAGACATCTAAACTTTGCATTAAGCATGAGGTAATTCCCTTCCTTTTGCCCTACTTAACTTGACAATGACAGCCAAATGCCTCCGTCATCAGATCATCTTGACAATTCCATATATACAAATGTCCCACAGCTGCACATGCCGGGTCTCTCCGACTCATTAAGAACCACGCAACCATGCAAGCAGTTGACGATGGAGTGAATGAGTGAGTGAGTGAGTTAAAATTTAACGTCACCTCGGCAATATTTCAGCCATATAGTGACGAGAAAGGTTGTACATGCACAATCAATATAAATTGTTATATTAAATAACCAGTCATCGACGGACTGTAAAATAACTAGAGCATCACAAAAAGAGTATATATATAGCATATATCTAGAAGTAGAAAACTATTTTAGGCAATACAATGTAAAAATGGGCTATTGATCGCCAACAACTGAAGGCAGATCACCCTACAAGGGACCATGGGGACTTACATTGCCTTTGCTACCTGCATGGATCCTATCTGGCTTTACACCATCCCTTCAGCTGCTGGCGATTGTAGGCAAATTTAGCCACAGATTAAAATGACAATAATACTACGAGTAAAACTTTGCAAGAATAAATTTTACTGCGAATGTTTTGGGACTTAAGTATTCTCTCAGGAGGACAACAATTTTACGGCACTGCAACCTTAGAGTCAATGAAGTGAATTGTTTTGGCTGAAGAAATCTTCTAAAATCCGGTGATTATATAGTTACCTGGCTTAAAGTAGACAGAACTAAGGGAACTGAGGTATGGCTTCCTCTTTCTATTAGCAAGGTTCCATTTCAGACATTCATAAATTCCCAGCACAGGTTTTGTCATGTCGTGTCCTCGTGTGGAGAGCCTGGAGCCCAAACGTTTGCACCGTGCACTTTTTGCGACTTAGGATAGGAGTATTCATTACAGAAGCAAATTGAACCAAGGCTGGGTCTGCTGCTTCTGAACGTTATCAATATTCTCAACATCATCAGTTGCTCTCGGCTTACTCAGATCAACACCTGACACCAACACGGACACAACGTGGCTAGTAAAAATCCAATTTTCATGGGGTCAGTTTGTAAATATATTACTCTCTCCGACTTGTTAAGTTAATACAGTTTTAAATCATGCAAGATTATGGCCTGATAACAATGTTCATCATATTAGCAGCTTCATGATGGAAGCAGTGCCATCCGACAATATCTTATTCTCATCTATTTTTGTAATATTTTGATTAGTTTATGCATTCAAATGTCGGGCTAGTGAATTATTTTGTGGGCTAGTAACTTTTAGGCATATCTAGCCCTACGAACGTGCAAACTTTGAAAACTATTTCGCACACTGCACGGGCACATCACAAAGGTTATCTACTTGTCGGTCACTCTGTCCCCCGGATGTCCATAACTGCAGGTGAGATAGGTACGTGCGGTATTTGTCTTGCAAGTACTTGCAACCATGGACCAACAGAGAAAGCTTGATCTATGAATACATTTCCATTTAGGTCCTCTTCTCGTTTCCACTATATTTTTCGACTGTGACGACATCAGTGTTGAGCCTCAAATATTTATGGATATTCACTTCATTAACTGCCTGGCAGTCTAACATGTTTCAAATAACTGATTATAGTTATTATATATTTACCATATTCACATCCGCCATTGACTGCTATTTACGTTGACTCAGTGGGCGTCCATGAAAACCATGAACTGCCCCCGGTTTATGTTAGCATTCGCTCCAACACTAAAGGGCATATGTCAGCACTGTGTTCAGAAGTTCCAACAGAAATGGATGTAGTTGTGTTGTTCACTTCGCTTGCCTTTCTTCCCATCGCTGCTGATGCTGGAAAATATCAAGGTAAGAATTATGAGGTTTTTTTCTACAAACTTTAATTCCACTGGTGACTTCAGTGTGTAATTGGAGAACTTTGAGAAATTTAGATATCGAGGTGAATATTTAACATTTGTGAATTATATCAGAAATCTTTCATCATACTTTTAATCATCAAATATTGATCAAACTTTTTTTTCTTCCATTTAGATTCATTGTTCATTGATATGCATTACTGATTTAAAATCTGAATTTTATAGATGACAACATTAGATTTTACAGTACATAATCTCCAACACAGCAGCCATTACGTTTCGTTTGACTCCATAGTACATACAGTACATGGGTCTTTGTTAATATTATTAAGCTGCCATGAAGGTTGGACACAGGCGAAAACAAACTGCTTCAAATTTGTCGGCAAAGGCGTTTATAGTTTTAACGCAGCTGCCACGTGTAGAAACCGCTATGCTGCTGATCTAGCAGTGATTGAGGACATGGAAGAGAACAGAGTCGTCCACGGTATGTTGAAGTATATACCTGTGACTATTAAATCTATGTTGGGTTTACAGCTGTGAATACAACATTAACTTTGTAATTTGTGCCATTCATTTTCCTTCTTTCTTGACAAAATTAAACGCAATCTATTTGGTGCTTATATATATTATATGTGAAGAGGCGCGTTTTGGGTGTAAAGGTTTTGTGGGCTAGTGAATTATAGATATCGATAAGAAACTATCCCCAAAACGAAATGCATAGGTGATATTGATATATGTAATTTCAAATACTTTTCAAAATTAGTGTTCTGTGGAATTGTGAACGTTGCCCATATAAGACCGTTTACGAGAAGCTGGGCTTCGAGCCAGAAGACCCTACTTTGGCCCTGTGTTGCGACGACTACATCGACGTCGACGGGTCCAGTGGTGCAATAACGTACGGTTCTGGAATCTACAACACCGGCGAAGTGTGTGGTTCAGTGACGAATAACGCCTTCTGCTGAAGTGCCGTGACGGAAGACTATGTGTCTATTGATGTCGAAATGAACTGTTTGCCTAGAATTGTGTTGCCCAGGTTGACCGATATGATACATGGAGCGCCATGATGTTGGAAGACATGTCCTATACGCAGTAATCAAACTTTGTGCGTTTTCAGGGCAATTTAGGTGCTTTTAGGTACAGCGACGAAATCTTAAGGATTCACTTGGTTCCGAGCGTGGAAGTACGTGACGTGAACGTCAACCGGGTCCTCAGACGTTGTGTCGCATGCACTGCAAGAGGAATGGGCAGGAATTCCACATGGTCCAATTCAAAGACTTACTCAGGCCATGCAGACACGGTGCGGAGCAGTTTTGGGGGCTCATGGTGGTCGTAACAGATATTGAAGACAACGCCAAACTGGGAAAGGACGCCTTCACATATTGAACTTTGTATAAGCTATACATGTTGGCAGACATTTGATCTTTTATACTATTATATGAATCCTTCCTTATGTCTGCATACATCTCTACCACGAATTATAATGAATATAATGAAACAAGAACAACAGTAAATGAAAACTCATTACTGTGATGGAAATAATTTTACATCAGAGACCTGGAAGTATTTACCAACAAGTATATACTGTTTCTGTAAAGTTATAAAACACCAAGCAGAAAAACTAGTGAAAGGGGTGGTATTTCCTAATGAGATCTGTCATGAAGGAAAACATGCACTCATTCTTGTTGTTCCAACGGAACATAAGTTCATCAAGATGTGCACTTTCAAGCTGCCCTTTGGATACACCATGCATGGATTTAAACTTTGATTTGGCGTTACCCCAAAACCCTTCAATGGTATTGGTGTGAGCCCCAGTATGAGGATCTACATAATTGTGTTTGTGGCAAACTGTTTGGTGCTCATAACCATTTCTCTTTAAGCAAAGATATGATTTGAATTCATCAGTTATGATCTGAGTGCCAACTTCAACATGGGCAAGTACTATGGGTAGTAATGTTTCAGTGGTTCTGTTCTCAACACTGAATAAAAGAACATTTTTAGTGTCTCTATCTATGAGACCAAAACCCAATAGGTAGGAATACCCTGACTTGAACCCATGTGGTAATTTCTCTTTCTACCCCATTTGCTTTCATCCATCTCCACAGTATGGCCACCCCACCCAAAGTAACTGGCTCATCTAATAATGCACGAGACATTAAGTCTCTGTATAAACTGTACCAATTGTACAATGATGTCTCACAAACATCAAGCATTTTGAGAGCCAAGTGGGCAGGTACATCAATACAAAACAGATACAATATCATGAGGAAAGTACCAAGACTAAGCCTCTGTCCTTGCCAGAAGCTACCTAATCTCACTGACTTTGTTTTTCTACATTTAGGACATCGCCAGTTATGGCCATCAGCGTTCTGTTTGTCTTTCTGCCCACAACATATTCACATTGCATATGCTACATATTTGTGAGGAAGCCAGTAATTTGTCCCTTTTCATATAGTCAAGTGTTTTCTCAGAGTCATTGCAAATTGAAGCTATATCTAACACTGTAACTTCCATTTTTGATTTAAACACACAATTACATCAGTGAATATCCTGTGAAATGCTTGAATGCCTCAACGGCCAGCCAGCATGTGTATTGCTTGGAATAAATTCCTGAAGATAAGATGGAACTGACCCACCAGTAAAGTCTCCCAACAAGGTAAGACCATCAAGTCTGCTGATCACCAGAATGTCAAATCCATTATGTCCTAATTACTGCAAATTTGTATCTGTTATAACAGCTTCCAAACATTTCATCAACTTTTCCAGGAAGGAAATGAAAAGTGAAATTGTCATATTCCAACTCAGAAATACTTGACCAGTTCTCACACAGGTTTTCAGCAATACTATCTTCTGTGAAACTTCCTATTTTGAGTTATATATGACTGTTTCTTTTTGGACCACCAATGTACAAGCTGAATTACTCTTCCTTCCTTAGCTGGTAGGTCTTTAGACACTGCTTTTAATTCATTCAGGATATGTTTGAAAAACATTATGTATGACACACACAGAAGCAGGCACCTAAGTCATCATAGTTCTCATGGAATCCAGAGACATATTTTGCAAGCAAGGATCTGACTGTAACTTCAATGCATGACCTGGGTGGGTATCTAAATGTCTGATGTATAAAAATTTCAAGTTCAGACTATTCATGTAAAAGACAGCATTCAAAACATTTCTTCTGTATCTTTTCCCATTGATGGTTCGTTTCTGTCTCAGTGTATATTTAAAATAACACAGCACATCAACTGAATGTTCTGGGAAAAGTGGTCTGAAACCTGTGTCATAAAATCTGTAATTTGCTTCATCCTCTTGATAATCTTCAATGTAATCACTTTTTTCTTGAGATGGCAGTCCACAAATTTTGCAAAATCTTTCTTTTTGACACACAATGGGATAACTTTGTTTGAGCCAAAATTCTTTAGGACACTGTAATAAACGTTTTTCACAATATTTCGTCACGCAACACTCACGGAATTCGCAGCTTGTATTTTCGACTATTTAGAGTTACTCCATCATCCACCGATAATAATGTATCGCCCAAAATAGCATTTTTCAATAAGTATGCTTAATGACAGTTGCCTCCTTCATATTTGTTATTCCGGGTCTCAGCTTGTTTTACTATTTACTCCATCACATGCATTGGCTTAATGACAGTTGCTATTTATATTTGTTATTCTCCTACCTAGCACATTCCAGTTATGTTTCACTATTATCAATTACCTGGTGTTGTTAATGTGCTGCTTGTCTTACTATGCATATATACGTCTCATCACCTGGCTGCTGCCACTTGCAGGTAGATAACGGTGTAACAATCTACATCGAAATGTCGTTCTGTGCAATGAACAAGAAGTTGTTTTCTATAAAGACGCCATGACATTCTTTAATCCAGGTTTGTGAAGTTACTTCAAGGATTATTGACTATCTTAAATTAGGAATTGGGAGTTTCTGTATTGAAAACTGCACATAAATGTAATACCTAAAGTTAATAATGTTTATTATATCAATTCAGTAAATAATCTCGATACATCAAACATAAAATCTGTTGCATGTATTTGCAAACTTTTACATTGGTAATATACACCAACAACAAACTGATTCTCGTCTACTTTAGTTTCAGTATAATTTTGCTAACTTTCGGAACCCACATCGTTGGCATTCTGGACTATGCGCAGTGATACGCAGTGATGGCTTTTAGGATCCTTCCTATTGCTCTAGGCACTATCCTTATGTATGTTCGAAAACACCAGGTAAGGACTTTCACACCTTTAAAGCCAGTAAATGGTTAACACCGTATATACATGGTTTTTATTGATGAAGACGAAGTCACTGCTATAGTTTGGATTACACTTTCTGGGTAAAGTACACAGTTAAGTACCATTTGGTGGGTCCCATCCGGGATCCCACAGTCTCACAGTTAGGTACGTAATCGCCAGCGATTTACCTTACTTGGATTCCACAAAATGGAATTCTGACCACTGGTAGACTAGAACATGTACTTTGTGTAAGGTGGCGGAAGCCACGGTGGCTGAGTTGGTTAGATCGCTAACTTCGCGTGCTACCAACTAGGTGCCTGGTTCGAATTCCCGATGGGAGGTCTACCCTAAAAGTACTACAATTATGTGTGATTTCCTTTACAGTCATTGGCGCAAAACAGAGACAAGATCCAGTTCAGTTTAGGTAAATGTGACGCTTTTATTTATTTTGATTAAACTTGTTGTGTTACACAGTGAGGTTCAGCTGAAATCAGGGCTTGTATTGGCTGTTGTGTCAGATCAGTAGGTACTCAAACATTAATGTTTGGCTTCCGTGAATACCTCGCTGGTTCTATCTGAAAACAAATTCACAAATTGACATACGCCATCAAATGATCGTTATGAAAAATGGTTTACATTCTCATCGCTGATAACTAGTATGTGTAAATACGCCTACATAATACATAATACATTAATAATGACTGACATACATTCTCGCCATACACTAACCTTGTATATTACCCATCATGCTGTGCGTCCATTCGAGAATGCCTCACCCTCTGAACGGACAATACTGTGAAAGAAAATAATCATTTTATGTAAAAAAGCGTTTATCAATCACCCGTGAAGATCCGGGTTAGAACTGGTCTTCAGCAATCCATGCTTGTCGTAAGAGGCGTTTTAACAAGAAATAAACAAAGCTTGTACACCTACCCTGGAACAGCTCTGAAACTAGACGAGGGTACAAGTGTACAGCTGAACACCACTTCTGTGTAGCCAGGCAGATAAAACATGGGAAATGTCCTCGACTGGATCACACGAGAGATACTCTTCATTGTCCCAAAGCCAATGTCTTCCCACATGTTGTAGACGAATACAGTTATATTCTGTTGTTATATACACAACTGATATACACGATTGATAGTACAGTGTTACACACACACGCGCGCGCTCACACGCACGCACGCACACTCACACACATTGATTTGAAGGTACAGTATACCCTGGTTATAATGCCACCGTTTGTCCAGGAGAAAACATGACATTATATCCAGGTTGGCATAATAGGCAGGTAGGACAGCTAGAGGCCCTATGCAATCAACAAGGTGATTGAGCTGATGTCTCATGTAATTAACATTAAATGACTGGATAATTCCAGCATCTAGGGACTGCAGGTGACTTGTTGTAGGTGGCAGGAAGTGTATTGTCACATGTGTTATCCAATCAGGGATTACAAGACTACTTAAAACATTAAAGAGTTTGGTCAATTAATTTGAGTTATGTCAATTAACCAATTAAGGTATGTATTCTACATGCAGCCAGTGTAATTGGCATTATAACCAGGGGAAAATGACTTTGAATAACTTTTGTTCCCAAAACCTTTGGCGAATGGCATTATATCCAGTTTGGCATTATAACCAGGGTATTATATAGGCAGGAATTCCGTTCTGGCAAAACATGGCATTACATCCAGGGGCATTATAACCAGGGTGCACTGTATGTGTTTTACACTACGTTCTTACTGTTTCTACAGGACAATCCGATTCCCAAACTCCCGACACGTTTCGAATCTGTACATATAAAGCAAGAGAGTTAAACTTTCTTTTGTCACATCTGGGACTGATCTCCCCTTCAGTGTTCACGGCTCCGTAGTTCGTGAAAGGGATGCTTTTCTGGTCCAAGGTAAGGTTCAAAGAATAGCCTTCCCGTTCTTTCATACAGTAGAAGGACACTGCAACCACACAATGAAAACATGCAATGTAATACCTCACCATGACAAATCAGGATATCAGAGTACTTTTATGAGTGAGTGAGTGATTTCGGTTTGTCGTCTCTGTTACATTACCGCGTGTCTGTTTATTATGGGAGGAAAGCCCGAGATAAAGCAAGTTTGAGCGAGTTGCTACTTTGGTGGAAACCACCAGTACGGACGTGGTGCTCACAGAGCTAAAAATCTAATCGAGGCAAAAAGTGAGTGAGTGAGTTAGTTTTACGCCGCACTCAGTAATAGTACAGCTATATGGCGGCGATCTGTAATAATCGAGCAGACATTCCAGTGATCAACAGCATGAGCATCGATCTGCGCTATAGGGAACCGATGACATATGTCAACAAGGTCAGCGAGTCTGACCACCCGATCCCGTTAGGTGCCTCTTACGACAAGCATGGGTTACTGAAGATCAATTCTAACCCGGATCTCCACGGGTCTTCTAGGCAAAGATGGGCTCCAGTCGCCGATCATAGGTTTCAGGTTTAGGAGAACTAGACCACACGTGCCCCAGTCGTGGACTTTATGATGACTTATTTGCCAGTAAATTATTATTCAGGTATATTTACATTATCAGTAACTATATTTCAAGTTTCAAGCAGATCATGTGGAACACTTTAATTCGAAATGTTAACCCTTAAAATCTGTTTTCTCTTGTCATGATTCCACTGTGCATATGCATCCTGTTATGTTCATGTTTGAGCATGCAAAGTTATTCGTCTCGAATGTATCTTTATAAACATATTCACTAATTACTGTAGAAAAGAACTTGCCATGAAAAGATCGTATTAAACCAAGAGAATAAATAAAAATGACTTGGAGAAAACAACATATTCTTACCTTCAGGTTTGTCTGTGTCTGGAAAAGAAACGTAAGTCTCGGTATAAATCTTTACCATATTTTGGAGCATCATGCACAATTTCTTTATGTATGTATTTAAAATCCAATGAACACTGTCATTTGTATATCTCACAATTGATCTGGATGTCCGTTTTATCTTTGTGTTTTGTGTTCGTCCAACCCAGTCCTTGACCAGGGACACGGCTGAAGGTTGTACACATGTATAATCTCCGGGGCTTTATACCTTCAATTACTGAACAGTTGTCAAATGTCTGAACTACGAGACACCTAAACATAACATAAACCTATCTAATGCTTTGTAAAACAAATCTATTTCTCAAACGTTTCCCCCCTAACATATGAACTTCGGAAGCTTTGTATGTCTACACAACTGTCGTAATTTACAACCATCTGACTGGTACTTCCGGGTCATCAATCACTTGATTGTCCGGTTTGTTGACAGACCACCGTGGTATGGCAGGAGTATTGCTGTGTGGTGTTAGGGAAAACATTCGTTTTAAGAACACCTGGTATCATCACTGACTATCGGGTTCCATTCCTATTGTTTTCAGAACTTTTTTCCCTTTAAACCAAACGGAATTTGTTTCGAATGAGAATGGGTATCTGTTTTCTCTGACTTTCTTTATCACAGAATCAATCAATAGTTCAACAAACGTAAATGTTGTTAAATAAGTAATAAACAGGTAAGAAAGGTAGTATTTACTACTCACGTCTATCACACCATTGTCCGGTCCATCCCAGCTCACACCCATACGGACAAGCGTCAGTTCCATTACAGACGTAGCCCCGGTAGCAGTGACACTGGCGGTCACACTCGTCTCCAGTCCAGCCTGGTTCACAGCCTGAAATATACAGCTAATGCACTTTAACGTTTGCTTGTTCTTTACTGCTGAATCCAACTCTATAAGACGGCAGTTTGTAAATAATCAAGACAATCAAGTTATTGACATCTTGTGTATAGCTCTGCCCAACTGGAATACAATACAGAGGACTGAGGCCTGGAGCCAGAAAGCCGCTTCTTACAACGAGCAATTGGTTGGTTGGTTGGTAAAGCCATAGTCTTAACCTGATTTACAAGAAGTACACATTAATGAGTAAGTGGGTGAGTGGGTGAGTTTTGCTGCACTCAGCAATATTCCAGCTGTATGGCGGCGGTCTGTAAATAATCGAGTCTGGACAAGACAATCCATTGATCAACAGCATGAGCAGCGATCTCCGCAACTGGGAATCGATCACATGCGTCAACCAAGTCAGCAAGCCTGACCAGCCGATCCCGTTAGTCGCCTCTTAGGACAAGCATGGGTTACTGAAGATCAATATTCTAACCCGGACCTTCACGGGTAACACATTAAAGACATGAAGGATTTATTGAACATACATGAAATGAACAAAATATTTGACGCTAACGTAAAATACGGTAAGCAAGTAAAACCTATATATTTTCTTGTTACTAAATCTTTGTAAACCCTGTCATCGAATTCTGCACAGAGTACAGTCGAATTGTATGCTTCCTCCGGTCTCCACATGTAGTACAGAGTATCTGTATACCCTGGATTTGGGCGGCACCTCCAGGACAGAGTTCGTGTAAACTCTTCCTCCGGTCTCCACATCTAGTACAAAGTATCTGTACATCTTACCTCCGGTATCTTGTATGTACTTTTGTATATCACTACGATGTGATGCGATTAGCACCTGTTGTGCACTCTCTCGGCATAGCATGCCGTGTATCACTTACAGGTCGGCTAATTACCAGGATTAAACTTTTTTTATGAGTGAACGTTTCATGGATCCTCCAGTATTATGGATCCACCTGTATTATGGATCCATACTATAATTTTCAACGAAAGCCTCACAGTATGACAAAGACTGCATCAAACGCTTGCTGATATTTGCAACAACTCACTCCCCTAGTGGGCATGTGGCTATATTAACCATTCATTGACCTTGAGTAGTTGGCAGCAGTGCCGACTGGCATACTTGTTAAGATACGTGCGCCTGATACGTGGTAGTATATTGTTGAACATATCTTACCAGATTTCTTGAAACACACATAGCGGCTGTCATAAAACAATATGCCCGTTGCCAGTCGCCAGTACTGAGTATCCTCACGCAGTCTCCGGAAGTCCGACGACCAGAAGCCATGTTTGTATAATTGTACTGAAACAGAAACAGGTGATTATAAGTTTGTGTGTGCATTGCTGTCTTTATAATATAATACACTCCAAATTAAGTCGTAATTCAATCACATCTCCAAATTCCAAGTTAGAGGGATAGGGAAGGACTCGATGGGACCAAGGAAGGTGATGGCACTTCGAGGGTTAAATAACCCTAAAACACTATCAACAATCATTGTGCAGTCAAACATTGAAGACTGGTTTGAGTAGTTTTGATTGCTGAATTTGTCTGCTGGAGAGTGTTGACCAAAATCTAATAGAATTTGCATTTTACAAAGAAAGTGTGGTCTCAAATGTGACATTTGTTACAGTCAAATACGCATGTTCGCGAGAAGCTACTGTCAGTGCTCATTTAATAGTGAGTGAGTTTAGTTTTACGCCGCACCCAGCTATATTACAGCTATATGGCGGCGGTCTGTAAATAATCGAGTCTGGACCAGACAATCCAGTGATCATTACTGGTCAACAGCATGAGCATCGATCTACGCAATTGGGATACGATGACATGTGTCAACCAAGTCAGCAAGCCTGATCACCCGATTCCGTTAGTCGTCTCTTACGACAAGCATGGGTTACTGAAGATCAATATTCTAACCCGGATCTTCACGGGTAGCGATCAGTTAATAAAAGAAAAAGTTCCGCTTAAGTTGCGTAATTATTATCTAAATTGCATTTTTATGTCTATGATGGTGTTATTTTAAAATTCATCTAAAACACAGAAATAAAATCCAACCCATTGTGGTGCTATTTCTTTCCTTAAGTTCTTACATTATACCAGTGATATTCAAATTCATATCAAACTAGCACTTTACTTCGATATCTTTGGTGATTGGTGACAATCATTTCTTTTTACCTCATATTCGTCGTCCCATCTATAATTTCCATATTTGCGACGTAGCCCGATCCATGCACTCGACTGACCACCGAGAAGATCTAGAAATGGTTTCGTTCATGCATGAGAGACATCTTTGAACAAACTAGGAACATTTTCATGTGAGATATATTTGTTTACCTTGAGAGTAATTATGATCACATGGGACATTTTCGTTGAACTTTGCAAACAAATTGTATATCTGATATATACAACTGAAATACATATTAAATGTTTTCACTGCACATGCCTTACCCAAACTCCAGTATCGATTATGTACCCGGATAACCAGTATCAGCTAGTATCAATGCATCTAAAACAATTTATACATACCTTGAACTACTTTATTCTCCGCTTCGTTTTCAATCACTGCTAGAGAGGCAGAATAATAATGTTTGCACCTCCAGTGCGCATCACTTCTCTCAAATCTTTTGTTCTCAAGCTTGAAGCACTTTGAACCCCACCTTGTCCAGCCTTCGGGGCAGTCTGATATATGAGAACAACTACTGAGAATACATATACCAACCCCCAAAACAAATTCCACAACAGGGTTGATGATGACATGAATGGATCACTGGAATCAGTAATGATACCACGTGTTCGCGAAAAGGGTAAGCATGTCCTGCAGAGCAAGCTACTCAGACAATCTGCACCAGAACAAATCTGTTACCTGACGAGGTAACCTGATCCAATGGTGTAAGGATGCTGCATAGAAAAAAATATGCAGTGCAAAATATTATGTTGTCAGCAATATATTCAATAATTAAATAGATAATGTTTGGACAATTTCATTTTTTAAAGGAGGTCACAAGGTCCAATATCGAACGGATGCAGTTCACATAAATATACATTGTGAAAGATGTGGTCATGGATGAATTCATTTCTTTCATATGGATGATGACGAACAAATTCAACGTTAAAAGTGGTAGAAAAGTCACTGATAAATTGTTGGTGACTGAAAATAAAATAAATGAATAAATACCTAAATGAATAATCGCAGCCAAATATCCCCTTATTCATACCTTGGTATCTCCCACCGTCAGCCGCGTTGGGAAGAAAGACAAGCAAAGTAATCAACAGAACAACACCCATTTCTGTTGAAGTGTACGAACACACTGTTGCAGTGTTGAACAACCTTCTGTGGTATGCTGGGGAGACGGACTAATTGTCATTAACTTGAAGCAAATAATAGCTTTCACGGACGCCTACTGTTAAGCTTACATACCAATAAGTCAGGATTAATACGAATGCTATTATGTCGGAATTGGACACATTAAACATAATTAGTGTTATCATAATCATGTATTTAAACATTCCATTAATATCAACGAGTATGTATGTTTAGCGCTAATGACCACAATGCGTTAACATTATAGACTCGATTATCTCCAGACCACCGCCATGTAGCTTGAATATTGCGTTTGGCGTTAAACAATAAACAAGCAATGAAAGGTATTCCAGGTATACATTAGTGGGTTCTACCATTACTTGACTTCTTTGATGGGCATTTTAGAAGTTGAGTTGATGAAGAATTGATGGCAATATTTATGGATATACAACTTGGATTCTAATGTCGTCAAATCACTTGTTTGACAACGACATTAGAATCTATGTCGAAACGTCGCCTTTCTCAGAATAAAAGAAGTTGTATATCCATACAAATTGTCATCATTCTATACCATTACTTATTTGAACACATCAAACAAGTGTCATTATAATCAGGTCTTTAAGGCAATTTGAAACTTCAAGATGTTAATATCCGTGAATATATGAGTTTCACCATCAATGTCTACCTGTATGTTATACATGCAAATATCGCGAAGAGAAAGAACGGAAGAACGAACATATCAAGCTTATCAATGTCTCATGTGACCTGGTAAATGTTATTTCCAGGGATAGTGTAACACGTTTTTGAGTTGCACCATGTACATGTGAACCTAGTGTTCAAAGTTATTTTCTATGGTACACGTGGAGCTACTTGTTGCATTCTTGCCTGGTCTGGATGATGTTCCGGATAAGTGCGCAACGAGATGGAGGATCATAAAATATATATTACATTATTTTAAAAGACGAGGATTAATTGTAACCTTTCTCACAACCTGTCCTACCTACTGACAGATGGTAAATTGTATCGATATCTTTCTTATTTTCAAATGTAACCGCTTCAGCTGCTGCCACCACAAACACCAACACCACCACCACTGCTTCGACGACTGTTTCCTCCACAACAATGTGTACAATGTCTACCATTACCACAGCTGATGATACTGCCTCTATTACTACTGACACTGACAAAACCTTAACTAAATATGTGATGTGAGAAGGTTGATTTTCAGGTTGACCATATTTTTGGACTAATGGCCCTATAGTCTTGTGCCCCTCTTCAGGTTGAATTGTACCTAAATACAAATGCTTCGAACTTAAATCATTAAGTAAGTTCCAGACCTCTTATTTCTTGGCACTGCCGTGATAAAGATGGATCTTCATTCCACCTGTCGGCCGGAGTCTATCAGGGATATAACAGATACACCATATCAAATGTAGAAATTCAGAATTCACAGTCTGCTATGGTGCAGGGCAAGAGTTATGATTTCGATTTTCCCATTGTGAATTTCCTCTTCCTCAAAAGGGAATTGCATCAGTGATCAGTTATGCCACGATGCGTCAAATTTGGAAATGTCCTTCGTTTTGAACAATTTGAAAGTTTTACTGGGACTCTGAGTATTGTTAGCTTGATCAAACAACTTCTGAGTCAATATAGTATGACTCTTTTTGAAATCGTGAGAGAAGGTGAATGCTCGATTGGCACTCACAAGTATTAAACCGTAAACATCATAGACGGAATTTTGTCTGACATGAAAGGAAAGCTGACTAATGGAAACTTGCAGCCATAGATCTAAGACTGAAACAGATGAGGTGTTCTAAGCATCTCTTTGTCTCCAGTTTGGGTGGGTAAATCGGGGGAAGTGAAATGGCTAGTTGTTGGTTACTGAATGATGTCAGGTCATTGGTAAAACCAGAACCTCAAGTTCCTCGCCAAATGACCAATGTTTGAATTACGGGTTCAGTCACAAGTGTGTTTGCCATATGTATTTCAAACATACTCCTACTGAACATCACCTCGTCAGAGCAGAACTGCAACTCAACAAAATTGGATTACAGCAGCATCACTTTCTCTGCCAACATGAAACAGGTTCCTGAACGGAAATGCACGTGTGCCAGTCCATGATCACATCAGATCACATGATACAGCACATGCACACGTAAAATGTTCATACCTCATGGGAGAAGGAGTCACAACTGATGCATAAAGAACTGTTTGTTGGGCTGAATTTCCGGGGAAGGTTTAGTTCTACCGTCTACATGTAGAACATGTGACCTCGTGAGTGTTATTTCCAGGTATAGTGTTTTGACGTGCACCATGTACATGTGGAACCTAGTGTTCAAAGTTATTCCCTAGTTTACACGTGGAGCTACTTGTTGCATTCTGGCCTGGTCTTGATGATGTTCCGGATTAAGTATGCACCGAGATGGAGGATCATAAAATATATATTACATTATTTTAAAATAGAAAGCAGGACGAGGATTACACGTAACCTTCCTCACAACCTGTCCTACCTACTGACATATGGTGAATTGATATCCTTTTTATTATCAAATGTAACTGTTTCAACTGCTAGCAACACCAACACCAACACCACGACCACTGCTTCGACGACTGTTTCATCCCCTGCCACGTGTACAATGTCTACTAGTACCACAGCTGATGATGCTGCCTCTATTACTAATGACACTGACAAAAGCTTAACCAAATATGTGATGTGAGAAGGTGGATTTTCAGGTTGACCATATTTTACACTAATGGCCCTGTTGTCTTTGTGTCCCTCTTCAGGTTGAACTGTTCCTAAATACAAATGCTTCGAACGTAAATCATTATGTAAGTTCCAGACCTCTCATTTCTTGGCACTGCCATGATAAAGATGGATCTTCATTCCACCTATCGGCCTGAGTCTATCAGGGATATAACAGATACACCATATCAAATGTAGAAATTCAGAATTGAAAGTCTGCCGTGGTGCAGGGCAAGAGTTATGATTTCGATTTCCCATTGTTAATTTCCTCTTCCTCCAAAAAGGAATTGCATCCATGATCAGTTATGCCATGATGCGTCAAATTTGGAAATGTCCTTCGTTTTGAACAATTTGAAAGTTTTACTGGGACTTTCAGTATTGTTAGCTTGATCAAACAACTTCTGAGTAAATATAGTATGACTCTTTTTGAAATCGCGAAAGAAGGTGAATGCTCGATTGGCACTCAAAAGTATTAAAATGTAAACATCAAAGACGGAATTTTGTCTGACATGAAGGGAAAGTTGACTATTGGAAACTTGCAGCCATAGATCTAAGACTGAAACAGATGAAGTGTTCTAAGCATCTCTTTGTCTCCAGTTCGGGTGGGTAAATCGGGGGAAGTGAAATGGCTAGTTGTTGGTTACTGAATGATGTCAGGTCATTGGTAAAACCAGAACCTCAAGATCCTCGCCAAATGACCAATGTTTGAATTCGCTAATCCGAGCAGAAATGCAATTGTTATTGCAGGATGTCCGTTGCAACAAAGCTCAATGTCGCCTGATTTTCCCATGTATATGATAAGGAGAGTCTTTGTTGTGTTGTTTTAATATGGATTCTGACTGACAATTCCTGCAATGTTGAAACACAGTTCTGCAACTCCGACGAGAGCGGCCGGCAAACAGACATAACATGACTCTTTTTGACTGAGAGAAGGTGATACTGGTGTTTAATTAGAGCATAGAGGTTTGGTTATCAACGCTGTGAGTGGCCAACAGATTGCAGGGTTTGGAATGGCTGCTGTCTCAGAGTTGTGGACTGGCTTGTGTGAAGAGTTCACTGTTATGACCTGAAATAAATTCACAAAATGACAGAAACAAATAAACATCATGGATAACGGTTTATATCTGTTTACTGATCCAGTTTATAATGACGATTTGTTTAAATATTTACTACTGCCTGATATTATGACTGGCATACATGTTCTTATCTTACACTTACCTTCCATATGATCGTTCTTGTACTTTGTCCATTCGAAGCCTCATCCACGAGAGCTACAATCCTGTTGAAACAACACACCATGTCTACAAAACATGCTTCTATTTGTAAAAACAACAAACTGATTGTTAAAAATATTGAACAATTTGTATCCATTGACCCTAACTTATCATTGACCTGAATGCACAGAGAGAACGCTTTGTGTGCTCTGCATTACATAGTGATATGATATTATCGCTACTCATGATATGAAAGTATAGCTGCCTTAGATTAAACCTCTGTAGTTGGTTCCTCTGGCTTTTCTCAAATGATGTAAAATTAAACGTCTTGCATCTCCAAAGGAGAAGTACATCAAATAAGGCGTACGAGTATTATAGAAATATATTGTGTGTGTCCGTGCGCGCGCGTGTGTGTGAGATTCACTGATACATGATTCAGTGTATGACATCATGATTCAGTCTATGGCATAGTGATTTGATTCAGTGTTTGAGATCATAATGTGTTATGATCCTGATACAACTCCTGTTATGATCTGATATGAATCAAAGTCTGCAATTCTGATATCAATATGATATCATTCAATGCATGACATACTGATATCGCACGATATTAATATGTGATTCACTCTATTTGACCCTGGTATCATAATAAATCATTACATGGAACTCTGATATGATTCTTAAAATGCACGCTCATTTGATTTTGTGTCTGTCATCCAAATATTATTCATTGTATGGTGCCCTGATATATTTTCTCTGCATGACATTATGAAATGATTCTTTGTACATTTGTACATAATTATACATCCCAGTATAATATACTGCATGGGATCCTCAACTGAGGAAGTTGATGACCTTCTGATACAAAGCATTTTATGCCGCATAATCCAATGTATGACAACCACGTCCGTACAACTTTATGACTCATGGTATGACGTGATTCGCTGTATGACATCCTGATATTATTTCCCGTGTGGCATCGTGATGTCATTCATTACAAAAATGCTCATGATTATTTTGATACAAAACATCATATGACGTACAATTCACTTTTTGAGACTCTGATGATTCACTGTGTGACCTAATTATTCGTATATGATTGATTAAATGTGATCCTGGCAGAATATTCTGTGTTTGATATGATTCACTTAGATGATTGACGACATTATCAAATGATTGACTGACAAATGATTGTTGTGTTTAACTGTACGGCCTTCTGATATAATTTGATTTCCAAATCACAATAAGACGACAAGCTTTCTGCAGACATTTTCAGGAGGTTCGACTGCTTCTCCTAGATTTCATCCACCTAAATGACCTGAATGTTTCATATGTTTATAGAATTGTGCATCCTCGCCTCGTCCTTTGTTACAACTACGTGAACTGGGCAATGGTCAACACTGCTTTGACACCAGGTGAGTTAAAATAAGTGGGATTTGGTGGGCTTTAAAAACGGGTGGATTTGAACCATGAGAACAGTTGTTATATACATTTTGTTCAAAATACAGTTTTGCATGTTCATGGTGTGTATCCAACACCACAGACTGATCATGAGACTGAAAAATACAGACTGACTGGCTGACCATATGTGGAGGATGGTTGCTCATATTTTACAGCAACTAGTGCCAGGTCAAGATGATTTCATGCAGTCCACAGTGATATAACTGGGTTACTTTGTAGCATAAAACGATATTGACTCTCACTCTGCTTTACGTGTCTACCAACCTGTGTCTCGTATCTGAATGTTGTACGAGGGTACAAGATTACAAGAGAACACCACTTCTGTGTAGCCTGGCAGCTGAAACAGTGGGAATACCTCCGACTGGACCACACCAGAGACTTTGTCCATTATTCCGAAGCCGATGTCTTCCCTCAGAGAACATCTGGAGGAGGTAATAAAAACAGAAGTAGATGTAAACCCCGAACCCATGCGACGTCATCTTCGTTACACACTGTGGTTCCCCACAGTCACATTTACATTTTCACATTACATTACATATATGAACAGCTCAACGTATATGAGAAAGAAAGAAAAATAACTCAAATCTTCACCTCTCAAAGACGTATATGAAAAGAGAAGAGCTGTTTTCAAAGACGTAATATTATTCAGCTCTGAAAGACATATGACCAGTATTCTAAAGCAGAAAAAATTAATCTTCAGCTCTCAAAGATCTGTTTGTTTTCAGTAATATCATTTAGATACATCAATATTCTAAGCACGATAAATTAATCACTGGTGTAGATCTGTCCTTGTTGAACAATTTTAACAGGGCACCGTGAGAAGCAGCCTTGTGGCTCAAATTGAATTATGTAAAATTTGGGTTCAGGTTGAATCTGTAGTACGAGCCTCAACATTGTAACAGGAAATACGTGTCTTTAAACAGTTACCAAAGTCTATTCCTTACATTGTTTCCTAAATACAACCGAAGACATAGAACTTAATCACGATCAGTCGATTGCTGCTGGTAGGAAAGCATCATATGTGTAATTGTAAACTTGTAATATACAATGGCCAAACGCATCTTTTTGTCATGAATCTTACAGATAGTACTGGGACCTTTAATTTGACAAAATGAATGATTAATTTTGATGACTTTGTAAAACAGTATCATATTCGGAGACAACGGAGACAAACGTCAAAGATTTCTTACACATTGAATTCACATAGATTGAAAACATAATAGTTGAAGATCACTATACATGGAATAGACCTGATTCTTGTTTTTTCTTCAAATACAAATTACAGTAGTGAGTGAGTTTAGTTTTACGTCGTACACATCAATATTCCAGCTCTATGGTGGCGAGCAGTAAATAATAGAGTGTGGACCAGACAATCAAGTGATCAACAGCATGAGCATCTATCTACGCAACTGGGATACGATTATATGTGTCAACCAAGTCAGCGCGCCTGCCGTAGTGACCACCCGATCCCGTTAATAGCCTCTTACGACAACCATGGACTACTGAAGATCAATTCTAACCCCGATCTTCACGGGCCAAATTACAATTGTGCTGATATCAGTAAAGTTTGGTTACATCTTGAGAAAATCATTCATGCCAAGTTTTCCTGTTCCTTTCTGTAGAGAGCAACAAAGAATATATGTTTACCCACTTGGTTCCAAATAGTGTTCTATATCCATCTCATGACAATGTATTGTCTTTACATTACTTAAAGAATGTTCAGCAAGGCCTCACTGCCTACCTACCCTAAGTCGTCAGTCAGTCGTACAGTAACGTTTCCATCTGGAGATGCAGCTTGACAGTTCCTGGGGTAAAACAACGGATTGACGACGTCATTCCCTGAAACAAGAAGATGGACAAGTTCATTGAAGGAATTATGTGTTTTTTCCAAACCTTCTGAACCTGTCCTGCCTTTGGAAACTCTCCCCCTGATTTCAGTTTGTACCTCCATACCAGGTTAAATACCACATCCAAATTGCAACAAGTTACGGGCGCAGGTTTGCTGACAGTTCCAAAGGTCGTCTTATCATGTGACTACATTTATTGGTCATTATCAGTATCTCTAATTGACTAGTTCCTCCTGGTGACTATTATCCTAAAACAGTAAGCTTTAACACATCACCCGGGCAGTGAAACGTGTTTAGCCTGAGAATAACAACATGCTTGATTTCTTCAAACCTTCTGGAAGCTTGACCACCAGTCTGACTGGAACACCAAGGCTGACATTTGTGACCGGTTCCAGACTGCGAGGATTAGCAAGGTATGTCCGAACGTTGACCCTAGTCTGGGTGGCAGACGTTAAGGACCTCACTCGTATACTGAAACAAGCAAAAATTAGTGCAAGTTTCCAACACATTACAGTATTTCTTAAACCTAAGTTCTTGTTTCAATTCGCGCGATTTTGTTTTTAGTATCCATCCAATCTTGGAGTAGCCAACGTCCGTCTTATTCGTTTTTGGCACATTATAAGATTGAAGCATTTCAGCCACTCACTTAATTACGTGGAAGATAACTGTACATCATTTATTACATTTTCTGTCAGAATTGGGCGGCTACACAAAATACATACTTCTCTATCGGGAGTCTGCCAGTGTCATCGTATGCAGCATCAGCTTCGGACAGATCACAGTGGACTTGGAGGTCCTCATCTTCAAACGATACCACGTCTTTCTTCTTCTGAAGCCTGAATGTCCATTTCAGGACCCCCTGACTGATCTGTGTTATATGAACGTCCATTTCAGGACCCCCTGACTGATCTGTGTTATATGAACGTCCATTTCAGGACCCCCTGACTGATCTATGTTATATGAACGTCCATTTCAGGACCCCTTACTCATCTGTGTTATATGAAACGGGAAAAAAATGTTTTAGAAAAAACCAACAGATATCGTAAGATTTTGATGTTGCCATTTAACCTATTGTTTGTCATTGCTCAGCCAAATAATATAACATTTGTATTTTCATGCGGCAAATAACATGGTCACCTCAATGTGGGAAAACATAGAAAGGGACAAGGTTCGGCTAGTCCACTTGGGGAAACATAGAGCATATACCGACATTATGGCCGTATCTTGTTCTCGGGCTAACAGTACAGTGAAGTTTAGAAATTGATTCATCTGACAAATCGATATGTTGTTCGTATCTACTGATATACAACATTTATACTTAGCTTCCTGTACATGTTCTATGTGCAAACACGTACACTTACAATCTGAGGACTCGGATATATCCTACATTCTTACCGTTTCTGTGGGACAATCCGATTCCAAAACTCCCGATGTGTTTTGAATCTGAACTTTTAAACGCGATTCCCCATTGAGCCAGACAAATGTTTTCTTGTCACACTTTGGGCTGATCTCCCCTTCAGCGTTCACGGCTCCGATATTCGTGAAGTGAACGCCTTTCGTGTCGAAGGAAACAACCAGAGAGTAGCCTTCTCTTTCTTTCATGCAGTAGAAGGACACTGGAATCATGTGATGTAAACATATTGTGTATACTCCCCGTCTACAAGGCATAACCATCCTATAAATCACCATGAATATCATATGACACTGAGTCTGAGGACTTTGAGTGAGTGAGTGAGTGAGTGAGTGAGTGAGTGAACTGGGTTTAGCATCGATATGAACAGTATTCCAGTTTATCAAGGGTGTCAGCTGAATACCTCGTGGTAACCTACGCCTCACGATTTAGGGGGAGGTGGAGTAGCCAAGTTCGCTTGTCACGGGTTCGATTCCCCACATGGGTACAATGTGTGAAGCTCTTTTTCGTTGTCCACCGCCGTGATATTGCTGGAATATTGCTAAAAGCGGCGTAAAACTAAACTCACTCACTAATTCAGATTATACCGTTTTAGTGAAACCATCTAGCACGGAAACGAAGAATTGCGGCACTTTGGCCCGGCCGTGAGCCAAGGTGTGTCATAAGATAATCAGGGCATTATGGTATATATACTGATGCCATCACCCATGCGTAGGTCGATGATCATGATGTTCAGATAAGATAAGATAAGATAAGACATAACGTTATTATCCCGGAGGAATTTTTTTTTGTATCAAAAACGGCCTCGAATTGAATATATACAAAATATACAAATACATACACAATAATTACATGCACAAAATGATGATTCCATACTGCTGATGATTCCATACAATTAACCACAAATTAAAGATGCCGAGTTAGTAGTTATCGCATGCATGATGGCTAAAAAAACATTTGCTGCATTAATAACACGAATACTAGATGGTATCAAAAGCGGCGTCAAGATGGAAGTAGTTTAAAATGGTGAGATAAAATATGGGAACTATCAAGTTTAATTTTAGCTACCTTTCTGACAATCTGGCGCTCATAAATATAGGGAATATACTCGAAAGACTCTCCAGTAATTTTGCTGGCAGTAGTAACAATTTTGAAAAGTTTGTTTTTGTTGCGAGCAGACAGACCCCCATACCAACATATAAAGTTGTAGGTCACCACACTTTGAATAAAGGTTTGATAAAAACGATCATTATGGTTTTGTCAGTAGAAAAGTTCCTTAAGCGGCGAAGAAACTAAAGTCGCTGTTGGCCATTTTTGTAAGTGTGATCGATGTGTTTTGAAAACGAACATTTTGAATCTAAAATAACACCGAGATATTTGTAACGGTCCACTCCACTCCACTCTGCATTATCAATTATAGAGGATATAGAGGTTCCTTATTTCTCTGAAAATGAACCACCATTTCCTTTGTTTTCTTTACTTTCAGAAAAAGAAAAGTGTCTTTACAACAAGATGGAAATCGATAGATGTCGATCGGTGGATAGTCTGGTCCAGACTTGATTACTTACAGAGCGTCGCCATGTAGCTGGAGTATTGCCGAGTGAGGCGTTAAACGATTCACAAACAAAACTATAAAGTCACATGATTTCGACTAGATTAATATGATAAAATATGTTTACAGTTTAATATCTGCGCTTATGTTCTGATTTCATTGTACACATGCACCCTACCCGTTGTTATTACCCGAGCATCACTACACTGTTGGGTATTTGCACGATGATATCTTCATATATGTACTGCCAATAACTGTAGGCAAGCACAGACCCATGAAGAGTAAACGCTGTACAAAAAACAAATAAAACATGTGAGACTGAATAGTAGGAAAGGCATTCTTACCTGTAGGTTTTTCTAGTCCTAGAAAATAAAAGTAAAGTAATCTATATAACAATCTTATGCACAGACATGTAGATATCTGATAGTGCTCTAAAAGGCCGTTTCGATATGAGGTTGGCTGCAAGTGTCTATTGGACGGTTGTGAAAAGAATCTTACCGCGACACTTATACATAACTTACTGTCTGCATACCATTAACTCCCGTGGTTGATCAGCTAAGACGTTAACCGTTACATGTTGCCGAATATGAAATACAAAGTTGAACTTATTAGTTTTAAGTTCTTACGTCTTTCACAATATTTTCCAGCCCATCCGAGTTCACATCCATACGGGCAAGCGTCAAATCTATTACAGAAGTAGCCTCGGTAGCAGTGACACTGGCGGTCACACTCGTCTCCAGTCCAGCCTGGTTCACAGTCTGAAATATACAGTATCACAGTATTACGTGTAGTTTTGCCAGCTTAGACACTAAGGTAAACAGAAATCTGTAAAAGAATCAGGAGTCATACCAACGAGGCAATTTTGTATGATGAACAGTTGTAGAAAAAGTTTACATACAAATTCTTATAACTATAAATGATAATGTTAGTAGTTGTATACCCGACCCCTCGGTGGCCATCTTCCATACAGAGTAGTTGTATACCCCTCGGTGGTCATCTCCAGAGTAGTTGTATACCTGACCCATCGGTGGTCATCTCAAGTACAGAGTAGTTGTATACCTGACCCCTCGGTGGTCATCTCCAGTACAGAGTAGTTGTATACCTGACCCCTCGGTGGTCATCTCCAGTACAGAGTAGTTGTATACCCACCCCTCGGTGGTCATCTCAAGTACAGAGTAGTTGTATACCCGACCCCTCGGTGGTCATCTCCAGTACAGAGTAGTTGTATACCCGACCCCTCGGTGGTCATCTCCAGTACAGAGTAGTTGTATACCAGACCCCTCGGTGGTCATCTCAAGTACAGAGTAGTTGTATACCAGACCCCTCGGTGGTCATCTCAGAGTAGTTGTATACCCATCGGTGGTCAGAGTAGTTGTATACCAGACCCCTCGGTGGTCATCTCCAGTACAGAGTAGTTGTATAGGTGGTCATCTCCAGTACAGAGTAGTTGTATACCTGACCCCTCGGTGGTCATCAGAGTAGTTGTATACCTGACCCCTCGGTGGTCATCTCCAGTACAGAGTAGTTGTATACCTGACCCCTCGGTGGTCATCTCCAGTACAGAGTAGTTGTATACCTGACCCCTCGGTGGTCATCTCAAGTACAGAGTAGTTGTATACCTGACCCCTCGGTGGTCATCTCCAGTAGTTGTATACCTGACCCCTCGGTGGTCATCTCAGTACAGAGTGTTGTATCGGTGGTCATCCCCTGACCCTCGGTGGTCATCTCCAGTACAGAGTAGTTGTATACCTGACCCCTGGTGGTCATCCCTCGGTGGTTGTATACATCTCTGAATATCTCAGTACAGAGTAGTTGTATACCAAACCCCTCGGTGGTCATCTCCAGTACAGAGTAGTTGTATACCCCCTGACCCCTCGGTGGTCATCTCCAGTACAGAGTAGTTGTATACCTGACCCCTCGGTGGTCATCTCCAGTACAGAGTAGTTGTATACCACCCCTCGACCCTCTCGGTGGTCATCTCTCAGTCCAGTACAGAGTAGTTGTATACCAGACCCCTCGGTGGTCATCTCCAGTACAGAGTAGTTGTATACCTGACCCCTCGGTGGTCATCTCAAGTACAGAGTAGTTGTATACCAGACCCCTCGGTGGTCATCTCCAGTACAGAGTAGTTGTATACCTGACCCCTCGGTGGTCATCTCAAGTACAGAGTAGTTGTATACCTGACCCCTCGGTGGTCATCTCCAGTACAGAGTAGTTGTATACCTGACCCTCGGTGGTCATCTCCAGTACAGAGTAGTTGTATACCTGACCCTCGGTGGTCATCTCAGTACAGAGTAGTTGTATACCACCCTCGGTGGTCATCTCCAGTACAGAGTTGTATACCCCACCCTCTTGTGGTCATCTCACCAGAGTAGTTGTATACCCTCGGTGGTCATCTCAAGTACAGAGTAGTTGTATACCTGACCCCTCGGTGGTCATCTCCAGTACAGAGTAGTTGTATACCTGACCCTCGGTGGTCATCTCCAGTACAGAGTAGTTGTATACCCGACCCTCTGTGGTCATCTCCAGTACAGAGTAGTTGTATACCTGACCCCTCGGTGGTCATCTCCAGTACAGAGTAGTTGTATACCTGACCCCTCGGTGGTCATCTCCAGTACAGAGTAGTTGTATACCTGACCCCTCGGTGGTCATCTCCAGTACAGAGTAGTTGTATACCCGACCCCTCGGTGGTCCATCTCCAGTACAGAGTAGTTGTATACCTGACCCCTCGGTGGTCATCTCAAGTACAGAGTAGTTGTATACCTGACCCCTCGGTGGTCATCTCCAGTACAGAGTAGTTGTATACCCGACCCCTCGGTGGTCCTCTCTAGTACAGAGTAGTTGTATACCCAGACCTCTCGGTGGCCATCTCCAGTACAGAGTAGTTGTATACCTGGCCCCTCAGTGACCATCTCCAGTACAGAGTAGTTGTATACCTGACCCCACGGTGGCCATCTCCAGTACAGAGTAGTTGTATACCAGACCACCTGTTGTGCGATGTGTCTTATCATGTTTACGCAATGTTCTTCACTTACATGCACTTCTATAATTGATTGTAAACAAAGTCTTACTCTATTAAGTGGTTGCATGCATGCTCTAATAATTGACTGTAAACATTTCTACTGGTTGTATACTAATCTTATACCTGTATACCTAAGTGCACCTGATGCATTGAACCACACAGACGTAAGGTCCTTACCGGCTTTTTTCCAACACACATAAGGGGATTCTTCCCAGCAATAGGAAGGCACCCATAGGCCACCATAGCCGCTGATCCTTGCGCACATTTTCATGTATCGTTGAGGAGCACCCTGCCAGTTAACATATTTCACCTGCAACTAAAGTCAGTCATGACAGTGAGTTATTTTGTGCATTCATATATAATTATTTACCTGCTTTTCTATATATCTAATCCATCAATCATTTACCTACTTACCCATCCATTCATCCTTCTGTGTTTTTTTCTATCGATCTGCGGAAACGTGTTATGAAATAAACATAACAAAACGCTCTTTTATATATATATCACAAAGAATCTCTGCTAAAATAGTCCATTCTGACTACATCAAAAGCGTCTGTAGGTGATGCTACCATGTGTTCGCGAAAGGTAAGCGTTTGTGGCCCAAACAATGGGTCTCGTTACAAATATATGCCAGCATATGTATCTTAAAACAAATATCAGGTATATCAAATAGGGACCTGCATCACTCATAATTTATGTTACTGATGCCTCAAATTTGTAAATTCTTAACATACAGAATGTATCCTTAAGATACATAACGCATTTAGCTGTCTGTGACTATGCCACTGTGACTGTTAGAATTTGTTTCCAGGACCCATGTTTGCCACAAGAGCTTCTCAATCAATCAGGTCGTCAAACTATTGCTGAAGAGACCGCTAAATGCGGCGTTAAACTACCACGAACAAACCTATCAGCGCTTAGTTGAGGAAAGACGGTTACGTTTTGCATCAGGATCATGTGGTGTAGATTTGTTTAAAGGAAGATTTCAAACACACGTAGTCAATACTGCAGAGGTAGCGGCTCATCCCGCTGCCGTCACAACGCCGAACATGTTGTGACATTATTCATCAATGTCTTCGGTGTCTCTAACTTTCTGACAGTTTACAGCAGGAGTTACTAAAACCAAACTAGTTAATTCTTTAATTACTTTTGTGACGAACTTTCTTTCTCACCTTAGAATTCTCGTTCCATTGAAATTTTCTGTTTCGGCGATGTAAGCCAATCCATGCGTACCTGTGGTGGCGGGCAAGATCTAGAAAAATAGAAAAATGATCAAATGAAAACTGTACGTAATTAGGAACACATATTTGAGCAACGTCAGAGAAGGCTCATGTTTCTTCTACTTGAGGGTAAGTTCATGTGGGATACATGTACCACCCGAGTGAAGTTCCAAAGAGAACATGGCTATATAGCAACATATCAAGGTCATGGGGGACATGTTTATACCACTCGGGAGTGGCTTTATAGTAAACAAATGTGTCCAACGACCAAAGATATCAGGTCTTCTCAATCCTACCATGAATCCATGAATTAATTTTAGGTTTCAGAGATTTCAAATTACTAAAACACTCCACCACAGCAACTAGTGTATCGGCCTGACCACTGCAGATTCATAGAAAAAGTTCCTCTTCCGGTATAATTGTCAAGTGGCATTCTGCAATAAGGAAGGAAGTAGGCTACTAAATACAGACACCACAGCAATATGTGCAAATCAAGCTTGAGCAGTGAATGCAGTTCAAGCTGATAACAAGGATGATGACTTTATCTGCGCCTCAATCACGGACTGTGAAATCGTACTGTGGGCGTCCAGAAGAACGGTGTGAATTTACATGTTTGTGGCGGTATGGAAGAAATCCTTGCAGGCTTGCTCTGTCACCAGTCTGGCTATGTAGTCTATACTGGCTTCCGATGCATCTGCTACACAATTCTAATACATCTTCAATATGCAAATAAAATATGATGTTCAGCTCATTACAGCGAGATCAACATAAAGCATAGGACTTTATCACAGGACTTTACTTCTTGTTTATTGTACATGTACACGTTTCGGTGTAGATAACTGCGCCGTTTTTAAGCTTAGCGTCGCTCTATGTTAAAAACAAGAGGCTGTTACTCCATAAAGTCCTATGCGTGAGTTCATTATTGTTTCACCAGCTTCTAGAATGTAGATCAAACAAAAAAGGATAATCGGTATTATGTTTTTCAGATTACGATAAAAATGCAGCAGAGAGGGTTCGGGTGATCCTGGCAGAGTCAGGCTGGAAAGGCTCATTGTCAGCTCAGGGCCCTTGCCCCCTCTACACGCATCCCAGACACTGAATGGGACTTCTCCCAGTAAACGCTGCCTAGTCGAACCAACAAAGAACTTTCCTGAGAATATGAAGACTCCCCAACAATGCAGTCTTCTGCATTACCCAGAGTGTCAGAAGGGCTGTGCTCCTGGTGGAGAACCCGGACACTCTCCTGATCTGCTGTGAGAGATCATGAGGTAACAAAACAAGGGCACCAAGAACAATGGGGAGCCTGACGACAGTGTACTTTGGATGCAAGCGAGACATTTCAACGGTTATTATCAGTAGTATTTCTGCACATCAAACAAACATCCTAATCTAAGCACTATTCTCATCTCACACTGCATCAATCATTATCAACAATAGCATAAAAATAGTAGAGTGTGTAATTGTGCCAGTGCGGCAGATAGTTCTGATGTGTTTCCAGTTTAGAATATGATACCTCTAGGGATTATACTTCTACATGACCGCCTCCGTGGTGTAGTGGTTAGAGCGGAAGGTCGCGGGTTCGATCCCCGACTGCGTCATACCAAAAGACGTTAAAATATGGTACTTGTTGGTCCCTGCCTGGCGTTCGGCATTAATGGGTACAACAAGGACTGGTCGGCTCGGAATCAGTATAATGTGTCTGGGTATTCATGCTTCACTGCGGCGTGGTATCTCAGTGGGCTAGCACTATAAAACCAGCTTCAGTCTGGGCTAGTACAAGCAGCCGCAAATACACATGCACACGCATGCACGTCGTCATATGAGCGAAATATTCTCAAGCACGACGTTCAACCCAATTTCACCTCACCTATACTTCTACATTACATGATCCAGTTTAACGGTGTTACATTCAGAGGATGCATAACTAAACATTCAAAACAACAACTACAATGTCCTTACTGTTCACGGACTTTTTACATGATTAACGAGTCTGCAGAATCTGTGTGTTTGGCGATAATGACGTCAACTCCCCATATTAAGTCTCATTTCAATATACCTTTAACGACTGTGTTCTCTTCTTCGTTGTCAATCACGGCAAGTGAAGCAGAAAAGCGTCGTTTGCATCTTCCAGACGCATCATTCCGGTCAACATGTTCATTAAGGAACTTGTAGCATTTCTCATTCGCCCTTGTCCAGTCCTCGGGACATTCTGGTAAACGGAACAAGGCCTTCAATGATATTGTGCTGTACCTACAAGGCTCCTATACACGTACATGTACCGTCTCCAAGTGGCTTGCACAAACTCCACCGTTTCTACCCATCAAAAGTTTAGACTTACTAGTGGAAAAGTTGCCACTTAATTCAGTCTAGATTTTACAAAATATTCCATATTGTTTTAAGGTACTGTTTGCACATGAACTGATGCATTGTAAAACATACTCGTAACATTGAAAAGATTATTGTCACATGAGTTCAATAAATGGTAGAAATCTGTGAAAACTGGCGAATTCTTAACAAAACTTACACCAAAACGCAGGTGTTCACATGCATGATACTTGCACATGCTTTTCAGCAATTTGATGCATGATCCTCGTGCAATTCATCTGCATAAGGTTTTCAGTTGGTTCCCTAAGTACATGGAGAATTTCATCTTCGATGTAACCACAAACCATAAATACATACATATAGTGAGTGCGTTTTAAGTGAGTCTAAACCTTTGATGGGTTGTATATGAACAAATTTACAACCGTTTTCAAACAAGATTAGTTCAAATATTGCTTATGGATAAATAGACATGTTTAGTACTCTTCTCGATCATTAAATATCTGAAATTATTACTATCTGCTTCATTTCTCCAATTTTCGGGCAAAGTAAATAAGTCCAGATAAAGCTGACAGGCAAATAACACCTTATTCATACCTTGATATCTCCCACAGTGTACAGCGTTGGTTATATAGGCGAACAAAGTGATCAGAGTAAGCAACTGCATTTCTGTCCAAACCTCCAAACAGTGTGCTAAACTAACATGTATCGTTGGTCGGTCACAGATTCAGAGCATCAACCGGATGCAGATAATGGCTTTCAGGGTTAATATCAGGATGTGAAAGCGGATTTGAACATATTACATATCATTATCCGTATCACAATCAGGTCTTGTAAACCTTTTAGAAAGTTCGTGAAGTCTATATCAGTGAATATACGAGGTACACTGTCAATGGATACCAGTAGGTCATATATACTCATGTCACAGGTTCAATTGTTCACACAATGTACAGCACAGCACCCCTGGCACATTTTACAATTTTTGTCCCTAACAGCTTGCCATACAGATGAGCTGGCTGCCAGCAGGTACATCCTGGGCTCTGCCACATGCTGCTCCTGCAGTCTGTGCACTCAGGTGATATAAAAGCTGCATGTGCCATGTGCCCGGCACACACCATGCTGGCCGTGGCAGCCCTCTATGTAATTTCCCTAATTACAGATTTTTGGCACGGTCGTGTTTGACCAACCCCAAATGGCAAATGGCAGAATAAAGAGATTGAACACCAGTCCAGTGGTCGTGTTATAAAACCCTGCGACATTTTGGCGCCCAACGTGGGGCTGGTGTTCTCAACAACTTGACAGCCATAACATCAACATGACCGCCATAACTACATGACTGCCACATCATGACAACTTTAACCACTGGCCATGGGCATCGTTTCATCGATGGATACAGTATTCCTGTCAGTGTTCTGGTGACCAGGTTTTGTGGTAGGGCCCGATAACATCATGATACGTTGCCGGCAGTAGTACTATTAACAGTACGTCGAGTACTAGTACTACCCGTCATAGGTGTGCACACTCGCGTTTCGCGTTCGCGATGTACATAATATATTGTGAACAGACATTCATTTGACATTTTGGAATGACTTTCATTTGTGTTATTCTGTGACTGACTATATTGTTTCATGAATACTATCCATGGATTGTTTTGCGTTTCCGCTTGTGGAAGTTGACTTTTTGTGATACTTTTATCACATGAACTTATGTTGAACGTTTGAACGTGACTAGTCACATGGACTTTTGTTGCACATTTGATCAATGTATTGACCATTCTGTTTCTTTTTCAGCTGTCCACTATAGAATGCTTATTTGAATTTCACATGTGTTTAATGTTTATTGTGCCATTTGTTTAACATGCCATTGAAGTAATGTGAGGTAGTTCTGGGTTGTGACATTACTTCTTTCATGTTTCGGAATAGTTGAATATTATTTTATACTATTTACACAGTGAATAGGTTTTGAAATGTTTTGCTAGTCCATCTTAGCTTAGACTTTTGATAGGAGATTGAAAGCTTGGTGCGAGTGTGAGAATTGTCATAGGGAAATTATCACATGCCTAACTGTCTTAACAACTGCATTGCACATTTTGAATTATGAACACAATTTGATACCATGTTGTTAATACTTGACTTTGTTTTCAGAGCTGACAGTCTTGGGGAACCAGCTGTGATTCCTATCCTTATGAGTGGAATTTTGATGTTTGCTGACTGATGTATTCTAGATTTTCAGGACTTGTATTTATTTGTCTACTTTTATCACTGACCCTTTAAGCAATGGCCACTGGCGGAACTGAAGAGGATTGGGAAACCAAACGTAGCAAGGCTGGAGTGAGTGAGGATGATATTCAGAAGATGATCAAGTAAATAGAGACTTCAGGATATCAGGTTCAACCTTCCAGTCCCAGACATCGGGCAAGTTCACTGTTACCACCTAACACACAATACATTCAACCACCCCGTATATCTGTATTCTCAGGTAGTGATGCCAAGGGGGAGTCTTCGTTTGAGAATTGGATGTTTGAGGTTAAGTGTTTGTTGAATAGTAGGGATTATCCAGCCTCTGTCTTAGCACAAGGCGTTGGGAAGTCGTTAAAGGGTGAGCTGGTAGAGCTGCCCTTCTGCTTGGTGAACATGCATCAGTGGATGATATTTTGAGTAAGTTTGACAGTATTTATTGCGTTGTTAGTTCAGCTGATACGTTGCTGCAGAATTGTTTTACTGATTGCCAGAAGGAGGGTGAATCGTTGGCAACTTGGTCATGTAGACTTCAAAATACTTTGTTGAAAGTTAAATCTAAGGGGGACTTTATACATGAGGATGCTCTTGAGTGTATCTTGAAAACATAGTTTTGGATTGGTATAAGGAATGATAGACTGAAGGATGCAACACGGCATAAGTTTGATAATTGTTCAGATTTTGATTCTTTACTCAGAGTTGTCAGGGAACAGGAACTTACTGGATCTGTTAATGTCAAGGATGTTAGACACAAGAAAGTATATACTAGTTCTCAAGTTGTTGATTCAGATGTTTCTCAACACTTAAAGGATATTCTCAAGAGAATTGATACCTTAGAAAAGAATCAGAAGGCGTTGAGTCAGTCTACTTCATCGAAGCTAGAAAAAGATGTCAGTGAGATCGTACAGAGGTTAGCTGCTATTGAAAGTAAAGTTGGTCGTGGTAGAGGAATTATTGGTGATCATGGTCATACAGATTTAAACCACTAAAGACTTCTGTTGAGGAGAGCAAACAGTTGTCGGTAAAGGTGATCGCTCCAATGATTTGTTTGCTAGAATGGTAGGCCCTAGTGTACAAACTGTTGTTCTTGTCAATGGCGATGAATGTCTTGTTTTGCTAGATACTGGATCTCAAGTTACTACCGTTTCAGAGTCTTTCTACTATCAGAACTTAAGTGATCTTAGGTTACGTCTCATAGAAGAGTTTCAGTTGAAGGTTAGCGGCGCTACTGGTGATATACTCCCGTACATTGGCTATTTTGAACTCTCCGTTGTGTCCAATTTAATGATAGCTCTTACATGATACCAGTGTTGGTAGTCAAGGATACTGAGTTTAGTGCCCAGGTTCCAATGATTCTTGATACAAACACTATCAGATTGTTCTATTGTAAGGCACCTCAGATTGTCTCAGAGCCTTGGCAGATGGTAGTTTAGGTACTGTCAAGTCATCCAGTAAGCATCCTATTACTCTGCAACCTATGGTGGCGACCACTTTGAAGGGTATAGTGCATACTAGTCCAGGTAAACACTGTGCTGTGACGGAGCAGTTACAGATTAGCCCTGAGGGTTCAGGTGTTTGTCCTAGAGTTGTAGAAATTGAGGGTCAGCGTAAGACTACTACTGTCTATGTCAAGGTTTGCAATTTGTCTGCTAGAACTATTACACTTCCTCGCAAGGCAGAGCTATGTAGTTTGCAAGAGGTTCAGGTTATGGATTGTTTGCCTTTGCATTTGGACGATGATAGTGATGATTCTTCAGTCGGTGCTATGGATGAGAAGCCTGTTACTATTGAATGCCAGTAGTGAAGGTTTGGGGGCAGTTTTGTATCAGCACCAAGATGACAAGGAACGAGTGATTGCTTATGCTAATCGTGCATTGAGGAAATCAGAAAAAAATATCCAGCACATAAATTGGAGTTTTTGGCACTCAAATGGGCTGTGTGTGATACGTGTCATGAGTATCTATATGGCAATCATTTTGAGGTTAGAACTGATAATAATCCCCTCACATATGTCTTGTCAACAGCCAAGTTAGACGCGATAGGGCACAGGTGGCTTGCAGCATTGTCAACATATGACTTTAAAATTATTCTATCGTGCTGGAAAAGCTAACAAGGATGCAAATGCTTTATCTCGTCACCCAAACCTTTCTGCTACAGATATTCAGTCCAATGTTGTTAAGGCTATTTGTGGTTCTCTGTGGTAGTCTGTGAACATGGTTGAATGTTTGGCAACTTCACCAGATGTTGTGGAGGAGAGTACTGTTCCTTTTAGGAATGTGGATTGGGTCTTAGAACAGTCTAAAGATCTGGATGTTGGCAAAGTGATATATTTTGTCACAAAGGGGAGAAAACCAACTGCTCGTCTAGTTTGCAAAGAATCCAATGGAGTGCGTAGGCTTTTAGGACAGTGGAAGAAACTTGTGGTTAGGGATGGTGTTTTATACAGAAAAAAGTTCCATCAAGGTGATTTAAGATATCAACTTGTATTGCCAAGACAATGGAGGAAATTAGTTTTGGATGCGTTTCATGATGACATGGGACATCAGCGTCGAGACAGAACAGTAGATTTAGTTCAGTCCAGGTTTTATTGGCCAGGGTTGTCTACAGATGTCGAAACAAAGATCAGGCTTTGTGGTAGATGTATTCGCAGAAAATGTTCTCCTAATCAAGTTGCAGCTCCACTTGTGAATATTTCTACAAGTCAACCTATGGAATTAGTTTGTGTAGATTACCTTTCTCTGGGGGAAGCAGGTGGATGTGGGAATATTCTCGTGATTACGGATCATTTTATGACATTTGCACATGCAGTTCCCACAAGGAATCAAACAGCTACTACAACAGCTAAGGCATTATTTGATTTCTTTCTTCACTATGGGTTTCCAGCACAGCTACATAGTGATCAAGGTCGCAATTTTGAGTCAAAGGTTATCAAAGCCCTCTGTAAACTGCCTGGCACTGTCAAGACTAGCACATCGCCATATCACCCAATGGGAGATGGAATGGTAGAGCGATTTAACCAGACTTTACTCAAGATGTTGGGTACCTTGGAGGAAGATAAAAAGGCGGATTGGAAATGTATATTCCAGCATTAGTACATGCATACAATGCTACAAGGCATGATAGCACTGGTTATTCACCATTCTATCTGATGTTTGGGCGTCATCCCCGTTTGGCTATAGATGCTTTCCTTGGCATTAATCCAGATGACATGCAAGAACAGTCAGGTGTCGAGTATGTAGCCAGGTTGAAGAAAAGGTTAGACTATGCTTATAACATTGCTTCCACGGAGTCCAGTAAAGCTGCACGCAGACACAAGAAGAGATATGACAGGAGAGTAAGGGAAGCAGTTCTTACAGAACGAGATAGAGTACTTGTGAAGAACGTTGGTCTAAAAGGAAAGCACAAATTGGCAGAATTCTGGTCCAGTGGCCCATATACAGTTGTCAGTCAGCCAAATAAGGACATACCAGTATA